GGTATAGCCGGAAGAGACCTTAAAAGAGTATTAAGATCGGGTTAAGGTAAATATTTCCTATATTATTAATAGATATCGGGGTTTTTATAATTCTTAGTCGTATTTTAAGTAATATTAGGCCTAAGGCCGACTACTTTACGCGTCCGAGTTAAAAAAAAAAGCGCTAATATAAAAAGCCCGACGGCGCTAAGAATAAAGTAGTCGAGTAATATCTTAAGGATACGTAGATTTTAACTAGAGTAGTATTTATTTTAGATCTAAATAATAACCATATAGATATAGTCGTTAGTTACGTCCTAAGGAAGTTCGAAATAAGCGATAAGCTCGCCCTTTACGTATATAACATTACTAGGAAGCGTTTACGGGGGAACTTTAATACCTAGAAAAGTCGTTCCATAAGAAATTTAAAGGTAATTACGCTACTTTATATACTTACCTAGGTAAATATCGTATGCTAATAATTATTAAAATCATATTAAAGTAATTATAAAAGACGGTAAGAACTTCGAGTTCGTAGAGGAAGAAGATATAACCCGAATTCGAAGGTAGCTATATTACCGCTTTAATCCGGAGGATTTCGTTAATATCTTTTATTAGTTAGAAAACTACGTCGACGTTTGGTAGTCCTCCGAAACGTTTAAGACGTAGTACGTATATAAGTCCTATACCCGTTAATATAATACCTAAGGTATAATAAGTCTAACGCGTCGGTAGTTATTTACGCCGAACTTAATATATACGTAAAGAAAAATATTAATTTTAAGTCTACCGATTCTAACGAGCGGGTCGCCGAATACGATTATAATTAGAAGGCTTATTTCTATCGGTTTAACGTTATCGTAGCTTTAAAAAAGTAGAAAGATATAAAGCTTAAAAAGGGGGATATTAAACTAGCGCTACTTATTATTACTATAGCGAAGAGTATTAGGAAGAAGCGAGTATTTATAAACCCGGATAAGGACGAAACCTTTACGGCCCTTAAACGTCCGAGGTAGAATTAAATCCCTAATTAACGCTTAGGATTCCGTATCTTAAGTAAGTAGGTATTTTTACTTACGTAATTAGGATTTATAGAGTCGGTATTACGATACCGAAGGCGTACCGGTATAGCATTTAATTATTACGAGTAAGGAAAGAAAGGGTATATTATTACCCTTTTTTAAAACCTATATAACTATAATCGCTAAAGTTATGGCTTATATAAAATAAAAGATCATAAGTTTAATAGCTAGGGGTTTCGTTATAAGGCGGCCTACGTAAATATTAATATATTCCTATCCTTATTATCGCATTACCTATAAATTAAACCTATTATATATTCCTAGGGGATATTTAAAATAAAATTAACGTACTTTTATTTTAAAGTTCGTAATATATCTAGTAAGTAGTCCTTCTTATATTAAATAATATCTCCCGTATTCGTTTCCTACCTTCTACGTATATAGCTATAATAATATATAGAACCTACTTCCTTTCGGGCGGTAGGTACTTTAATAGATATAATTAGGTAGGTACGATAATAATAAATTAACTTAAGGAGATATTTCTTACCTTCTGCTTTTTACGAATCCTATTTCGTCTTTTCCCGAGATTATTACCTTCGATTTTTATCATACCTTTCCTAAGCTTCTAGGTACGCCTTCGGAAGCTATCCTCGTCGTCGCTTATAGCCTTTAATAGCTTCGGTAAAGTTATTATTCCTATTAAACTAGCCTTACGTATCTAATTAATTACGTAAATAAGTAGTTTATAATTAAATTATTCTTCCTTTATTAACCCGTTATATTTACCTAGACCGCTATAGCCTTAAGTACCGATCCGTTTTACCGTAGGTTCGTTAAGGCTTTTAAAGACCGAGCTACGTTTCCGAATGGCCTATCGGTAGCCGTATTCCTCGGCTATATACGAATATTAAAGGAGTATAATTTCGCTAACATACCCGAGTAAATTAAAGGCTACTAGGACGCCTTCGCCGTAAAATTACTTACGGTAACTACGATATTATTATAAGTAGTTCGGGATAGTCGTACTAGAAACAGAAAAAAATTCGTTATACCCGGAAACCTTCCGGATATTTAATACCATAACTACTACCGGTTAATTATTAGGTTTAACATGCCTATGCGCCGTACCGAAGGCCCCGTCGACCTTAATAACGGGGTATATATTAAAAAGGAGGGTAAAGAAGAAGAAGAAGACGAGGAGGAGGAGGGGGAGGAAGAGGGGAAGAAGGAGGACGACGACGACGACGACGACGACGACGATTTCGAGGTTAACGAACGGCTACGAAGCCTCCCGGAAAGAGAGGTCTACTACTACGATAATGTAGCCTTTAGGATCGAAGTCGATTAACGAATTATAGCCGAGTTCGACGAGGAGGACGAGGAAAACGAGATTAAGAGACTATTAAGTAATAATATAGGTAGGGATAACGACGGGCTCGATTAATTACTAAAGCGTTATTAGGATAAAATAAACGAGGAAAATCGCGATAAGCTAATACCGGCCCGTTTATAAGGCTTTACCGCCTGGTATATCTATAGATTTAATTCCTAAATACAAAAGAACTTTTATTAATATTATAATTTAGGAACGGTCGAAAGATACGTAAGTTTTAATACTAAGCTTCGACTATTCCCTTATATATTCGTTAAATTCCGTTATATCCTTACTTATCTTTAATTATTATTATACCATCGTACGAGGAACGCAGGAAAAACGCGGAAGGAACGCGGGAGGAACGTAAGAGATAATAAGGGATAGAGAAATCTTACTCGGTTTTTAGAAATCATAGCTATGGTTTTACGATTACTATACGATTTTATTATAATTACTCGGTATACGGATAGGCTTAACTAAATTACTATAGGTATTATAGGTATACCGCTTTTCTTTTGTCTTATATTATTAAATACCTACTCTAGGTAACTAAATAAGCTTATAAAGATTAATTTATATTTATATTCTTTCTAGACCTAGATATATTCGAATGCTACTTACGTTTAAATATACCTATATAAGTAAAGCCTCGTCGTTTTTATTAATATTATTATCGTATCTATTTTAATAAAAGACTACTCGGGTATAATATTAGTATTATTATAGTATTTATTTTAATAAAAAACCGATAGGATATAATATTAGTATTATTATTATATCTATCTTAATAAAAAACCGATAAGGCATGGTATTAGTATTATCGTCGCATTTATTTTAATAGAAAACCGCTAAGGCATAGTATTAGTATTATCGTCGCATTTATTTTAATAGAAAACCGCTAAGGCATAGTATTAATACTATCGTCGCATCCATTTTAATAGAAAACCGTTAGGGTATAGTATTAGTATTATTATTACATTTATTTTGGTAGAAAATCTTAAAGGTATGGTATTAGTATTATTATTACGTCCATCTTAATAAAAGACTACTCGGGTATATTATTAATACTGCTATCGTATTTATTTTAACGTAAAACTATTTAGATATAAAATTAATATTAATATTCTATCTTTTTTAAGAGAGAACTATCTAGATATAGTATCGGTATTATTACTCTATCTAGCTTAATAAAGAACCTAAAGATAATTATTTCCTTCTTTAAGATAGCTTCCTAATGGAATATGTTATTTATATTAAATTATTTCTATTTAGTTATTATAATAGATATTATAATAATATAAAGCTCGCTATTATAATAATTAAAATAACGTTACGCCTAAAATATATATATATTACTAGTTATAGTTAGCCATACGATATAGCTACGTTACCTAATAATCGTATTAAGATTAATACTATACTTGTTATAGTATCGATTTAATAACGATATTATATTAATATTATTACGTAGCTAGTAATAATGTCGATATAGATATACTAGTAGTAACTATATCGAAAATCGGTTATTATAACCCTACCTAGTTACGCTATTACTACCCCGACACCATTACTGACATAGTGTCGACAGACCCCCCCCTCCCGGTATGGTAGGTATGACCTACCTAGGTACCTCTAGGTGCCTCCCACAGCTGCTTCTTACATGGACTTTCTAACGTAGTGCCTCGTTAGGCGAGTATGCAGCTGTAAGTATATATTTCACGTGTCATTGCTGATGCAACGGAGGTGCTAGGGCCTGGGAGCCTAACCACATGCAGGTACCTGATATAGCCCCAATCAGGTCGCGGCCTCTTATGTACCCCCTTCATTTTCGGGTACTTGGGTTTGGCCGGGCGATACCGGCTTTACAAAGGTACCTGACGACGGAGGTTCGGGGGTTCGGTACTTGACCTTTGCCAACCCAAAGCTGCCTACCCAAGGTACCCACACATGTATGCATGTACATATCCGTATGTGGATGAGTGCAGCTCAACCGCGATTATGTAGCAAAATGGAACCTCGCTCCGCCCCGGGCTCTCGAGGTTACGTAGGTACCTCGCGGCAAGGTTCCTGGCCAATTCGACGCCATTCCGACCCTTCGTCGTCCGCCTTCATCCGCAACGCCAGAGCTAGAGCCAGAGCCAAACGACAGACGCAGAAACACTTTGCTCGCCCTGGTGATGCCAAACCATAAACTGCCAACAGGTAAGCAGCAGCGTCTCGGCTTACGGCGAGTTAGACCGGCTGTCTCCCCGCACCTCCTCCCCGCCAGTTTTACCTCTTACCTCTCTACCGCCAGCTGTGACTGATCCAGCGTCCAACGCCGCCAGCTAAAGGCCAAATATCCAAATACCTACATAGAGCTCATCTCCTCAAGTCGTTGCTTTCATCTCCCCCTCCCCCCTTTTAGCTGCTAACTACCTTATTTTCAGCTGTCTGACCCGCCGACCGCTTTATTCGCCGATTTCTCAGCCCGTCTAGAGACGTCCTGCCCTCGCCGAGCCAACACCCTCCTGCCCTTGGGCACCCATCCTCGATTATTGCTGTCGTTACTCACATCGTCGTCTTGGGCTTGGTATGGGGGTTCGGAACCATCTATCCAGGTCGACTAAATCCAACAAATACACATAACTGATTCGTCGTCGACCTCATCTCGCTCATATTCTTCCCCGTCATGCCCTTTACCATCATGTTGTAATCTACACATGGTTTGGGTACCTACAACCACCGTCGACCGCCATCTACTCGCTCCTACCTCTACCTGCCAACTCCAGCCAGAGTCACAGAGCCTCTACCCCCACCCCCAAGAGCCGGCCCCAACATTGTGAACAGCCAGTATGATTAGCGGCCGGGGTGGTTCCATGATGAGAGGCCGTATTCGCCCCCCACGACGAGTACGTCCCATATATCGGCCTACCCTATTTTCTCCCTCGATCACTCCCACAAGGCAACCTACTAACTCGGCTCATGTAACAGCCTTCGACGCAATCGACCAGTGCCAACGAGTTCGAGCAGTGTTGGGAGAAGCTTCGAGATGCCCTCCGCGACATACACATGCGCAACGCCGGAAACCTTTCCTTCGAGCAGCTATACCGGTATTCATATAAGATTGTTCTGCAGAAGGCCGGGCAGCAGTTGTACGAGAGAGTGAAGGCATTCGAGGAACAATGGTTCGCCGACGAGGTCATACCCGCCATCTGGGCACTCATTTCCAAAAAGCTCATCAGCGTGGCCCTCGATGAGGTTCCCGGAGCCAGCGTCGTCGAACGCCGCGCTCTGGGGGAGATATTCCTAAAAGGCGTCCGCAGTTCGTGGGAGATGCATAACATGTCCATGAACATGATCGCCGACATCCTAATGTATCTCGACCGTGGATACACTCAGGACAACGGCCAGCCGCTGATATATATCGTCACCATCGGCCTATACCGCGATCACATCCTACGGTCAAGCCTCAAAGCGATCGGCTCGGATCGTCTCATATTCCACGTCTTTAATGCTACCATCATCGATCAGATCAATATGGAGAGAGAGGGTGATGTCATAGATAAGGCCCTGTTGCGTAGCTGCATCTCTATGCTGGAGATTCTTTACGAGACAGACGAGGAGCTGGAGCACCAACGTCTGTATTCGACTACGTTCGAACCCGAATATCTTCATAGCAGCCGGATCTTTTATAAATCCGAGTGTGAAAAGTTGCTTCGCGAGGGCGACGCGAGCGCGTGGCTCCGCCACACGCAGAGACGTCTCGCCGAGGAGGCCGATCGATGCCAGACTACGGTCTCCCTTCTCTCCTTACCCAAGATCATACAAGTGCTTGAGCAGGAACTCATCACAACCCATTTGGAAGAATTCCTCAACGCCGAGGGGAGCGGTGTCAAGGCTATGATCGACAACGACAGGATCGAGGATCTCAACATTCTCTACCAGCTCATTACTCGTGTCGATCCGAAAAGGGCCTCTCTACGTAACGCTCTTGCGGTACGGGTCATTGACCTTGGGACGGAAATTGAGAAGACTCTCAAGAACACAGATTTCAGCGTTGCGCAGCAGGCCGACGTTGAGGAGGTCGCCGAGGGCACAGACAAGTCCAAACCCAAGGCCATCAACGCTGCCGCTCAGCAGACAGCCGCAGCGGTCAGGTGGGTTGACGACGTTCTGGCTTTGAAGGACAAGTTTGATCGGCTCTGGACCCAGTGTTTTGCGGAGGATCTCATCCTGCAAACGGCACTGACGAAAAGCTTCTCCGACTTCATCAATTCCTTCGATCGAAGCTCCGAGTACGTGTCGCTATTCATAGACGACAACTTGAAACGCGGAATCAAGGGCAAGACCGAGGCCGAGGTCGACGTCGTGCTCGACAAAGCCATCACTCTCCTGAGGTATATCGGGGAGAAGGACAAGTTTGAACAGTACTACCAAAAGCATCTAGCTCGTCGCCTGCTGCACGCCAAGTCTGAGAGCCAGGAGGTCGAGCAGGAGATGATATCACGCATGAAACGTGAACTTGGTAACAATTTTACGCAGAAGTTCGAGGGCATGTTTAGAGATATGCACACCTCCAGGGAGACGACCGATCAGTATCGAGACCACGTTCGCGGCCTCGGAGAGCTCGACGAGAATCAGATCGATCTCAGCATCAGCGTCCTCGCTGGTAACAATTGGCCCAAAGAAATCATGGGCCGCAGTTCGGGTCTCGCGGACGGATCAAAGGGCAAGACTGTTTACCCGCGTGAGATCCAGGGACTCCAGGATAGCTTTTTCAAATTCTACACGAAGAACCGCAACGGCCGCGTCCTCACTTGGCTTGGAAATCTAGGGACCGCGGATGTCAAATGCGTATTTCCGAAGATTCACGGGAAAGCCGCCGGGCCGCTCAGCAAGGAACGTCGTTACGACATCAACGTGTCGACCTACGGCATGATCGTACTACTCATGTTTAACGACGTAGCTGGAGACGAGTGGCTGTCGTTCGAAGATATCCAGGAGAGGACCAATATCCCACAACTGGACCTGATCAACGTTCTGACGTCTCTGTCCGTGATCAAGGCTTATCGCGTTCTTCTCAAGGAGCCACAGACCAAATCGGCGGCCAAACCAGGAGATCGATTTGCTTTTAACCGCGAGTTCTATAGCAAGGCGATCAAGATCAAGGTCCCTTCGGTCAACGCGGCCAACAAAGTCGAGAATGACGAGGAGCGCCGAGAAACAGACAAGAAGACGGAGGAGACGAGGATGTACATCACCGATGCTGCCATTGTCCGCATCATGAAGTACGTGTCATTGTTTGCGCTCCAGAGATCAAACTAACGCGGTATCGTTCTAGGCAACGCAAGGAACTCGGCCACACGCAACTTGTTACAGAGGTCATACAGGTTCTGGCCAGTCGTTTCAAGCCCGACGTGCCCCTCATCAAGCGTCGGATTGAAGCATTGATTACACGCGAGTATATCGACAGGATGGAGCTTCCCGACGGTAACCCTGGTTACCAATATGTCGCTTAGTTCCCCCTCCTCCGTTGCAGAAACCCAGTCCCCCCCTGCTGTCATACCTCACTGAAGTCGAAGATGTGTTGGAGGGAAGAGACACGGAGTCTATATGACAAATAATGGCGCCCTATTTACAGTCCACCTGATTAGATTTCGCTCTCCTTGTACGGAGGGTCGCGTATACAGTCACAGCAGATTTTCCGTCGAGTCCCCCAAATTCGAGCTTCCTGGCACGCTAAGTGCGGATCTAACAGGCCTCGCTTTTTCGATGCCCAGATCGGGGTCCACAAACGGTACTTATCAGTTTCGGGGACCCGAGTTTTCATTCTCGACTGCATGCGTGACCATGGCAAAAGGGCGAGTCGAGGTATAGACTACACGCATATACCTAGTTAACAGACAGGCCGCCGCGCTTGTATCGAGATTCACAAGAGGTACTATAACTATCATGTCGATGGCCAAACGAGGATAACATGAAGAAAAAAGCAGAGTCGCGGTGTCCCCTATGCTGTTGTGGCCTAGCTTCCATTCTGGGGCGGCACGCCGGTATCCGTGTTGGCGGTCGAAGGGCTCGCTGGAAGGAAGAACAAGCAATTGTCATACTGTTGGCGCTCGTATCTAGGTAGAAGTGCCTTTGTGTCCACGCACATCACGATCTACCACCGTTGCGCATGTAAGATTGCATAGCATCATGCTACGAGCATCCTTAGAGGAGTCAGCACAAAGAACCATGGGTGCTCTTCTTTCAGGCTTGAACAAAAGCTGTTGTACTTCGACCTACGCTTCCCTTGATACAATCAACAAGCTGGTTATCTCTCGCCCGGGGGCTTGGAAACTAAGCTGAAGGGTGACATCGACATAATAGAGTCTAATCGGCCCAGGCGAACAAGGCCATTCTCGCAACAAGGGGGAAACAATACATTATCACGTTCGCACAATGCCCTTTAACGCTTCCGAACATCCATCTTCCGGGTGTCTTCATACTCACCTTCTTAAGCGTGCCATGCCGCTTTACTTGCTCGGCGCAAGTACACGGGCTAATGCATCATCACTCTGGGTCCCCTCTCACCCTAGCATAACCGAACCCTCCCCTCTCCCCTTTCCTCCCTTGTTTTGATATTCAGCGTTACCATCATTAGCCCTATCCCTTGTTTCTTTTCCCCACCATCTCCGGGCCGCTGCCTGTAGATAGGAACATGAGCAGAAAACGGCAGAGTCTCCTGCGGCTGGAGGCTCTTGGTGGCCTTTCCGACTGTTACAGCGAGGTTGCCACCATCCGGCCGGACGGCATCGATAACGACAGCGATGCAGGCTGGGAAACTTCCAGCAACATAAGCACCGAGGTCGTCGTCTTTGATAAGCCGCCACCGCCAGGTAGCCATCTTCGGTCTATCGGCAGTACTGTTGGTGACGCGGCCAAAACCACCACCGTCCGGAGATCAGATACGGCCATATCGGACCCAGTGCCGACGTCACCATCCACCTCACAACGGTCTAGGACAGTCTCGTCAGACCCCACAGGCGATTCTTCCCGCTGTCACTACGCGCCGACGGGTGAGCCCGTAGCAACTAGGCTGCGGCGGACTCGTGCACAGCAGAGGCCAGTGCATGATTCTGCCGACTCCCAGGAGAGACGGCGGCTGGGTAAAAGACTCAGCCAACTTCAGCGTCAGGCGGCGGCTAGGTACCCTGAGTCTCGTACCTCTTCCGTAAAGAGGACGAGTAGCGGGTACAGCACTAGCCACGAAGGCGACTGTAAGTCTTCTACTAACCCACGGCCGCTAAGCGGTAGTAGTGACAACTGGAGGCCTCAGAAGCCGATCTATGCGCAGCGATCTCCGTCGGGTCACGAATCACAACCCGGATGCAGCGGTTCGCCATCACCGCAGCCGGTCTCGTCCAGGTTCTCGGCCTACATGCCTCGAGACGAACAACAATCCTCCCCGAGCTCACGGCCCGGATCTCTGAATCTGCCTGGAGTTTCTGGGCAAGATTACGACAACAACGACTGGGAAGACGAGGATCTACATAGCGAACGTACTGGCTCATCATCCTCGCTTGACACGCGCGCGTCGAGTGGACGAAGTAGCGTGCGGTCCGCACGCATAAGTAGACTGTTGGAACGTCAGCGTCGTAACTGCGATGCACATGATGTCGATGTCTGTAGCCGCCCGCCGTCCTCCGCCTCCACCGCGTATAGGCCATACCATCCGTCCCCCAGTCCGTCACCATCCATATCCCCCTCTATCGGGCCGTACACCTCGTCGCCACCCACACGGGGTCGCCAGATGGTAGATCGTTCCTCACACCCTTATCCTCACCCATCTCCGCGCCCTTCACCTTCTCCTTCAGCCTCTCGGGCTCCTCTTCCCTCTCCGACTCCGTCGCACTCCCCGTCCCCGTCCGGAACCAGTGTAGCAACAGGTGCAGCAAGGACAGCAGCAACGGCAGAGCCACAACTGAAGCGCGCGCCAAGCCCGTCGCGCGGGTCCTGGGTCTCGGACCGGCCGCGACAGACGCGTCCGCCACTCATAGAGCGGGTGCGGGAGCGGCTCGAGCAGGGCGTGCACCTGAGGCTCCAGAAGGCAGGGCGACGACCGCTGTCGAGCTTCCACGTGCGGCGGGTGGTCAAGTGCGAGGCGGCGACGCCGCTGGTACCGCCAGGGCCAGGGGCCGTCGGCCTTGTGGGCGATTTGGCCGAAGTGGAGGCTGATATGGGCATGCCTTTCGCGATGCGGTGGCGGAACGAGATGCTCAGGCGCGAGCGCGAGGAACAGGAGGAGCGGGAGCGCGAGATCCAGAGGAGACAAGCCGAGGAGGACGAAAGGCGCATGAGGGAGCGCGACGAGGAGACAGCGAGGAGGGAGAGCGGAAGCCGGCTCCGGCGCGAGAAGCGAAAGCCGCTGCCGCTGAAAGTCCCGCTACGCGACGATTCGCTGTTCCTCGGCGACGCGGTCGCGACGCGGACCCCGGCGACAGACTCCTTCTTCGCGCCAGCGTGGTCGCAGGACTCGGCGCGGCGCTCTCAGCCGACGCTCCCGCCGCTGCCGCCCTCAGGAGCTATCCGGTCTCCGCCAGCCTCCTCTGCACGCCCCGAAGCTCCGACGCAGCCGCCATCGCCGCATCCGCGCGACAGCGCGGACAGCTTTGACCCCGGCGACGATGACGACGACCGCAACGACTTACCCAGCCGGCGGTCCTCGCGCAGCGGGAGCTGGGGCGAGGGCGAGGGCGAGGGCACACGGAGAGGAGGGGCTGACCCGCGTGCGATGTTGGCGGACGAACTGACTGAGTCTCCGGAGTCACTGATGCAGCGGAGAAGCGGGCTCTCCCAGAAGAGCGAGAAGCTGAATTGGCTGTGAAAGGTTTGTTTTTTTTTCTTGTTTTTGTTTTTCGGTTGGGGAGTTGAGCGATCTGGAGCGGATATCCATTTTCTATTCGGTAAGTATGGGGGCCGACCCTGTGTTCTTCGCGGCGTAGGGGATACGAGGGACGATAGGTATACATCAGTGGTGTGCAATATGCGCTTGTAAGATGGCTGTACGAAGGGCGTCACATAGGGCATAGGGATACCGGGACATCAGGACATTGCGTGGACATCATAGGACTGGCAGCCTAGGCACGATGAATCTGACGAAATATGTTAACTGATGTGCTCATGATGTTTTCGTGCTGCGGTGGGTCATGATATATGTGCATGTAACGCTTGCTTGCTCTTGATACTTTGATTTATCTTGTAGATGTGATAGAATCGCCTGCGATAATATCCTCTCCTCCCTCTCCTCGTGGGGCCTTCTAATACACCCCAAACCCCTTCACCACTCACCCCCTTACCTAACCTTTACCTTTCCAGTCTGACAGTTCCCTGCCCCCCCCCCCCCCCGGAATTCAGTACGCGCGATAGCCCAGCCCAGCTCACAGGGAAACGCAACCGTCCGCGCTGTCCTCGAGGAAGAGGCCGCCGTAGATCTGGCCCTCGCTGATGCCCTTCTCCTGGAAGCCCGAGTTGGCGACGTCCGAGGTGCCGGTCGGCTTCTTGAGGATGCCGATCTGGTACTGGCCGCCGCCGCTGTTGTCGTTCCTCAGCGGCGCGGTCACGGCCTCGAGCGGCTCGTCGCCCTTCGAGTAGTACACCTGCAGGGTGCTGGGCCTCGGGGTCTCAGCAGCTAGCTCCGAAAAGGGGGAAGGGGGGGAGGGGGTAACGGAGAGAGAGAGAGAGAGACCTACTTCTTCGCAAAGTCGAGCGTGATCGCAAAGTTCTGCCAGGCCTGTGCGTCGATCGGCGTCGACCACACTTGGCTGTTCTGCCGGTCGAGCACCTTGAACGTGTCCTTGTCGCTGCCCGACTTGCCGATGATGGTGCCCGTCTGGAAGTTGAACTGGTTCGCGCTGAAGTCGCTGGTCTCGTGCCAGACATTCTAGAGGTATTATTACTCTACAGTCAGCCTCGGATCCGCGTCGCTTCAAATCCCAACAGCGTCTATCTTTCCGTTTTCTCTCCCCTCCCCCGCCCCTCAGAAGTTCCCGTACCAGATACTCGTGCGTGAGGTTCAGGGTGCGCTGGGGGTCCTGCTTGACGCTGAAATGCAGGGTCCTGACGCCCTGGGTGCCGGGGCCGTTCTCGTTCACGTCGCCCTGGATCTGCAGGCCGGCGCGGCGGAAGCCCTGCTGGTTCTGGAAGACGGAGTTGTCGTTGATGGTGACCTCGACGGCGCGGGAGCTGGCGTCGTCGAAGCGCGAGCGCTCGACGTCCGGGAGCAGCAGGATCGCGGAGAACTTCTCGCTGCCGCGGACGTTGTCCGGGTCGAACGGGCTCGTCGCGTTCGAGTCGAAGTCCGCCGGCGTCGCGTCCGCCGGCACGAGCCCGTCGAGGACCACCGGGCATTTGATCGAGCCCGTCCCGCGCTTCGCCGGGCGCGCGGAAGCGGTGGAGGCGAGGAGGAGCCCCGCGAGCAGCGCCGAGGATAGTGCCATTTTCACTGCCTTCGAGGGAGAGGAGACCATTTCTAGGCGATAGCAAAATATCTCTGATAAAACTAGGTAGAGGCTTAGTCCAATCGAGCAATCTCCCCGGTAGGGGCGATGCCGTCGATCTTTATATACAGCTGTAGGTCCGAGCGTTGTCAAGCGCCCAAACTATCACATCCGCAAGGAATAATTGGATGGCCAGATAGACAGAGATTCCGGGGACAGAGGTGGGAGAGAGCTAGGATGGGCCTGGGGGACGGTCTCGAAAATGGAGCAAGACGTTCCGAAACCCCCACAACGTAAAACCAGGGGATCTTTAAGGGGGCGAAGTGAGCGGCGAGGAGGAAAAGTGACGCCATCCGGAAAGATGGGGAGACCTGTCCGGGCAAGAATAGCTATAGACGTTCCGGTGCGGTGGCATGTCCTGGCCAAAAGGGACGGTTCCTTATAAGTAGGTTATTGGGACGGGATATAAATCACACATGTAATAACATCAGTTATCCCCTTCATGAACCCCAAAGAATGGCGTAGATCAAGCCGCCACGATATCCGATTCGAATGTCATCTTAATATAGGCGCGTTAGCCGTCAAGTTCTTGCCTTCTCGATCTCGCATGACCACCACTCGGCGCGGATGTACGATCGACCGCCAAACCGCGGTGGACGTGCAGGACAACATACGGTAATACCTAGGTAATACTATCGTCGCCGGATGGGCGACTTCGACTTCGTAGGCCGCCGCCACTTGGAAGAGCGAGCCCCGCACCACTTCGCGGAGACCACCGCCAGCCATACCTGGATAGCCATACCTGGATAGCAAGCAGCCCGTTTGCTGGAGGGCGGGTTGCGAGGCATTAATTTACGGCATCTCAAAGCATTCGAGAGATGCGTCTAGGTATTATTGCAACGATAGTAGCATGGATACATCTGCTAAATGTAGGTATGTATTCGGTGCAGGAATCCACCCGGACAGTGAGTCCTGCGTCCGCACCTCATCATCACCCAAGCGCGTGATTTTATCAACCCTCTCAACCTCGTCGCCAAAGGCGAAGGCCCGGCCCCCGATCAGCAGCCGGGTCTCGGCATCGGTGGTGTTCTCGAGGATAGCCTTGCAGGTTATCAAAGAATTCACCTGCTTTATAGAGACTAGAGGCAACCTTGAGCTTTGTTTTCTACTCTTTACCCGACGTATTTCTAGTGGGCACTCTGCCCCAACGAATTTCTAGTACACACGCAGGCGACAACTAACACCCACTGTGGAGTATTAACCCTAGTAGATGCAACACAAGTCTCTGGCATCTCCTTCAAGCCATGGACAGAAGATTGAGGCTACCCCTACGCAAAGCAGATTAATTTCCGGGTAGTTACTCGGCCCTAAAATGCCTGCCTCGCCTCATGCTCCCATGGTGTCTTTTATGTTCTGTATCATCGCTAGGACTCTCTCTTTAGAGGAATTCCTTTCCAGGTAGCTAGCTGATTAATTCAACCTCTTCTTCCCATATTTCATTGCTCCCACAGCAGAGCAACCTCCGGATGGGATGCGCTTTGGGTTAGTATGTGAAGCGAGCGAAATGCACCACCAAGTCCTCGAGGTCCGGTCGGATCTGGGCTCTGGGGTTTGGCGCAGGGGCCGACGAGGGTGGTGGGACGGCGGAGGAGGAGGAGGAGAACAAGACGTGAAGATGAAAAAAAAAAAAGAGAATCGGGATGGACGAGCAAACGGAGGAGATGTTGGCGATGGGCGAAATACCTATAGACACGGCTGCTGACAAAAATCAGTTACAGATAAGGAGCTAGAGGGGAGGAAAGTAGATATACGAAGCAAGTACGTAGCAGGTAGCGGGGAATGGGTGGTGAGAGGTGGTACTGTAGAGTATTGTGTACGGATCTGGTCGAGGATTGAAACTCCCCGCGCCCGTATGATCCGGGGGTGGTCACTGTAAGATTTGTAGGCCGGGTCCTCCCTAAGGGTAGTGTATGCTTACGTCCCAATAATTATCAGGTAGATCTTACCTCTTGCACTGCGGTGCTGTCGTTCTTGGGCTATAACTCGTTTGGTAAGCAGGTGATATTTCTCGGTTCAAGAGCCTTACCGTCTCAGCCTCGCCCTCCTGCGACATTGTTAGATATTATTTGAGACTAGTGCATGTTATGAAGACTTACGGCCTCTGATGACTCCAACTCAGCCTAGCAAGTCTTGATCAGACACATGTGTAGATGTATCCCAAGTTGAAGATTGCCCACGAGAATCGCGTTTCGGCCGGTCTTCGGATCACCACATGTCAGTTTCCAATCGTGTCATGAGTGTGGTCGGGATCATCGTACATCTGCAGTTGGGGCTTCCTGTTTCATGAATTATTTGCTAATGCGAGACGAAGCCTGAGATCTCTTCACTAACCTTCGCTTTCTTCCGGTATTCCTGAAAGTTCTTTGTCAGGTTTCAAAGATGTCCAAAAGAAAATAATGTGACATGTACAACTAACCTTGGCCTTGGCCACGTGCTCCTGAATCATAGTTAGCCTGTTATTGTAGATTTGCTATCTTCTGACACATACCTTCTGGAGCTTCTCAAAGTGCTGAGTGCGAAAAATTGTTAGTGGAGCCATACTGCGCAATTGTAGGACATTCAAGTTCAGTACCTCCTTCTTCTCGTAGAACTTCTATGTAGAAAGTTAGCACGGGATAATCGCGGGAACAGAAGAGAAACACATACGGTGGCGAGCTTGACGTGGGTCTGCTGATACATTAGATTCAGGGGTATCCGAGTGAGAATTATCACAATTACCTCTATCTTCTCCTCGTACCACTTTCCAGACAGTCCTCAGTAAGAGTCACAATCCTGGAAATTGTACAACATACCTCCTTCGTCTCCGGCTGTGAAATGATAATTGTAAGTATGAGAAGGCTAGCGTCTTTGGGAAGGATTGAATATGACTCGGTACCTTCAGCCGGGGCTTCTTTGGCTCGGGGTCGGGGGATGGTGAGTCCTCCCGTTTGGAAAGCTAAGAACTTTTTCTCCATCTGTTCACAGGCTACTCGAGCACTGAACATACGGGGCGTTTTACCCCGGACGCCTGTCGTCGGGGACCCTGTTCATGGGAGTCAGGTCATCGAATCAGCAGCTAGGGTACGGTGGACTTGCTTGGGAGGGCTTCTATTTGGCTCAAGTCAGTATAACTCGGGTAACTTTACGCCATTGCTGAATTGGAAGATATTGGGAAAATAGAACGTGAAAACTCACCTGGATGCTCCTCGGGCCTTGGCTACCGAAGACGAATGTTGTTAGTAAAGGAATCACATGCGATCTGTCAACTCTCACAAGCTTGGTGGCCTCCTTCTTTGTTAGTGATATTCCCCATTCAGGAATTGCAATGATTTTATTCAAATCCTTACCTTCTGAGGCATCTCGACTAAGCCAGCTATTACGACTAGTGGACGAGACTCGTAATGGAAAAGCTTAATAATGAAGCTATCTATTTACCTAAAGCTTAAGCTAATCTCCTATTAAAGCCTATGAGGCCCATTGAAGCCTATAAGGCTTATATAAGCTCCGTAATCGGTATCGGAGGATGCCGTGGATGCCGTGATACCAGCCGTGTAAATTAGCCTATGTATAAATACTCCTCGCAGCTGAAGAGTGCGTACATACCTGGGTGGTCTAGCTAGATACCATTAGACACCACAACGCAGCAAAAACAGGATTGAATGTGCGTTGAATGGATCAAAGACGATTTTCCTCTCAATTTTCGGGCCACTCACCTGGAGATGGATTGCTGGGCTTGACGAAGAAAGGAGTCTGGGCACGGACAAGCCGGAGACACCAACTGCAGAACGGCCGTCGGGCTGGGTTCTTCCTCCCATAACCCAGCGTAGTGGACAGCAAAACTCATCACTTGGGATGAGTCTTATCGAGGAAGGCCATGGTCGTAGGCACCTCTCAACTTGTGCTGGACGTTCTTGCAGGTAGCCCAGACAGGATCAAAATCGACGGTACCATCGGCCTTCATGTAATTTTCGAGAGGCGGTGGCGAGTGATGAGCCCAGGTATTCCGATCGATCGTCTCGGTGGTATCAGGGCTCAGGTCTTTGGCAGTATCCTCGATATTAGTACCCTCGGTGCCGCTGACAGTAAGCTCGAGATCGTGATTAGGCTTTCGCTTGACAGCCGTTGGAGACGTTGTCTCGTGAATCTAGACCGGTGGCCTCGGGCGTTAGGCGAGAAGGTGCAGAGTCCATGTCGGCTATGCTGTCTCTTCAAAGGCGATTAGTGTCTCATAATTGCAAATGTACCAGTGCTCGGGGCAAATTGTAAAACTGTCGAAGCGTTGCTGGAGGGTGTGGGTAGTGTTGTTGTGTTGTAAAACTGGGCGGGCTCGTCAGAGTCGGTTGGTCTTTTTAGGCAGCCCGGAGATTTATACCACTGAGGCAAGTGTCCTACCGTCACTCCCAGTTCTAGCTCGTGGCTGCTGCTCGTGGCTGCTGCTAACCACCACACGTCACCACTTCCCTTCACCACTTCCCTTCACCTTCTTCGGCTTCAGGGCACTTGTAATAGGTAGGTATGCTGCGGAAGCGCGCTGGGAAGTCACACCAGCAATCCTCGATTAGCGAGCTCCATGTTCGGAATGGACGATGCCCACCACCCGGCCAGCCCCGTTCCGTCTCTATTGCTACGTGACTGCCTACCTGGCTACCATAGGAAGATGTGTTCTGCAATCACCTTGTGATTGTCAGTCAGGATCTCGCTCGAACCAGAAAGTCCAGCAAACCACCACGATAATATTAGCCAAGTGGCCTTCTTCTGCTCCGGCAGATCGATGCCGACGGGTTATCTGCCTGTTGCGCCTGCCTTGCTCCGCATAGTTCAGCTATGCAGGATGCGTTGTGCATCTCCCTCGGCACATCATTCGCCTTCCGCCGGGCAGTTGCAACCTCTCATCGTATCCGAGGCCGAGTCCTGCCCACGACTTGTCATATATTCGGACGGCTCTGCCAGGAAGCAGGCTTCTGGGCCTGGCATTTCGTACAAGCACCCGTTCAATGGTGAAATACATTGGGTGGATGCTGCCTATGGGCTCTATGGAATCCGGCGTTCGTCGGCAGCGGAAGTGTTGGCGATTCATAGGGCGTTGTAGACAGCGTACTAATACGAAATATTAATTAGCTTGGTGGCTCGAACGCAACAATAGTAACGCCAAGGAAAGCCGCCTAGCCCCCCGAGTGATGCTCTTTTCCGACAGCCTAGGGAGCATCACTTATTTCTATAGACACTACAGCCGCTTGACCTGCTCGGAATGACGGCGAAATATCGTTTGCCTTGGTTTAGCGCCGGTGAGTATTAGGTAACTGGCCGACTAGACCTGGGATGGGAGGTCAAGATACCTTCCGGCTGACAAAAGTCCAACAGAACGAACGATCCACCACGAGGTGTCAAACGTAAATTCAGCGGAAAGCTGAACCCACAGAAGAGCCCAGGGCAAACAATAGCCAGAGAAGGAGCCAAAAAATGTTGCTGCTGTCAGTTGGGGACGGATTAATTAATGTTGATGAACAGGGGGTGGTTAGATAGACGATATAGCCTACGAGAACTGCTGGGTAGACGTTAGGTGCTCGGGTGTTACTTGACGGTTTGATGTAATTATATTAATTGTAGTAGATATCACTGCATGTTCTTTGCATGGCTGATCATTTCCACGACCACATAGGTATGCCTTCCTGCCTAGGTATGCTATCCATACCCCGAGGACTGAGGATAGCGCTGTGAGATCAGCACCTAAATTCGACTGTACACACATTAGAGAACTAGGTTAGCATGGCTGTGTCGCGACATGTCGGCGTGACAAGCGACATGGCGCCAATCTGCTCATCTGATTCGAGTTACCGAGATCCAAGGTGGCTTGGAGACCTCACGCGCGGCCGATGAATGCGATTGGCGTAGCGGAGTATCTTGCCTATTACCGGTACGCCAAGACCGGCCGACATAAGTCGGATGGTGGCGGAGCAGGTTCATCTGATGGAGACAGGAGACTTCGTCGAGCAAAGCGGTAGCATGAGGCCGTGCGAGCGAAGGACTCGTCGAAGCAAAAGGGGTGGGTGTTGCAATGCGAGGAATACGGAGCGTGGCGGGTGAAACCGGGTTGGGCTAGTTTGCCGGCGACGAGGCGATACGCCTACACAAATAAGCAGGAATACGGAAGGGTAAGGCATTTTCGCAAACGAGGCAACATGGGCCCTGGCTGGATGCTACTACGGCAACGAGGACTCGGGAGAACAGGCATACGTTGCGGGGGAGGACAGAGAGCCTTGAATTTCAAATTCAAAGGGAGAGATAGACAAGATGTAGGTATGCTTAACCGCTTTTATACCAACCAAGTCCTATATGGGCCCAAGAACAGGGTGCCCAAGGTGATATGTAGGTGTACTGGGGGGCTGGAATTCGATAACAATGACTTACATCCAGTCTCTCTACGGTGTCTGCTTTCTTTCGTGGGTGTCGTTATTTTGCCTCCCTATATACCTACCTATATATATTCCACATAGACCTATCTCTTCTATTGCTTCATCGCCGTCATCCACACTCAACGAGCTCTAATCCGGGATTCGACCACACAAGAATAAATAGGTTCACACATCATATGTAACAGAGAAGAAGAGAGCACCGACATGAGTTCCTCAGCAGTACCGCACCACGCCTACTCGCAGCCGGCCGACATCCCGCCGCATCTGTCGGATCTGCACTGCTTCACCGAAACCGACGGCGTCATCACCACGACCATGTTCGACGTGCCGGGGTACCGGGTGGTGCGCGTGCTGGGCGCCGTGTACGGCCTGACGGTGCGGTCGCGCAACCTGGCCGCGAGCCTGGGCATGGTGCTCAAGAGCATGGCCGGCGGCGAACTGCGCTGGTTCACGAGCATGGTGCGCTAGCCACCTCCCCTCTCCCCTTCCCTCTGGCCACTGCTTCCCTCGCACCTAGATAGGTGCATGCAGAGCTGCGTCTGGCTAACTGACGACGTCCCGACAGCTATACTCGGCGCGCAACGACGCCATAAGCCGCGTCGTGGCCGAGACCAAGGCCCGCGGCGGCAACGCCATCATCTGCCTGCGCTTCGAGTCTGGCGACATGGGCTCGTTCGCGCAGTCCTGCGCGTACGGCACCGCGGCTATCATCGAGCGCGTCGACGCCGACGCGCAGGTGCCGCCGCAGCTCGGATCCAGCCGATAGGTTCGCTGAATTGGGGGCCGGAGCAGGAGGAGATGCTTGCTTGACTAGGTCGATCCGATGGGGGGGATGGGAGGGCGTCCGGCGGCGGCCCGGTTGGGAATTTAAGACCGCTGCGTATGGACGTGCAGCTGTGTATTGAGTTATCTGCATGCCTGCTATACTATTCTACCGGAAAGGTGATTTTGCCTGATCTACTTGTTGGTGTTCGGGCGATGTACCCAGCTCCACGCGCCTCCTACGTGGCGGAGCAGATGTCTAGGACCACCCTTCGTAACCTGTGCATAATGGTATCGGGCACTGATCTGAAGCTGAGAGAGACAGAATAGAAAAATAAAGATTCTGATGCTGAAAGAGGGACTGGATAGGACACGCCGGACGGGATATTAGGCTGGCCGGTCTGACTTCAGACCTTTGGCGGTTGATACCAGAGGGAGAGAGATCGAATTGAAGATGTTAGGACGTAGTGATAGAGAGCGCCGATGAGGAATGACGTAGCCGGGGGCCTGAAAAGTGTGGCTATGGCTATGGCTAGGGGGTGGCGTGACCGGGCTCAAAGCCACACTTGGTGGGTCCGCGTGTCGCTCAACGCGAACCTCCATTTACTAAACAACGAGACAAGACACCCAAGCCAGACACCTTTCCTGGGATATCGACGTCGAGTCCGAGCCAACCCCGCCTACTATATAGATATAGAGCTGATATATCTAGCGGATGCGTGCTGTTAAACCCTTTATCTTAGACGTCTTATTTATTATTCATGTTGGATTTTACCGAGGCGTGAGCACTTTGTATATTGATCGCTTCTAACGACGGATGGCCTGAGGACGCAGGAAACCTGGCGACAATGGGTAGGCAAATGCTGCGGCAGGGACTGTTCACGCAGGGTTGACTTGCTGACCATGTTGTAGCGTCCCCGAGACCATCGACTGACTCGCTCTCCTCCGTATCCACGACGAGTCTAGTGTTCGAGCGGCTGGACGAGTGGGAGAAGCGCAACGACGAGCTCGCCGACCTCGATGAGGAGGACCCGTTGCACCATGGCTCCGACGATGGACGCGGCGAATTTCTAGCCTCTACCACCGGTAACAGGTTGGTTGGGATGGATAGGACCTTTAAGCGAGTTCTCCTCATCGCCGCCGGCCTGTTCGTCGCCGCTTGGGTTGTCGGCCTGCTCAGCTATCTGTCGACCAAGTCCTACCAGCATGCCTCCGAGCAGGAACACAACCCGGCCGCCACGGCCTCCCGCGGATCCAGGAAGAAGGTGACGTTGGACCAGGTCCTCGACGGGTACTGGCGACCCCAGAGCCACGAGATAAGCTGGATCAAAGGGGCGAATGGGGAAGACGGCCTGCTGCTGGAAAGAGGCGCCCTTGGTAAGGACTATCTCGTCGTCGAGGACGTGCGAAGCAGGAACGCCCAGCATACCGCGGCCGGTGGTAAGGTCGCATCCTCTCAGACGCTGATCAAAGAGCCGTGGTTCAACGGCGGGGACAGCCAGCTGCACCCGGACCGAGTGTGGCCGAGCCCGGACTTGAAGAAGGTCCTCATCGCTACCGACACCAAGGATGTCTGGAGACACTCGTTTACCGGCATCTACTGGATATTCGACGTAGCAACTCAGACCGCCGAACCTTTGCACCCTAAAAACCCCGCGTTGCGCGTGCAGCTTGCCCAGTGGAGCCCCAAGAGCGATGCTGTCATCTACACAAGCACAAACAATCTGTACGTGCGACGACTGGGTAGTGACGATGTGGTCCAGATAACAAAAGACGGCGGGCCGGAGTACTTCTACGGTATTCCTGACTGGGTGTACGAGGAGGAAGTCTTCAGTGACAATAGCGCAACCTGGTGGTCCGGGAACGGTGATTTCGTTGCTTTCCTGAGGACGAATGAGACTCTGGTGCCCGAATACCCGATCCAATTCTTCATCGACAGGCCGAGCGGCGAGGAGCCCCCTGTCGGAGAGCAAGGGTACCCGGAAGTGCAGCAGCTCAAATACCCCAAGGCGGGTTCGCCGAATCCCTTCGTCGACCTCCTTTTCTACGATATGGTTCGGGGCGATGTCTTCTCCGTCGGCATCGACGGGGGCGACTTCCCTCCTGATGACCGTCTTATCACCGACATCACATGGGCCGGGGACAAGGTCCTGGTCAAGGAGACGAATCGTGTTAGCGATGTCATGCGCGTCATCCTCATCGACGTCGCTGCCCGGACAAGCAGGACAGTTCGGACGGTGGATGTCGGGAAAATCGACGGCGGCTGGTTCGAAATCTCCCATGATACTACCTATATTCCCGCCGACCCCGCGAATGGGAGACCCAGTGATGGGTACATCGATACCATTATCCACGATGATGGCGATCATATGGCCTACTTCAGCCCGTTGGATACCGATAAGCCTGTTATGCTAACTTCGGGCAAATGGGAAGTCGTCGCCGCTCCTTCGGCGGTGGACCTAGAGAAGAACCTTGCATACTTCGTGGCCACTAAGGAGTCTTCGACCCAACGCCATGTGTACAGTGTCAGGTTTGACGGAACAGATATGCAGCCGCTGACGGACACCAGCAAGGAGGGTTACTACGGAGCTTCCTTCTCCACCAATGCTGGATTTGCCCTCATCTCCTATGGAGGCCCCGGGATACCAACGCAAAAGGTGATCAGCACTCCGAGCAACCGCGAGACGTACGAGCATGTCATTGAGGAGAATGGAGAGCTCGCAGAACGAGCGAAGAAGTATGAGCTCCCGCTCCTCACGTACGGAACAATCAATATAGAAGGCGTCGAGCTTAACTATCTCGAGCGCCGACCGCCGCACTTTAGCCCCAGGAAGCGGTACCCCGTGCTCTTCCAGCAGTACTCGGGCCCCGGGTCGCAGTCGGTGGATAAGCGGTTCAAGGTTGACTTCCAGTCGTATGTTGCCGCTAGCCTAGGCTACGTTGTTGTCACGGTCGACGGTCGCGGTACCGGCTTCATCGGACGCAAGGCGCGCGTCATGGTGCGCAAGCAGCTGGGACAGACGGAGGCGCAGGACCAGATCGCGGCGGCGCGGGTGTGGGCAGCCAAGCGGTACGTAGACGAGAGCCGGCTCGCGATCTGGGGGTGGTCGTATGGAGGATTCCAGACGCTCAAGACCCTCGAGGCGGACGCGGGCGCAACGTTCCGGTACGGGATGGCGGTGGCGCCAGTGACGGACTGGCGCTTCTACGACAGCGTGTACACGGAACGGTACATGCTAACACCACAGACGAATGCGGACGGGTACGGGGCGAGTGCGGTGACGAACGCGACGGCGCTCGGCCAGAACGTGCGCTTCCTGCTCATGCACGGCGTCGCCGACGACAACGTCCACATGCAGAACACGCTCGCGCTGCTCGACCGGCTCGACCTCGCCGGCGTCGAAAACTACGACCTGCACATGTTCCCCGACAGCAACCACGGGATCTACTTCCACAACGCGAACCAGATCGTCTACCATAGTGAGTGCATACCACCCCTCCTTTTCACCCTTCGTCTTTATCTCCAAAGTCAGTTAGAATTGCCGACCGAGGGCGTCAGGGCTAACGAGACCGCAGAATTGGATAATTGGCTCATCAACGCGTTCAACGGGGAGTGGCTGAAGATCGCCAACGCGAAGCCCGTGTCGAACAAGGTGGAGAAGGACAAGGAGAAGGTCAGGAGGTCCTCAATCACCGCCGGCACCGTCGGCGGCCAGAGGCTACTGCCGCCAAGGATGCCGAGGCCGTGATATACCACGATGCGAAGCATACCGCGAGGCGTCTCGGTGTTTTGGGTACTTTTTCTTTTGAGGCGCGTGGCCGAGAACATTTACCTTAGATCGTTTGGGTAGATATGCTAGAATGTTGACTTGGAGGGCATTTGCCTACTCTTCTTTCCCGCTTCACCCCCTCGACTTGTCCACCGCGGTCCTCTCCCTCGAACCAGGATTCGTAAGTCTTGGGTATTCGTGCATTAACGCAATATATAACATCAAGCTACGCTAGGTAAGCAACCTCCCCCCGCTCCCCTCTGAACCTCAACTATCATCTCCTCTCGGTCCCAAACCTCCAGATGAACTACGAAGCCACCTGAAGCAGCAATACTTAGCAGCACAACCCAGTGTTTACGCGTTGGCCGTTCATTCTCTTCCCACGGAACTTGTCTACACACGGCTCAGCGAATAACGGGAATAGATGCCAACATGTCTGTTTCACATGTGATTCTACGGATTTTCTGCTGCAGTATATTTGGTATCCTTTTTCTTTTATTGGTACGATCTCATTTCTGTATTCCCTACATATTGACATATCTCATCTAGTTTACTCCGTGTATCACTTGCTCCCTTTTTTTCTTTTCTCGATGACCGTATTCTACCAAGTCTTGTTGTTCTACTCATTTTCCCATACCGCCCTTGGCCTGGTGCTCCAACCATTCGCAAAGTAGGTGGTGCCGCCTCGGGACGCAAGCCATGAATATAACTCCGTCGGGTCGGGACTCGGGCGGAGTCTTCAGCCACATTTCCTTGACGATGTCAACGTCAGCACCACGATGTATGGCCATCTCAAAAGGCGGGAGAGATTGGACTTCGTTCGACCCGCTTTCGCACACAGGCCCTGTTCGGGGGAGTATTGGGTCAGCTCCGTGCTCTAAGAGCATCAACGCGGCTTCATTGTGGCCATATTCGAATGCTATGGCCAACGGGTACTGAGCCTCCCCAGTTCGCCTATAATCGCATCGATCATTCACCTGCACAGTCGATTCGCTCAGCAGCCGTTTAATCACCACGAGATTCCCCCATCGAGCGGCCAGAGGAAGCCATGACGGTCTCGAGTGTGGACCGGCCAGGACGCCGCGGTCCAGCATAATATACGTGTACGTATCTTTCTTGTGCCTCAATGCGAAAGTCAGCAGTCTCGAGAGCCGCCGCTCCGATAGACCCATGTCGAGGAGCATGGAGAACCAAGAAGCGGCCCGGCTATCGAGCTCCTTACGTTTACGTATGAGCTGCCTCGCGGCTGCGACGGATTTCTTAACACTTAGCGAGATTCCGTGGGAAGCCAAGACGCAACAGATCGCGTAGGGGCCGGACCGAGAGTACTTGGGGAGGAGGCTGCGCAGATATCTCTCATCCGTCACCTTGGGGGTCGCTATCGTTAAGAGTCGCTCTAGCCCTTTGGTGTCTGAATAAGTCCTCACGCGACTAGCCGCCCATTGTAGCAGCGACTGGCCGCACTTCATGGGTACATCAATCCTACCGCCGTGTCTCAAGAGTACCTCCATCTTCTCGATTGTTTCGCCGTCGAGTTCGCTCTTGTCTCGGTAATGGTCCATAAATATGTCCAAAGCATTTCTTCCACTATAGTCTGTTGTCTCTAGGCTGGCGCCTACGTCGAAGAAGTGTGCCATCACTTTGGGTGTCCCAAACCTGATGGCTGCTCCGAGAGGGGTCGTCGGAGGGCCCAATCTGCGAATTCCATCGATGGACCCTCGGAGAGGATAAGTTTGGCCTCTCGGTGTTGCTTCATGATAGTAAACCGACTCAGTCTCCGCGATCCCCGTTCTAAAGACGAACTTTCTGCCGACACAAAAGTGCAGTAACTGCAATTCTCCCTCTTCGGAATGTCTCCTCACCTCCGCGCCGGCGCCCAGTAGCGCCGTCGCTATAGCGAAGGAGCCGCTCTGCAAAGCTTGACTCAGCATTGCAGGCTCCGTTCTCGCGTTAACATCAGCGCCAAGGTCAACCAGGGTTTGAATTGCCTCTAGAAAGGCATCACTCCAGGAATGCATTACAAACATAGCTAGAGCACTGAAGCGGGAACAAGATTCCAAATCGACTGGCACCAACTTTTCCTTCACACACGACCGAAGGAACTCGAACTGTTGGCGTGCGGCCGCCCTGTGAAGGACTGTCTCGTAGCGAGCTGGGAAACCCCATTGGGGATCCGACCAAAAAAAGGGGCATGCGCCACGGCGTAGTAACATGAGAGCAACGTCGGTGTTATCCGCGTGGACGGCAGTCTCCAGCGCCGAATACCGAAAAGCCGGCGTCCCGTCGATCCAGGTTTGGGGTTCCTCCCCCATCTCGGCGCCGTGGTCCAGCAGCCACGAGGCGACGTCCTCGTAACCGAGATAACAGGCCAGCTCGAGCAACGATCTCACGCCGCGGGTCGTCTTGGGGGGGCGGAAACTGACGCGGAACGACGCGGCGATGTCGAGGATGTCGATCCTGCGGTTCCGGACCGCGAACTCGGCCGCCCTCGACCCGCCGTGGGTCCGGTAGAGGATCTCGGTGGCGGCGCCGCGGAACCGGCGGCTGGTGCGGGCGAAGGCCGCGAGGCTGGCGCTGTCGAGGTGCAGCCCCCAGCCGTAGTTGCCGGGAATCTCGAAAAGCTCCAGCCCCTCGCAGGGGTCGCAAGGAGCTTGCAAAATCTTCAGCACCAGCTCCATCGGTAGGCTCGTTATGCTCGGCATGGCGGAGATGTTGTCGTCTCACAAAGCTGCGAGGGCGTAATAGGGCAATGGTTGGTGATGAGGACCTATCTGGTTTTCTGAACAAGAGCTACGAGAGAATCTAGTCGACAGATATATATACATGTTTCTCCCTCTCCTGACCCGCAGAAACGAGACACGTCGGCCATTGTCGGACTGATGGGGGGTGAATAGCATTGTTTGTCTACCTCCCCACTGTTACAGAACTCCGAGCTTAGTTGTTCGAGTACCCGTTTCGACACAAAGAACAAGCTTTCCATAGCTTCAGCAGCTAGCCGCTTTGTCGCTTCTGTCGCGGGGAGAGCTGCTACCTGTACGTGCGAGGTCTAGGCGCCGACGTCGATACGGTAGCGGGACCGTGGGCGACTAAAAAGGTATGGAGTCTTTGTGCTGCTCGCGTCTCCCCGTCGATAGACACACATCGTCGCCCGGCGCGTCTCTACGCCCTCTCCAAATACAGCTTGTCCCTGATCCTGTTGCCTCTAAAAGCGACCTCGAGAGCCCAGGCAGCCGGACGATAGGGGGAGGCGGGGGTCATAGGGGAGAAGGAGAGGTCGGATTCGCGGGTACAGATAAGCAGCCCGGGCATCCCTAAGCAGACAGCGCCCCCGGAAAAGCATAAGGAAAGGATTGAGGATTGCCGCAGTTTAATTATGGCATATTTCCCACCCCCGGAGTGGTGTATAGGTATATGTGGGCTTGGGGAAATGCAGGGATTCGTGGAAAGAGTTGAGCGTAGTACTCCGGGGTAGATGGGGGATGAATGCTGGAGAACAATGGGTGATGTTCGGGTTCTGAAAGGTGCTGCTGTTTGGTTACGGGTATGGCGAGTTGCCCGCTGCTGTCCCCAGATGCCCTCTAAAATACGTTGAACTTGCTCAACATGTAGGTCTGTGGAAGTCGTCGTGTTGTATCTGGAGACACAAGAGTGGGAACGCGAGGTTCAATGCTGCTAGCTTCGCTGGTAAACGATCATGAAGTTGCAACCTAGCTCTCTAGAGGTTTACCTTGATAAGCCGATTAATCTGTCTGTTCTTCTAGCCCAGCGAGTAGATGTACGTATGATCAGATCCCGTAGCGTTTCCCTCAGATGAGCTTTATGAGGTCGTAGCCACTTGCCGCGATATTAACACTCATCACTCACATTAACATACGATCCGAGCGGCGTATACGCTGCGGCATCTCAACGCTCGTACATGCCTCCTAATCAGATCACGCCGCGCGCCAGAGGCTCGACCGTGGAGAGATCCATGAGAGAAAAACAGGACAGGGCAAGTAAAGTCGCATCGACTACGATAGGCACAGGCACGAGCGAGGACCAGATAGGATAGAAGGGAGCCGGTTTCGGCGAGGGTATTATTAAACAACGGTAGCAACCTGTAAGATTCTAAACAGTTTCCTCCCTGCTCTTCCTGCTGCCTATAATGCCGGGAAATGTCTATGTGCGTGCGCAAGTGTTTTTCTATACACATCTGGGTAGGGAGATAGGTAGGTATACTGGTTTGTAGGTCGGCGGGTATGATAACGCATGGACGGATGCGGTCGTGTGCGGCGCATCGCGGTCCGGAATCTTCTTCCTCTTCCTCTCCCTCCCATCGCTAGCTATCCGCGGACGCTTACAGCATGATGGCGGCGCCGAGGAGGCCGGCAGCAGCCATGGCGCCGGCGATGACACCAGTGGGGTGGGCGACGCCGCCGGTGGAGACGGAGTTAGCCGGGGCGGCGTCGTTGTTGTTGTTCTCGGCGGCACCGGTGGGCGTGGCGGGGGTGCTGCTGCCGCAGGGGTCGAGGGTCTGGAGGGCGAGGTCGAAGGCGTCGCTGATGGAGGAGGCGGCCTGGTCGTCGGCGCAGCGGCTGGCGAGGTCGAAGACCTCGCTGCTGTGCTGGCTGAGCCAGCTGCTGCCGGCCCGCTCGTAGGAGCTGACGGCGGAGCTCAGCGACGCCGGCAGCGCGCTGGTCAGCGCGCACAGCGCCGCCGTGTCGGTCGGCTCGATCGTGTACGCCTCCGCCTCCAGGAACGAGAGCAGGTCGTCGGGCGGCTGCGGCACGCTCGTCGCCAGCGAGAAGTACGAGCTCACGCACTCGCCCTGCCCCGCCAGCAGCGACAGCGGGCTGTCCTCCGCCTGCCGCACCTCGACCACGTACGGTTCCGCGCGCAGGTCCCGCAGGCTCCTGACGCCGCGCGGGTTGAGCGCCGCGGCGGCCGTCGACGCGAGGCCGAGGAGGGCGATGGTGTTCTGCGAGAGCATGGTGGCGGGAGACTTGTATCTGTGTCAAGTAATAAGGTTGGCGAAGGGGGTGGAACGAGTGGTCCGATGTGGGAGAGCAGAGGATGATGTGTCACGGGTGAGGTAGAGACAAAAGGAGAGAGGAGAGGAAGAACTCGGACGAGTGTGACTTCTTATATATGTATATGATAACACACACCGTCTCAAAACACGCGACAATCTCTGTAGGGCTGTCCAGGATCGAATCGAGCCGATGGGAAACCCTGGTCGACGTTATTTTAGAATATTAAGAGGGGCTCAGGTCGGCCTGCAAGCTCAGGGGGGGCTTAGACGAATACCAAGCCCAGCCGTGCGAGCCCAGGATGCGATACAAGAGCAGGGCGACGCAATAAGCGAATCTGTACATCGTACCTAGGACTTTTTGCCAGGAAGCCTCGAGAATATTACTGTAGTATCTATCTGCCTACTGCATGGGGCCCCCAAGACCCCTAGCAACCTCTCCATCTCTAGGCGAATCCATGGCAGAAGCCGATGGGCCGGTCGTCTAGGCAGAAGCGCCCCATCGTGAGAAGTCGGGGCAGCCTATTCAGGATTAGTACGGGGTAGCTGATCACGTTGCTAGGCACATTTGGTTCCTGGTTCCTGTGCATCGCATGGGCAGACTGTTCAGACCTGTCGGTTCTTGTGTTTCTATGTATATCAGCGCCGAGAGCGAATCGTCGCCTCCTCTCAGCTGATAGGCCGCCAGCTACGGGAGCTGCTGTGTCTACCAGCGGGAGCGAGAGGCGATGCCGTCAGGGCTGAATCCGGTGCGCTTCCCATTTTCTTGGCCGTAGCACAACTAGTAGGCACAGGCTCCTCTGCCCATCCAGGTCGAAGGACTTGACGAACAAGGCTTCATCTTCTTCCTCTCTACCGAATGGATCTGTGGTACTTTTGGCCCCCAAACGTGGTAATTGCGGTATGTCGCTGCATATACAGAGTCGCAGGTATATGGGGCTGTAATTAGAGGACAAGGCCCCATGAGAAAGGCTCGGTCGTAGGACGTTTCTGCATGGATACATAGGTATTACCAAGTCAATCAATAACGATACAGGGCTAGATGGCACTGCTGGCCCTTTTCAACATTGCTAGGTCTATCGTATTTCTTATCCAGTCAGCGCTAGCTCGCGGACCGGGTCCGTCCGTGGCTGTGGCTGTCAGCTAAATCCACGATCAACACCTATAATTTCCTCCTCGTGTGGGGATAATCGTAGGCCAAGAGCGAAGCGTAGGGGCTTCGCGTCCCATCTCGCCGTGTTTACGAAATGGATTGTACCGAGCGAGCGATGATTGCCCGTCGCCGGTGAGAGGAACAGGTTGGCGCTACTAGCCCAGCTACATCTTAGCGACGATCTGTGACGATTGGCGCCTGGACAGAGGGATTCTGGTCGTGGCAGTTTCTCTCGGCGCGGAGATCAATATGCTATACCGCGTTTAACAAAGAGTACGCAGCACTGATTACGATGGCTGAGATGGCTAGAGAGGGGCGCAACTCTCCAACGAACAAGGCGAATACCGCGTGTCACAAAAGACAGGCGGCTGGGTCATTTTTTCGCCTAGGGAACGAACGTGTTGCCTGGTGGGAAGCGGGATTCGAGTGAAGGTCGCAGCAGGAAATTGATCGTTGAGCCGACCACGATTCATGCAAAATACCTACATCTTCATCTCTATCTACAGAGGTAGGTAATATATGATTATTTATGCAGACACGAAAGCTTCGGCGTGTCACAGACTCCTCACTAGATTTGACACTGCTGCGAAGGTATACGCATCTATAAACATAGCGTCTTAAGGGGGTTAGTTTCCAACGACTCTCCACGTGCGAGACTCCGAGCAGACCATCTTACGGCGTGTCCCTCGCGCTCTGCTCGAACAGCGCAGCCCACCCCGGCGACAAACACCTGAGCCCTGGGCAGACAGCCGGGATGGCGCCCAGCCGTCGGTGAGAATGGGCCACCGTCTTACCTACCGCACGGTCCTGAGGGAGTACAAGAAGATCCTTGAGCCGTAGCAACGCAGGGACTGGATTGGCAGACGGGGGAGGCGTCTGGGTCGATAGGGAGTTTCCGTTTCCATCTCACCACTCTCTATGTCGCGCAATGTCGACAACGGCGTCTTTGGGGACAATCTCTTGTTCAACGCTGGACCGCAGAGTCGCAGAGCTGCCTGAGGGAAACAACGAAAGCACAGTGAACGCCGTGCCGCTGACACAGAGGCGCATGCCACCTACCTAACCCGCCGCGCCGTCTCCCGAAGTCCCACCCTAAGATTTCGCTTTACTTTCCTCCTCCCTCCTCCCTCTTAACCCACTCCAAGCCCCAGCGCCTCCGATTTGCGCGGACGCGGCGCTCGGCGAGCTCGGCCTCGGCGAACAAAGCGAGGTCGTCGAGGAGGTCGACGGCGTCGTAGGCGAGCAGGTCGGGGGGCGCGGCGCGGGCGCAGCGGTCGACGACGGCGAGGAACTCGTCGGGGGGCGCGCCGACGGCGAAGCGCACGAGGCCGACGCAGATCGCCGCCCACGTCGCGGCCCACGGCCCCAGCACGCCCTCCGCGCCGCGGAACTCGATCGTCGGCCGCCGCCCCGCCCGCACCGCGTCGCATGCGTACGCCCCAAAGTCCACCGTCCCGCGCGACCCCGCCGTCCGCATCCGCGCCGCCACCTCGCAGCTGCTCGCGCAGCTCTGGAGTAGCGCTACGCCCGCCCACACTCCCGGGTCCGCCCCCCGCCTCGCCACCTCCGGCCCCGGGTCCGCGCACCCGTACGGCGCGAGCTGCGCCGCCAGCGCCTGGCGCTGCGCTGCTGTTCGCCGCGGCAGCCGGATCCGCGGGATCGTCCGCTCGCGCACCTGTTCCCACGGCGGGAAGGCCCCGGGGACCACCCAGGAGGCGCCGGAGGCTTCTGCCGCCTTCGCGACCCTGGCCTCGATGGCGGCGTCGAGGACCGACTCGCCTTTGCGCGGCTCGTCGACGTCTGGGTCGTCGGGCAGCACCGGTTCTCGACCCTCGCCGTCGTCGTTTTCGCGGTCCGGGTCGTAGTAGAACGGCCCCCAGCAGCCGGCGCGCCGGGTCCGCTCGAAGGCGAGGACCTGGTCCTCATCGCGGTTCTCGTACCGCCAGGAGACGGGCTGTTCCCCGTGCCTCACGTCCTGGGCGAGGTACCGGGCGCACAGCGAGGCGCGCTCCTGGCCGTCTCCAGGCCCTGGCGGTGCATCGTGCTCTAGGGCTAGCGGCTCGCCCGTCGCCATGGCGCTTCGGTCGCGCAGCGCGAGGGTGTGCCGGTTCCCCTGCCGCGCGGGGTCGTTGAGTGTGGCGAGCAGCGGCTCCGCTGCCCACACCAGCGACGAGATACGCCGCATTTCGGTGAGAGAGAACCGCTCCGCGCCCCGTCCTACGTGGACGTGCAGGCCGCACGAAGGGTTGACGCGCATCCGATAGGTGCTGGTGAGCAGCCCGCAGACCCACTGGATAATCCGGAAGGCCACCGGGATGTCGGGCTCAACGGGGCTCTGGATCTCGACGTCGACCCAGCCGTACTTCGTTACCCACTCGTGCTTATTGTCATACAGCGGCTCGTTGACCGTCGCGTCGCCTGTAACTTCCCAGTTCGCATATCTAGCGAGGGCGGCCTCCTCGGCGGCGCTGCTATATCGGAGCGCCCGAACGTCGCGCTTTAACCCGTGTTTCTCTAGAAGCTTCTTGATGATATCTCGAACTTCATTCTCTGCCTCGTAGCTGCGGGTAACTGGAGTGTTTACTACCCTCAGGACAGGGGGCAGGCCTTCAATATCAGCGAGGGGGTCCTCCGCCTCCGGGTATAGCCAAGGAACCATGAACTCCAACTCGACCCCGAATGTGAGCCGTTTGGGGCCCGGTACCTTTGGTGTTGAGTTATCCATCGACGCGAACAAGGCTCGCCGTGTTTTACTTGAAAGGTTAGGTATGATCTAGGACGTTCGCTTCGCTCAGTAAACCTGCCAATACACATAGATGCACAAGGACTACAGAAAGGCAGGCAGTATATTGCCGGTTTATACATGCATTGGACGCGATGTACGATGTATTTAATGGTTGGCTAAACAGTCTCCATGTTCTGCCTTTCTGTGAATTTCGGGGTTTGAGATATCGCATGGTTTTACCTATTAGACCTGTGGCCAAACACTTCAGCGTGTTCACTGTCAACTCTTTCATCAGGTTTAAGACATCGCAAACATGGGATCCCCAGAGGTCCCTGCGGACGAGGTAATATCCTCGGGTAGGTAAGGGCCAACAAATGGTCTCTAGTTAGCACTAATACAAGTACCAATATGTTGATCCACGTAGCCTTCATGAGAGCCAAGTGTGTCGTGTGTCGTGGGAGTGAGTCTGACAGCTAGCCCGTCGAGAAGGCTCAGAAGGTCCACCGTGTTGCTGCTCATCGTTATATCAAATTCTATTCGCGAAGTCTTTCACCCTCTAGCTCCAGGCGTAAAACTCATTGGGTAGGATGACTGTCGACCGTTTCTCGCCGCCGCGCCACCGCACGCAGGGGACGCTCTTCTGTTCTCGTTCTTCGCTCGTGACATCGACCCCGAACTCTTGCGAAAGCAGCGTCAGGGCGCTCTGCACTTCCGAGTCGGGATTCCAGACTATCACGCCCGTAAACTGCCACTTTTGTGCCTCATCGAGAGCATCAAGTAGCAGTTGAGCCAGCGCTCGCGTCCTGGTGGCGTCGCTGTAGCCCAGGCGAGGTTTCTTGATGCGTTGAACATACAATTTCCGAGAGTCATAGTCGTGATACCAGTACAGCCAAGCGTCTGCGCTCTCGCAGATGGTTCCCTTGACATCTGAGGCTTTTCCGACCAGCGCGTTACCCATGAACTCGGCCCGTCCTTGCAGCCAGCCGACCAGATCCCCGGTGGGGAGAACGGTCATGAGCTCGCCGCGTCCGTCCGTACTGAGCTCGCCCTTAAGACTCTCCACGTCGCGTTCGCAGAGGCTCGGAAGCTCGTCTTTCGTGAAGTGCCGAGTTTCGACGAGCTGAGCTTGCTCCGGCGGGGGAGATGGAGGACGGGTTAAGGTGCTGTGAAATGCGTCCAGGGTGTCCCAGCCTCTGCTCACGTAGAACTAGAGACTCATCAACGATCCGCGCCCCGCACATACGCCTCGCTTCCTTACCTTTCCAACGTCCGAATACAACATGCTCGCCGTGGCGTCTCCCGGTCCGTCCAGCCACTCTGCCACATTCTTCAGGAGAATGGAGGCGAGGCCGCGGCCGCGGTGGTTCGCGTCCGTGACGACGCTGCAGATGCAGTAGCCCTGTTCCTGGCGCGTCCCGCGGGCATCTCGAACGAGCAAGTCCCTATGCATCGTCTTGCACATGGCGACTACGCGCTCGGGGCCGTCGGCCGTGACCAGAGTCCAGAAGCGCCAGCCGTTGCCCCGCACCAGCGGCAGCTTTCCGAGAAAGTGCTCGCGATCTACGTAGCCGGCTTCCGAGAGCGCCTTTCCGAAGGCAGTCGATGCGAGCTTATAGCATCGCGAGCGCTCCTCGGGCGTCGTCGCCTCTGCGAAGACGACGGCCAGGCTCCCGTCAGAGTTTTCCAAGGTGATCGGCTGCGTAATCCGCATGATTCTAACACGGGTCGGGCTAGTTTACGATGGAGCAATAGAACGCGAGATGTGGTAGGGAGGGAGAGAAAGGGAGGGAGAGGATAGTAGCGAGGTGGACGCAAAAGGGAGAACGATGCTCTTTGTGTTAGGTACAGAGAAGGCGACGGCACCGAATATTAGTCAATCGCGGAGTCAGCAGTAGCCCCGGTCTGCGAGGAATCGAGACACCGAGGCCGATGAGCTGACATGACAATTCGCACCAACTCATAGCTTCGCTGCGAAGCCGCACGGCTTCGTGGGGGTGGATACTGCGTGCTGACGCCGTTGGAGTCTCCGGCATCGCTGATCCTTGCTGGCTTTCCAGGGGGATTTCGGCTCGATATTATTACCTGCCAGATATACCCTGAACGATCCCCGTACCGGGTCCTCCCCCATTTGCCTGGCCTCCCTGAAGCGACATCGTAAATGTGATGTGTATGTTGGTCGAGCGCTGTCATTTCCCAGGGCGTCGAAAGGAAACCGCCTCGATCTTGGCATCGTACGCGGAATCAGAGAGGAGAGAGAGAGGGCCGCATTTGCTTTATGTAAATACCCCGAACCGATCCTGCGGCTCGTATTCGTATCAGGGGTCAGAGTCCCATCTGGCACACCGAGAGGGGGTCCAAGGGCGAAACCTCGGGTTCCCGACAGTGGGCTGGCCAAGTAGGTACCTACGAAAAAAAGCCAACGGCGTGCAAATATTGCTTCTCGTCGCGAAACCAACCGTAAACCCCCTTCGCCCGTCGAGGGCTTAAAGTTGTTGTGCTCTCAAAGGGATAGAAGGCCTCCGCCACCGATGGACGACATCTCGCCGACGCGGCTCCTCCTCGGCGCGCTCGCCGCTGTCCTCGCCATCGGCATCCTCTGGGTCGGGAAGCTCAATGCGACGCTGAAGAAGACGCCGCCTGAGGTCCTCGCCGTCTCGCCGCACCGATGGACCGAGGCCGAGATGCGCGCCGTCTACGACCGCATCCGCGCGAAGCCCGTCGACTGGGCCTCACACCTGCCACCGCGCGCCACCCTCGCCGGTGGCGGCGATCGACGGTACATCATTACGGGTGGTAGCGGCGGTGTCGGGGGTACCATTGTCCTGCACCTGCTGGCCCGCGGCCACCCCCCCGAGGCCCTTCGCATCGTCGACTTCCGGCCGCCAGACCGCCCCGAGCTGACCACCGGCGCTGTGGCGCGCGTCGACTTCGTCCGCGCCGATATCACGTCCGCCACCGGGACCACCGCTGCCTTCGATGCGCCCTGGCCCGCTGCCGTCCGCGACCTGCCTCTCACCGTCTTCCACACGGCCGCCGTCATCTCCCACGCTGACCGCTCGATGATCACGTACGAGCGCGTGCGCGGCGTCAACGTCGACGGCGTCCGCCACGTTCTCGACGCAGCGCGCGCCGCCGGCGCCTCGGTCTTCGTGTCGACCTCGTCGGCGTCGGTCGCGTACCGCCCCGTCGAGTACTGGGGCAACCCGCTGCGGCGCTGGCCGCGCAACTACTGGCAGGCCATCGACGAGGCCGACTTCGCGCGCCCGCTGCGCCCGCACCCCCAGTTCTTCGGCAACTACGCGTACTCGAAGGCGGTCGCGGAGCGCATCATCGCCGAGGCCAACGCGCCGGGCTTTCGTACCGGCATCGTCCGCCCCGCGAACGGCATCTACGGCACCACCAGCACCACCGACCAGATTGTCGGCTACTGTCTCCGCGTCGGCACGTTCCCCAGCTGGATCCGCAACATCATCCAGAACTTCGTGCATGCCGGCAACGTGTCTCTCGGGCACCTGGCCTTCGAAGCCGCCCTCCTTCAGGATGATAGGAACGGCAACATGCCCAAGTGCGCGGGTCAGGCCTTCACCGTCACCGACGACGGCCCACCAACGATGTTCGACGACGTCTACAACCTACTAAAGGTCATAGTGGCGACGCCTCCAATCAAGGTGATCTACCTGCAGCCGGGGCTGATGCTGGTACTGGCGTATGTGGTCGAGCTCTTCGACTTGGCGAGCCGGCTACCGGTAGTGGGACGTATCGTACCGCGACCGCAGGGAAGCTTGGCGATGCTGCAGCCGGCTATCTTCAGCGCCAGCACAAACCACATAGCTACGGACACCGCCGCGCGGCGTAGCGTCGAAGATGGCGGCATCGCCTACCGACCCCTTGTCAGCACGATGGAGGGCGTCTGCCAACAAGTGCTCGACTGGAACATTGAGCACGGGAAATAAATCGTTGCCGGGTCTGGTGATCGCTAACTTACTAGGCGAGGATGTCATAGCACTATGACGGCAAGGTCTCGGAGGGGCTTCCTAGCTGGCTTAAACCGTCAGCAACCGAGCATCTCTGCCTCTATGCATACTATTAATATTAAAACCCGGAATACTACCAGAGTGGACATCCCTCCAGCTACTAAGAGTGTTAGCTCTACCTTCATATCCCTTTACAGGCCGCGCGAAGTATCTGATACGAATTTCTGTTTGGACATGCAGCATGCGTCATCACTGCTAAAAATGATCACCTACACTAGCAGCGTGGTTTTAATAGAAACAATTTTATTGATTTTGGAAACATTGATGGTATAATAATACTAAACAACGAACTAAAAATGGGGGGTGAAACATATCTGACGGTACGCGTACTTACTTAGGGAACGAAATGAGCGGCACGCCTGGCTTGTAGTGGGCCGACCTGCCTTTGGCGGTTTAAGAGAGGTCGCTGTCTCTGTGTATCGAGCCTTACGAATGCATAGGCTTTCTTTTAAAAGGTTTAGCGACCTCCTCTCGTATCGAACGGGGGGCAAAGGCGATTGGAGGGGGAAGGCTTCTTCACCAGGAAGAATCTCCACCCATATATGACTCTACTACGAGTCGATAAGTTTCTAGCAGGTGGAAAGTAATGAAGGGTGATTCGTCCTCTTTAGAGGCTTTGGTGTGTATGTGTCCGGGCAGGGGAGCAGCTTCAAGCCAACCCCCCTATGTAGGTCTCCCGCAGAGTAAGAGAGAAGAGCGAGTTCGGATGATAGGTGCGGTTTAGGAAGTGCTCTATTCAATTACACTCTCTAAACTTACCTGCGGACATGGGAATTATCTACCCTTACGCCCGCAGCTTTCACGCACCTCTTACCCCTTCAGAGTCGTACGTACTCCTCTTTGGTGAGAGAAAGCCTATCCATCTCGCGCTCTAGCTCGGCAACTCGCGCCTCGAGCGCCCGCGTCATCCTCTTATGATGGTTGGCCGCGCTCCTGGCGCTGTTACGCTCCTCGAGGACCCTATCAAGTGCCAGTGGCAGAGCCTCGAGGTCGTCGATATCTATTCTCTGGTCGTCGGCTAGAGCCTGCGCTAGCGGCATGAGGCTTAGCAGCGCCTCCCGGTCGTCGATGATGGTCCTCAGGGCCTCTTCTAGCTCACCGGGGTCTCCGTTAGGACCAACGTCTTCGGCCCCCGCGACTAAGTCGGCCAGCGGTAGGAGCCGGCGTAGCCGTCTTGTCTCCTTCTGTTGCGCCGCCCAAAGCCGCTCGTAGCAGTCGTCGACGACCAGACGGCCTCTCGATATGCTATTTCCCCCGGCCGGCGACACCGCGTTCTCGTCGTCGCCGACAGTAGTAATGGTGAGCATCGGGGCGTTGCTGTGCTCGATAGCTGGGTCATAGGCGACGATGGTCACCTCGTTATTTCTAGAGGTGTCATCGTCGCCGAAACCCGCATCCTCCCAGAAGCCGGAATCGTGGGCGTCTTTATCTTGACTGGGCCACGCTTCGGGATCTGGGAATTCGTGCAGGGCGTCGGCGATCTCTCCACCCGAGAAGATCCGGCCTTTTCGACGCTCATGCACGTCATCTTTCGTCATTACGGGCTCCGTAGAACCCAGGTTAGGTCGATCGCGCCCGTTGCCAGCAGTGGGCGGAATCGTGTGTCGAGCGGGGGCCCGGCCCTTCATGTCCCTGCTCCGTTTGGGCACTGGATGAGAGCCCAGCGCTTCCCGAGACGCACCAAGATTCTCCCTTCGAACGCTATCTCCCGTCACTGATCCTGAATCCCGGGAACGTGACCTCGGCTCCCCTGCATCCGGTGTCGCCTGAGGGCTACTCTGAACCCCGATTGATCGGGGTGCCGAAATCAGCAGAGGCTCGCTGATGTGGAGCTTCTCACGGGTTTCCACAGGTTTCCCTACTTTCTTTGCGAACCAGCGGGTTAAACCGGAGCTATCGTCGCTATTCCTCGATTTATTCCCGCCGCTGCTTCTGAATTCGGACCCGTGAGCTGGCGTCGAGATCACCTCTCGGTACGGCATCGGGTTGTGCCGAGGTGCCCCATGCGATGCGCGGTGAGAGTCATACGCCGGCGTAGACTCATGCCGAGGTGGAAGGTGTTGGTACGGTGCAGTCTGCATTGATCTGCCCGAACCCCTCGGCTCGCCAATTTGCCGTGGTGGGAGGTTTCTCGACGCCATGGTGATTTCGGATCAGTGGTTTTGAACTTCGTAGTTTCGATTTGTGCTGCGAGAGTATTCAGAGATCTGTTACTGGTCTGCCAAATAGTCCCGAGATCACAGGATGAATTTAGAAAAGATAAAGGGGATTTTGATACGTAACCCCTTCCTCTATATATACTAATAACGGTGGCTTGCTCTTTCAAGCCCAAATGCCTCCCTGTCAATAGCAGTTGTGTATAAGATAAGGGATTGTTTCGTCTCAAGGGATTTTGGGGTACACATTGCCTTTGTGTATGTGAGTTGAATAGGGTCCGGAAACTAGTCATTGTCCGCCCCGTGAATAACACCTCCTTTATTCGGGCAGTTAGCAGTACTGTCAGCTCTTGGCTGGGGCGTCTTTGTAGCGGATTGCAGTCTTCTCCCAATTGACAATAGCATTGTTGAAAACCTGCCGGGTTCTTTGGTCCCTAGAGATTTGGGAAACCTCTTCGAATTCCACCAAGAACAGTTTCTTGTTGTACTCCTGAGGATCTTCGGTTGAACGTCGATGACGCCGCCGTCGCTCGATGTGCAACTACTCGCATATCAATCTATTAGCCGCTAGAATGGAACGTCTTGCACGAGAGCTTACCTTGCGGTCTCGCTGATGAAGCAGTAAAACCGCCAGTATTCGCTCCGCTGTGGCTGGCCTTTAACCCAGAGATCAATCCTCCAGACGGGAATCTTGTTGTAGTATAGGGACCGTTAGAAGTTACATCGCCTACGGGTTCTCGTGTGTTCATTTGGCTATCGTGCGCGCGAGGGGTTCCCAGAACAATTCCAGGAATACTCGATAAACCTATACCTCTAGAATTGCCGAGACGTTGACGATGTGTTGAAGGGGTAATAGGAATGTTGGCTACGTGACATGTTAACAATCCACGGTCGTCGCAAACGAGTGCGTTCCTGTCTTACGTTGATGCCCCACGTTCCTCGGCCAAGCGCTGGCGTGTTCCTGCGTCGTGGCCCGAGTTTGATAACCGGTCGAGATCCCCTGGCGCTCTTGGGGGCCTGGTTGCTGGCGTCCATAAGGCGACCCATGCTCCTGAAAACCCATAGGATCCCGACCTCCTCCTTGTCCTGCTCCGTCGAATGGAGCCTCGCCAATCGGGCCATGGAGCGTCGAATCTACTGCGTCTTCTGCGGCGTCCTGCATCTGCCCGAGCATAGCCTTTCGCTTGAGCTTATCATAGAGCTCCTGAGTCTGTAGTAGCTTTCGGTTCTTCTCTTTGTACGCTTGGGTGAGTTCTTCGTTTTTCCTACGGAGGCTATCCTGGTCTACCTTCATGTCTAGTAATAGAAGTCAATAACGAGGCTTCAGTAGGGCGGGGGATGACTTTCTGGTAAGCTTGTTATGCAGGTTGGTGATTTCTAAGTTGGCATCGTTGATCACTTTGTCCAGGTGGACACTCAAGTTCGAGTATTTATCAGTCAGTGTCTTCCCGAGGTATTCCTGGTAAACGCTGGGCAACGCAGGCATCAGCAAGCATCCGTCCCGGCTGGCTCTGTGATGTGGGACAAGGGGTAGGTAGACCTAACACCTCCTGGGTAGCCTGGTAAGCCCAGAAACTCAAGGCTCGGCTTGCGCATTCGATGATAATGTTGGGACTCAGGCCACTCAGGACGCTCGTCTTGTAGTCCTCACTCGGGTTCAGGTTTGATATCACGGCGTCGTCGGGATTGGTCAGGTGGGCACCACAGGCGGGACACGAGTTCCGATGTTCGTGGTGTTGACTGGTGAGGCCGAGACGAGCGGCACAGTCGGTACAGAAAATATGGCTGCAGGTAGTTACTAGTGCTCGATCCCCGAGCTCCTTTCGACACTTCAAGGCGTTGCAGCGCAGCATGTGTTCCATCGTGCCGGAATTGTCGGTATGTGAAGAGTGAGCTCTAATGACCATAATTCGGGGGCGACGTTGTTCTCAGGCGGAGGATAGAGAGAGGAAGAAGTAGACAGAATCGGCGACGACGAACTGAAGAAATTCATGGCAAATTCTTTTGGTAAGTCAGCAGATCTGGACTGCTTCTTTGCACTTTCCATCTCAGCACATCGAAGAGCGCCTTCTCTCTTCATCCCAACACAGTGCCCCTATATCCCTATACCCCTATTATCCCCATATCCCGATACTGCGGTAACATTCGCTGAGCATTACCTAGAGGTAGATAGATATTTCTCATCATCCAGATGCTCGCGCAACCGAGGGTCAAGCAAGGAAAGTCGATACTCTGCATATAATTGAGGAAAGCGTTCAAATGAGTATTCAAGGGACGTGGTTCCATGCTGTCATCCATAAGTTAAAAACTCATATTACACCATAATATATCTCGGCAGAAAAGTCGCAATTTATGTAGACAGCTTTGATTCTCCAAGCATCTCTACAATCACGATTGCGAATTTAGCTACTGCTCATCCGTCCCTTGGCTCAGCATTTAGCTTGTTGGCTGCTCTTTGCTCGTTGAGACATGTCGAGATGAAGCTACGCAGTCTGTATTGGTCATTTTCTTGACTCTGCCGGAGGAGAACGACCAGCCGAATTGAGAAATTTGGTTTGGGGACAGGCCCGATGGCGGTTTCTGCCAGTTAGTTTCTGGAAATGGATTCACTGCATTCATCATGACTGGTAAAATGATCAACAATAATATATCTCTGCGCCAAAGCTTGATGCCCGTTTCGCGGGTCTTCCCGACACGGCTAATGGCACGAAATAGGCGGTTCACATATAGAGAATTATATGTCTCGTAAAAAAAAAAATACAGAATATAATATATATATCACGAATGTAGCGCATCAACTAATATTATGTCGGCATCTTTTGTGTGCTTCCAATCGCTTTGTTGTCTCTTCCATCTTATGACAAAGCCACAAACTGCCCTCTGTCGCTTTTAATTTTCTATTGTAGTTTCTTATTACCTTGCCCTGATTCATAGCGGCTATTTTCCACTCAATATTATATTAGCAGCTAAAAATCCGATGTTGCGATATTGTATGCGGCATGAAGGTAGCTCGTTGGGTCAATTTCGTGATGTCTCCAATGGTGGATCTCCTGTTAATAATAACAGAGTCAACACTTTCTTCCCACTGAGTCCACAATTACCATGATAGCATCTTACCGTGTCTTTAGATTCCCCTATCGCTACTAAAACTGAGCTTTCACTAAGCCCTTCTCCTACAATCAATATTATGTAATGAGCAGCATGATCATGGGAGTTCCCTTCGCTCTCTCGCGGTGCCTCATCCTAATGTCCCCTATGGTGTCTAAAGATGGACCACACTATGACACACGATATTTCATAACCCAAAGCATGGTAATGCCTGGCCAGACCATACCATGAATCTCACGATGCTCCTCACCGTTCTCATCCTCACGCACACATAAATCCAAATACCTGCTAATCTAGATGCTGCGCGTGACACGAACGATGGCGACCTGCACGATAGGAATGCATGGGGGATATGCGGTAGGCAGCCCTTGAAACTATTACCCGCCTACAACCACCCCGTCGGCTTGCGGAGACAGGTGAGGGGTCTATGTAGAGTTGGAAGCCGGCGGAGATGTGGGACGACCTCGCCGCCGGGTCTAGTGAGCACACCAGGCCGGGCAGCCGGCAAAGAAACTCACGATCCCGATATCCCGGCTGGGACATGGTTCCCAAAATAGACGACACTCCTGAGACTTGAAGAGGGGGAACTGTGCGGAGTGGACTGGAAAATTTGCAGCTGGCTCTACCCCAACGGGCTCCGTGCATAGCTCATGAGAGCGTACTGCCCAGGCCCGTTCTCATTTACGTAATGGATGAAGACATAAGTTTACACAGAACGTGAGGTTGGAAACACTGGAACACTAGGAACGTCGGACCTGCCTACATAGCCTCCATAGTGCCTGGTGGTATGGACTAGAGTGCCTACTGGGTGTAGATTCGACCAATAGTCTACGGACATGCCGGCAGAGTATCGGCGTAGCCGGGGCGGCACAGCGAGAGGAGAACGTGTATAAGGAGGTTGCCAAGAGCAATAGTGGGAGGGCGGTGGCAGATAGTCGAACTTCACTTACACTAATACCGCTAGGCCCCAAGACCGACTATGATAGTGTAGATATAACACGACTGTTAAGAAATAAGGCATTACATTTACGGCTAGTTCAGCGGCATCCGGTTTTAGAGCCCACCATGTGAGTCCACCTGGAGCACGTGTAGAAAAAGGCGAAGGGTACGCATCCTAGCGAATATGGGTAGAAATGGCCTTAAGGGGTTGCCCCTAGGCAGGGCGCTCTGTATCGATATCTTCTGCATTGGATAATATTTCCGCAGATTTCAGGTCCTCCTCGGGGGAGGCCTTCGTCCCTGTAGCACCTGTTGGGCTAATGACACCGCAGATCTACGCGTCTCCATGATCAAGTTGGAGAAGAGTGCCGGATCTGAGTTGGTCTCCGGGGAAAAGGAGGTTTCACAATATCCAGGCCGACCCATTGGGACAAAAGTTCCACGAGCCTGACAGGTTACCTATCCCTATTAACAGGTAGCGAAGGGCACACGAGGCAGTCCACAAAAGACCTTCGTCCCGGCGAGGATATTAGACCCCTAGTTAACGCCCACTGTGACTCGGCCTGCGTCAGCTAATGGGCTGTCGACTAATAAACGCGTGTTCAACTTTATGCTGCGAACGCGCAGCGGTAAATTACGGTTCAGACAGACTTCTCGTAAAATAAGCGGCTTGGAATGCTACCGTAACAAGGGCGACCAGTCTGGGGAGTCATCTCTGCAGAGGAGGTCAGAGCCTTGACCCCAGACGCCACGAAAGCTTGTACATACGGACGAGGAGCGTGGCTTTCATTAAAAAGCCGGGGGTTACGACATCGAGTTGCAGCGAGACCATGGCTCGACCTTGGGCTGAACTCTTGGCAGTCCGACCCAACACGACACTATGGGGGAAGTCGACCGGACATTAACACCGAACCTGCGCCTTGACCGGTTTTCCGACCCTTGGTAACTTGGTACACTAACATTTTATCACTCACTAACATTCCTTCGTGTCGCGGTGACGGTGATCAGTCGACATCAGAATGAGGTTAGGCTGGTCTGATATAATATCTCAGCGGGTCATAGAGGCCCCCAACTCCGTACGCCACCGTGACGGGCCACCGGGCAAAGCGCTGGGGGCCATTTTGCCCCAGACTAACGGCAATTTAGGAGCGAGGGCGAGGCGCGGTCACGGTATAATAATGGCACGAGAACAGCTCAGTTAAGCTTATATTATAATAGCATTTGCCTGCTATATGTGCCTCTTCCTCCCCCCTGCCCTTGTTCTGTCCCCCTCTCCCCTCACAGTTGGAGCTTGTCTACTTTAGAGGCGCTACAGACCCTTTATGGGACGAAAAATTTCCGAACGAGGAAAATGAAGGAAGAGGAAAAGAAAAAAAAAAAAAACAAGTTAGTCGGAATGAAGCGGTGCCAGCTTCGGTGTTGAGGTCCACTGTCGCTGCCGGCTCTTCTGTGCGTGATTTTGCAATTACCGAACGGTATTATAAGAGACAAGGGAGCCACAGCATAGCACTGTATTATCATAGATATTAGGTACGAAACTCGCTGGGGCGGATATGATCGCAGTTTGTGGTCCTCCGCCGGCCGCGGCGTCGCATCAGACGAAGCTCATGATTAGAGAACCGATCTTTCGTCGACACCGTTTAGGATTCCGCGAATCCTGCTGAACGGGCTGCGACGAAGTTCTAATTGGTCCTAATACCACTATAGCAAGTGTACGTACGCGGGCCGCGCATGATGTCCTATAGAAGTGCCCTTTAAGACTCGGGATTCCTGGCAGGGCTCATCAAATTCCATGTTACGAAGGGTGAAAGGTGACGACATCATCAGGTAGCCGTTCTCTCTGCTTAATCAGGCTGCTGGCGACGGCGAGGACGAGTCGATCGTGGCTGAACGAGGTACGGCCTACTGCGCTCAGCCGTGTGCCCCAGCTCAGGTCCCGCGGTGCCGTGACATGCCTCTGGGACTCGTAAATAGCAGGCGGCAGCAAGCAGCCTTCACATGAACATCCACAACGGCCCTTCAACCCTGTCCCGTGCGCATCGGTGATCTTGGCGGCGCCGACTCGACTGCCGTCACCATCCTCGCGTGACAGCTCAGTAGCACGACAGTCGGTAGACACGACGAGCATGGAAGCATGACGGGAATCAATCGGACGAGTAGATGCGGCCTGCTGGCTGCCGAATCGCCGTCGAGATTGGGTGCCAGGAAGAAGGGAAGCACAAGGAGGAGGAGGCGGGAGAGGGAGGGACAAATGGGGAGGACGGCCTCGAACGCGAATGACAGATCACGTCCGCATTGAAGATCTTCCCATCTCTTACCCCGCATATCCCCATCCCGCGATCTGCTCCGTCGCCAGCCCTCCTGGCGTCGCGACGATCCCCAATCAGAGTGCGGCCCTGGAAGCTCGCCGGCGTAGACCAGCCCCTACGTCGGTACCAGAGCCAGCAAGCGGCGTCACATGAAGAAGATGATGAGGAGGAGGAGGGTGGTGTGTGTGTGTGTGTGTGTGTGTTCTTCTCTCCACCCCCCTCCTCCTTCTCCCCCCGCACAGGTCTCCCCGTTTGCCCACCCGTCAGCCAGAGCGCGAACCCTGGACGCGGACGAGCAGGGAGGGGGGACGATTAGACGATGGGATGGGCAAGGCAGAACAGGGCAGGGCAGGGCGCATGTAGCGGTACTCGAGCCTAGCGGTACTTGGGTGACATCGCGACACAGCGCTTCGGGACAGGATACCGTGTGAAGGAGGGCTGGTATCAGGTACCTGGCCGCGATAGTCGCGTTGTCGAACCTCTCTCGTCCGCCCGCCACGGGCCGAAGTGCCAGATTGTGCCAGGGTTGGAGGCCCCTGGCTCGCAGCAGGCCAATCATCATGGCTCGTCTCTTCCCCAGTCGATCATATCAACGGCCAACAAGCCGACAGCCCAATCATTACACCTCGTACTACTTCTTGGCTGACTTGTCGAGATTGCCCTTGCACATGCAAAACATTGCGGCCGTCCTATCACGATGTCTCACCTGCTTTCCGGCTTGGAGCCAATAGGAGCGGGAAAAGGGGGGAGAGAATCAAGCATCTTGGAGGCCACAAGCCTTCGTCGACGCTATTGATGAAGGTATCTCCGAGCCTTACACTAGGTATGTAAGACACTGCTATGGAACATTGACGGAATTCGACGTATCCGCCCCCAGGCACTGACAATTACCAACACGCATGGGCGACAGGCCCGTGTCGACGTGGGTATGCGCGAATCCATCCCGTGACGGCCCACCCCCTTCGCTTCCCCCTCCCTCTCTCTCCCCGCCTCTTCCTGCTCCTCGTCGTCGCCGTCGTCACACTATCCATCGTGTCACTCCCCACAGATAACGTCTTCGCTGCGGTATTATGGGCCTCTTAGCATATCTCGACGTAGCGAGGCTTACACGCAAGTAATCCACCGCCAGGAACAAAAGCCCACCACTCTCGCCTCGCCGCCGCACACCACCAGCGGCGGGCGCGAAGGAGAAATCAAGATACTCAGCACTGGCGACTCCAACGATACCCACCGCCCCCCCCCCCCCCTCTTCCTCTCTTCCCGCTCCTCCAGGAATGAGGCCAGTGAACACACGTAGACACGTACGTACAGACATACATACAGACGTGCGTAGGAGGCGGCGACCCCAATTAGGTCGGCGAAATAAGCCCCTCTGCTCGCTTCGCGCTGCCTCCGCCACAAGACGAGCAGTGCGCCCGAGGGCGCACACCTGCTGCAACAAAGGTACCTACCTGGCGCGTAAAGCCGCGCGTAGACCGAGCCGAGGAACAACGCACGTATCTGAAAGCTCAACGTAGCCGTGCAGGGCGCCGCCCCCTTCCCCTCCCCACGGACGGGTACGCGTAGGGGGGCAGGGAGCGGAGCGCCTACGTAGGCGTGTAGGCACGTAGGCAGGCCGCTGCGAAGGGGGGCGAGTCAGCGGGTAAGCGTGTGAAGGGTCTACCCCGGATTTCGCGCGCGCGCGCGCTGCTGCGCCTACCGGCCGGCCTTCCGTCCCTCGGCGGGCGTCCGCCCTCCTGCCGGATCTCGCTCCCTGGGAGGGCAGCGAAGAGGCGTCTGCGCGAGGCGTCGGGCGTGCCGCGGCCTGCGTGCTCGCATGGCTAAGCGCTTCACATGCGTCTCCGCGAGTACGAGGTGCCAGCGTGATGATGCGGCGGCGCGCGAAACACAGAGAAAGACACGGAAAAAGAAAAGGAATCCTCGTCAAGCCCGCTCTCGCTCCATCTTACCCGAGTCTGGCGTCCAAGGCGCTCAGCTGCTCGCTGGCTTTTTCTTTTCCGCTTTCCTCCCGCGCGCCTCGGGGGAGCCGACGACGCCAACCCCCCCCCCCCTCCCCCCCCCTCTATCCCCCTTACCCCCCCTACCCCTTTTCCTCGATCCTCTGCGCAGAGAGGCTGCAGCCTGATTAGAAATTCGGTCACTAGAATAGGCATACCAGCGCATCGTAGGGTCGTGAATGGGTAGATAGTTGCCCCGCTTCCCTCCCTCCTGTCCTCTTCCCCCCCCACCGTCGTCCCAGGAATAGCACGACAGCTCCATACGCCAAACGCCAGGTTCGTGTTTTTCCTCCTATACCAGTCAGCGACAAACTGACCGCTATTCGGAACGCGCATGCTCTCATCTCTCAAGTCTTTTATTATGCACTATGTAGTTACGTATCGAGGTGTGTACCTAGGTAAGAGTGTAGTGTGTAGGTATGTAGTGGGTATGTAATAGCAAGGCGTGCAGCGGTAACCGTAGTATCCTCCCCGGACCGCCACAACCAAATCCAACGAGCCGGGATGGGATCGAAGGGAGATAGACGGATGGGGTGGTGTGAGCGTGCGAGCGTGTGAAAGTGTAGGTGTAAGTGCATGTACATGTGTATGTCTGTCTGTATGGTATGTATGTATGGTACGTATGGATCGTCTTGGACGTCGTCAAGTTGCCCGCCGGCCCGGCCCTCATTGTCACCCTACCCTCCCAGCCCCTTTTTTGACCCATTGTGTACGAGAAGCGGGCAGCAGCAGCAGAGACGAAGACGAGGACGAGAAGACGGGGAAAAAAAAAAGAGCCCAGTGCAACCCACCCATCCACCCACCACCACCCAAGCCTCATCGAGATCCAACGTCAAAAGGTATCATCGCTGAAACGTACAACACGCATAGAGGTAAAGTAGGCAAGGCAGACATGTATGTGAACGGCGATCATGGACCCCTAAAAGAAGACACGCAGACAATGCAACGCAAGGCAACGCAAGAACACTGTGGCAGACAGTAACATCAGAGCAGAGAAGGGGAGGGGGGAGAGAAAACGCGCCGAAAATGGAATAGAGATTTTTCTTTTGGGATTCCCCTTTCCACCGTACCCTAGATCCTAGCGCCCGCCCGTTCCAAACACCATCACCGCTCCGTAACAGCGTAAACAGCAGTAGGTAGGTAGGTGGTAGCAATAGTAGTAGTAGTAGTAGTAGTAATGGTAGTCGTAGTAGCAGTAGTAGCAACAGCAAACCAGCGTAGCCGCCCACTCCTGGGCCCTCAAATCAGTGCACGAACGGGAACGCAGACCCGTCGAGGCCGTAGGCGCCGAGCTCGCTCATGAGGCCGCAGCCAGGGGCGGAGGCGGCGCCGTCGTGGGTGCCCGCGCTGGCGGCGCTGGCGGTGCTGCCGCCGCCGCCACTGAAGTGGTGCTGCGCCCACTCAAGCTCATCGGGCGCGCTCCAGAGCATCCCGTCGAGGTCCCACAGCCCGTGCTGGTCCAGCATGCCCATCATGCCGCCGAAGCCCTCGGGCTCGAGCCCGATCGGCGACATGTGCAGGTCGGAGCCGTCGGCGGCGGCCAGCGCCCCGAGCACGCCCGCGCCGCTCGGGTCCGTCACGACCTGCAGGCCGCGCAGGGGGCTCGTCGGCGCACCACCATGTTGCTGCTGCTGCTGGCGCTGGCGCAGCAGCCCCGGCTCCAGCTGCCGCGACGCCTCGTACATGCGCCAGACGACCTCGCGCGAGCGGCGCGCGGCCAGGGACCAGTCCTCCATGGCCTCGAGCAGCTCGAGGATGGTCTCGATCTGCTTCTGCCAGTCGGCGACGCGCGGGCTGTCCCACTGCCAGAAGATGCTGACGAGCGGGATCATGGCGGCCTGGTAGAGGAACCAGACGGCGTTCCAGCCGCTCATCTGGTTGCGCGACCACTCGCGCGCCACGTCCTCGACCGTCTGCTTCGCCAGGTCGCGGCACGCCTCGATCGCCGCGATGTCGTGCTCCGCCGCGTGCGACGCCCCGCTGCTCGCCAGGTTCAGCAGCACCGGCCGGTGCAGCAGCATCCGCAGGTTCTGGTACCGCCACTTCATGATGCACCGCGCGATGTACAGCGGCTCCGCGCACGGGTCGCTCGTCCGCAGCAGCCACGGCAGGCTGCTGAACCACCCGACCAGCTGCCCGTCCAGCGCGCACCGGTCCTCCGGCCGCAGCAGCGGCGAGATCGCCAGCATGTCCTGGATCGACGTCGCGATCTTGCAGAACTTGATGTTCTCCACCAGCGGCAGGATCCCCGCGTGCTGCGCCGAGTCCCGCCCCGTGCTGAGCCCGGTCTCCGGCGGCCGGATGTTGATCGCCGGCCCCCATCGCCCGAACGAAGGCCGCCCCATCGTCGTCGTCGCCCACGTGTCGAGGCAGAACAGGCTCCACCAGGTGCGTCTCCTGGTCTCGGCCGCGGCGATCTCCTTGCTCGAGCCGGCGGGCCCGTGGGCGAGGCTTTCGCGGTGGAGGCCGAGGGCGCTGGCCATCCGGATGGCGGCGCCGATGACAGCGTTCGCCATGTTCGGCCGGTTGATGTAGTGCAGGTAGTACCCGCCGATCAGGGCGAGGGCCTGCACGGTCTCGATGTGGCTGCTGCCGAACGAGTCCATGGGCAGATATTCCATCGCCCGGCTGTAGTAGTTGAGGTGGTTGTAGTCGTCTGACTTGAGCGCCGCGATGCAGCCCATGGCGAAGACCATGTTGAGCAGTGCGAGCCAGGGCATGTCGTACCGCTGCCCCTCGAGATAGTCTGCTCGGAAGGAGGCCTCGTCGAGCATGGGCACGAACACGTGGACTCGCTTGAAGTAGGCGTCGATCAATGTCTGGCCCTTCCAGGACCACGGTACTCGCTGTGGCTCCTTAGCGTTCGCGACTTTCTGCCGCATGATGGGCATGTTGTGTGCCATCTCCACGCTGTTTAGCGGTGGCGTGAGAGAGCTTCGGAGGCCCGGCTGGACTTTCAGCATCACCATGAGGGCAGCCTTGATGGACGAGGCACCTAGGTAAGAGGCCTGCCGGTCGACCGAGAGGGAAAGGGCGTTGACGTCGTCGGCCTCGACGGGGATGGCGTCCCGCCCTCGGCGCTCCTCGTCCCATTCTATGTCTCGGGACGGTATCTGCTCTAAGCCGGAGAGGCCCTGCTCGGACCCCGATAGAGTGGGCGAGCCAATGTCGCCAGGGATGGGAGAAGTGTGAAGAGGCGGCGACGGCAGGGCAGTGGCGGCGTCGATCTGCGGTCGATCGAGGAGGCCAAGTAGTTCTTGCCGAGGTAGTGGTAACAGCGACTGGATCTCGTGGTTGGGGAAGAGTCGCTTGAGGATGGACCGGCACTCCTCCAGGGACTGGGAGAGGGCTTCGAGAGTTTTCCTGGACGGGATCACTCTCTGACGGTGCTTGTCATAGAAGCACCGCTTTGGTGCCCGACTAGAGAGGCATTGACCGCAGGGCTGCTGGCCATCGCATCGACTGGAGTCTGCATTAGCTTTTTTTTTTCAACGCGCTTCAAGATCGTTGCAAGAGCCGTACATCTTCCTGCGCTTGCATTCCGCGCACGCGTGGGGAGTGGTGATTCGCTTGGCTGTACTGTTGCCGGTCGTCTTGGCACTCTCTGTAGAGTCCGTGGATTGCTTTCGAGGGGTCACTCCTTGGACTGAGGCCGAGTCAGAGAGGTGTCGGCCATGAGGTAGCGGTGTCAAGCAACTTACAGGTGTGAAACATGCCACCCTGGGTGGGAATGGGTATGCTCGGCGCCATTTTGGCTTAGAAGCTCCCGGGTGTCTCCGCTCAAGTTCGCGCAAGCTAGTTGACAGGGAGCTGAGAGGGTAAGGTGAGACTCTATAGGAGCACAAGTGATATATATATAGAGAGAGAGAGGGTTTCCAAATAGGCATCTACTACTACCCGGAGGAATGTGGGGAGACGGCCTGGGACCCAGGACCGACAACACGGGAGAGGATGAAGATTTATATAGGATACTGCCTTTGCAACCCACCGAGGCGGAGAAGCGTGGAGAATCTGGAGATGAAGGGTTGCCAAATAGATTGTGTGGAGTAAAGGAACCAACCTATTGTTAGGACCGAACTGTTCTAGTCTGGCCAGGAACCGAGTGGCTATAGCAGATCGGGCATGTCTTCCCCCCTACCTCCCTCACGGCCTATAGAAAGTGGCGGCCCAGGCAGGCCAGACTTGGTCAACTAAGAGTCGACACAGGCAAGGAGCGTGCCATGAGTACCACAGAGGGGCCAAGTCCGGATGGGTGGGAAGACGCACATCTGGAGATCAATGCCGTCTCATCGAGTAAAGATTGGCGTGTTCGCCACGAGAGACGGGCAGTCTCCCGCAGCAGCTGATTGCCATCTACCCGCCATGTACCTACCGCGCTCTCTGTATCTCTCCCTCCCTCCCTCTCCCGCTCCGTGTGTGCGTGCGCGTGAGTAGAGTGTGTCGATGCTGGGTCTACTATAGAGGGGTAGGAGGGGTAGACGTATGATATGCTTCCATGTCAGGTCTAGCAAGTCTAATAGTACATAGCATGATTTATCGCGAATAAATAGGCCCAGGAGAGTTGCATCGCGCCCCTCGTCGAAGAGCATCATCCGTGATGCCCTTTGTCAGCGGTAGCCGTAGCGCTACCAGATGGGCCGCAGAGCCCTTGGGCCCCAACACAAGGCGGAATAAGATGGCGCTGCTAATGTTTCAGCCCGTGGACAGCTACGTAGTAGGTTGTCCGCACTGGGACTAAGCCACGAGTTGCCGTCCGGCAAGTTGAGATGTCATCCGAACGCATGTGAGCAAAAGTTGACGTGCAGGCTTCGGTTAGACAGCAGGTAAAAAAAAAAAAGCTGGAATAGCCTCCCGCTTAAAGGACGAGGGACCGGGGTTGTGTGGGTGGGTGTGCTGGGTGGGTTTCATGCAGGACGAGCTGCTTGGGAGAGGAATTATTTTTTTTATTTTTCTCCTGTATTCTTCTTTTCTTTTTCTTCCGCCTCTTCGTCCACCTTCTCCCCCTCCCTTTTTCTTCTCTGTCATCTATCACTCCCATGGCGCGGTGCCTGTCATTTATTGTTTTCACCTACTTCGCGGCGTCATGCTGGATTCGCGTGGAGCCCGTGGCGTGTGAAATCTCCGAGGCCTGATACCTTCAACGGCGACTGGGTAAGATTTGGGGAAGGCCAGGTTCGATGCCGGCTGGTTAAGAGGAGGTCTTCCCCTTGGGGACCCCCTGTCGCTGTATGTAGCTACGTATCGAGCAAGGGGTCGGGGCGACGAGGCCGCAAATCTCTTGCCCTCACGATCCTCAGTACATAGGGAGATGTGTACATAACCTACATGGGGCCAACGGCTAGAATTCGTGAGGACCCGTGACAGGGTTACAACGCCAGATGGTGAGAGGGCTTGCTAGATCTGCCAGCACTTCCCAGCCCTCGAGTACCATGTACTGCGTATGTGCGTCCCGCTGCCTTGCACCCGTCCATACTCTGCAGTGTCTACGTCCTTCAGGCATTCGGGCCAGGGGGGAAGGGTGCGTGTGGCAGGGGTTGTCGGCGTTTTTAAGTACAAGGTGATGATCAGAAAAGGCTTGACCGGCCAGCGAGCCGTACAAGCGACAGGGATCCAGGCGGGTGCTGATCCTGTTCGTACCGTTACGGAGGAGGACTGGGAATCACTTACATAGCACACACGCGGCCCGGGACTGCCCTGAGCCAGAGGCCGTCGCAGTCCACTCATGACCACGTCTTAATATACAGAGCGTTACAGGCACTGCCTCTAGCGTCTCAACGCCAGGCACGTATATGTCTACACTTCATAATTCGACCCCCCGTCCTTCGAGCCACGAATAGCTCTGGGGTGCATGAAGCTGCGCTGTGGATGGCCCTCTAGCTGTCTAGTCGCGAGAGCCATCCCCCCTCGTCCGTCTTCCGGACGTCAAGGACGTCCGACAAGTGCGCCACGTTCCGCCTCGGAGGGTGTTTTGGCTTGATGGCCTCGTGCCGCCGTCCTTCTTCAGATATAGGTAACCGGCCTCTTTACAACGACAGAGTGCCTACTCTTGAGCCGGACATGGACCTGCGTGACCTATGGAAGGTAGCTTACATGGATCTGGGAGCGGGAAGTCAGGATGCCGGGGCGGAACGCTTGATGAGCAGCGAAGCTGACTCGAGATTGGCTGGGGTCCAAGGTCGCTCTGGTACGTCTTGCTAACATTAGACAGGTTAGCTTCGGGAGAGCGGTACGGAGCTACGATTCTTCACCTCTTGGCAGCTCTTGGGGTAATACATCTCGACGCTCTTCGAGATGAACCGCCGTCCTTTGGAGGCCGAGCTGCTACATCATCATCGACACAACCCGGCAGGCCGTGAAATCGCCTGTAACATGAATAAGAGAGCCTGGCAGAGGCCATGACGTACCTTTCCCAGCGGCAGAGCACTCCCTAATGGAGAAGAGATATTTCCTCCTCTGCTTCGCCCGCCTCTCCTCGTCTATGGAGACGAGATGCCGTACAATGGGATACGATGCCATGCCATGCCATGCCGTACCATGGAGGACAACATATCTGCCTGTTGTCTGGGAGCCCAGATGTACATCTCCTCCAGGTCAGGTCCTCCAATAGAGCAGGGCCGCGCGAGCTTGCGTTCAAGTCCCGGGACCCTGCACGTTTCTCTCCGGATAGCACGCACGTCGATGCTCCCCTCCCCAGCACCTCCTCCTCCTCCTCCTCCCTCTCCCTCCTCTCTCCGCCCGCCCTAACCTTCTTCGTCCCAGCTCTTGTGCCTGGGGCGCTTTCTTTTCTCCCCCCGCCAAGCCCGTCGACTCTTTACCCCACAGTCCCGTCGGTTGGATAGCTGCATACAACCATTTTATCGTTGTACGGCAGAAGTGTGGAGTGCAGTCGAGAGTCGACCGCGACAGCTGACACGATAGCATATTGAAACGCCACTCGCTTAAACGCCCAGTTTTCCCTATTCAGATGCTCGTAGATGGCCAGTGATGCAACCAGAAGGGCAAACCCGAACGAAAGCGAAAGAGCACTTCTTGTTCGAGAGTCTCGGCGCAGGCTGTCATTGTCGGACCCTCCTCTCCTAGAGGCTGTTATATATTATGCTTGCCTGTTCTCTTCTCCACACATCCATGTTTGGATATGCCCTGGGGCCGTATTGCCTCCTTAAGACAACAACATTGGCTATTAATGTACAAGACGGGAACCCCCGCAACCGCTCGCTTCCTACTGCCTCGCCCAGTAGAGACCCCGTTTGGACACAAGGATACACGTATAGGCCACCTAGACGGGACTATTCTGGCATTTACATCAACGGAAACGCCGTTAAGGCATGGCTAGTGACTCACGTCGTAGTCGACAAGGACATCAACCGGTGCCTGCAGGCGCCTGGACGGAGGGTAGATGTGGTTAGACTCGGTTCTAGTATGCCAGGCCTTCCAGCGTGGTTCTGACCTTGGCGTGACCTCCTCGGTGAAGCGTTAATATCGTGACGATTTTTTTTTTCTATTTAGGTTGATGATCAGGCGACGTGAGTGGCCCAGCGCCACTTCGTGTACGCGATGGGCATCTGTTGATATTAACTGAGGAGGCTACGGCTTTGATAGATCGACGCTAAGCCGAGGCCTCCGGCTTGCATGGGAGATAATGTATGTGCTGCCGTGCTGCGTGGCCGATATCTTGGACGAGATAGGTAGCCGAGAATTTCCCTGACAGCAAAGAGGGGGTTGAAGGCCAATCATAATAGGAAGCAAGGTCGGCCTCATTGGTGTTTATATTAAGAAAATTTCGCCGTCCATCTAAATATTATGGCATGACCCTCGGAATTCCTGGGGAAGTGTTACGCCTCGATCTGCCCACACACCCCCTTTCTAATCACTCGAGCGACACCTAGAGGCCCGAATGTTGGCTTTGGAACATTCTCGACTACCCTATAAGACGGAGACCCTATGTACGATCGACTGCCAAAAGAAAAAAAATCAGGACAAGTCTGTTTGCAGAGAGATCACCACCTGACCAGGCCTTTTTAATATAGAGTATGATAGCTCACAGAACCAAGCAGGCAGGTAGCTGACCAAATATGATTTATCTACCTAATCGCGGAATCGATAATTCACAGTCATATTGCAAAATTCTTGAAAAGGGGGCCAATAGTTGAGAGGCGTAAGCGTGACTGAGAGCCGCTTTCGTTCCACCCTCCCCCCCTCCTGGGCACGACGCCTAGTCGGCTTGACCGCGAGCTGTCCACTGCTTTGATCCACACAGTTGGTCTGTCTGTCTGTTGGGGTCACTTCGGGGTAAGGCGGGTTGTGAGGATAGGTCGCCTCCCTATGCAGGCTCTTTTCGGCCCTCGCGACGAGGCCAACACCTTTTAGGACGCCCCATACCCCATGGCGCTGCTCAACACCAACTAGGCCACTTCGCTAATAGTGAGGGTACCATATACAACCAGGAAAAATGGATATATTACGAACGAGAATTTGATGGGAAAGCAGGAAACCGTTTCCTTAGTCTTCTCTTGTGCCTGAAAAAGTTTAATACGTCTGCCCCGACCCTGTCCAGAGAATGCTTAGTGGGCAGGCGTCGTCCCAAGACAGACTCACACATTTACCTCTCGTATCATACTCGCTAGCCGGCGTATGGCGAGCCACTTGGTATCACCAGCTAGTTCCGAACGGTGCTCTTACGCGAGGATATGCAACTCTAGATTCAGCACAACTCATCTTCATTTCACCCGACTGGTCTAGACGATGCTAAGTAGTGGTTGGCGACGCTACGGTTGATCCATCGTCGGCCTAGAAGGCCCCTTAACATAGGCATCGCAGACCGCGATTTCGAGGTTACGGCAGAGGGTCTGCGGTCCGAGATATTTGCCTGCCCTCTCTACCTAGAATGGGGGGTGGTGTGAATATGTAGTATCGTCAGGTCCGCCAAGCGTCCAGGCTCCTATAAAGTCCCCACAACTTCTCCAACTTCCCCATGATTAACCCGGATCTGCGGATGATGTGCCTATGGGAATAACCTCTGCTGCTGGCTATTACCCTCTCCAAGGGTGGGCCGCGAAGTTATAGCCGAAGTACCTGGCACCGGCTGCTGATGCCGTCAAATATGCAAGTATTTTCGATTGGGATGTATTGCTTCGTGACGATTTTGATGATCTCCTGCGCCGCCATCCCACCCGTAAGCGCCGAGATGTTGTGAAGTTCGCCGCCGCCGGCTCGAGCGACTTCCTGAGCGGCCTGCAACACCCTCTCGTTCTCGGCAGCCTTTGGTAATACACTGGCGATGACACTTAGGATTTCCTCCTCGGTTGCCGTCGGATTGTGACTGGTGGCCACGAGGGCGAGGTATATGAAGAGGTTAGACATTGGCAAAGTGAATGCCCCGTCGGTCTCAACCTTCATGGCCTCGGCCGCCTCGTCGTTGGCCTTCTCGCTTTCTGTTTGGAGAGGGTCAGCATGTTCCCAAGGACAGAACGGGGCTATAGACTCACCAAAGAGTGAATCGAGATCTTCGCCGGTCGGAGTTGCATTGATGAGCTTTACAAAGCGAGCATTCTTGCAGAAGAGCTCGACCTCAGCAGGATCTACGTCGTTGCCACCCGGAATACCTCTCGCGGTCTCCAGCACCTCCTGTGCGTCTTTCCGAGCCTTGTCCTTGTATATGCTCTGCAATTTGACGTAGACACTTGACTGGGCCTTCATATCAGGCAGCGCCCCCGGCAGGGGGAGGCAACCATGCTTGTGGTAGAATGCCTTGATGGCCTTTGCGACGATCCAGAAGGTCGACTGGTGCTCAATCTATCGCCGTTAGTCTGGAATGTTCTTCGCACACACATGCAAATGCCACACGCGCACACCACACGACCGTACCTCGTCCGACACCTGATGATCGAAGAGTTCTATCACTCCAGGTTCTAGTTCTGCGACCTTGATATTCTTGTTTATGGCCGCCGCAGCTTCCTGGAAGTTCTCATCTCCGCCTTCCGAGCTGCTCCTCGCCTTGCTCAGGACGAATCTGCTGAATTCCTTCTTATCCTCATACTTGAGGGGGTTCTGGCCATCATGCGCCTGTCTCCATTCCTCCAGGTAGTGGAGCAATATGACAACATAGGGCAAATGCCCGTGTTCGTGGTCGTCTAGAGCGTCGATATTTTTAGTCATGCCTGCCGCGAACGCTACGAGTTCGGGCCAAGGGGTCAGGAGGCGGAGATCTGTCGTCTTGTCTACCTCGGGGTGGGTGTCGACTACGGGGAATGTTCCCGGTAAGCGGATGCGGAAATACGAATAAAATCCTGCAGAGTGTATGGATACAAGCGGGGTCTTGTGCCGACTAGCATAAGCTTCGAGTGCTGCCAGAGTCTCCTCCGCGATAGGGTAGGTGTATATGATTAGTGTGAAGGGAGGCGACGTCTCGAGGATGCCACGCAGATCCAGGGTACCCTAAGATAGATATCGCATCAGCAGGTCGGCGCCTCGGTCCATGCCGCTGGGAAGACGCTGCCCCTACCTGTTCCTTCGGGAACCACTCCCCAACAACCTCGGGGTTGAGTTCTTGGAGGAGCCTGGCGCAGCATTCGGATCGGGGCTTCCCCAGACAGCTCTCATCAAGGAAGAAGTTGACGCCGAGGTCGGCCTCCTCCACTACCGCCTCGTCTGCTATCGTGAACTTCCCTATACCTGTGGCGGAAGATGCGTAAGCTCATGTTGGACCGAGCAGAACCGGAAGAGTTTGGGGTGGCCAAGCCGCATATATGCCCCTACCTGGCAGAACTAGGTTCTTGAGGGTTTCCACGCCTACGGTGCCGGCGCCGGAGTTGAGAAGCAGAAGTTTTGCCGACTCGAGCGCGGCCTGGCCGCTGGCGGCCCATAGTCTGAGCTGCCTGTCGTACTTCTTCTCCTTCTCCGACGGCCCTTTGAGGAGGGGGGGTGTTTGGCTCATCACGATCTCGGCCATCACCGTTGATATGAACACCGGTGGCCGAGGCGCTTTGAGGATCTGCCGCCGCGGGCCGTTCTCAGCACCTAACCAAGTCCCCGATCCCGGATTATTCTGCCGGCGGAGCGGCTGCACTCGGGACGGTCTAGGCCGAGAGTGAGCTACACTCGTGGGCACGATTCCGTTCTTATTCTCACCACCAAAAGATGTAACTACGGGATGTCGTCGCAAACAACGTGCAGAACGCGCCCAGACGTCGTCCGCCAATGCTCGGCTTGCCTGTGTGTCGTGTCTGTGTGTGGGGGATATCGATGTGGGTATGTGAGGTTGAGGGGGACGAGCCTATCACTGCATCGCCATGGCAAGCGCTGCGCTATTCTTCCGTTGTTGTGTAATCAGTTCTCTATTGACCGGCAATGTGAGTCGTACAGCTGGCAGCCAGCTGCACCCCTTCCATATACTCACCAGAGTACCTCAGGGATACCTGTGTTTGTACTGTAAGTTGGCGTGATCTCGAAGTACATTAGCAAGTACCTTTATCATCTCGACTCGCTTTTTTGCGGTAATCCATCACAACCTGCCCTCCTTACTAAGGTATCTCTGCGACTAATAATATCCGGGTTACCTAACATTTAATACTGCGTAACCTACTATGTACTCTTACTCAATCCATCCTTATTACAATGTCCAAGTTATCATCAGGTCTCAGCCAACACCGAGTTCTTCCCGTTATATAGGCAAGTCGCGGCGGGACCAGGGAGAGAAAAGTGAGTTTATTTTAACTAGGGTAAAATTGTGCCTCTCTGTTAACGAGAAGCCCAGGGTCCCGCACCTGGGCAGCCAGAACCTGGGCAGCTAGACATTGGCTGCTATCACGCCCGTCTTACTAGAGTCCGGAACCACTCTGCTGTGTCAGTTCTTAACCAACCGACCGACCCAACGAAAAACTACCTATGGTTAAATGCCGCGTCTGCTGGCTGAGATACGGCAGTAGGGGACGCCAGGGACATAACCCCGACCTATCGCGCCATTTTCTAGCAAGAGGGCGTCGACATAGGTGCTCAATCTCAGTTGGACATCTGCATGGGACGCAGTCGATCGACAGCGGCTTTCGACACGTACTGCTGCACCAGGATGTCCCGAGCTTGCTTCCACGATGGACCTGCCAGCGGTGTGTGCTGACTTCTAGGCATCGCAATCGAGGCATCAGATGGTCAGGGGACGAGCCCCGAGGGGGAGCCATCCAGGAGCATGGAGATGCGGAAAGAGGAGTTGGCGACGATGGACATACATTTCTCGACGACGCAACCACTGTCATTGTAGATAGTGATACTGTCCCGGAAGGCCTCTTAATCTCTCTGAATGACTGCCTGACGGACTGGTCCGCCGAGAAAACGCTGCCTGGCGGTTAAGTGACCTAACGCCCGCCTCCAAATGCTCCGCCCCGTTTAAAAAATAAAGCAGCGCTAAGCTCTAGCAAATAGACGCCTTAGACGACACACATACTGAGGCCTTAGAAGCAGAGGCTTTCTTCCTATATCCCAATCAGAATGACTGCTCGACAGGACTCTGACAACCTTGCATGGGACCGGAGCGATGAGCTCTGGGAAGAGGCAATGAAGCAAATCCGATTGTCATCTACGTGTCGCAGAATTGAATCCTTTGCCCAAAGAATGCTCGGAAAACCCGTAAAGTTAGTCACCCCATTGATTATAGGCGGCTTCAATGTGCTATATCCCATTCGAATTGAAGATTCCGCCGAAAGGGTACTCGTTCGCCTACCCTGCCCTAGCCAGGCCGTGTTTCCCGAAGAGAAGACACTCGCAGAAGCTGCAACGGCAGCGTATATCAACCAATATACCCAACTTCCGGTTCCGAAAGTATTCCACCATGGTGTTGACTCCGAAATTGGGCCGTTTATGATTATTCAAGACCTAGAATCCCGACGGGGTATGAGCCAGGCTCTTGAGGTTCCTCGTGACGATCCTAACGACACGCCCGTCTTGAATCCCGACATTTCCGAAAGCAATCTCAAGAGGCTGTACACGATAATGGCACGGTGCGTGCTACAGCTTGCACAGCCTACTTTCTCGCGCATAGGAGCTCTTGTTGAGACAAGCCCTGGGTCCTACCAGATACAAGCGCGACCTATCACCCTTAACATGAACAATATGGCTCAACTTTCTAATGTCCCCAATTCAATCTTTCCGTCCGAAGATACGACATATAAGACCGCCGATGAGTGGTACGTGGTGTTGGCCGACATGCAGATGGCAACACTCCTCTTCCAGCACAACGACATAGTGGCATCAGAGGATGACTGCAGGACTAAGTATGTCGCTCGCCAACTCTTTCGCAAACTAGCCAAACAAGGCCGACTATCAAAATTTGGGTTTGCTGAAGATGACTGGTCTGCCTGCTCGAAGCAGGCTCGTCCGACATTGTCGGCGCCGGACGGTTCGGGGTCTTTTCGCCTCTGGTGCGATGATTTTCGGCCAGTCAACGTTCTCGTTGATGAGAATGACCAGGTTGTTGGGGCCATCGATTGGGAATTCTGCTATGCTGGGCCGACACAGTTTGTCTTGGATTCGCCCTGGTGGCTACTTCTCGATGTGCCTGAGATGTGGGATAATGGCATCGAGGATTGGACAACTGTTTACGAGAGACGGCTGAAAACCTGGCTTTCAGCGATGGAAGAGGCAGAGAAAGACATGGAACCAGGTTCTATGCTGCTGTCGGCGTATATGCGAGAGAGCTGGGCAACGGGCCGCTTCTGGCTGAATTATGCCGCCAGGAGAAGCTGGGCATTTGATACTATCTACTGGAAATACCTCGATGAAAGGTTTTTCGGCGAACGGCGAGAACATGTCCCCACGGAAGAGCTATGGAAGATAAGGGCGTCTCTGTTGAGTGAAGCAGAGCGAGCAGCGATGGAGCCCCTGGTGCAAATCAAGATGGAGGAATCCAAGGAACGGCGTTTGATCGAGTGGGACAGTGAAGAAGCAAGGCGACGCCTGGCTTCTTTTCTCTTCGACTGACCATATCTAGTGCCGCATATGGTATAGCACAGGTTACTACGCAGTATCATAACAGCTTTGCGACACTACAAGCTCGTATCCACTGTAGAGTTAATGCGGCCGATGGATCGTCGTTGCAAACCTCGTCAGTAACTCAGCCACCATCAAATACTCTGCCCCTTTTAAATAGACTAAGGCGAAGCCATGGCGAATAGATATTTCAGGCGATGCATACACTAGGACATTAAAAGGAGTAAGTCATGGTGGAAGCGTCATGATGGAAAGGACCCCAAAACTCGGCATATGAATTCTCAGACCGATGTTGATATACGTTTCACTTTCACTTTAGTGGAATAATACGTGACGATTTCTCGTGAATGGTGATCGCCTGCTGGTAGTATGTTGAGCATGTAGGGCGTCGATATGGCATTATCTGGAGGTGGTAAACGAGGATAGGATTGAGCTAAGCGGGAGCTAACAATATTAGAAACCTGTCTGTTATCGGCTCTCCTAAACCCGGCTAGCAAAAGGTGTTGCTAAGAAGAAGAAAACGAAGGCAACAGCCCAATGTCGAAACTAGGAAGATGACAATCAACGACGACACTGGGATGGCGTTTCGATTAGCACCGGTCGATGGGGCCGGTGCTGCGGTATAATATAGAGGGTTCCCCTCGGTCGCCCTCGCCGCCTGATCAAGTTGCTTCTACGTTTAGCGAAAGCAACCTAGTACGCCAAAGCAATTAACCACCCACTGCAGCAATTGAGTCTTTACTTGCTATTGAAGAGGAACAGCGTAGGCATACTGTAGGTGGGGCGGATAGGAACAGTCGCAGCTGCCAACAACCGACCGAGGTGCTGATCAACACGATACGACAGCTGTAACAGCAGATGTGACAGCTGTATTTGTGATTAGCCGGCTGAACGACACCTGGGAGAAAAGAGAAAAAGACTCTAAGACGAAGACATGTACGAACGCATGGTGAAGGACGACGACCAAGGGAGTGAAGATCTATCAAGCTCTATATGGCGTTGCAGATGAAAAAAGGGTAAGGAATGAAGGATGGATAATAAAAATATGTGTGCGAGACCTATACCCATCCGAAACCCTACATGGACAAGTCCCACCACCATATGCTCCGCGAATTTACCAGCCTCATACCTACATCCACCAAGGCGTGTGCATGCAAGTAGCAAACAACTTCTGGCAGGTTTGCGATCGGCAAGGCCAGTCGCTACGATGCGGGTCTATAATATCTTCTAGCAACATCCCGTCCACGCATCGCTTACTGCGGGAGCGCACAGAGAAATGGAGAGGAGACGATAAAAGTATGGGCTATGAGCTATCGCGGCTGGAGAGCCGAGCTGAGCCGAGTCAAAGGCGTTTATCTGGTCCTGTGCAATCTACCAGTACCTCCTCCTCCCAATTTTTCCCAAGTCTCCTAGTCAGCTCGGGGCGAGGCCGCGCTTTGCCAGTATAGGCGAGGGCGTGAAGATGTAGGGGATGGTGGCGAATGAGGAAATGCCCTATGTGCCTAAGCGAGTGCGCCTAAGCGAGTGCGAGCTTACTAGGTCCGTCCTGGTCCTGGTCTCTTAGCCCCAGAGGCTGGGAGCGAATGCGAACTGATGTTACGAACGGCGGCTATGAGCTCCCAGTAGCATGATGGCTTCAAACACCCAGGTAATATTATCGCAGAGCAGAATGGCTCATCATATGCCCCATTCCGCGTGGTGGCTCCATACCGCGCATCCGGTGATGCTTCGTTGATAATTAGGTAACGATGATACGTATACCTATATATATATTATCATACCCGAGCACGTTGACAGAACAACGCATAACTGCGCTGTCCGTATACTTGAAGACGTGGGTTGACGTGCTAACCCGCTACTCCTGTCTTCCCGTGGAGTCGTCCCGGCTTCGCATTTTTACTGTGAACTCTCCCTTAATTGGGGAGGCATCACCTCCTGACACCCTAACAAGTACACGGCCATGGAGAAGACCGAGAAGACATCGCCGGAAAATGTAGAGAAGGGCGAGAGCATTAGGGAGCCCACCCTCTCTCCCGGCGAGACCAAGGAGCAGTCGAATGCTGACCATCCGGAGCTACCACTGCTACGTTTCTGGCTCCTGAGCGTTGGGCGAGTCTTGGAACCCAACGGCGAGAGAATCACCTGCTGACCGACGAGTAGTCTTTCTCTTGGGCTTTTCCTGTCGTTTCTCGATTCGACCATCGTCGCAACGAGCCTATTCGCCATCGGGAATGAATTCGGCGACTTGGCGTCTGCGAACTGGGTCGCGCTGGCCTACACGCTGACCTATCTCGGGTGCGCGGTGCTGTTCGCCCGGATCTCCGACATCGTCGGCCGCCGCGCCGCTTTCATGGCGTCCTATGTCATCTTCTTCGCCTTCTCGATCGGCTGCGGCTTCGCCCAGAGCATGGGCCAGCTGATAGCCTGCCGGGCCTTGCAAGGGATAGGGGGCTCAGGTAGGTAGTCATACCTAATACCTACATGTCGCTTCCGGGGGTCATGAAGGTGGCAGGAAAACAACGATTAACTGCCCGCAGGCCTGTATTCCCTAACCATGACTATATTCCCCGAGGTCTGCCCGCCGAGGCTGCACCATATCATCGCCGGCGTGATCGGGATTGTCATCACCGTATCGAGCGTGCTTGGCCCCATCCTGGGCGGACTCTTAACGCAGTTCACAACTTGGCGCTGGGTGTTTTGGATAAAGTACGCATCTATATAGCCCTCCCTCCCCGCCGTATGCTTCCGCCCAGCAATGCTGATGGCGTTTTCCCAGCGGGCCTATCGGCGTTGTGTCGATGCTTCTTTTCTACCTCATGTGGCCGAAGCCTCACCATTTGCCGGCCATCGAGCGAAGGTCTTGGAAGGAGCTTGATTATTTCGGCTCGATCCTCTTGATATCTTTTGCAGTTTTGATCGTTTATGCTTTCCAGAGCGTCGGAATCGACTCCGATCGGTGGTCCCAGGCTGTATTTATCGCCCCCCTGGCTGTCGGAGTGGTTTCGGCTATTGGGTTATTACTTTGGTCTCTCTTCGTGGAGAGACAGTGGGGGGACGCAATGGCCGCCGCGCTACCCATGAACCTACTGCGTGATCGCGTATACACCTCCGCAGCGCTCAACACGATGTTCCTCGGATTTCCCTACATTCTCATCATCTATGCGTTTCCCCTGAGGCTTCAAGTTGTCAATGGCAAAGATCCCCTTATTTCGGGTGTCTTCCTACTTCCAATGCTGGCGTGTACGGCAATAGGATCTGCCCTATCTGGGTTCATCAACGGAGAGAAGGATAGGGCATTTGCTTCGCTGCTTGCGGCCAACTCTCTGATGATTATAGGCTGCGGTCTCCTCTCGACTCTTTCGGCGTCGTACGAGATCGAAGCGCGGGCTCTCGGCTTTTTGGTTTTTATTGGTCTCGGGTTCGGAATGGTTGTCTCCACGGCTACCATGTTATCGTCGCTTCGGTCGTCGATTAGAGACCACGGTTAGTTTCCACACCTGAAGACGTTATCGACAAGCCCCCTAGCTAAGTAACATGTCAGCTCCCGCGCAAGGTATAATGGCCCAGGTCCGTGTCTTGGGTGGCAGCATCGGTATCGCGGCCTCTTCCGTCATTCTGAGTGTTACACTCGGAGACGAAGTTGGAGTTGTCAACTCTTCTCAGTTGGCTTTACTTGAAAGTGACCATTCCAGAGAGGCCGAGATGCAACTAACCGCGATCAGGGGCCGGTACTCTGACGCATTTAATACAGACATGAGGGTCTGCACTATTGTTGCCAGCGTAGCGATTCTTTTCACGTTCGGGACGTTTACCCGGAATAGGCTTACGGTGGCAGAGCGTAGGGAGTTGCAGAAACTCAACGAAGCGGCAAGGAGGGAGGCCACAGCATCGGACTGAACTCCGGAGCTTTGGCTACCTCAATAAAGAGTTATTGGTACTTTGATACTCTATTAGGGATAAGGCAGCTCAAGTTTCCTAGGTCGAAAGATGCTCTTAGAATAGTTTAGAAGGCTGGCATACACCCGTTGGAATACTAAATAATAGACACAATTGCCCTTAGTTCTAGCACTAACCCTATCCATTGAAAGCAAGTATTTTCCAAAGGTAATATTGCCAGGATTATTAAAGACACTATCACAACTCCTCCGCTGTCTGTCTCTATACGCGCTCCAGCCATTCTTGCCAATATTAACAGCCTACCCGAAGAGTGCTCTGTCCTGATTGTGGGCAGAATAACTACGAACAATGCCCATAATAATTCATTCGAATTAAAGCTCGTTTTTTATATAGAGTGTCCGTTTTATCTACTCTACGCTTAACTACCATCATGCGGGTTTCTCTATAGTTAAAATGCTACTATAACTCTCTCTTTGGCTGCGTCTTATATGTGCTACAGACTACGAAGACTCGGTATGTACAACGCAGCACCCCCCAGCTCCATCAACCGTCTTTAACTACGTAAGATATGGGCCCTCACTCCTGCTCCTCTTCTCAACGTTGACTGACCCTAATATCATCAGGCCTCTCTCCTGCTCGTTCCTCCCTAAACAATCTGAAAGTCGCGGCTTTCGAGCTTCTGTATCCGCGCCCTCATCTTGTCCTGGTTCTCACTCACCACGGCTCGCGCTACTATACGATGTTCTTGCGTGCTGCGTTCGCCCTCTGGATCCTCTACCTCCCTAAGGACCAAGTACGCAGAAGACATATGGATGACAACAAGTGCGTCGCCTACTCGGACAGGCGCGGTGGCAATCCCGATGATGCCTTCGTCCGTGATGAAATACGGCTTCCCAGCAGCCCTCTTCAGCCGGTCGTGTACTGTATCATCCTCTTCGTTCGTTGCCCTGTTTACGTATTCCTCTCGGCCCAGAGTAAAAATGTTCAACGTTTCTTTTGGCAAAGCGTCGCAAAGGAGCCGCCTAACTCCTCTCCCAAGAATGCTTCGAGGACTCGTGACCTTGTAGAGAAAAGCCTCGCATGCTGAGAGTGTTCGAAGGAATATCTGTGTCGCGAACTTTCTTTTTCGTCTTCCCATATTCCGCCGGTTGCGGTGAAAATGGACACGACAGATAAACTCGCCATACCCTCCGGGTTCCGTACCATCATCGAAGTAGGGGACTATACCTGTCGTGTGAATGGTGCCGATATGGACTCCTGTGCAAAATAACGTCCTGGGGGTGGCGAGGAAACGGTTGCCCTCCATCCCCTCCCTATACTCAGGCTGCCAGCTTCTGTTGTGGTCGAGGTACCCGTCAAATGTGATATCGTCCTCAGCGGCAATGCTGTGATAGTGTGAATCGGAGTAGGTAAAGTCATAGGCCCATGACGGGTGAGAGGTGGCGTTGCTACTATCCGGTTGGGACTCGATTAGTAGTTTAAATCTCGTGCTTAAAAGGAGCGCCTTCGCTGACGTATTGAAACACTGCGCTGTCGCTCGCGTGAACACGGACTCTACGGACTCGTTGTAGGTCGGGTACATGAGGTCTCTCTCGATCTTAGGTAATAGGGCTCGCAACGCAAAATACTTATCTCGGGGATCGGTGGCCTTATAAGCGCTAAATATCATAAGGAGCATATACGCTGGTGCCACACCAACTTGTGGGGAGATCTGGCTTTGGCGAAGGCGGTTAAGTATGAATCCAGAACGCCTGAGCATCCAATACGTTGTCTGGTGCTGCCACACGCACAGAACTGGCTCTAAATCTTGAGAGTGTAGCCAAAAATTAACATTGCAAGAAGCGGGATGTCGAATATGTCCCGGGACTGTTCCACTTACCACGTGGGTTGCCATCCCCATCATCTTTTAAGCAAGCCTCGAAGTGTCCCGTTATGGTGTCTTGTAGGTTTTCAATCGCCGCGGATGCCGCCATCAAGTCCCCAAATGAAAACTCGTAGCCTCGAAAAACAATATTTGGGTGTTGTATTGGGAGAGCGGCTTCTTGTACGGTCCACACTCGCTCCCACCATTCGTGTGACAAGATTACGTTGGCGCAGTGGATGAGCATGATACCGAGACATATAGTCTTATACAGCGTGTTACTCGAAGACGGTTGATGGACCTCTTTGAGAATACTAACGAGATCGTATTGATCTATCGTATTTCCCCCAAAGCCTGGTGGTAGAGAACCGAGAATATCGCTCGGGTCTCCGGTAGCAGCCAACTCTGGCGTTTGACGAGTTAGCCATATAGTTGTTTTCCTTGCCTTGGAATAGATGTTGTGCATGAGGCGAATCTGGTGAGCCTTTTCTTGCGGGTCCGACTGGTTTATGCAAATCGCATCAATCCAGATGGTTCTGGTGGCGTGTTGATAGCGCAAGCCGAGGAGAATATCGTGGAGATTCACCGTTACCGGAAAAGGGCGATTGTCGACGTAGATAGATTTTGGGTCTTCCTCATTACCCCAGACATAGGACAAGGCCTCTTCGATTTCATCCGTATCCAGGTTGCGCTGCTCCAGCCGACAATAGATGGGGCTGTCTCCGGAGCCAGGGAGGAGGTGGAGGACGCGGATGAGCTTCGTTGAGGACCGCTCCGATGTGGAAGCCAAGCTGTTCTGATATCGATACCTGCTCTCCCCCTCTCCTTGGTCAAGCTGCGGAGTTTTTGGCGGGGGTTCGGGCGATTTGAGGCCCAATTGTTTCGATTGCCTATGGAGACTTATGAGAAGACTGAGGTGGGTGAGAAGATCCCCTTTCAATGGAACGTGCTCTGCGGTTATGCTGATATCGAAAGCATCCATTATCTCATAGATTACTGCCAACATGATCTCGTACAGGCTGCTCGCTAACCAGCCATCGCCGTTCGATATTCCTTTCAGCGTAACTGGTCGAGATTCGTTATCACGTAAGAACAGTACCACATCCATGACCTCGTTCTCTATCCCGCTTAACAAGTCGCTCGTTTGCATGACACTTCGTCCTTTTGGCAGAACTACGCCAGCGAATTCGTAAAGGGAGAGACAGGGCTGGCCAGTCTGTTCCTCGCGAAGCAGGTCCTGGATGATCCGAAATCGGGAATCGCGTTTACAAAGGTCGTCAACGATATCATTGACGGCCTTCGCCATTAATATTAACGGGAATGTCGCCTTAGGCTTATCTAGAGAGTGGTCAGGAAGACCATGTGTAGCCATTTTCTGTGAGATACCCGGTCGAAAGGCGTGTTGTCATTGTAGAAGTGCCAGAGGCTCTTGGTGACTGTATCTCTTGGTAGTTTCGCTGACGAGAGCTGATATTATACCGGAAGATAAACAGCCCCGTTCCCAGCCCCAATAGAACGTTTCTACATTATATATACCAGTAACTAGCTTTAAAGAGTGATAGGTTGGCTTTCTCTGCATCTGCTGCGGCCGGACAAATTCACAGCCTCTCTGACTGGTGTTGTCGCATTCTCCACCTACAGTACGACACCGCCCTTTTCGCTCGCGGATGTCCTACGATAGGTTCGAGGCCCTTACTGACAATATCGGTATACAAATATGTAGGCTTCCTACTTTATGCTCAACATACTTGGTTACATGTCCCTGGCCTGTAATGTTGTCAGCTTGCTATGCCTAGAGAATAGAGCCGCGAAAAGAGGACGAGTCGGTAGCATAAGAACTGAATTAAACCCATGCACAGAGCAAAGGTGTAGGTACAAAAAGAGCTGGACGGAGCTTTTGCAACAAATTCATCATCCAAAGGTTAGCGACTTGTCTTCAACTGTGAGTTCCGTAGGTAGTGCGTATCGGTCGCCGAGATCGTTCGCATGGGTTGCCCTCACATACCTAGGGATACGGTAGGGATACATACATGCCTAATTTTAGGGGTTTGATGTCTTGTCTGTTCCCCCAGTTGCTCCATAGGAGGCAATATGACTTGGGGAATAATCGTCACGCTTCTTTATATTCCCGGTATCTGTGTTTTTGTTACGGCGATGCCCTAAGCTTCGGTAGATATACCTACGATCTTGGCGATGCTATCGTGGTTCCGTGGCGTGTGTGCCCACAATCGGGTCCACGGAAAGCACCAGAAAACCAAGGGGATTGCCAGCTACCTGCCTGGTTCCAGCGGACAATTGCGGATCGTAAGGGCTGGATAAAGCACCTATACAGAGGTAGTCATATGCATATGCTGTCGCGGTCCTGGCGCGAAGATAGGATCGCGGAAAGGGATGAGGCGGGCGGGCGGTGCGTGGCTAGGTATGGATAGGTGGGTAGGTACCTAGATCGGGGTCGGTACCAGCCAGTACCAAGCCACTATCAGTACCGGTACCAAGCCACTAAGCTGTCGGCGTCGGGGGGGGGTTCACCCGGGGGGATGGGTACCTGGGGCTGGTGAGCTTAGGTACCTAAGGCCGTGGTGAAATGGCAAAACGCGGCGCTAGCAGAAGCTGAAACTACTGAATCCGAGAAACAGGGGTCGCGTTGGGCAGGGTTAGGTGATGAGCCTACCTATTAGTTAGGTACCTAACCTTACCTATTGATGAGGCGGGTATATAACTTAGGTAGGTACCTCTTGGCTTGGCTTGGCCGCCACGCGCCTAGTCCGGTTACATGCTTATCAGCATCCTAATTTACACGATAAGCCGTAGCGCAGCATCTCTGCCTTTGCGACAATCGACTTTGGGATTATTATTCTGGCCCCAGTCCAACTCTTCCCTGTACACGCACGCCCCATCCCTTCTCTTCCTCCGTCTGTCTGTCGTGTCCTCGACGTCGACATCAGCGACAACACCGCCCGCCGGCTGCTGCGACCGCCTGAATTGACCCTACCCGCTACCTAGTTACCGTCAACCTCTGCCTTCGTCCCCGTCCAGCGCTTCATTGCCGCCCATCTCCACTCATGAATCCTTAATCCGGTATCTCGTCTTCCGCCCCTGAAACTTCCCACCCTGACGGCCCACCGTGGAAGAAGAAGAGAAGGGTTCTACGCGCCCTGCCATCTCGAACCCCCCCCACTACGCGAACATCTCTCGGAAGCTCGCTACTCAGTTCGAATGCTACCCTCATATGCGTCTTCCACCGGCTCCAAGATGATGTCCCGACATCATTCCGCCGGGTACTCCAATGGCTATCCCCGTGGGAACACCTTTGACATATCCCCCCACAGGTGGGCGAACCCCCCCCCCCCAAGACCGTAGCCCGTCGCTACTTACTAGCTTCTCCTTCGCGACCTGCTAACTAACTAACTAACGGCACCGCTGATCAGATTCCAACCCCGCGCTTCGACCCCCGCGTCCCGTCGAAGAAAGAGCCTGTTGACTCGGCTAGGTATATTAGCTATAGTCTTGGTGGTATTTTGGCTTTTCATCTGGCCTGGCGGCCGGTCATTTACTTCGATATTCTCCCTCGGCCTCATAAGTGCGACCGGCGAGGCGTTGATGGACACGGTGCGGTACTACGACTTGTCGAACGTGCAGGGGACCGCTCGCGGTTGGGAGAGGGAGGAACGCATCCTGATGTGTGTGCCCTTGCGAGATGCCGAGCCACATCTGCCTATGATGTTCTCCCATCTCCGCAACTTCACCTACCCTCATCACCTGATCGACCTTGCCTTCCTCGTATCCGACTCGAAAGACCGAACTCTGGAATTGCTTGTGGAGAAGCTTGAGGAGCTGCAGGCTAGCGAGGACCCGAAACAGCCGTACGGGGAGATATCCATCATCGAGAAGGACTTTGGGCAGAAGGTCAACCAAGACGTGGAAAGCCGCCACGGCTTCGCGGCGCAGGCCAGTCGTCGGAAGCTGATGGCCCAGGCGCGGAACTGGCTCCTGAGTGCAACCCTTCGTCCGTATCATTCTTGGGTGTATTGGCGGGATGTCGACGTTGAGACGGCCCCGTTCACCATCCTCGAGGACCTCATGCGTCATAACAAGGACGTTATAGTACCCAGTGAGTACTCACGAATAAGGTAGCCGCGACGGCGGCCGTATTGCTAACGGCGCGGCAGATGTCTGGCGACCGCTCCCAGATTGGCTAGGCGGCGAGCAGCCATATGATTTGAATTCTTGGCAAGAATCGGAGACGGCGCTGGCCCTGGCTGACACTCTAGACGAGGACGCCGTGATTGTCGAAGGGTATGCCGAGTACGCGACGTGGCGGCCCCATCTGGCCTACCTCCGTGATCCCTATGGCGACCCAGACATGGAAATGGAGATAGATGGCGTGGGAGGCGTCAGCATTCTGGCTAAGGCGAGGGTCTTCCGGTCCGGCGTCCACTTCCCTGCCTTCAGTTTTGAAAAGCACGCCGAAACGGAAGGTTTTGGCAAGGTAAGCCCTCCCTTGCTCACCGTAGGAACCGAGGCTCACCCCCTGCGTAGATGGCTAAACGTATGCAATTTTCTGTCGTTGGGCTGCCCCATTATACCATCTGGCATTTGTACGAGCCTAGTGTAGATGACATCCGACATATGGAGGTAAGTGGCCGAAATGGTACCGAAACGCAGGCCATTGCCCACTCTAACATGCGATCCAGGAGATGGAACAGGAACGCCTGGCTAGGGAGGCCGAGGAGAAGGCGAGGCAAGAGCGGGAGAAGAAGATCAAGGAAGAATTCGGCGACGCCAATAGCCAATGGGAGAAGGACAAGTCCGAGATCCAAAACCTCGCCAAACAGCAGGCCCAGAAGGAACAGGAACCCGAACAGAAGAAGGACCCGGAATCGGAGAGCAACGATGAGTCCAGCGGTAGCGAAAAGAGGGAGGCCGCCGACCCAGCTGGGGAGAAGAAACAACAATAAATCCCCGTCCGAAGGGGGAGGGGAGGGCTGGCTGGCTCGCGCTACGAGTATAATCGGGATGATGAAAACACGCCTTGAGAGGTAAGGAAAAGGAAAGGCGGGTACATGAGTGATCGACTAGTATGGTCGCCTGTATAATAAAATGACCCTGGCGAGGATCATGGCACTGGCGTTTTGGTAGTGTCGATGCATGGCTACGAAGCATGGGGAAATATCAAAGCTGGCAACGGAACCGCGTTGTTGTATAGACCTGGCCCTGGGGCCTTATTATATCTACCTAGTACCTACGCGGTGCATGAGGTTGTTATTTGCGCAGGTGCGGGTGCGAGGCATCTTTGCCTGGCGGTTGTGCACGAATACACAGAATACAGGCGACCCCCAGAAGAAGAATAAGATAGAAAAGGGGCTTCGCTTCGATTGTTGAATGAACTCGATATGCGGGTTATGACGGTGGAGAATTGGGGGGGGTGCGAGGCCGCCACGTTGTCATGTTTGTGGGGGATCAGGTCGCCCCAATTGTTGTCCCCGGCTGCCAGCTGCCAGCTTCCCATCGCACTTGGCACATGTGAAAGACCTTTGGGGTTGCCGACGTAAATGCGAATCCGCCTCTACAGGCACCACGAACTACCACCATTTGTGTCGACCTGCCCGTGTCTACTTGCTTAGCATTCGCCTTCGGCATACGGGAAGACTCTGGCGCACGCGAGACCCTAGCGATCCCGAGACAGATTTCTCGATTTCCCTCTTCCTTCTGCGCTCTGGTTTCCGCGCCCGTTCCCGCCAAATTTCATCCCCAACCCCACGACGACTCCGACCGCGACCGAACCTGCGAGCCCTGCCCTTTTCTCCATTGCCTCCGAACCCCGAGCCGCCCGTGTAGGCGAGGATGAGCCGAGATGAGCAGAGCAGCGATACAATGGAACTAGAGCACGCTCCCGAGCCGAAGAGCTTGGTGCTGTCGGGGAATCCGGGGGTGGAGGGCAACCATCTGGCGTCTAACCCGCAGTACCGAAGTCGGCCGGTCACGGTAGCTGTAGACCCGGCGTCTCTGGTCATATCAGAATGCATAACCGTCACCTCGGCCATGCGAAAGAACGCTCGGTGGGCGGGCTCGTCGGTGTCCTCCATCCTCGGCGGCAACCCGAATCCGGTCCAACTGGGACCCCCTAGTCCCCTCTTACGGCCCGGCAGCAAAGGATCCGTGAACAGCTTGGGGCCAGAGGGTGCCCAGGACTTTGCCGTCACCAACCGCTGGGGACTGCGGGGCAAGAAGGGCAGGAGCATGCAGGATAACCCCCTGATGGCCGGGTTTGGCCGTCTTCGCCATGAGCTGTCTAATTGCAGAGGTAACGAGGTAGTGCCGAACCGCTGTGGGGGGGGGATGCTAACTTATGCCTTAGCTATTCACGAGTTCGACGCCCCGGCACTTCTCAATCCATTTCTCCAGGTTATCCAAGCTTCCTCGACCTCGGCACCCATAACGATCCTCGCTCTAAAGGCAATCCGAAAGTTCCTCTCGTACGGATTTATTAGCCCCGGATCACCGCGATTCCCTCTCGCCATGCAGCTCCTATCCACTGCGATAACCCATTGCCGGTTCGAGGCTAGCGACTCTGCCCAGGACGAGGTGGTTCTGCTGATGATATTGCACCTCATGGAGGATATGCTTTCCGGACCGGGCGGCGCGTTGCTTAGCGACGAGAGCGTGTGCGAGATGATGGAAACGGGCCTGACAATGTGCTGCCAATCGCGTCTGTCTGAGCTGCTTCGCAGGACAGCGGAGGCGGCTATGGTCCGCATGTGCCAGATCATATTCGAACATCTGAAACATCTTGAGGTGGAGGCCGGTGACGACTTGGAGGCGCTAGATAACCAAGCAAACGGCGGTATGGAGGGTGTTAAGATGGTTCCATCCACAAATGGCAATGATGTTATTGCTTCTTCCGACGCTCCTCCTACTAACGAACCGCGGTCGTCGTCCGGGTCCGAGAATACCTCTAACGAGTCGGAAGAGAAACCCGTGGAGGATGAAGAGCCCTCTGATTCCGACGAGTCGGGAGAGATTAAGCCCTATTCCTTGCCGTCGATGAAGGAGCTATTTAGGGTGTTGGTCGATCTTCTTGACCCCAACGACAAACAGCAAGGGGATACGATGAGGGTCATGGCACTGCGCATTATTCATGTTGCTCTAGAAGTTGCTGGCCCGTCTATAGCGAGACACCCAGCCCTAGCTGTAGTCGCCGAAGATCGCTTGTGCCGACACCTTTTCCAACTTGTCCGCTCTGACAACATGGCTATCCTGCAAGAAGCACTCATCGTTGCCGGGACGCTATTTGAGACCTGCCGGGGGGTCCTAAAACTCCAACAAGAGCTGTTCCTGTCTTACCTAATCGCCTGTTTACATCCGCCAGTCGAAATACCGCGAGAGCCTAATATTGATCCCTCACTATACGACGGGATTCCGCAGAGGCCGAGCGGCTCCAAGCCTCCCCCGTCGCAAGGGGGTAGCGGTAGATCCACACCAGTTCCCGTCAAAGACCGACAAAAGCTCGGTATGGAGGGGGGTGCGCGAAAACCAGATGCCCGGCAAGCTATGGTAGAAAGCATTGGCGCTCTGACTCGAATGTCAACCTTTCTGGTTGAACTCTTTGTCAACTACGATTCTGATGCAAACCGGGGCAACTTATGCGAAGACATGATCGGGCTACTCTCGCGGAGCGCGCTCCCTGACTCGGCGACCTGGAGCACAACTAGCGTGCCCCCCCTTTGTCTCGATGCGCTGCTCGGTTTCGTTCAGTCCTTAGCAGACCGGCTAGACGACGAGACAGTCTCGGAGGGACTACCGGACCAGGCAGCTCTCCGAGAAGAGAGGCGGAGAAAGGGAATCATTATTAAGGGCGCCACCAAGTTTAACGAAAAGCCCAAGGACGGTCTAGGCTATCTTAAGGAGCAGGGAATCATCGACGACGACCCAATATCGGCTGCCAAATTTTTTAGAAGCACGACTCGAGTTTCCAAGGCAGTTCTCGGGGAGTTCTTGTCTAAAAAGGGCAACGATCGGTATCTGGAGGCCTTCTTGGACCTTTTTAACTTCTCTGGCAAGCGCGTCGATGAAGCCGTACGACTTCTTCTCGAGAGCTTCCGGCTTCCCGGTGAGTCGCCGCTTATCGAGCGAATAGTGACCGCTTTCGCGAAGAAGTATTTCGCTACGTCGAACTCGGACGTGGTCGCGAGCGAGGACGCCGTGTTCATCCTTACCTACGCAATCATCATGCTCAATGTCGACCAGCATAGCCCAAAGCTCAAGGGCCAGAAGCGCATGGAAATCGTAGACTTCGCGCGGAATCTGCGCGGTGTTAACGGCTCGAGGGATTTTCCTCCCGAATTCCTCGAGACAACGTTTGAGGCCATCAAGTCTAACGAGATCATCCTCCCTGATGAGCATGATAACAAGCATGCATTCGACTATGCCTGGAGGGAAATGTTGCTGAAAACCGAATCTGCCAGCCCGCTGGTAGTTTGCGATACCAACCTCTACGATGCAGATATGTTCGCCACGACGTGGAGGCCGATCGTTTCGACATTGTCTTATGTGTTCATGTCGGCGACGGACGACGCAGTCTTCTCCCGTGTGGTCACCGGGTTCGACCAATGTGCCCGGATTGCCTCCCGATACGGAATTACCGAGGCCCTAGACCGCATCATCCAGAATCTCAGCTACATGACCACGCTGGATACGGACGGATTATCGAACACGGCACTTAATACGGAGGTCAAAGTCTCTGATGACAGCGACAGCGTTATGGTTAGCGAACTTGCCGTTAAGCTCGGTCGGGATTTCAAGGCCCAACTCGCGACTCTCGTCCTGTTCCGTGTCGTCAAGGGGAGCGAGCACGTTATCGGTCACGGCTGGCACCACGTAAGTCAAGTTAATGTGCCTCGATGGCTTCCGAACTAACCGGTCTAGATAATTCGCATCTGGTTGAAGCTCTTTGTCAACTCTCTCATCCCCTCCTTCTTCACCGACGAGTCCGGGAAGTTTCCCAAAATTCCCCTCCACACGCCATCCCAGGTTATCGACCGAGCCGCGAAGACCGCCGAGACGGGCTTGTTTTCGGCGCTATCTTCGTATATCTCGAGTTATGCTGCCGACGATCCCCCGGAGCCCTCAGCCGAGGAGGTCGAGAGTTCACTCAGCACAGCCGATTGCATCAAGGCCTGCGATCTGGGGAGCGTCTTCTCCAACATCTCGTAGGCCCCCTTCCAAGACCAACCACCTGCATCGTACTGACACGACCTAGGAGCCTATCTACGGACTCCCTCTCACGACTAGTAGAAGCCCTGTTAAGCGAGCTACCCGATGATGAAAGCTCGAGTGTGCCCGTTATTACGGTGAAGCCGGATAGCTTGCCTTCCTCGCCTACTAGCGGGTCTAAACCGGAATCTAGGAGACCTATATACGACCCTGCCGTAGTCTACATTCTAGAATTTTGTACCGTCCTCGCGTTACGGGATAGCACGACGGTCGAATTGCTCGGAAAGTCTGTCGCAGAGGCCCTCCAGATGTTCTTGCGCGACTCTATTCAACATCACCATATCCTCGTTTCCAGAGCGGCTTATTATCAGTTTAGCATACTAAAAGCAAGCTACGTGAGTACCATAAATAACCAGCTATTGCGTGCTCGTATTGACTATGTAGGAACATGACTTCGTGCGAGCGCCGGTACTTCTGCACGCGATATCTAGTTTCCCGAAAGAAACCCTTGCGAAGACCTCGCCACTAGTCTTGCAAGGGTTGAAGCTCTGTATTGACCAGCCAGGACCCCTCCGGAGCGAGATTATGACATCGCCCGACTTCTGGGTTGTCTTGCGCATCCTTGCCGGCAACTCCAGCGCGTCCCCGATAGTCTTTGATATCCTCGAGGGTGGTGTTTCGGGCTCGCCGTCGGCAATAATCGCGGACAACTACGAAGCCGCGATAGCCTTGCTGAACGACTACGCCAGTGCCGCCAAAGTGGGAGCACTCGTAGAGCAGAAGGGCGAAAAACGGCAGAGGAATGCTCGGCCGCCCAAGAAAGAGGCACCAAGGTAAGTCCTCGGGATGTCTTCCAGCCTTGGAGACACATCTAATTGGCAATAGTGAAAATGCGGTCGTCGCGCGGGGTGTCAAGGCCGTCAACCTCATTTCGAGTATGACTGCCCGTATCCCTTACCTGATGAAGCAGTCACACCTCGAAAATAGTGAGGGTGAGTTGGTATCCGATGGACCTACACGCGACGTTGCTAACTCCAGTGTAGCTTGGTCGGCCTATTGGTTGCCCATCTTCCAGGCTCTCACGACGCAATGCACCAACCCGTGTCGCGAAGTGCGACACCTGGCCTTCTCATCACTGCAGAGGTCCCTCCTGTCACCGGAGCTGACGTGTAGCGACCACGAAGAGTGGACGGCCATATTTAGTGAAGTCCTGTTCCCTCTGATCTTGAGGTTGCTGAAGCCAGAGGTCTATTCCTCGGACCGGGACGGCATGAGCGAGACTCGCGTGCAAGCCGCCTCCCTGCTCTGCAAGACTTTTCTGCAGTACCTCGTGCTCCTCTCGAAGTGGGATGGAATGCTAGATCTGTGGCTGAAGATTATCGATATTATGGATAGGCTGATGAATAGCGGTCAGGGGGACAGCTTGGTAAGGACTTTTCACGATCTTCATCTCATCTCTGGTCGCTAACATTTGACGTCAGGAGGAGGCCGTACCCGAGAACCTAAAGAATGTACTGCTATTCATGGCTAGTAGCGGGTACCTTGTTCCGCCGAGCAAGAATCCTTCTCAGGAGCAACTTTGGGTGGAGACATGGAAGCGGATAGACCGTTTTCTGCCGGATCTGCGGAATGAATTGGCATTAGACGAGCCAGAAGTCACTCCGGAAGCTCCTCCGGCCGCTGTCCCGGAGGGGCAGGAGGATCCCGTACAGGCAGAAGCAGAGCCGCCAGACGAGGAGAAGAGCAACGCCCAAGAACAAGATGCCGTGGCCCGAGAGGAGAAATGATTGAAAAGCCAAAGCAGTCAGGGGACACGAGCGATGCATAAATAGGGGCATAAGCCGTAGAAAGGGAGCAAGAGAGGGCATAGTGGGAAACTACAAGGGTGGTGGTGATGGCGCGCTTCATGCGGGGGCCTGTACAGTAATAAAACTAGAGACTCAGCCGCCGAGGCGGGAATGCGTGTCTCTCCCTATGGATGGAGACAACAAGACAGATGCTTAGGTGCTTTCGCGATGATTTATGGCTTCCTCCCGAGCATAGTCAGGAATGGCGCAGAGTTGTCGAACAGCCTATGTACCTCTGGTTGCAGTGCTTGATTCGGTACATAATATAGCATATGGACCACAACTGTTGGCGAATTCGATCAAAATAGGGGTTGCGAGTATGGAGAGGGTGGAGTGGCAGCCAGCTGCCATGCAGTCCTGGCCACTTGTCGCGCCTCTCTTCGCACTGACAAAGCCAAGCTTGGAGGCGTCATGCTTAGGTAAGCGGTGTTTTGGCCAATTCTTTTTGTTCTTTTTGATTGCAGCTTGGGGAGCTCGAAAGCTTAGAATTCATCCATTCTCGCCAACCCGTTCAGACTCGCCATCCCAGCAGATCTCGCCCGTAGAAGCGTCAGCGATACCAAGTCGCAGAACACATCCCGGTAGAGGAAGACAACCGTTGAAGAAGAAGATGGCTTCCAGCCAATCTATTGCCACGTATGTGTCATTGCACTCCGACACATACACACTCTGGCTCAGTGATGCTCCTCTCGCACCCCCCTGCCCCTGCTCGAACGCCTAGAGTCCCCCTGGCTCGTCGCGCGTCTCCCCATCGCCAGCACCGGGCCCTCGTGCGCGTCTCGTGAGAACCTGTCTGCTAACCGCGTGCCGACCGGGCTCCCGCGCGGGCCCCGGTCCGACGCCGCAACGCCACAGCGTGTACGTGCGGAACCTGGAGGAGCGCGTGAAGCCGGAGCCGCTGCGCGCGGCGCTGAGCGCGGTCTTCTCGGAGTACGGGACGGTGATCGACATCGTGGCGAAGCAGAACCTGCGCGCCAAGGGCCAGGCGTTCGTCGTCTTCGACCGCCCCGAGGCCGCCCTCCACGCCGTCGACGAGGTCCAGGGCTTCGAGCTCTTCGACAAGCCCATGCACGTCGCCCTCGCCCGCACCCGCAGCGACGCCACCGTTAAGCGCTCCGGCAACCGCGACGAGTTCGAGCTGCACCAGCGCCGGCGGCTGGCCGAGAAGGGTGAGTGCCCTCCCTCCCCCCTTACGTATACGTATATGGGCAGTGAATATCTCTCGCTGGCTCGCGGAGAACGCCAGCGAACAATCGGTGGAAGAGGAAGCGATTACGAGGAGGACACTTTTGGCTAACAGGCGGTTCCATCACCACGCTCACACACAGACAAGAAGAAGGCGGCCGAGGCAGCCGAGGAGCAGAAGCGACTGAAGCGTCCGGGCGCGGGCGGGGACGCGAACCTGCGGCCGACGAAGGCGGCGCGCGGCGCGGGGCTCAGCACGGGTCTGAAAGCGACGTCGGGGGCAGCGGGCGCCGGCGGCGCGGCCGGCGGTGCTGGCGCGGCGGGGGCGAACGCGGTGGTGCCGGACGAGTACCTGCCGCCGAACAAGATTCTGTTCGTGCGGGACCTGCCGGAGGACTACGACATCGAGGCGCTGACGGGCGTGTTCGGCCGCTTCGAGGGCTTCCGCGAGGTCCGCCTCGTCCCCGGCCGCAAGGGCATCGCCTTCATCGAGTACGAGGCCGAGGCCGGCGCCATCACCGCCAAGGAGAACACCGCCGGCCTCGCCCTCGGCGGCGGCGCCGACGGCGGCCCCCCCGCCAAGGTCATCAAGGTCACGTACCAGCGGCAGTAGTAGTAGTAGAGAAAGCGGGGGAGACTCACGGTATCCATGGGGGCCCGGCACGGGGGGGGGGCTGCGTGTGGTGTTCCTGTGCGAGGGAGAGGTTGTGGCAGACAGAGTATGCAGGGAATAGACGTCTATCCATCCACAGGCCCATCTCGCGGAGGAGCACCAAAAGGTGCTCGCTACTTTGAGAATGTAAAGAGGATGAGAATACAGAGGGGATGAGAGAAAGGTAATTCCAACTTAATCATGGTATCATCATGTGAGGCAATGCATATCTATCTACACATATTGTCCACGTATATGCACGACGGCGCGCCAGCCCGAAGCCAGCTAGCCTTCCCCCCGTTCTCCCACTTGATCGGGGCTTCGGCCACCTAGACCGCCCGCTTCTAGCACTACCACTCTTGCAACAAACACTATCTCCTCCCCCTTCCACCACCAACCCCCGCGCGCCGCTCAGAAGATGACGTCGTCGTCCTCGCCGGTATTCAGTATGTCGGCGGGCGCGGCGTCGTCGTCGCGGGCGCGGTCCGGGGCGTCGCGGGCGGCGAGCTGCTCGGCGCGGCGGGCCTTCATCTCGGCGTCGGCGGCGGCCGTGTCGCGCTGCTTCTTGCCGGCCACCTTCTTCAGCCGGTAGAACTCCTCCCGGTCGAGCTCGTCGAGCTCCGAGTTGATGTCTGCACGCCACCGTTCAGTTTCTGGAAAGGGGCGGGGATTTGGGGAGGACAAGCTCACATTTGATGGTGTTTTCCGTCCGCGGTATGATGACGTGTTCGCTGCGGGGAGCAGTTAGTGAAACGGCCCGGAGCGTCCGGGTTTGCGGGGTGATAGAGAGGGCGGATAGTTGGAGAAAAAGGGGGGGGGGGGTTACATGGCGTTTACTGTAGTTGCGTGTGAGGGTCAGCTCTCGCTCTTTAGCGTTCGGGATATTCCCGGCGGCGCGGGACGTACCTCTGCGGTTGACGACCTTGATGACCTCGTCGAGGATGACGAAGGCGGTCTGGAGGCTGGCGAGCTCGACGAGGGTCTCGACGGCGCGGGCGTAGGTCTCGCGGCAGCGCTGGACCTGCTGGCCGCCCTTGCCGAGGCCGGTGAGGCCGAAGTCGTTGTTGCCCTCGGTGAGGAAGCTCTCGAAGGCGGGCAGCAGCACGCCCGACACGTTCTCCTGCTTCGTGCGCAGCCGGAACCGCGCCGACCGCGCCGACTCCTGCACCTGGTACCCGATGTCGCCGCCCACGGCGTACGTCACCTCGGCCAGCGAGAAGGCCGCGATCTGCATGACCCGGCCCATCTTGCGCTTCGCCTCGTCGATCCGCCGGGTGATCTCTGCGTCTCGTTTTTAATACGCGTGCGGCGTGGAGGGGGGGGGGGGGGGGGGGTGAGGAGGGAGGAAGAGCTGGAAGACGGGTAGGGAATGGAGCTCCTGCGTACCTCGAAATCGTCTGTGTTTCATCTGCATGTCAATATAAGAGCCGCGAAGTAGGGGGGAGGAGTAGGTGGGCCGACGAGGAGGAGGAGAGGAGCGTCTAAGAGATAAAGCAAGCTTCATGACGTACTTGGTGAGGGCTTCGCTCTTGCGCTTTAACAGGTTGTGACCGGTCTCTGCTCCTTTGAGCTTCGCCTTCATAATCCCCAACGACTGCCTCGTGGGGAAGACAGGCTCTCGGTCCTGGAAGAGAGGTGGGGGGGACTGGGTCAGTATACCGATGCATTTCATAACTCTAAGATGTCCGCTCGGACGGGCCCATCTCCTCTTCGACGTACTCCAGCTCCCGACATGATGTCCTGCTAGCCAGCTGCGGCTCCGGCTCCCGTGGTAGGATCGTGGAATATTGGGGCGTTTCTCGGGGGGTTGGGCGGGGCGTCGGGGAGGGATGCTCGGAGCTCGTACAGAGCAGGGTCGGGGGACGGAGAGTAGGTGAGTGAAGAGCGGCGCCTGTCGATTGCAGAGGAGGAATTAGAAAATCGGTTGCCGGAGCTGCTGGCCGTGGCTCGTAGGGGGGGCGATACTCGTCGGAGGTGGCGGCGTCTCGCCTCGGACCGGTAATGGGTAGACGTGAGTGGAGTGGAATGATGGAGATAGGTAGGTTTATAGTAGGTAGAGGATAGACAGAAGGATGATGCATCCGATAACCAGTCTGAATATAAGGTAGGTAGGTACTTAGGTACGTGCCGCTGGTGGCGGCATACTAAGGTGTGGCTTGATCGGTGAGCCACCTGAGGCTCAGCCTATACCTGACTGTTTACTACCTGATGGGGTTGGCAGATTTCAGTCCAGCAGTAAGCCGGGAGGGCGAATACGTTATCATGTGACCTCGCGAATATCACCGCTGTCCTCCCCTGGACAAGCTCTTAGCAGACGCGAGTTCTCGTGTTGTTTCACGCGATTCTCCCACTGCTGTCTCGCCTAAAGCTTTCTATTCATACGAGTTCAAAACTGCCCTACCTCTCGTCCGCCCTTTAGGTTTAGCCAAAGCCTCTGTAGGGAGCTGTCTGAGCTTTCTGTACCTATAGCTAGGTACCTATACCTAGTGAAATACCTACCCCCTACTCTAACTATGAAACCCCTCGGATCATGGTCTTTATTCAGGTACAGTCTGTTAAGGTCTCTCTGCCTACCTCACGCTAACCATCGGCACATCATCCCCGGGGCTTCCCTCTTCCCACCCCAACTCTATTTAAAACCCACCCCCAGCACTGACTTGAGATCCTACGTCTTCGTTAGCATAGAATGATAGGTACCGTCAACATTCGTGAAGTCTCACCTCGAGTGTCTCTAAAGAGGATTCGGTCCCCGTGTTGAAGGTGAACTTTGCAAGCTCTCGTTTCCTTTTCTGGAGGTTGACGATATTCTGCAAGCCGTAAGCTACGGTTAAGAGTAGAAATTAGGGAACATTCAGGCTGACTACCTTCTCCACTGTGTTTTCCATCATGTATCGGACGATGGTAACCTCTCGAGTCTGCCCCATTCGCAGGGCGCGTGCAATGGCCTGTTCTTCCACAGATGGATTCCACTGAGGCTCAACGATGTGCACTTTGTTGGCGACTGCCAAGTTCAATCTGTTGCCAGGTGAGCGCCTACCCAACCAACAGCGTAGCTGGCTGGGGTGAACATACCCGACAGCGCCAGTTCCAATGGACATGAGCAGAACCGGAACTTGGGCGTCTTCCCTAAAGGCCTGAAGGCGTTTGGATCTCTCCACGTAACTCACCCCGCCATCAATCTGACAGTGTGTGATTTTCGCTTCTACCAGTAGCTCGGAGAGGCGATTCAATGTGGATGCCCAGTAGGAAAAGACAATGCTACCTAGATCAGCGCGAGATCGCTCCAGGTAAGGACAAGATCCTCACCTCTTGGTACCCGGCTCACTGTGCGTAATGTTGTGCACAACTGCGGCGAGTTTCGTAGAAAAGCCAGCGGGTGGGTCGTCTAGCATCATGTCTGCACCATCACGGCTGCTCTCCGCGCCGCTTTCCCAACTGTTGGCAGAGTCCGGTAAGGGACTGACTCGGTTCAATGGCCTTCCACAGTCTGGACAGAACGAGTAGCCGTCCAGAAGCGTAAGGGTGCCTTGCTGCGTGGCTGAGCAGCGTTCGCATTCGATTTCTACACGCTGTCGCCCCGAAGCATCCACCCTGGCTCCGACCGTTGAGAATGTTCCAAGGTTGCAGAGCATGCGCATTCTTAGCATGGCTGTGAAAAGCTGGCTGCTGGTATCACTTCCGTTACTAACGAGAGAATCAATTTGCTCCCTTGTGTCCTTTAATAAACGATCGTAAAGATGTTGCTCCTCGGACGTAAGTTGGAGCGTTACGTTTTCTTGCCGGGAAGCAGGTAGAGCTAGACAATTCTCACTCCTCCGCAAACAGTAAGCCTCCAGGTATGCCCGAAGGGGCTTTGCGAAGTCCGGCCCGCCTTCCGAAAGCGGGTCCAGAATGTGCTTCTGAAAAGCTGGTTTGGTTGACAGAGGTGGAAGTTGGAGGAACTGAGCCAGAGAGCTCAAGTCCTCAAGTTTGTTCTGGATGGGAGTACCCGTAAGGCACCACCTCCTCCTAGTATGGAGGCTTGCTGCCGCTCGAAATTGCTTGGAACTGGAGTTTCGGATCCAATGAGCTGGATCGGGTCAGCTATTCCGTCTTCTGGCAGGTTCAGACACTGAGAGAATATGGAGCCTATACCTTCGTCGAGTACCACGCGATACCACTCCATTTGATGGAGGACACGTCGCCTAGCATAGTCGGCGGCTAGTGTTGCATACGTAGTGAGTACTAAGCCAGCTGACCTCAGAATATCTGTGTCCCGGGGCCGGTATTGACCATGGAAACGAACGGGACTAAGTGCTCCAGGGGAAAAATGGCTACTAGAGTCAGCGATGGAATTCAGGTGGCGGGCCAGCGGTGCCTACGCTTGTAGCTCGGATATCCAGCTTTCGAGAAGCTCTACAAGCGATTAGAAGACGACCCAACACGCTTCCCCTTTAACTTACGAGCCGACGATACAACCACCAATGTCGCCTTGGTAGGAACTTTCCCCACGCCCTTGTCGTAAAAGTTGCTGAAGTCCTCCGCTTCTGGCATAGAATGCGAGATGGCCGTCAGCATCGTGAGCGTCTTGCCGAGCCCCATCGCATCGGCAACCAACCCACCGAAGCAGGTAGATGGTCGTGGTTCGGTTCTGATAAGTAGTTAACAAAGGTGTCCGCTGGGAGCGGAGAGTAGGCTTCGCATACCGAAATCGAACGACTCGGTGTAGCCGTGCCGAAAGGCCTTGGTTAAATGTTTCTTCTTCCCGTTGAAGGACAAATCTCAGACCATCCTCTTGGTGCCTATGCCTCTTTAGCACAATTAATCTCCTTGCTCCTCTTCCTTTCGCTTTAATAGGTACCTACTTTTTAGCGTTGAGGTGAGCTCGGAGGGTAACTGCAATTTCTCCCCTGTACCCACATCTGTGTGTGTCAACGACTCGAGTATTCTCTCGACCTCTTCTGAAATCTTAGTATTAAGAACCCACGAGGGTTCATTCCCTATGCCGACGAGGTCTCTCATATTTAAGTCTTCACCAAAGGTGAGGAACTGTGGGTTGCGATACTCAACTCCCGCACGTAACGACTGTGGGTGTTGGAGATATGCAGACGCTTTTGACAGTCTGAGGGCTACATCATCTGCGGCCTCCCTTGAGCCAAAGATGTTAATTGACAGGGAAAATCTCTGCGGCCCACGTTTTGCCCGCTGCTGACGCTTCGCGAAAATGTTGGATGGGATGACGGCTTCAAAGCATACCCCTGGCGTTTCGCCGAGAACACTCAACTTGGAGCCGGTTAGAGTATCTAAGACCGCAAATTGTTGCCCGGTTTCGGAGCAGAGCAGGTGCCTGCCACCGCTTGCACTCACGCAAAAATGTATGAACGGAGAAGCGTCTCTGGTGACTGGCGAATCGCACAGGATGTTGCCTTCAGTCTTTGCCGTTCCGCCGTATAACTGAAGAGAAAGTATAAGACTTGATAGTTCAATTACCGTACTAGATACAGCGCCTTACCGTGCCATAACAAACTCCATAGCGAAGCGTGTTGGTGTTGGAGAGATGATCAAATCCCCTTGCTACCGCTGTGTTTGAAGTAGGTATCGGGGGCCTCGGATCTTCGAGACAACATGAAGGCCTTGTATACCTTAGTATCGGCTGGCTGACGACTGCATTGCAACTAGCGAAACGGGGGTAGATATACCTAACTGAAATCCTCTTACCCTTCAAGGCTACGTTTGCCTCTTCCCTCTAGCCTCACCATATTGGGCCCAGGCTGGGCCTTGTTGACCTTGCTTCGAGTCGGTTTTATTCACCAGAAAATACCCGTTACGAGCAAGCTTATCGTCTCACTCTCAAATGCGTACTTGGATGGGTTGAAAGGGATCTAATACGGCCGGATAATGTTTTCTTGCACAACTTTACCTTCGACGCAGTCGATCGTGTTTATAGTATATCGTGGAAAGTCGCAAATTTTTATTATGTAGCCTGAACCGAAATGAAGAGTGAGGCTGTGTATTCTCCTAATCTTCATAAAACCAATCGGACCTACCTGATACGAAGGATCGAAACTTGGCCTGGGCTCTAAGCCACGGCCACGTCGTGAGGCGTTCATGCAGGTAAGACGTTGCTCTCACGACGCCTTACCATCCGCATTCGTGCCTAACCATATGGACTAGAAAGTATGCCTTGGCTGTGTACGATACTCGGATCATATTTTTACTACCTACTTACCCAAGAATCCTTTTGCCTTTCTTATTGATCGTCATCTTTTTGGCTTACCAGAGAACCGAATTACACCGCACGCTATGAGTATCCGATAGAGTTCTCGAGCAACCTCAAGTAAAGATGTCGGGACCGGATCCGGATAGGTTTCAGCGAGCGCTCGATCGCTTTAGAGCGAACCTTTCCCCAAGTATGATTAATGAATTCTCTAACTGCACTCTTCGAGATGTCAGAGACTTCTGCGACAATATTCAGCGTACTCAGGGACGAGAAGGAAAGCTTCGATACATGGGACGGCTTAAAGCCTTCATCGAAGCCATGGAAGAGTTCGGTAAAGTAATTGAAGTATATTTGAATGCAACTACTATTCTATGCTTCGTTTGGGTGAGTGGGAAGGATCGTTTTTATGGCCACTGCTTGCTGACGTTCAGGAAGGGGCCGATGAAATTCCTCCTCGGTGTGAGTAATATCCGTGACAGACTTCTGCTTCCCGGGGCCCGGGACTCACCTGAGTCCACGATTCCAGATCGCGAAGACCTACGTGGATTCTTTCGATAAGCTGCTGGACGTATATGCCGAAGTAGGAAGAGCCATTCCTGGTTTTCTGCATTACCAGGCAGCTTTTGAAAAACACCCTCCTCTAGCCACTGTCCTCGAGGACTACTATTCAGACATCTTAGCCTTCCACCAAGCGGCTCTATCCGTCTTCAAGCGGTCCGGTATGTGCTACCTTATTCCCCTACTGCCTTTTGGGAATTATTGCGAATAATACCTAAATTCCGCAGCATGGAAGCATATATTCCATTCTACCTGGAAAACCTTCAACACTAAATTTGGGCCCATTCTCCACAGCCTGTCGAAACGACGCGAACTGCTCGAAAGTGAAAAGTCGTCGGCAGCCCTTCTCGGGATCGAACGATTGCGCCAGGATTTCTCGGATGCGTGTAAAAAGCATGCACGTCAAATAGCTCAAGTGGCCGACGAAAGGCATAGACAGAGGGTATCTCACATCTGTGAAAGGCTGATGCCTCCGAATTATCAGATTGATCAAGAAATGTCTACGGAGGATAGACAGGGGCAAAACTCGGGGATGTGGATATTTCAAGATCCTAGTTTTCGCGCTTGGTTCAGCAACGATAACGATATTGTTAGACACGGCGTCTTATATGTGAACGGAATACCCGGTGCCGGTAAGTTGCCCTTTGAGCAAATGGCCAAGTGCTGACGGCGTTTAGGCAAAACAACTCTGATGTCTGCCGTCGTCGCGAGACTCTTGGATTGCGTCCGTCCTAAGGAAAACGCCTCCGTGGTCGCTTACTTTTACTTCAAGCAAAAACAACCAGACAAAGAGTCACACAATGGTCTTCTTCGAGCAATTTTGGCACAGCTTATCGATCGGGATCCCACCATAGCCGACCACTTGAACGAGAAAACATCGTCCATTGAAGGAACCAACCTCCGGGCTACCGGGACACTCGAGAAGTTGGTTAAGACTGCTCTCGAAAATTTCCAAATCACCTACATCGTGCTTGATGGCCTGGATGAGTGCGCTCCAAACGAAGCTGAAAAGTCCGTCAGATGGTTCCTGTCCCTTATTAATGGGGGGTTGCAGGAGACCGGTGTAGCATTGCGCGTCTTGTTCTGCGGCCAACGAGACGGTACTCTAGACACGCTACTCGCAGACCAACCTTCCATCTCGTTGGAGAAGTCTGGCCACGTTAAGGACATCCTTCAATATTGCCGGGACTTTTGCCGGAAAATACGAGAAAAGTTCGACATTTCGTTGGAAATGGAAAATGATATCATCCAGCGTGTTACGAACGAAGCACAGGGTACCTAATATTGGATCGGATCTGGCTACTAATATCGATGCTAACGGGAATGTAGGCATGTTTCTGTACGCGCGAGTGGTGCTGGAAAATCTGCTCAATCAAACACAACTCTACCGCCTACGACAAGAGATGGAGCCGGGTACCTTCCCTCAAGGAATCGATAAGGCGTGAGTGTGCCGGGGCATAGAAAAGTTGGTGGCGAAGCGCAAACTGACAGATGCTCTTGTTGTAGATACGAAAGGGTAGCTGTGCGGATCTTTCAACAGTCATCCGAGGCTGAACAGGAGGATGCCAAGAGAATGTTGGGATGGATTACTTGTGCCAGGCGGCTCCTCCGATGGCGCGAGATCCAGTCCCTCTTCTGCATCGATCCAGTCGAGGGGGTTGTTGACTACGAGGGACGAAGGCTCAGGGTCACTATGACAAGGGGATATGCTTAGAATAGGTTTAATTCAACTAATAATTCTATAGGGGGTCTCTTAGGTCCTTATCCTCGTTTAAGTTCTACGTTCCCTTTTCGTTTTAATATAACCCGGAAGTACCTTTATACCTTCGTACCTTTATACCTTAATACCGAAGCTATCCGAAGCTTATCTAGGACTTTCCTTAGTAGGTCGCCGAGGTAACGGCCTTAATACCCGATATTATCCTCCTAACCTTTATAGCCTAATTTATTAACGTAGGGTTCCATTCCCGTGTAATATTATCTCCTTTCTTCGGAAGAGCTCGTCCCTAAGCGTAATACCTAGGCCCGATGGTTAGTAAGTTTATTAAGGTTCTATAGGTAGAATAACTTAACGGCTTCTTTCGTTCCTTCGGTAGTAAAGTACTCCTACGGTTCCTAAGTTTAATAGCGCTTAGCCGGCTAGCCTTATTACTTTACTAGGTACCTAATTACTTTTCCGGTCCTTACGGAATCTAATACCTTATTTACCTCGTAGTCTTCTACCTCGATCGAGGCTACCTCCCGTAGGACTTAATTAGGGTTAGGTAATTTTTAATTACTAACGCGGTAGGATTCGATAAGGAATACGTAAAAGGTACTATAAATACGCTAGCCTTTCGGGAGTATTAAAGTTACGGCGGTAGGGAAGACGACCTTCTAGATCTTAAAGAAACTAAGTATCTTTTTATCTATCTTCTTTATAAGGCGTTTGGTTTTAATATTACGGGTATTTAATATAATAAGCTATCCGATTTTTAAAGGGGGTTCTTCTTTTCGGTATTTATTTACTTATCCTTTTATCCGCTACCGTATTTTTTTTAAATACTACTTAACCTCGTTATATACCCGAGTTATTTAATAAGTATAAAGGTTACTTCCTGGATTCTTAGGAATACCTAAAGAAGGATTATATATTATTAGGTATTACCTATAGTTAACGTAAAAGGGTAATATATCGGTAGCTATTAAAGCGGTATTATTATAGGTAAATTCGGTAGTAAGTAGTAGGCTTTCCTAGTCGCTTATTTCGTAATTTACGAAGACGCGTAGGTATGCTTTTAAAATTTAATTAAGTCTTTCCGTTTATTTATCCGTTTAAGGATAAAAGGCGGTACTTATTCTAGGCTTAACGCCGAAGAGCTTTAAGACGCCCTTCTATATATAGGAAGTAAATCGCGAGTCTCGGTCGGAAATAATATTTAAAGGGATCCTATATAACCGCTAATAACTACGTATAAAGATAGGTATTAAGTCTTCGGCCTTTTTACCGTCCTTCTTTAGCGGGATAAAGTACGCTATCTTAGTAAAGGGATTTATAATAACCTAGATAGAATCGTAGCCGTTAGATATTAATAAATCCGTAATAAAGTCTATCGCGATCGTTTACTATAGTCGATAATATAATTCTACGGGCTATAATAATCCGAACGGGGTATATCGGGGTATCTTATTTTATTAGTACTCGCGGTATCCTTTAATAAATTCCCTAACTATTACTTCTAGGTTAGATTATTAAAAGTTATAAGTAATAAGTTCTATGGTTTTATTTATATTTATATATCCCGCTACTTTAATATCGTATTCCGATTTAACTACTTCTTATTATAGGTCCTTAGGTATCTAAAGGCGGTTTCGCCGATAAAAAAGGCCTTCCTAAAGCTTTATTTCCTTACCGAGTAATTTAATTAACTAAGCTTAGTATTCCGGGTCTTATATAGCTACCGTTTTAACCTATTTAACGAACTCTAGGATCTAAGCGGGTATTAGGATATTACTTAGTTATACGCTAAAGAATATTACCGTAAATAAGCCTGAATTTTTTAAAAAATACTTTTCCTATAGAACCGTTGCTATCGACTAATCCTTAGCTCCTCCTTTTTTAAAGCGATATTATAATAATCTAAATAAAATATCGGCCTTCTTATTTTACTTCCTTAGGCGATAATATATCATAAAATAATACGAGGAAAGCTATTAAGCTTAACGGGCTTAGCGTCGATTTAATACTTTTACCGTAATAAAGTACGTTAGGTTCTAATAATCGGAATATACTTCTATTTAATGCTAAGTACCTTCGAAGTAATATCGCTACTTTTCGAATGCGTCGACGATTACTAGTAATTCCTTATTATATATCTTATAATTTATTTCCGCTAGGGTAAGTCGTCGTAAGAAAAAGGCTACTAATCTTAATCTCCCTTTATTATCCTTCTATAAGAGGACCGCGGAAATAACGAAATCTAAAGCGTCGGCTTCGATAATTAAAACTCGGTTAGGGTCGAAATATATAAGTACCGGGGCCTTCGTAAAGGTTTCTTTTAATTCCTAGAAGGCCTTCTCTATCTCGATTTCTTATTTCTATAGCTTACGGTCTCCCTTATTAGCGTTAATAATTAGCCTAGCTATACCCGAGAAATTACGTATAAATTTACGGTAAAAGTTAACGAACCTAATAAAGCTTTATAAGTCTTTAAGTATAACTAGGATACGTTAGTTAAGGATAGCTTTTACTTTATCTTTAAATATAGTAATATCCCTAAGGCTTATATTATATCCTAAGAATTTAACTTCTTACGTTCGCTAGGCATATTTCTTTAGGGCTACCGTTAAATAATTTTCTATAAGCCGTTTTAAGACTTCTTTAATTAATTTATTATATTCCTCTAACGTATTAATATAAATTAGGATATCATTTAAATAAGCGATAATCCCGGCGTTTAAAAAGTCGCGGAAGATATGATTTATTATAACCTAAAAGGTAACGGGGGCGTTAATTAGTCTTATAGGTATAACTATATATTCGTATAGCCCGTAGCGCGTTTTAAAGGCGGTTTTTCATTCATCGCCTTCCTTAATCCGTATTATATAGAACCTAGATTTTAAATTAATCTTAGTAAATTACCGCGCCGTTTAAAATAGGTTCTATAGTTCGTTAATTAGCGGGATCGGGTATCGGACGGGTATTATAATTTTATTTAGCCCCCGGTAATCCGCTACCGGTTTTAGGACGCCCGGGTCCTTTTTATTTATAAATATTATAAATGCGCCGTAAGAGGCCTTAGATTTTCGGATTCTTCCCATAGTTATTATATCGTCGAGCTAAGGTTTTAAGGCGTCTAATTATCGTCCGCTTATAATATATAAAGGTTCCTACGGAAGAATAGTCCCCGGTCGGAGCTTAATAACGTAGTTTTACGGTTACCGATTAAGGAACCGTTATCCGGCTTCCTTAGTTATAATAGGAACGAAGTCGCGAAATTATTCCGGTACTTATACTAAAGCCTCTATTTCTCGTACTATTCTTACGCGAGCTAGCCGTAAGCGATAACTTTAGTACCGTAACGAATTAAAGTATAGCCGTCCGTCTATAAATAATCCTTAAGGGAGGTATTCCTTTATTTATTACTAGGGTAGGATAATATCGACTTCTTCGTTTAATTTATTAACTTCCTAAGCGATACGGTAGATATATTCGTAGTTACGGAGCTTTATTTCGTTTATATATTAGAGTCCTCCTAACGAGATTTCCGAACCGTCGAATCCTACTAAGGTCCTAACCTTAAAGCGTTAGTTAATAAGAAGGCGTAATTATTCGACTTTAGCGGCGTTAATTAAGGATACCTCGCTACCGGTATTTAAAAGGACTTATAAAGGATATTCTTTTCCCTAATATTTTATTTATATCGTATAAATAAACCGTTTACTTAACCTTAGCTCGTTTAGGTTACGCTAAGGGACTCGTAGTTTCTTCGTTATTAGTATCGTTTCCGTTACTTCTAGCGTTCCGGGCCGTTTAATAGCCGTAATCTTTACGTTATCTTTCTCGCCTCTTTCTTCCGTTAACGCTTACGGAAAGGCATTTAAAAATCCCGTTCTTTATCGGAATCGGATAGCTCTATAATACGGGGAAGAGTTTCCTTTTATCGTATAGTAATATCGATCCTAGCCCTTTTATTAGATAGTTACTCGGATTCCTTCCTTCTTCTTTTTCCCGATAAGACTTTCTTAGGTAGTACCGGTAAGTCCCGTCCTTTTAAGTCCTTTTTTACGAAGTAGGCTAAGGTTTAGTAATTATTTCTTCCGTATCTCTAGTAAGCCTTCTTATCTTTCTTTCGCTAATCGATAACGACCTAGTTAATCCTAGTTAAAGCTTTCTTATTACCTACCTATCGTAAGTCCTTAACCGGTACGGGTTTCTTATTATTCTTTTTCTTACGTTTATTTACCGATTAACCTAAGCGGAAGCGAGTTTCTTTTACGGGTTACCGCTATTATTAGTCCGCTTTCGTATATTCCTTTTACGAAGCGGACCTTCCTTTTCCCGAGATTCCTAGGTTAGCTATTATATTTTCGTAGATTTAACTAGCTTTTTTAATTACTTTAAGAAAGGCTTTATCGCTTTCGGGAATATTACTTAATCGTAAGTAAACTAGCTTAGTTATTTCGTCGGGTAAGATACGGGCGATATAATTTTAGAAGGTAGTTCTGGATTATTAAACGATATCGTTAAGGTTTATAAGCTCGGTAAGATACTAGGAGATATTTTCTTAATACTTTAATTCTTATATCTTCTTAAAGTTACGATATCGTTCGGCGGAATTTTTAAACCGTTCTTAAAGTACTTAGGAATATCCCGTTTAAGTATTAATAATTATTAACCTTTCTACCTAGGCTAATCGTTATTAATATTAGAGCTAGGCTTTTTCGGTAAGTATCGATCCTACTTAATTAATCTTCTAGATATCCCGGGTAAAGCTTTCTTTATAAGTTTCGAGGTAGGATTTAACCTTAATTTATTATAGTCGGAACTTAACTAAGTCCTTACCGTTATAAGCCGTAGGCTTAATAAGGTATATTAAATTAATTATTACCGTAATACTTCGTCGATTATTTATAACTTTAATCTAAGCCTTAATTATACGTTCCTCGGCCGGGTCGAGAAGCTCTTACGGTTCTTTAAGGGCGCCGGGCGGGCGTCGCGGCTTCTACGGGTCCCCGGATTCTAAGTTATCCGAATCGTCGGAATCCCTTAGGTTCCCTAAGGTATTCCGCGGGGTCCGTAGCGATTACGGTAGTCCTTATCCGGCTTTTCCTAATATAAAGGCGCTTACCGCGACGTCCTAGAAACGGGTTCTTACGCGCGCGGCGATACGTTTAGCCGCGGCGTCTTAGAATACGCCGTCGGAGATAATTTCCCTTATTCTAACCTCGCTATTAATATATCTTCCGGTAAACGCTATCGTAATATAGGTACCCGGCGTAAGAATAAGCGTTCTTATCCTTTAACTAATTCTTACGATAATAAACTTAATATCCGTTAACTTATTACTTAATCGTCGTTATTAATATTCCTTAATTAAATTAACCGCGTAAGTCTTAAGGTCGTTCTTAATTAGCTAGGTTTTTTCCTTTATAGCCCCGGAGGTAAGGTATTTTTTACTAAGGATTTCGTTAATCTATTTATCCTTTTACGTAGCCTAGAAGCTAACGTCCGTTACTAACTTATTATATTCCTCGCGTAGCTAGGTTAAGGCTCGTTAGTTTTATAATACGGCGTTTCGAAGTTAGTTTATTACGGCCGTTCGTATTTTATCTTACCGGATAAACTTAGCTACGGTTTCTTATACGTTCTAGGTAAAGTAAGTACTTTATTCTACGACTTATTTCTAAAACTCGTAGATCTATATCTTCGTAGTTCGGATACCGGTAGCTTATATTACCGTAGCGGTTTAATAAAGCTATCGTAATTATTCGTATTACTTCTTTAGGATCGTATTTTATCGGTATCTTACGTCGACTTAGTTAATTAGTATTACTAGGCTTTAATATACCTATCTTATTTACTTATATAAATTTACGATTTACTACGGAGGATTACGTATAACTACTCCTAAGTTCGCGATTTCCGGAGCATCCGTTATAATTACCTTATATTTCTAGGGTTAATATACGACGAGGGATTTATTAATTAATTCGGGGGTTAGCTCCGGCTAAGGCGTTAAAGTAATTCGTTCGGCGTCCTTTACCTTTAATTCCGTTATTACGGCCTTTAATTTATTAATCGTAGCTATTATCTAAGCTACCTCCGCTATAAAGATTAACGCTATTCCCGAAGCGGCTAATCGCGGAAGTAAGAAAACCTACGGCTCTAGTTCTTTAGTAAAGGATCGAGGTTAATCCGGTAGTAATAAGGCCGGGGTAGCGGCTTTAGCGTATAACGCCGGCTTAAGCGTAGGCTTTTCTTATTACTAATTTATAGTAAAGTTATAAGGATAAGAATAATATAAAATTATCTATAACAAAGGAATATACTTAGAATAAGTTTAATTTAATTAATAATTTTATAGGAGGTTTCTTAAGTCCTTATCCTCGTCTAAGTTCTACGTTCCCTTTTCGTTTTAATATAACCCGGAAGTACCTTTATACCTTCGTACCTTTATACCTTAATACCGAAGCTATCCGAAGCTTATCTAGGACTTTCCTTAATAGGTCGCCGAGGTAACGGCCTTAATACCCGATATTACCCTCCTAACCTTTATAGCCTGATTTATTAGCGCAGGGTTCCATCCCCGTGTAACAGTCACCTGCAAAGAGCTTTGCGGATCCCTCGTCGACGTACATCGTGCGACCGATAAAAGCACCGGTCCCGAAGACGCCATTAAGATTGTCCATGAGACTGCTCGAGAGTAAGTTGCCGTATGCGATGGCGAGACGTAAACTAATAAGGGAAGGTTCCTTATCCGAAGAAAGCACGTCGACGCCAGTCTCGAGCATGCCAAACTTGCCGTTTTCTGTTCCAGATATCTTACGTCAAAACCATTTATACTTGGGATCGACAAGGGAGATATAGTTAGGCACGCAGTCAAGGGATATTATGCTCTCCAGGACTACACCGTCCAGTATTGGTTCGACCATTTCCGAGAGTGTGCGGAGTCAACTGCAGCGTTGGACCTTAAAGAGTTTCAAGAGGTAACGCAGGCGGCCCAAGTCTTTCTCGATTCTTACGGAAATCTATCAAAGATGGGAGAGTACTACGATACACGAAGCCCCGAGGGAGTTGCCAGGGTCCTCAAAAAGCTTCCAGAAGACGGAAGCAAGAGAAACGAATATTTCAATATCGAGGTCCGGACAACCTCGATACGGAACGCAATAGAGACGCTCCACGGCGCAGTTCTTGATCGTGGAGCGCGAGATTGTCTCATCAACCTCCACGGGGTAACGACACCCTACAAATGTGCCAAGCCGTGGTGCGAATCTTTCACGGCCGGGTTTGGAAGCTCCCAAGATCGCCAGCGACATACAAATCGTCATGACCTACCGTTCGGCTGTCCCATCGAAGGCTGTTTTGCATTTGAATTGCGATATGACACCAAGGAGAAACTAGACCGACACAAAAAAAGTCACCACCGTGGCTCGGACGATGGTGTAATTAAGTTCCCTAAACGGAAGCAGGCTACTAATATCTGGTCGGCTGCTGAGAGAGGCGACTTGGTTGGAGTCAAAACATTGCTTGATTCAGGAGCGGATGTCAACCAGCTACACAAGAAAGGTCGGTTGGGGGGAAGTCCACTTCATTTGGCAGCAGAGTCCGGCCGCTACGACGTTTGCAAGATGCTGCTTGAGAGAGGCGCTAGCATTAATCTTGGTCGTCGCCTGGTTGGACGCACAGCGCTGCACGAGGCGGCCGCAGCTGGCAATGTGGATATCGTTCACCTACTCGTCAGCCAGGAAGAATGCGAGCCGGACATAACTGACAACTCCGGGCGGTCGCCATTTGACGACGCATGTGAGCTCGGCCGTTTGGACGTTGTCAAGCTGCTGTTTGCAACAGGGAAGATTCAGAATGGCCTACTTCCTAACCACAATGGCGTATACGACTCAATGTCAACACCACTTGGTTACGCTTGTAGCGGAGGACATACTGCTGTTGTGCAGTATCTTCTGCAACAGGGACAATCCGCTTTAGCCGATGAGAAAATTCTGGAGAGAGCGGCTACAGCGGGCCATAAAGCTCTCGTGGACTTGCTGCTCCCGGCAATGGGTATCGAGCTCCCGCGAACAAGGTTGGGGAATGACTGGCTCATCCTTTTCAACCCTGCGGTTTCGCAGGTTCTCGATGTCGAATTGGTGCACGCTCTGCACTCCGAGTATGATGGTGTGAATCATGTCCAGTTCAGCAGCGACGGGAGGTACCTGGCGACCACATGTTGGGGATTTGCCCAGATTAACGATGTAACCACAGGAGAGAAGCTCTGCACCCTTCAGCACCCAGAATTATCTGCCGTGGGCCGTGTTTGCTTTAGCCCGGATGGCAAGTACCTGGTTGCTGCGGGCCAGTCGATCGCAGTAAGCTACAGTTACCTTGCCGTCTTTTTTGCGACCGGTGTTAATTACAGTAGGTTTGGGACATTGCCATGAGAACCGTTAGCCGTACGTTGAGGAGGAATGATCATAGTCTTATAACATCTCTCGACTTTGCGGACGATGGCCATACCATTGCTTTTGCAGATGGCAGTGCTACTTTGCACCTGTGGGATTTCGAGACCTCGACCGATTTGATGCTGAGAACAAATGGCTCTGTCTACGCGGTTGCAATTTCGCCAGGGAGCAAGTTCGTAGCCGAGGGTTCTTCTGATAACTGTCCCCAGGTGTGGGATGTCCAGAGTGGCGACTTGGTCGCGGATCTCGGGGGTCCAGGCGGGCACCAAGGCGGGGTTAGCAGCATTGCGTTCTCGCCCGATGGGTCTAAGCTTATCAGTGGGAGCTACGACGGAACTATCAAGATATGGGAGCTTGGGACACTTGGAGAAATCGACAATCAAAGGCACGGGGAAGGACGCTGCATCACGACCTTCAAGGGTCACAAGGTGAGTTTGTTGATTCCCCAATATTCGGCAAGGCGTTGTGTTCTGACGAGACTAGAAACCCCTTTACAGTGTTGCGTTCACTCCTGATGCTCGATGGGTGGTCTCAAGCTCTTATGGGGGTGACGTCAAGCTCTGGGATCCTCATACGGGTCAAACACAGCTCACACTCTGGGGACATGAAGGTGATTCTTCCGTCTGGATGGCCTCGAGCGCGACCGGTGGCTACTTTGCCACGGCAGGATATGATAAAATTATACGAATTTGGTCGTACGCTCGTGTCAATGACGCGTAGAAATGCCATATGGATAACCACTCGACTGAACGTGGATAACGACGGCAATAGCTCGCTGCTGGTTTCTCTAGAGTTTATCACGGACGACGCAAACGGAAGGGATCATATCCAACGCGGTTGTCGAAGGAAGTTTTATTACTTATGGGTAAGGGGCGGATCAATTTGTCATACTTCGAACTGATATGATTTATTATTCTCTTTGCTTTGACAGGGTCGTGATATGACGAACACGTGGACTGGCAGAGAATCGTAAACCTGTAATAGAGACTTCGCTGTTGAAAGAGCTACGTACGGTAATAACGAATAGCGCGTCTCTCCTGCTCGTCACTCTCGATTCCCGCTCCTGTAGATAATCGACGCTATAGCAACGCCTAGCCCAACTACTTCGGCACCAACTACTGTTTCTCTAAATGCGCGATCCGGGTCCTAACCACTACTTCGAATCTAAGTGGTATTACCGCGCTCTCATCGACACGGTGATTCCGACTTTGGCCTGAGTGTCGACGGTGGGGGAGGCGGCCAGCCATATGACGACCGGCTGGGCGGGGATGTATTAACGAGTGTCTATAATAAAGGTTGAAATGCGGCCAATTTGTGGATTAAGAGCCGTTTCCCCCCTTGTCTCTCTACAGGCCATCCGGGAACGTTTCACTGCTAGCTATGCCCCGACTATCGAGCGGGGATATTTGCGTACGTGGAGACATTCCCATTGGCATGATTGGTGACGAAAGGTGGCTGATTTCCAACGCCAATCCGGTCGTGGACGTCTCGGACTTTGTTGACTCTCTCTCTGCTAGAGCATCGCTTACAACTCTTGCTCGCTCCTCGCCACTGCGATAGGCTTCGATGACGGAGAGGTCATTTTGGGCGAGAAGATGCGCCCTGCCCCGATAGGTCGCACGCAGCCGAGCCCTGTTTCCTGACTAAATCAAGCGCAAGCTAGGTTACCGTAATCCCACGCGACGTTGTGGTACCTAGGTAAGAGTTCTGGGGCGAGACACGAACGAAAACTCGCCTCGCTCTTGTTGATCCCATGACAGAGAACAAGGCTCACACGTGGGTGTAAAGGGGAAGAGAGGCGCCTGTTACCTACGCAGGTTACCCCGTTATTACTTCGGATGCGGTGGTCTTAATAATGAGAGAAGTTAGGTGCCTATCGATAAGGCCGAACCGTGTTACATAAGCGTGGCGTGCTGACCAGCGCTTCCTCCCTCTCTCTGTGGCGTGTTGATAATGATGAATGACCGGCCGGCCCCATGGTCTCGGGTGAACCCCCCGACCCATCCCCACTCATTCATCCTGTCCGTCCCTATCCATCCCATCCCTCCCTGCCTCAAACCTCCTAACCCGAAAATTCCTATCGAGCTAGATCAGAATCCTCACCATAGTCTAGCACTCGCCCGTCGCGCTCACCACCTTCCGGCGTCCCGAGGCCTAACGCAGCCGCTCATCCACCCACGGCGTCCCTTCATTGCCCCAGATCTTCACGACGATGCCCTGATCTTGCCCACTGCTCCCGTCGACGAAGCAGACCTCCTCTGCGAGCGATTGCGCACCGCGAGAACGCCGTTGGACGGGGTGTCGCCTGCCCAAGATGCCGACCGCAAATGGCCTGACAAATGGAACCGCCCGACAGCCAGACCTTCATCTAGTCGTGAGTACATACACGTAGATATCCCCAATCCATCTCTCCCATCTCCCCCATCTTTCTCTTTCTTCACCCGTACGCAATTAACGGTTCCGTCCACCATAGATAGATGAAGACGTCGTCTACGAACAAGACATCCTCCGGGACCCCGGAAGTACGAAGCCGTGGCTCGCATACATCCAGTTCAAGTTGCAACATGGCACCGTTGAGGAGCAGGCCTTCGTCCTCGAGAGGGCATGCCTGCAGCTACCGAGATCGTACAAGCTCTGGAAGATTGTAAGTGTCAGAAAAAAAAAGGAACGAAACATAAAGAGAATCGTCGGCTGTATTAGTTCCCACGACGCGACCCGATGCTAATATCCCGTGTAGTACTTGCAATTCCGGACGAAGCACATCTCGAAGCTGAATGCCGCCGTGTTCGCATCCGAGTATAAGAAAGTCAACGCCCTGTTCGAGCGGGCTCTCATCCTGCTCAATAAAATGCCCAGAATATGGGAGATATACTTGAAGTTCTTACTGCTGCAGCCTCTCGTGACCGCGACGCGACGCACTTTCGACCGAGCACTCCGAGCCCTTCCCATCACCCAACACAACAGGATATGGGCCTTGTACAGGCCGTTCGCCAACTCAGCCTCGGGCGAGACCGCAGTCAAGATCTGGCGACGATATATGCAGGTTCACCCCGAAGATGCCGAAGACTTTATCGAGCTTCTAGTCCAGGTCGGCTTATACACCGAGGCTGTGAAGAAGTACATGGACATCCTGAACAATCCGCGCTTCAACAGCAAACAGAGCAAGGGACACTACGAGCTCTGGGGCGAGATGGTCGACTTGCTCGTAGACCATGCCAACGACGTCGAGACCGGTCACGAGACTGGCATCGACGTCGAGCGCATCATTAGGAGTGGCATTGAACGGTTCGCCGACCAGAGGGGCAAGCTTTGGTGCGGGTTGGCTACGTACTGGGTCCGGAGGGGGAACTTTGAACGCGCCAGAGATATCTTCGAGGAGGGCATTACGACGGTCATGACCGTTCGCGACTTCACCCTCATCTTCGATACCTATGTCGAGTTCGAGGAGTCTATAATTGGCGCGTTGATGGAACTGGCATCCAAACGAGCGGAGGAAGGACAGGTTGACGAGGATGCCGACTTCGACCTGGACATCCGTATGATGCGGTTCGAGCAGCTCATGGATCGACGGCCCTTCCTCCTCAACGACGTCCTACTGCGACAAAACCCTAACAGCGTATCCGAATGGGAGAAGCGTGTGGCGCTTTGGGGTGAGAATAAAGCCGAGGTCGTGCAGACATATACAGACGCCATCGCCGCCATCCAGCCGAAAAAGGCAGTCGGGCCCTTTCATCAGCTGTGGGCAAGCTATGCCAAATTCTACGAGAAGGGAGGCGATATACGCAACGCTAGAATCATCATGGAAAAGGCTGTAAAGGTTCCGTTCAAGTCCGTTGCCGAGCTGGCCGATATGTGGATCGAATGGGCCGAGATGGAACTCCGTAACGAAAATTTCGACGAGGCCGTCAAGATCATGGCGAAAGCCGTCCAGGCTCCCAAGCGGTCGACCGTAGACTATTTCGACGAGACGCTGTCGCCACAGCAGAGGGTCCATAAGAGCTGGAAGCTGTGGAGTTTCTACGTCGACTTGGTGGAGAGCGTCAGCTCCCTCGAGGAGACGAAGAAGGTCTACGAACGGATATTCGAGCTTCGAATCGCCACACCGCAGACCGTTGTCAATTACGCCAACCTCCTGGAAGAACACCAGTACTACGAGGAGTCCTTCAAGATCTACGAAAGGGGACTGGACCTCTTCAGCTACCCGGTCGCCTTCGAGTTGTGGAACCTCTACTTAACCAAAGCAGTTGACAGGAAGATCAGCATCGAGCGGTTACGGGACCTCTTCGAGCAGGCGGTTGAAGACTGCCCGCCTAAATTCGCGAAGGTGCTGTATCTCATGTACGGGAACCTCGAAGAGGAAAGAGGACTGGCCAGACACGCCATGCGTATCTATGAGAGGGCTACCCGTGCAGTCTCGGACGAATTCCGGGCAGATATGTTCAACTTCTACATCACCAAGTCGGCCTCGAACTTTGGCTTGCCATCTACTAGGCCTATTTACGAGAGGGCAATCGCCACGCTCCCCGATGAGGAAGCACGGGACATGTGCCTCAAGTTTGCCGACATGGAGAAGCGACTGGGCGAGATAGATCGGGCCCGTGCCATCTATGGCCACGCGTCCCAGTTCTGCGACCCGCGCACCAACCCCGCCTTCTGGACAAAATGGGAGCAGTTCGAAGTCCAGCACGGCAACGAGGACACGTATAAGGAAATGCTCCGGATCAAGCGCAGCGTGCAGGCGCAGTACAATACCGACGTCAACTTCATCGCCTCGCAGGCCATCGCTCGCAGCCAGCAGGCACGGGGGGCGGATGCGGGGGCGACAAACGGCGACAGCGAGGTGGCGGATGCCATGGATCAGCTGGAGCGGCAAGCCCGCGCGCCGGTAGGGTTTGTGGCCTCGAGCACGGGGATATCAGGGACGATATCAAGCAAGGAGCAGCCTCCCCCGGCAGCAGCGATAGTTAACCCAGACGCCATCGACATCGACGAGATGGACGACGACTAATCGAACGACTACCACGTTCCCTAATCACCCCACTTAATGATATGACAAGACCCCCTCCCCTTTGCAAATCCGGTCCGGTGGTAAATGCGTTGGGCGCAGTGAAGACGAAACAAAACAAGACGAAAGAAGAGGAGAGAGAGAAATCGGAAAGGAAGATCAAAAAGGAGCAGCAAGTAGTAAAATGGGCATGGATAGGCAAAGAAGGCAAGAAAAGAAATGGTAAGGGGGAGTAGGGGTAGGAAGGGCATTCCGGGCTACGGCTTACTATTATCACTCTCTACTGCTTTGAAGCAGAGACAGAGAGAAAGAGAGAGAGGCCTCCCCATTCCGTTCCTAACTCACGACTAGGTTTCATCCCGGCACTATCGCCTGTCGATCCGTCTGTAAGGGGTACCCGCCGCTGTGATCCGAGCTCGCGGCCGGAGCGAGATATAAGGGGAATTTTACGGTTGAGGTTGTCATTTGTGTCTTTGCGCAGATACCTATATTTCTCTTTCTTTTTCTTTCTTTTATGAAATCGGCACATTGCTAAGCCTACCATCATCGCTAATTTTATCCGTATGATCTTTTTATTGCTAACAACTATTCGCCTTCTGCCTTCGTTTCTTTCCTCCCGCCCCCCCGCCAATCCTAGGTTCACGGGAGCAGAGTGAGGGCACGATGGGTTTCTTACGTGAAGGCGGCGTGGGTGTCGGCGTGGGTGGAACGGTCCGTGTGATGATCGGGACGGGGTCGCATGGAAGCGGACTGAAGCGGGTTGCGGGTTCGCCTTGAGGTTCTTAACTTGCCCAGCTGTACATATTATACATCTGTCCCCCGATGTCTCGGGCGTGTAGGCCGGCGGTAGATCAGGCAGGCAGACAGGCAAATAGCCACGAACAGCGGTGCGCGCTATATCATATTCTCGCAGCAGAATTCCGACCGGCCGTGCTATCTTGACAATCCGTGCGCCGATTCCAGGATTCTTCTCTCTCCCAGCCAGCCAGCCGCTAGCCGGGCCAACCCAACACAGATCACCCGCCCTTCCCTTCTCCTTAAGTGGCTGGCTTGCTGGTGCACCTGGGCCCATGACCCCCCCGACGCGTAAGCCGCGACGCCGCTGCGCGCCAGATGCCGGCGCCGCCGCGGAGCCGTCTAGCGCGCTCCCGGGCCCTGGAGGGGGAGGTTGGGTAGGGTAGGCAGGTGGGCGGGTAGGTTAGCGTCGCTGGCGCGCCGCCGAGTCGCGGCGACTGACTCGCGCGGGGACGCGTTGCGGTCTGCCGGCTAGGCGGGGGGGAGTAGAGGTCGCGTGAGGGAGGGAGGGAGGGAGGGAGGAGAAGTGAGCGGGTCTATCACGGGTGGGAAGGCAAGACAATGAGGCGAGACTTGCGTGCGCAACGGGGACGCAAAGCGCAGCCAGACCGCGCGATTGAAACGAATGGTGCGGCTCCCGAGAGCACCAGCGGTGAATGGGCAGGTGTATTATGTTTCACGATGCGAACCTATGCTGGTTACGGACACGCATGTTGCCCGGCACGGCCCGAGCTCGTCCTCCTCCTCCCCAGTCGCCTGTGTACCCAGCCACGTCTATATTGAAAGAAGTAGGTAAATTACTATAGGTCGTGATGCCTATCGTAGGTCTATAGGGTTAAGTCTCAATGGTGAAAATCTAAGTGCGAGACCCATATAAATACTTATCTAAAAAGCTACGTAGCTTAGTCCCACCGCACCACTATATTATTTAATATAAAAAAAACAAGTTTAAAATTTTTTCAAATGTTAATCAATTAAACGAAAAGAAATCGTCATTAGCTTAAGAATAATTTTGATACTTAAATTAATAGAAAGAACGCTTATATAATAAGTTATCCTATCTAAAAGATAGTTATAATACGTTAAACCCCCTGTCATGCTGATTAATTGCGGGGTTAAATACCCCTGTAAATAACCCTGTAAATAACCCTATAAATAACCCTGTAAATACCCCTATAAAGGGGTGTCATTTAGGGGAAACTCTGTTTTTATTAGCTGAAAGTTCGTATACGCCGTTTTAATTGGTTAAAAGTTCGTATGACCCGCTTAAAAGGGATGCATCCAATAAAACCGCAGCATACGCGTCCATCTATTTACCTACGCGTTCAATTCTATTTCCTACCTATTTCAATCCTATTTAATCGAGGTCAGTTTCTCCCCGTTCAATCCAGGCCAGTTTCTCCCCGTTAAATCAAGAGTCGATTGCTAATCAATCCCTTTTCGCAGTTCAATCAAGCGTCGATTCCTACTTACCCCTTTTTCCCTAGCCTTCGGAGAGGTTCTAGGTTTTCGGCACGAAAACCTGGAGAAGCGCGGAGCGCTTCGACGTATTTTACTTAATTATAGAACCCTTTTTAAGATGGTATCAAGGTACGTGGCTACTTTTTCTATATATAACCAGCTCCTAGAGGCGCGGCTTTAGTAAGGCATACCTTTCTTTCTTTACATATAACATCCTCTCTTTCCCTCCAAGGATAGAGCCTTAGGTATTACCAGCATTTGAATACCAGTCACGCGTGAGGCGACAACCCTACAGTACGCACGCCCCAGTCATGGCTACAGAAACGTTTCACCCCTTCGGGAGACTGCCTCCGGAACTGCGAGATCAAATTTGGGACCTGGCAACGCTACCACTGTCACCAAACCATCGACCTGCAGCTCATTTTTTCACTCTTGCCAACATGAGAGAAGACCGCTCGATGATCTCACTCAAGGACACCATCTCTCATGATCCCTGGCACAGGTATTGCTTAGTAGCCCCGCAGTGTAGTGGACCGGGGAAAATGTCATGGACAGAGTCAAATCCTTCAGCATATCTATCAGAGATCGGCCTATGGGGGGCTTGTAAAGAGTCTCGACGGCGAGTTCAGAATTATCGAGATCCACTCAGCTGGAGCGATTGGCGCGAGGTGTCAACGGATTACGACGGATCTGACAAGCTCGATCGGCTCCCGCTTCTGGCGACATTCTACTCTGATGGGCAGAATCAGAACTTCACCATTTATCCCAGATCGGACCTTTTGTGTATCCAGCCATTTAACTTCGATACTATCAATTGGGCCGATATTCATTGTAACAATTCAACGGTCATCGGAGCATTCGTCGGGGTACACCATATGGCTCTGGAGTTTGACCCGACATGGGGCGACCCCTTAAGGGGTCCACCACCTTGCCTTGACAAGACGGGACCGCTTCGATGCATTGCGACAGCGGTCTCGTTTGAGACACATTGGGTCAACAATCTTTGGTTTATCGACTACCGGATTCGTCGGCGACCGGGATCAACTCTCAACGAAAAAAGACACGTATTCTATGCCAATTCATGCAGATATGTCCAGGTCAGAGAGACCGATACGGACTGGGAACTCGCTACTGAACCCGATATCTTCGAGTTTCTTGTTGACTTGAACGAATCACTGGAGGAGTACTTCGCCGTTTATTATTTCGCGGAGGAAGAACGCCCAGAGACTAATTGCCCCCGGTGGGGCCAGCCAGTGATTGGAGTTCTAGCCTGCGAGGTATCATCAAATGAAGAATCACCGTGGTTAGCTTTTAAGAGTTCAGAAGGCGGCATTTGTAAAATGTGAATGAGCAGGATTGGGAATCTGGTAACCTATACAGTATAGTTGCAGCACAGCGATTCGACATGCGGGGATAGAGTCATCTCAGCCTAGGTATATTATATCGTCAATTTCCTCATTACCGCCTACTCACGCTTTTGCGTAGTAGCAGCTATCAAGAGAAGTAGGAGCTACCTTTAGAAAACGAAGGTATATAGTTAATAGTAACAGAGCTATATATTTGTGAACTGTAATACGAGTAAATACAGCGGAACCTAATACCTAAACACCTCTTCGTGGGATCAGATGTGACCATCACAAGGTGATCACGGAACAAATCTTTGTATGGTAGCCAGGTAGGCAGTCACGTAGATACTATTACCATAGACCGGATACGCCCGACAATGCATGCGCTGTCCCGAGAGATGGCGTTAGATGGGCTTGGCTCTTCCGACGCAGAGATTACCTATGACTGTGATAGCAGAATGGCAACATGATTTGCCTTGATATCGGCAAGACTCGGTTGTTGAAGTGCAAGATCCGGAGATTCATTAGAGAGGGAACGGGGCTGGCCGGGTGGTTGGCATTGTCAATCGAGGATTGCTAGTGTGACTTTCCAGCGCGTCTTCCCAGCATACAAGATGGCATGTCTGGTAAAGATGCAGAAGATTTAGCCGATAGCGAATTCAACCAGAAATGGAAGGCAGTATCTGGCAATACCGTCGCTGGCACATACGATCTCGTTCTGAAGGATGTTGAAAGCGTCCGAGAATGGAGAGCAAACGGCGAAGTGGAGGCCGATGCACCCAGTACTCCAGCCCTCGATCGGATCCAAGCTTTGTGTCAACTCGCCAATGTCGAGTACGAAGTTTGGTTGGGTTGCGCAAAGACAGCAATCGATCGACATAACTGGGCTCATCACCCGCCACCGCGTCTCGATATGTCAAGTCATGGGAACCTGATGGTACGCCAGTTTTGACTGCTGGAGGACGAAAGGCAGTGGCGGGTACGGCAGAAGCATCAAGGGAAATAGAGGACAGGAAGAAGCCCAAGGCTCCTCCGAGCCTCTATAAGCCCGGTAAATGGGACGATGTTTCGCCGCGAGAAATGCCCCCGAGAGCATGCAAAAGCGTTAAGGGGAGTCCTACGGCCTCCCCCGGCAAGACTCATCCCAAGTAATGGGTTTTGCTGTCCACCACGCTAGGTTGTGGGAGGAATTGGGTTCTTCTAGAACGAAGAACCCAGCCCGACGGCCGTTCTACGGCGACATGAGTTGTGTGGTTTAGAGCCCCAATGTCGTGGAGTCGGGCGGGCGACGAAGTCGGACTCTGTGACCTCCACGTGGTGTCGCCTGGGAACCTGATAATCCTTGTCAGAGCCAATACAGAGACGCGGGTATATCTGAGTCGTCGCATTTCCACACAGTTATAAAAGAATGTGTCAATTCGGGCTAAATGATCGAATGTACGTATATAGAGGTTATCACGGGCGACCTATCTTCGTGGCCGATGTGAGGAGTCAGCGGATGCCCAGTCCACCGGCCGTTGGAAGTGCCGAAGGCGCCGACCCTTGGATCACCATCACATCCTCCTATTCGGCTACTGACTATTCCACGACGGCGTCCCAGTCTAGCTGGGGTACGACTGTCGGAGGGTGGTCCGTCGGCTTTGGCCTATGGTCTGTTGGAGGCGCATGATTCCCGACCGGGTGCATCGTCAGGAAAGTAGGCATAAGAAGGAGGGCAGACCTACCGACAAGCCAAACCAACCCTCTATTCAGAGGTATTAGTCGGCACACAGTAGTCCCGTCCATTACTTCTACTATCTAGGTAGTGAATAATTTCAATGCAGAGTGCTTGGATGAAGCAAATGTGGAAATAGACCCTGTAAATCAGGTAAATCGCTACACGGGTAGGGCACCAGGGCTCTGGCGTTTTGATCCACCGTAGTTCCGTACAACGCCTCATTAGTGTAGCCTACGGAGTCACATATTTACATCTACCTATCTTCGCCGCCGGTGCCACACTCATTGGCCGCCCTTAGCCCCGTCCTTGCCCGTCATGCTCATGCTGCCCATGCCGCCCATGCCGAAGATGATGCCGCCGCCGCCGCCGCTGCTGCTGCCGCCGCTGCTGTTGCGCCGGTGGCCGGTGGCGCCGCCGGCGGACCAGAGCTTCGAGTACGCCCGGTGGAACTCCTCGACCGCGTCCCGGTTCCGCTCCACGTGCCCGTCCCGCGACGACGGCGTCGCGTAGATGCTGCCCTTGCGCTTCTGGAACCGGCTCGGCGGCGTCTTGGACGCGTCTGCACCGAAGGAGGGGGGATGGCGGTGTTAGTATGTATATATATGTGTGTGTGTGTGTGTTGCGGTGGATAGGGGCTAGGAACAAAGGAGAGCGCTGACGTACCCCACTCGTCAGTCGCGGTGTAGTCCCGCGACACCGTGCGCTCCGCCTGCAGCTGCTCGTCGGCGAAAGTGTCAACGATCGGGGAGGTGTCGGCTTGGTAGGTAGCCGCCATAGTCGATGGTTTGGTTTGGTAATATGGGTTGACGAAGCTAAGACGTCTAGGTGGCCTGGGTTAGTCCTCTGTGTTCTGTGGGAGGTTCAAGTGTAGGTGAGCCCAGGTGGAAGTAGAAAGCCGGGACGCTATGCCCTACAACCGAACGGGGTATGTGTACCTTATATATCAAGCGTGTGTAAGTGTGTATAGATACGCACGGTTGACTCGAGGAGGCAGAGCGACTAAGGTATACGTAACGATCGAGATCAGAGTCCTGCTACGTCTGTCTGGGTTGTGTGTACTCTCCGGGTCCTGGCCCGGGATGACGATGCTTTTATACAGGACCTACGAATCTGCTCGCGCCCTTTCGCGGTATTAGGCATATCTGACCGGGCGGTACACATCCCTTCCTCTCTTAGCTCCTGTAGTAGTCCCACGTACCTAGTGCGTAATCTGGGTTAGGGGCGTCGTCGTGCCTATCGCCTAAGCTTCCCCCCCTAAACCGCTCGCGGTATCGGGCCAGGTCCGGTGCGATGCTTCCTTACTCTTACTCCCGCCCCCGCCCCGGATGACTAGCTCGATAGGATGGCCGTCTGACTCCCGTCATCTGCGTCCTTGATCTCTTTGTTCTTGCGGCGCGAACTGTCCTCTTAGCTGTGGCGGCACAAAGGAACCAGCTAAGCGACGGCGACGGAGACCTCCCGCCGCGCACCTCAGTTGCCTGGCTGGGGCTAGACGTCGCCCCCTCTCCCATTGGCCGTCCCGAAACTATCCCCCATCGCGTGGATCGACCGGGCGGCTGGCTAGCATAGGGAGGCATAGGCATCGCGACTCGGTCGGCGGGCTGTGCAGGGTACCTAGGTACGTCAAGGCCCGGGCTAAGCTGGGCCAGGGAGACGACGGAGCTGTGGTGGGCGTCATCATGACCATCGTCTCCATGTATTGGCATGTACCCAAGAGGTGTTTTGCCCGTAGGTGCAGGGCTCTTAGGATGTGATAGGTAGGCATCTTCTAGGTATTCCTACTGCGATGTTGGCTATCGTCCAGGGAGGATACATACATGTAGGTACCGCCGTATTTCATCCCCGCATGTCGTACCTCATCCTTTAACTATTGGAACTTGCCATCTGTGCCTTGGGAGGTACTTCCACCGACACTCCTGCGCAACTCGAAGTACCTCCCGGCGTGGTTGTCAACGACTTCACTTCCTTCTCCGTTGCCATCAGCCCGGCTTCTTCTCATACTTTACCTCTATGTACTCGGTACGCAGGGACACCGCAGTGCCAGGTACCTAGGTAGGTACTTAACATAGCGTCGCACTGGTACCTCGATGGTCCATGACGTCAGTCGCCTCCGGCCGCCCACGGCTGCCGACGAAACGCAACGCGAGTGTCGCAGCCGCCAAGGCCGCTAAATGATAGGTCAGAAGGGCTCGGTTGCCTCCGGTCGCTCTGCGTCAACGTAATAGCTACTAAGGTGCTGCCAGGTGCTCTCAGGTGCTCGAGTTCACCGAAGCACGCTGGCTGAGGCCTCAACAGTGACTATCGAGGTACGCATCTGTCCAGCTTCATGGCCGCCGCGTCGCACCACAACAATCACTTCACTTCTCTTTTATTATTCTTCCTCTGTATGTCCTGATCACACGACCCCTTCGCCTCTGCCGCCCCCGTTGCTCGTCGACTCTTGCCCTTCTCTCTTGTCTAGCTCGAACCCGCACGACCAGGGGAGCGTTCTAGTGGAACTAGTCATGAAGCCAACTACACCTAGGTAGGTATGCAGACGCCTAGCATCGATGCCAGCCCAATCATGGTTAGTCAAACCGGGAGCTATTACAGCTATGGCATCGGATCGCCCGCTTAGATCCTCGATATGCTCGTCCTCCCCACCGCAGGCTGGGCCTCGCCGACTCATGCGTCGTCGAGGCTGTGCGCATGGCGTGGCCGATGAGCCACTCCGTCCGGTGTGTTCTTTTGCGATGTCGGGTCGTGTGCCTAGACCTGCGCGCGACAGCTTCGACGAATGGCGAGCAAAGCCACCCTCCCGGACTCACCCAGTACGTAGTGTACTCGTGTCGTGCAGGCTGATAGCTGCCAGCTGCACGTCAAAGCTCAGGTCACCCGTTGCACCGGCGAGCAGGGCTTAGAGGGCTTCACATGAAGATGCCGCGCGCTAGTAAACGAGCAAGACTCAAGCCAATTCTCCACCCGGTCACGTAAGACGAAGACTCGTGATAATGATTATCGCACGATTGTATACTTCCTGAGTCTGCAGGCACTGTACTAGGACTAAACTATAGCTAATCTCTATCCACTCATATAACTACACCAAATCCCCCCGAGAAGCCAGTACTCGAGCCAACTGCATCTGTGGGATGGCACTCCAACTTGATGGGAGAACCGTATCCCCTCGCGACAGGCTTACGCCGTAAACTGCTGCCTCTTGGTCCTCCTGTTGGCCTTAGCAGCCGCACTACCGGCCTTGGTAGCCCCCGTGGTCCCCTGGGACGCCGAAGCGGCGGCGGTCGAGCTGGCCACTGCGTAGCGTGTCAGCCATTCATGTCTATACAGAGCAAATCGGGATCGCGAAAACGCTGGAAGGGGAATTCTTACGCTGGACGGGAACAACTCCGCCGAATGGACCCGCTCTCGCTCCGTTCTGGCACCGGACCAGGCAGACGTCCGACTGACCCGCCACGGTGCCGGTGCACTCCTGGTTGGCGGGGATGGCTGCGATCAGGGGGAAGTCCGTCTCGTTGCCGTTGCGGTCGCGGGAATCTTCGCCCGGCGGCGACTGGGTGACCTGGATGTCGTCCCAGTTCTGGCCCGTGCCGTCGTCGTTAATCATGCATGAATACGGACCGGCGCCGTCGGCGTTGACCTGGTGCAAGGTCATGGTGAGCTGCCCGCCCGGTGTCACCTGAGGCAGCTGGTCGCCCGTCTCGGCTAGGATGGCCTGCGTGCCCTGCTCGAGGTTGTTGTTGCCGGCCCCGATCGTCTCGCCGAAGGTGTCAGCCTGGTCGCCCCGGAAACGCGTGCTGTCCTGCTGGAACGGCCGCCGGCGGGTTCCGTCCCGCGGCGTCGAGGAGTCTACACCGAGAGCCACTGATGGTGTCCGGTCAGCTTCGTACAACCTCACTATAGAAATTAGAATACCAGCTAGGGCCACTTACTGCCAGTCCCGCCAGCGTTGCCGGTTGCTCCAGTGATGACGCCGTGACCGGAAACGAGTCCGGAGGTGGCGAGAAGCCCGAAGGCAACGATGGCTCTGAACGAAGGCATTATGAAATGAATAAGTATATCGTATATCCTGAATTAGGTATCCGAGCTCAAATAGTAACCTGGCCGGCAGGAGAAGAAACGATTCAAAGTGCGACGAGTCGAAGAGAAAAGAGAAAGCTGATGAGAGAAGAGAAAGCTGATGATGCGATGAGGGACAAAAGAAAGTTGTTTTCTCGCCGGCGCAAAGCAGCCTTCTTATAGACATTTCCGTCGACGAGGAATCACGACACCCTTCGCGTTCCTACCTTTGACAGCGGCTTCCTTGAATGGACTCTGGAGTATCTTGTTTTCACCCAATGTACCTAACTTTCTGTTGCATGTCACGCCCCCAGCGGAGAGGCGTGGGAGCTTGGGCATTCCCCATATGGTAGAGTTGAGGCCTTAGTCTCGCAAGCAACACTCATTTTGGACAGTTCTCACGGTGGTCTGGCTCAAGTTCGGATGAATCTGCTGCACACGGTGGCTGTGCAGTCTAGGGGAGGGGGGAGGACTAGGATCGGGAATATCACAACCCGCCACCGGACTCGAGACCAGACGCCTAAACGCGGAGCCAATCGCATCTTAGGATGAATCTCGAACGGGGATAGCCAAGCCCAAGGTCCACTGACAACGGCGCAGTGTGCACAAAGGAGGTGGTTTCCGGACCCTGGCCGGCAAGCCACCGGTGGAGGGCGGGAGGGTATCATTCGGTACACTTGCCTATCTCAGACCCTGCTGAGCTTCTGCACGGCGACCCTGTCGCGTGCGTATTTGTCGAATACGCACAGAGAGGTGTGGCTGCTTGGTAGGGCTGCTACGCATCGAATTGCCTACCCGGGCTCCCCACCTGTCGGTGAATTTAGGCCTCGACTCCTGCAGGCCTTCTCCACGAGTGCCATGGCCAAATCGTGGCTCAAACAGCCGAGCAGTGTTTGACAGCAGCGTTTGACTCGGCACCGCTATCCTTCACCTGACGGTGAAACATGTACCTGTGGCCCTACGAAGACGCCCTCGAAAAGAGTAGAGGATGCGGGAGATGCCATCGTTATGGGGCCAACTGGGGAACGGGTCAAGTTCGATGTTTCCCCCTCTGCAAGTCTTAGCTCCGTGCTCCATTCCATCTCAGTAGAAGAACCGGGGGTATTCGATGGATGGCTTGGCTGAATGTGTTGTCTGTTGGCGTTTGACGTTAGTCAATTTCGGGGCACAGATATGAAACAGAAAGGTGTTGCCGGCGGGAGAGTTTGGTTGGTTACTTGGAGTCTTGCATTGAAGTTCTGCATTACCCATCTAATCACGAGGGGTCGATCTACATATAATTCTACCTATAGCAGGTATGCTTTGCTTCCGCAGCCCCGTAGGTGTTGTTACGTAAGACGACCGGAAAGCGGCAGAGGTCCATTCCAGCTGGCAATCCACTGCTCTCCAGCTGGACTCGATAGCCTGCCCAGCTTAGCCAGCTGGTCTTCATTTGACTCGCACATTACCGAGGATTTTCGCCCTCCACCTTCACTTGGGGATCTCGACACAATTTGAAACAATTCACGACGATGATCAACGACATGCACCAACCGCTAATTCTCGCGTAGCCAATAAGAGGACCGGCCAGCGTGTGAATCCCACCGTCCGCGCCCACAAAGATCGATTTCTGTCTAGCGAATTCGAGGTCCAAGCGTTAGCGGGTAGATGAGCTCGCCTCGTTTCCTGTCTCCGTTCGGAAACAGATGCCCCCTCTCCTCCTCGCTGCGCCGCTGCGTTCCGTTCTCGTCGAGGCAGGCCGGAATAAGCCGGGGTATCCCCGCCGCAAGATTCCATATGCTCAAGAGGAAATCGGAGGCCCTAGGCGACAGCCCCGACATTTCGCCACCCCCCGGTCGTGTGAAGATGTCAGCGCCACCGGCAACGATTGACATTGAGCTGACGCCTCAGGAGACCCGGCTGAAAAACCTCCTGGTGGATACCGCTAGGCGCATAGACGAGTCAGGCCAACTCGACGAGCCCGTTGTGCTGCGCTGGGCCGGCGGCTGGGTTCGTGACAAGCTCTTAGGGATCGAGTCTCACGACATAGATACCGCCATCAACGCGATGACCGGCGAGGCCTTTGCGTTGAAGATAGCTGAGATATGTCAGGAGCCAGGAACGATCGAGAAGCACGGCATCGAAGACCACGACGTGGGAAGCCTCCATAAGATTGAGCGGAACCCGGAAAAGTCCAAACACCTCGAGACCACCACCGTGAAGCTCTTCGGGTACGATGTAGACTTCGTCAATCTCCGCAAGGAGACCTACACGAAGGACAGCCGCAACCCTCAGATGGAATTTGGCACCGCTGAGGAAGATGCTCTGCGGCGGGACGCCACCATCAATGCGCTGTTCTACAACCTAAATACGGGCCATGTCGAGGACTTCACCACTGGTCTGGCGGATATGAAGCTGAAGCTGATTAGGACGCCTCTTGATCCCTTACAGACCTTTACGGACGACCCCCTTCGCGTCCTGCGACTCATCAGGTTCGCGACACGCCTGGAATTTGCTATCGACCCTGCCGCGGAGGTGGTTATGAGCGACAGCCGTGTCCTCGATGCGCTCCGGCTGAAAATTAGCCGCGAGAGGATCGGCGTCGAGATGGAGAAAATGCTGAAGGGTAAGTGTGTACTGGGGATCAACCCCCGCCGTGCGCGTGTTGACAAAGCGACGTAGGAAAACACCCTCGGGAATCCCTGGAATACATCAGCAACCTCGGTCTGTACCACGCGATTTACACAGACCCCTCAAAGACGATGTCAACTCCGGATATCTCCAAGTGGAGTCTGGCCTACGAATGTCTCGACTCTCTTCGTCGGAACAAGACGCCTGGCTCCATTTTCGATGTACTGGTACGATCAGACGAGGCCGCCTACTACGCCTGGACGTTGGCCTCTGTCTGTCCTTGGGATAATGCGGGAGCACCACCTCACAGTGGCCGCCGAAAGCCCCCTCCCCCTTTCGTAACCTCAGTCTTGGCTGAAGGCATTAGGGGTACGGCTAAGATGTGCGATCTTGCGACGGCCTCGTATAACAACAGAGCGGAGATCATGTCTCTAAAGACGGCAGTGTGCCAAAATGCCCCTGAGATAAATGAAAGGGACAGGTTCGGGATGGCGATTCGGCGTTGGAATGATAGAGCTGGCCATTGGAGGCTACAAGTTTTATACGCACTCCTAGTCGAAGCCATGGGCCGTTTAGCCCCAGGGTCAGAGAATCCCAGTAAGGTCCCTTTCCGTCTCCAGTCCTCCGTTCACGCGCGTTCTAACGGACAATCCAGCCAGCAACGACGAATTCTTGCGCCAGTGGCAACTGTTTCTGGACCACCTGCAGGAGATCGATGTCGTAGAGGCGCCCTCGCTGAAACGGCTGGTTGGCGGGACTCAGCTTTTCGAGGCCTTGGGTGTGACGCCGGGCAAATGGATGAACCCAACGCTCGACTTCTGTCTTGCCTGGCAGTTCCGCCACCCAGAAGCCACGGACCCTTCTGAACTCATCGAGGAGGTGAAGGGCAACAGGGCCGCACTAGGTATACCGGAGAAAGAGTGAGCGAGCGAATACGAACTAACGATACCCCCATACACCAGCTTGCTTAAGGCGGATCACTGGCTAAACATAAGTTCTAGAGTCTAAACATTCATTCAGCTGAGATATATATAGAGATTAGGCCCGATGTGATTATCCCAACGACAACATTACACCGCCCCTCAACTATGACAACCACCGCTTCCCCAAACCGACGGGCGTACATAACCAAGCAATCTTCTCGGGCGTGATGTGGAAGCCGAACTAGGCGAGGTGATCTTGGGCCGGAAAGTTCTCCTCAGTATGTCAAAGATAGGCGGTCACGAAAGCATATTGCTAGGGTCAGAATCGAGGCCTGAAGTTCGCTGCAGCCCTGAGACAGGCACAAAAAGAAAAGGAGAGGGGAAGCATTATAATCACCGCTCATTACGCCCAAAGACACCTCAAGAAAGGGAAAGCGATGGTTAAGAGGATCGGCGCCCAATCAATGGGCGAGGACCGGGGGGGGGGCATCGAGGTCTCATACGGATGTCAACGCCATCTGTGCGACGGGTCTCGACCTATCGTCGCCGGTGGCTTATGATCAAGGCAGCATGCGTACGCGGGATAATGCGTCTTCCAGCCTTCGCCGGCGGTTCTTCGTAGATCAGTACACCTAAGATGAGATGATCGAAAGCGATGCGTATTTTCCTGAATAGGAAGCAGGTCGCGTTCGGCCGTAGGGTTGATGGAGGCTGTAAGCCAGGGTCGTGGTGCATGCCAAGGGCGGAGGGAGAGGTCGCTATTCGCAGGGCCACCTAGCCAATATGGAGTGGCATCTCGAGTTCGGTTCCACGCTGTCTCTCTCTCTCGTCTAATCTCACGATGTCGTGCAGACTCCACAGATGCCAGCAACCGCTTAGCCGGCCAGCTCTCCAGGTCAGCGCCGATGCCCTACTGCAGCTGTCTCGCTACGGGCTAGTTCTAGGCGCGGCCAACCTCGTGTCAGAAGACTAAGCCGTCTTCGGCATACGCGTGATCACACGAGTTTGCCGTATTTGTGGATCTGCGGCATCAACGACGAGAATATTGGAAATGATAGCATAGGCAAGATCGGGACGGTAAGGCCCAAGGCGTCGATGGCATAGGCGTCGGAAGAGCGCCAGATGCCATCCGTCAGCACAGTATTCCGTCGAGACATCTATACTCGCGTACTCGGAGCGTACGCACGCCCGATATTATGCAGTTGACGAGTAGGATTCTCGCCATGCAGCTCCCAACACAACCTGACCGCTTGAATTGACGTACCATATGAGATACCATCTGCGCCGAACCGAGCATGACAGGGCAAGACAGCCAATCACCGGGTTACGAGCCAATGCTGGGGACAGGCCCAGATCGGTCTTCGACGCACATCACGCCAACGACGACGCCAAACTCGAGAGGCTGCGAACGACAGGTATGCGGATTTGGTATAAGATGTGTCTCGTACCGAGTACTATTATAGGACCGAGACATTGCGATGGAGGGAAACGACTTCGTATGCATCCATTTGCCGAATGACTACGCTGGATACTGCCTCTCCAAAACCACGGCTGACAGCATCGGGTTATCACATTGGCGTATATTGGCCAACAAACTCTTTGTTTGAAATTAGATCATGTAGGGGAATAGTTGCACGCCGCGGACCACCAGCATCGGGATATTCTACCTGGGAAACCCCACGGAGAAATCTATATAGGCCTCCAGGGGCCCCTCGGGGTCAGACAAGAGAGAATAGGAGCCGAAACATCTAGACCTCTAGTAACGTTGGCAGCGACGCATATAATCGAAATCTGCCTATAGCACGAGTCAACTCCTGCCATCAAAAAAACCACCCCAGACACCCTCGCAGAGTCGGGGGAAGAACGAATAAAGGAAAAGAAAGATGCCTGCCATGACAAGGGACGATGCAGACTACCAGCGACAGGTGGACGAGGAGAATCAGACATTCCTTGACGGGCTCGAGGCGCAGCAGAAGGTGGCCGGGAAGGGAGAAGACGTGGAGGAGAGCTCGTGGTACCCCTTCCTGAGTCAGCTACGGGGCCTCGTCGCGGACGGGGAGCTCTCGGATGAGGCGCGGGCCGAGGCCCAGGACTTTCGCGACGATCTCCTCGCGCGCGGGAGTGTCCTGCTCCAGTCCCGGGGCCGAGAGCTCAGCGACGCGCTCAACACGCCGCTTCGAGAGGATTGCTGAGGGAGGACGACGGGAAGAGCTGTCGTCGTAACTCGGGGCCGGCGAACTCCCGCGCGAGCGGCGCAGTATTCATCGGCAACGGAACTCGAGGCGGTGGAAGGGAAGGACTACCCTGAATCGATTCGCGGGATGGAGCTGTCGCTCGGAAGGGAGGGACCGCTGATGCTCGGTGAAGGAGCCCTGGGAGGGAAAAGGGGGGATGCAACAACATGCGTGTAGCGACAATATAGAGTAACGAATAGCCATCTCCAACTTGACTGAAACTCAATCTCTGCTCATTGCTAGACTCGTTCACTTCCGCCTCTCTTTCCGGGATGCCCTCGTTCCTGCTACCTCCTGTTGCACGCTTCACGCCCTTCCCCTTTGCCCTGTATTACGAGTACCCTAGACTGCGCAACATCCGTCCACCTTCTGCCACGGCTCCATCTACGCCCTTGCTAGTTTTCTCATAGAGAGCAAGGTAGGAATCTCCCTATGGAGTCGTCTTGAAGCGTTCGAGTTCTTCTCTTCTCGTTATCACACCAGGGCCTCCGAACTCGAAGGACGAATGGTGTCCTGGGCGGCATTATTTTCTCACATGCGAGCTATGCCTACCTAATGCTAGAGGTAGCCTGGCTGCCTCATTGTCCTAGACTCTTGTTCTTATTGTGGTTGTGTGGTTACTCGCCCCGGAACGAGCCTAACAACGGCCTACCTAGCCTACGGCCAATGCCTATCGGAGGGGAAGAAACGCTCCTCTTTTCCGTGTAGTCTTCCCTAATCCGCCCCTGCGCAGAGGCGCCTAGCTGGGACCAGAGGCAGGCTGCCTCGTCGAGCCTGGCGTCTCATCTCCCGTCTCTTGGTGGAGGGAACGGAAACCTTCTAATCGGGGTACTCGCATACCTACTGGGCTACGTAGGTTGGGGTCTTAGCAAGTATGTTATCTTAAGATACTATATCCTTCCTACGTACCGTCCCGTATATATAGGTACACAGCTATCGTGGTATAATCAAGGCAGAGGTATCATGTCCTTATCCCTGGTGGACGCTGCAGGCGTCTACTCAGTAGTGCGTGCATGCGCACGTACGTACTAAGTTGCCCGACCCAACCCTCTTCCAACTGCCCGTGATACCCACGTAATCGCCCTCGACAGCCAGCCACAGCCCACGTAGCCTCTAGATAGCTATAGGAACGGCGTGGGGCGGAGGCCGAAGATGGGGTGTAAGCTAGATGCTTATTCCGCGGCGCCACGGCCTCATCCCTCTCTCACCCTCGACCCCCCGCCGTGAGGCGTCCCCTCTCTACTCTCGTGCCGCCATCGCGTCCTCCGCTACTAGCCACCCCACTCTCCTCCTCGTCTTTGCCGGCGTGGTAGCGTTGGCCGAGAACGTCGACGGAAGCGAAGGTGGCTTTGCTCTCTCGACGGAGTCGCGCGCCGCGATGCGGGGCGCCCTCGAGCCCGGCTCCCAGCCCGACGACCTGAACCACGCCGTGATCCAGAAAACCGCGGAGTCGCCCGGCCTACGGCAGCCAGCCAGGGGAGAGTCTCGCAATATCGATATGTACGCCTGGTTGGGGCATGCCATCACGACCGCAGCTACCGGGTCTGTGTACGGGCCGGTGAACCCGTGCGACGACGAGTCGGTCGCCGATGTATTCCGGTAGCCAGTGTCTTCGCTCGTGAGGCTTGAGCGGTTACCATGACGCTCCCTGTCTAAGTATCCTTGCCGTAGCGTAGGGAATTTGGAGGCAGTCTCACGTCGACCTCGACTGGTTTCCTTCCTTATCACAATTCTTAGGGAGAGCTGCTCCCCCCCCCCCTCCCCCCACTACTTTCCTCTTACCAGAGAGTCCTTGGCTATCGTTCAATAGGGACGTCTGTTTGCGAGGTGATGGAGGACGCCTACTTTGACCGATGGCTTCCGAGGAGAGGCGCCATGACATATATCAGACACCTGAGAGTCTAATGATTTACTCGTCACATAGAGTGCCGCGTACTCGTTCTCGAGCTCCGCTTTATTTGTGTTCTTGGCGTGGCGAGTTTCCTAGACTGTAGAGGATGACCCTGCTTTCCCGTGATTGTGATGTCTTGAGTTATGTGCGAGCCCGAAGGCTTATGAGTCCTCGCTATAAAGTACAGCAATACGGAAGCTAGAAATAAGAGTGTTTCTGCCCTCTCATACGACGGGAGCGCGGGTGCCGATAAACAGGGTGGAATCAAATGCCTATTGAAAACCGTTACAAAGTAATACCCGGACTTAAGATATGTAATAATATTCCTGCCCTCTTATACGAAGACTGACTGAATGTTTTTTTTCTTGGGGCGTTGCTGATTTTTCTACTAGTGGGCTAGTGCGGACCATGTCGACGGTGATTTCTTCTACCGAAGCGTTCTTACGTATGGAGGCTACCGGATACTTTGCATCAGGGTTGAGTAAACATAGGTATATAGCATTGGTATCAAATCCTCCCCAACCGGGGGCGCACAAAAGTCCAGGGGTATTCTAAGCCCCCGAAGCACATGCAACTAGACATCAACTCCACGCGTCGCGAACCCCCCCCCCCCCCACCGAATAGATATCGCCCCTCTCGTCCGTTCCGAGTGCCATGGTTGGAGACCGTATCTAAGTGTCGACGCCATGCGCGCACGTTCCTCTCACCATCGCCTGACGGGTACCAAGACCGGGAGAGGCAGAAGGGGCGGATGGCCTTCAGTACTCGGCTGTTTTGGATATCCGCACCCACATGTTGTCCTCGATGAACTGGCTGTAGCTCAGCGAGTCCCACGGCTTCATGGGGTTGACGAGCTGGAAGTCGAACTCGCGCATCAACTACGGATTTAGCCACCGAGTTAGCACCTGCGCCTTGTCGGCCCACATCCCGTGCGCTCTCCTCTCTACGGAGCCTCACGCGCCGGACCAGGGGCGAGAGAGGAGACGAAGAAAGAAAAAAAACAAGACGCACCTCGAAGAAGATCTTGTTGACCTCCATGAAGGCGACGGGCTTGCCGGCGCACATCCAGCGGCCGTAGCCGAAGATGAGCTCGACGTTGCGCTCCATCTCGGCGCGGGCTTCGGCGCTGGCCTCCTCGAAGCGCTCGGGCCGGAACATGTCGGCGTCGGGCCCGAACAGCGCCGTGTTGCGCATGATGGCCGACGGGTTCGACCCGATCGCCGTACCGCCCGGGATGAACTTGCCGTGGATCACGTCGCCCTCGGGCGGCACCGCCTTCGGGTACAGGCCCGGCGCTGGCGGCCGCATGCGCATGCCTTCGTACAAGACGGCCTGGGTCAAGGGGCCGGAGGAGTTAGAGGGGCGGGAAAGAAGAGATAAACAGAGAGACAGAGAGAAGGAGAGGGAAGCATACCTGTAGGTAGGAGATCTTCTTGGCCTCCTCCTGGAGGATGGGACTGGAGACGTTGCCCTCGCGGAGGGTGTCGCGGATCACCTCCTTGAACTTGCGGTACACGCGCGGGCAGGTCATGAGGTATAGGAACGTGGTGCGGATGACCGAAGCCGTGTTCTCGAACCCGGCAATGATCATGAAGAGCGCCTCCGTCTCGCATTCCTGCCGGTCGAGCCCGTGGTTGATGAAGGATGCCTGCGGGGTGGGAGAGAGGTCGCGTTAGCACGTACCGTCCAGTCCTACGCCGTTACCCACTGGGGCGTTACTCACGAGCATGTCTGTCCTCTCTTTGGCGCCCGTAGCGAAGCGCTTGTCCACGACATCCTTGGCGATCCTGACGAGATATTCAGCACGAAGTCTCGCGATGGCGGTGTAAGAGAGGCGCTCACCCCATGAGCTTGCCCATGCCGCCGGAATCCGTTGGCCGCGGGCCGAAGAACTTGAGGAAGACCGGAGAAAAGAATATGTTCCGGATGTAGGGCACGTCGAGGGCCATGGCGAGGCTAGCCCAGCTCTCCTTGACCGCGGCGAGGAAGCCATGGACGTCGGTGTCAGTGTTGAGGCAGCCAAACTCCTCGCCGAAGGCGGATCGCGTGATCACGTCGACGGTGTAGTAGGAGACGAGCTCGGCAAACTCGACCGGGTGGTACTGGCCGGTCGCCTCGTCGGAGAGGTACTTGCGCCGGATGAGAGCCTGGAGCGCGCGGATCTGGTCGTTGATCCCGGGTTCCAGCGCCGGCGTCTCCCGGCCGCCGTACGCCCCAGCAATCTTCGCCTTGAACCGGTCGTGCGTCCCCGCCTCAAGCATGGTGAAGACATTGTCGTGGTACGGGTCGAATCGCGCGGCCACATACCACTGCGAGCAGAGGGGGAACGGTTAGTTGTCATACGTCACACGCGGACCCAGAGGCCAGTAAAATTCTTACGGGGTCTCTCGCGTAGGTACTTCGAGCGCCGGCTATCTTTTTGATGACTTCGGGGTCGTCCGTGGAGAGCTCGTTGGGTCCGACTCTGATTAGGGGGCCGTACTTCTTGTACATGTCCCGGTACACCCAGAACTGCTTGCCGCTCTTCGCAACCCTCGCAATCCACAGGTACGAGAAGGCCGCTAGAGGCGGTCCCGGGATGTGCCGGAGACGATACCAGGAGGCGAACGACGATATGAAGAAGTAGCAGGCCCAGACAACGAGGGCCACGAGCCCTAATCCGCCGGGCGACCAGTCCGAGAAATTCAAGAGGGCCATGGTGGGTTAGCCGTGCCCTTGAAGCTGCCTCCCGAAACCGTCCAGAATGCTCGAGGCTGGTCTTGTAGGACGGAGGTATATATTCATTATCGAGGGAATCAGGGCTTGCCAGACCTGTCTGTCGGGTATCCGGACCAAGCCGAGGTATCCTGTTTGTAGACCCTCCTAGACGTGATGATCACCGCCCAGCATATCCCCCCCCCGCTACTACCACGAGCGTGATGGGCCAAGCTCGAGGTCCCTCCCGCCTTTCCCCCCTCTGAAGCTATACTCGTCATAGTGTATGCATGCGTTGTTCCAGTGCATACATACCGTCGTGCCACCACATCACATCCTCCCTGGCAATCCACGACCAATCAGACCTGGCGGAATTAGGGACATCACACTGGGCAGTGTCGATAGCTACCGAACCAAGCTTAGGTCAGGTGCGCGAAGCCCATGCAAGCAGGTAGCGCCACACACTGCGAAGGTTTGCGTATAAAAACGAGACGACGTGTCCCTCTCCCCCTCGAGCCGCCGCAGTCGGGTACATCCTATGTCTGAGCATCCCGATGCGGGACGGGAGCCCGAGTTCGATTCGAGGGCGCGAGTCTAGGTCCGGGCCGTCTGCAGACTTCGCGCGAAGGATTCTGGCGTAACGGCGAATGAGGGGAATGTCCTCTATCCGCTAACCCCTCCATCCCTACCGCTAAGGGTGGAGTCTATCCGACTCACGTCCCAGATATATCAGGGCCGAGACGAATCGCCGGATGCTGGTCTATGTGGGGCTCCCACATGTTCCCAGTCCGCGATGCCATTTCCGGGTCGTGGAGGGAGGGGAGGGAGACGGCTGCTCTCTTTCCCCATCTGTCACAGGTGTCTCACCATCTCTGTACCTCCCCCTCCCCCCCGCTGAAGGTACCATGCCATCATAGGTACGCAAAGAGAAAGCGGTATCCTTGGCTGTATGGATGAGGGAGAGGAGAGGGGAAGTGAGAGGCCGCCAGGTGTTAAAGGCGGTCGGATTACCGCGAGGTTCTCATGTCTAGCGTCAGGAAGTCAACTCCGCAATATTCTGCGCACCCGCGGCAGAAATTCGTCGTTCGTCGTGGGCTTAGGACTTCGCCAAGTTCGCGAGCTTACGGGTGCCCAGAATTCCCAACTTGGATCCTCCGGCATGAGGACTCGTCGTCGTCGTCCCAACAAGACTTGCTGCCTTGGCTCTATTCGGTAGTAGACAGGCGAGGGGGGTCCACTCCCCTCATCAGCCCAGCCTAGCAGTCCGGCCATCTACCGGCGGCGCTCTGCATGAGGCCTTTCCCGGACGAGATAGGTTCACCCTCGCCCTTGCTCTGCCTCCCTCGCTCGCCCAATTTCAGCGCCCCGGTGGAGAGCGTGAGCCGTCATCCCGCCGCAGCCAGGCCAACCCTCCCGCCCCCATTGGACCTGGCAGCTTGTTGATGCCTCGTGGAGGTGCCCTCTCGCGCTCCCGGCACCCTTGCCCGTGATGACGGCTGCAGGAGCCATGTCCCCAACGGCACTACGCTGTGGGTCTAGCGCCCACTGGCGTCTGTAGCGAGAGTAGCGAAAGCAGGTAAGCAGGGAGAACGAAAGGGGAGGGGGGTGGGGGATGGGAAACGGGGAATGATCAAACCAGAGAGGACACATTAGTCTTGACAGCTTAAACAGGAGGGTGCTGTTGCTCGATTCACTGGGCATGCGAGTGAGCGAGTAATTATTAGTCAAGGGCGTTTCTACCTCGAGAAATGCCACCTAGCCAGATCCCAAGCTGCCCACAACTGTTGTTGGTGTGGCGTGGTTGGGTCCTCTTCTCCCCTCCCCCTCCCCCCTTCTCCCCATCGATAATAGACGCCATAATACTGCAGGGTAGCATCGAGACTGGGTCCGACGTGCTGTATAGGTTCGTCTAGATGTATCAGAACCAATTTGGAGGGGAGAGGGTCGCATAACACGCTGCACAGACAGAGTCTAGAACCGAGTCCAGTCGGACCCGTCTTCCACCACCACCACCTCTCCCTCTCTACCTTTTCACCCTGCTTCTTGCCGTTCCTGCTCCCCCTCGTTGTACGTACGCAGGGACTTGTATCCATGCAGAGTGGAATTGCACAGGTGAGCGAGTAGGCAGGACTTCCGCGAAACGATGCAGGTAGCAGCCACTCTACTTAATGTCCTGCGCTGTCCTGAGTGCGAGCAGCAGCTCTTTCGACCCATGACAACGGTGGCGGCGACGTGCTTACCTCCGGTTACACGGAGGAACTGCACATAATCTCAGATCTGCTCTGTTCTGCCAGGGCGCAGGGAAACTAGCGAGCCGCATACGCCATAACGCGTGTGTGCGTGGTTCGCGGGGCCGGACTGGCGCTGCACCCAGCGGAGGCGGAGCGAAGGTCCGGAGGCAAGGGGTCGGACGGGGGCCTCGTCGTGCCGACGCAGTGCAAATGGACCTAGCTCCCGGGGGGGGGGCACCGCCGGGGCCGGGGCCACGCCACTTGTCACGGCTTACCGCGCTGCACCCAAGCCGCGCGCGAGCGGGGCAACATGGCGTTGGACGAGTGCGTGGGCGGGAATTTGCGAGTTGTGACGGCGCGACGTTCGCCGCCCCTTCGATTCAGCGCGCTTCGAGCTCGGGCCCGGCCTGCGCGTGGTGTGTAAGGAGGTAGGGCTTCCGGCTTCTGGCGACAGCGAAAACGAAAGCGACAGTAGCAGCATAGCGATCTCGCGGACAGATCTCAGGCCTCCGGCGATGACACGGAGGGACAACAAGTGAAACGAAGAAGAGAGAATCCAACGGAGAAATAATCCAAGGACGGCAAAACCGCACGATGTTGCCGAGATCTTCGGGAGTCCTCTCTGCTTGTACGTCTCATCTGCTTCGAAGCTCCGAAACTGCTACCGAGAGCTCAGGCATCGCCAACGCTTACGCGTCCTCTCCTTGTGCAGTTACGTGGCGGCGTGTTATCTATGAAGCAAATCCTCTTAGTAGGGCGCCACATGGCTGACCCGCCGTCTATAATGTTAATCAAGAGCACAATCCATCATACCCTGTCACATTTCTCCCTAGAGGAAGGAGGAAGTGACAGATCTTGGAATCGCCCACGCGGCTTATAACGGAATGACATTTGGCACTCTGACCCCCGAGCGCCGGTAAGTTGGGGAGTGGGGGAGCGCGCAGATCAGGAAATAGGAAAGCTCATCGCGCCACATGCGAAAGGGGCAGATACGTATGTATGCTGGAGGGAAGGGGGATCGGTGAGACTATACACCTAGGTAGGTAGGCGTGGGCAGTTTCGCAGTCGGGCTGGAATACCCCTTTTTATGGCGGGCGACGGCGGATTAGGGTAGCGCGCGTGTATAGTACGTACATACGTATGTGCTCTCTTTCCATCTCCCCTCTCTCCCTGTGCCCGGGGCGGTAGCCGTAGTACGGAGTCAAATTTCTCGACTATTTGAAGGAGAGTCCCGTGCGTGATCGACACGAGGCGCAGCGAGATCTCGTGCGACGTGCCCTGGTGAAGCTACGATCTGGGGTGTCTCGCGGTAGGTAATTTGTTTTCCTCAAGGCGTCGCTCGGCGGTAATCCCGCTCGGTAGGACTCGGTGGAAATGCTGGGAAAACTTGGTCATACCGGTCAAATGTAGCGGGATCGTACCTATGTACGTTGGGTGAGCTGCCTGATAATACCTGCCTGAGATAGAGCCGAGAGCAAAGTAGGTTTACGAGCTGGACAAGGTGCCTACACTTAGATGATGACTAGGTACATCAGACCTCGATGGTAGGCAGGCAGGTATAGACTGGCTGGTCGGTCGTTGAGATGTCGACAGGCCTTCGTATCCTATTCTCATCCCGGTAAGTGGGAGATGGCGGTTCCCTCTTCTACTGCTCGACAGCCGGCTTTCCGATCTCCCCGTTGCGAACGCGACCAGACTCGCGTATGACGTGCGGATAAGGGATCGCGCCGCCAGCCGAACTGCGAATCGGCCCAGCCGGCACATAGCGAAACATGGTACCAACGCTCGCCCTGGCCGTGATACCGACGAGGGCCAGACGCGGTCCCACGGGGGTCCACTGGGGAACAAAGCTTGGGGCAGGATGTTTCCATGGGCTCGCTCGGCCCCGAAGGATGGGGCCGATTGCGATGTGGACTTGGCAATTTAGGCACTGAAGCTTGAACTGACCGCGCCGTGTCGGTGCCAAGAAACGCGCCGGTCGACGTATAGAGCCAAGAGGGTAGCCGTGCCAGTACGCAAGGTGGTAGGTGGATGGTGGGAATATGAGTATTAAATTTTATATGGCGGCGTGTAGCAAAGGAGAACAAGCAACACGCTAGATATAAGTAGTTACCTAAGCGGCGGACGGGCTTATCCCCTGTCGGCTAGTTCCGGCGCACGTGCCGAGCCAGGCTTGTCTGAGAGGTAATAAGAGGGGACAGCAGGAGGGTGCGCGGCGTACTCTACTACGTACTGTCACGTACCTAGGTAGGTACCGTGCTATTATTGGCTTTCGGTTTGTACGTGCCCGTATACCTAGTAAACCCGGCTGCCATGTACCTCCGACAGCCACCGTTAGGTACCTACGCAGTGGACACACACACATACACACACGCACACACACACACGAAACACCATCCGAGTATCAAGACCCAGGGTGTTGCGCAGATCATCGCCAAAAACGCCAGATTGCCCTGCTTCCGCAAGAGACTACCAGGCCAGAAATCGTGCAATCTCCTCCTATACCACGAAAATGAAATCGGGGTTTCAGCCGACAATCGCTTTTGCGGTTCTCGAGGGTGAGCTAGACGGATATCATCAGCCCTCTGGTCCACGGCTATCGAAACCACACGGCATGCCATAGCTACCCCCAAACTTATCGACAGCATGATGGAAACTTATTTCCTAGCGTTCAGGTCCCGACGCAGGGAGGCAAAACGTAGGGCTGACGACATCCCCATCTCGGCTAGGATCATTTGCGTGCAGGCGAGGGCGCAGTCGGTGTGACCACCCGCACAACGGTTCGTATTCGATACCATCGAGTGGCCTTATTTCGCTGTCCCTCGCGGGTTCGTCGAGGCTGTGCAGGCCGGGAAGAGAGAGAGAGGTCGCCGTCGACTTGGGTATTATGAGTAGGGTGTAGGCAACAGACAGGCATGATAATCCCTAAGCATACACTAAGGGACCTGAAGGATGGACCCGGCCTACAAATCTTACGGTGACCACCCCCGGATCATACGGGCGCGGAGAGTCTCGACGCCAAGGTTAGGATCTTCATCAACGCCACCGGCGGCGACCGCGCAGTTTCAGTCCTCGACCAGATCGGTATATAATACTCTATAGTACCACCTCTCACCACCCATTCCCTGGTACCTGCTACGTACTTACTTTGTGTATGTACTTTCCTCCCCCCTAGAGATCAGTAGGTTACTTAACGAAGGATAGGTTCGATTCCTAACAGCGCTACTTGGTAGTCTTCGCTACTTAGCTCATCTCCTAGCTCCCGCTTATCTGTAACCGATTTTTGTCAGCAGCTGTGCCTAATAGGTATTTCGCCCATCGCCAACATCTCCATTTGCTCGTCCATCCCGGTTCTCTTTTTTTCACCTTCACGTCTTGTTCTCCTCCTCCTCCGCCGTCCCACTACCCTTGTCGGTCCCCTGCGCTAAACCCCAGAGCCCAGATCCGACCGGACCTCGAGGACTTGGTGGTGCATTTCGCTCGCTTCACATACTAACCCAAAGCGCACCCTGTGGCACCTGAGCAATCAGGCATCAAGAAAGGAGGCCTGTGATTGGTGGGATTGAAGAAAAACACGCAACAGCTAACTGTTTGTAAAACGCTGTATTTAAGCCCTTTTAGCAGTTTAGTTTTTACACCTTTAATTGATCAATGAGGTTTACCTTTTAATACGTCCTGCATGCCTTACAATTAAGGTAGCGAGGCCGTGAGAGAAACTGCTAAAACGCACAACCCTGTCCACATATATGGAGTTGCATAGCTACATCTAGGAAAAAAGATGATTCTTTTAATAAATGAACTCCGAGGTAGGAAGGGGTGTAGTTAATATGTATGATATATTCAATTAAGTAATCGTAGGTTCATACCCTCGTACCCTTCTTCTTTTCGTAGGTACGTACCATCCTTATGGTAGGTACGTACTTAGGTATATTTATCATAGGTACGTATTTATTCGTCGTAGCCTTTTCCTACCTTCGTTCGTAGCTTCTTTCGGTCACAACTGTCTTTAATTACAACTACCTTTAATTATGACTACCTTTGATTGTAACTACCTTCGATTATAACTATCTTTGATTTGTACCTACCTTCGATTACCTTTCTTTAATTACCACGATAACAATCCTTATAATTAAATATCTACGTTCTTATAGCTATAATATTGCGCTAACGGTAATATGCATCAAAAATGGATACCTTATTTTATTGGGGCGTAAGTTTAGACATTAAAAGTGGGGGATCCCACCCCAAAACGGGGTTTTTTTCCCAGATGTAGCTATGCGACTCTGGTCTGTCGCTAACGCGCTGACGGGGAGAAAAAAAAAAAAAGGGCAATACGAGAATCAGGTACCATTCGTTGACCTCTCCGCCGGATTCCCCACCGCACCAAGACTCGATCCTTGCCAACGCCCTCCGCGTGGCCTCGTGTCTTGGCCTCGGAGCAGGGTGAGGTAAATAGAACCGGAAAACCATCATCGTTCAGATGGTCGCATGAGCTTGGGCATCGTCGTCGCACAGTCGAAATCGGCAACGACAGAAGAAGAAAAAGAAGCTGAATCGGATGTGTGCTGCTATCCGTTGAGATTCGTCGAGGACCCTCGTCACCCTCCCAGCTCTCCCTCCGCCTCGTCTTCGCCTCTCGTCACGAAGCCGCGATGAGGTCCTCGGTCGGGGCGTTGCTCGCCGGCGCGCTCTCTCTCGCGACTCCCGCCCTGTCGGCCGAGCGCATTCTGCGGTCGACCTCCCTCAACAGCTGCCAGGAGAACTCAGGCTTCACTGCGAGCCTGTTCAGCGTCGTGTACATCCCGAGCCAAGGCGTCGCCCACGTCAACATTTCGGCCTTCTCCACCATCGAGGCCAATGTCATCTTCGATATCGACATCACCGCCTACGGCTATTCGTTCCTGCACCGCACCATCAACCCGTGTGAGGTCAACCTCGCCGGTTTCTGCCCCATGGTCTCCGGCAAGCTTGGCGACCCCTTCAACCTTCCCGTTACTGCCGCCGCCACCGCCGGCATCCCCTCCATCGCCTACGACTTCCCCGACCTCGACGCCAAGGTTAGGATCTTCATCAACGCCACCGACGGCGGCCGCGCTGGCCAGAGCGTCGCCTGCGTTGAGGCCCTCATCTCCAACGGCAAGACCGTCGACCTCATCGGCGTCAAGTGGGCCTCCGCCGTCGTCGCCGGCCTCGCTCTCGCTTCCTCCGCCTTCCTATCCGGCCTCGGCCACACCAATGCCGCTTCCCACGTCGCCGCCAATGCCCTCTCGCTCGTCAGCTACTTCCAGGCCCAGGCTATGATCGGCCTCGTCGGCATCCCCTTGCCCCCCGTCGTCCAGTCGTGGACACAGGATTTCCAGTGGAGCATGGGTATCATCAAGGCCGCCTGGAGTACGTTTTGCCTCTTCTTCGACTCCCTTTCTCTTCTCGGACGTGGATGATGCGCGATGCGACCTCTATCCTCGTGCCACCTCGCTTGTCGCATTCCGGTGGCACAGCGTAGCAACCCTTTTTTCTTTCCATCCTGGTTCGCGCATGCGCTGACTTTGGGGTGTTACAGTGCAACGCATCTTCACCTGGTACCAGCGATCGACGGGCGGTACGGCGTCGACGCTGATTACGCAGTCGAGCAGCTTGTCGGTGGTGTCCGTCGAGGTGCAGAAGCGCAGCATCGACCTGTTCCAGCGCGCCGCGTCCATCCTTCCCCGCGCCGTCCTCGACCACGGCACCAGCCTGATGCGCCGCGCCAACGTCCAGACCAGCTACGGCAGCTTCGTCGTCTACGGCATCCAGCGCGCCGCCTTCCGCGCCGGCATCGAGAGCACTAACCTCTTCCTCACCGGGCTCGTCTTCTTCTATATCGTCATGGTCATCACCACCCTCTGTGTTATCGCCTTCAAGGGCTTCTGCGAGCTCGCCGCTAAGAATAAGTGGATCAAGGGCGACCAATTCCTCGATTTCCGCAACGGTTGGCGTATGTGATCCCCCTTTGCAACTCGGCCTGTCAACGACTGCTGCTGGGCGGCTCTCCCTCTCTCTCTCCCTCTCTCTCCCTCTCTCTCTCCCTCTCTCTCCCTCTCTCTCTCCCTCTCTCTCCCTCTCTCTCCCTCTCTCTCTCCCTCTCTCTCCCTCTCTCTCTCTCTTCCGAGAAAACAAAAGAACAAGACTGATGCCGAACGCCTCTCTGGGGTTACAGGAACCGTTCTCAAGGGCATCCTCTTCCGGATGGCCCTCGTTGGGCATCCCGCCATCACGATCCTTTCCTTCTGGGAGTTCACCCAGAACGACTCCCCCGCGCTCATGGTCTTGGCTGTGTTCTTCCTCCTCGCGATCAACCTCGTCCTTGCCTGGGCGGCCTACAAGGTTATCCGCATCGCGCATCGCTCCGTCGCCATGCACAGGAACCCAGCTTATATCTTGTTCTCGGACCCCGAGACTCTTAACAAGTGGGGTAAGTGACAGAGACACCTTCAGTCCCTCCCGATATCACCGTGCTCTAGAACGGCCCGAGCTTAGGCCCAGGTCGTCATGGTGTTGTGATCTCCCTATTCTACTTCCTCACCACCATCGTCCACGCTGACAAATACCGTGCGCTACGCGTTTTATCTAGGCTTCCTATATATCCAGTTCCGCGCGTCAGCGTACTACTTCATTGTGCCGGTTCTCTGCTACACAATCGTAAAGTCGCTCTTCATCGCGTTCGCGCAAAACAGCCCGATCGTACAAGCAATCGCATTCATCCTAATCGAGGCGGCAGCGCTCATTGCGGCGTCAGTGCTACGGCCCTGGATGGACAAGAAGACGAATTCGTTTAACATCGCGATATGCGCCGTTAACTTCATTAACGCACTTTTCCTACTCATCTTCACCCGCGTCTTCGACCAGCCCGCAATCGTAACGGGCGTCGTCGGCGTCATCCTATGGATCCTTAACGCCGTATGCACACTCGTACTACTACTCATGCTCATCATCACGACGGGCATTATCATCTTCCACGGCAACCCGGACGGCCGGTACAAGTTCATGGCCGACGACCGGACCTCCTTTATGAAGTCGCAGAGCCAGTTGGCGACGACGACGGAGCTTGACGCGCTCGGCGTCACCGCGCGCGGCGAGAAGCACCGCTACGGCGGCTCCGGCCTCGACCTGGACGCCGACGACGCTTCCAGGTCCGCGAGCGCGTCGAACCACCGCGACTCGTCGCTCTACCGCGGCCGCCCCTCCCTCGCCAACTCCACCACTCGTGGTTCCCACCCGAGTCCGCTCCGCCCCCCAGTCGACCCCGCGTCCATCGGCCGCGCTGTGAGTCCCATCGGCCACCGCGCCGTGAGCCCCATCAGCGCCTCGAGCGCGTCCGGAGGCCGCTCCCAACGCAACGCGAGCCCCGCCGGGTCCCGCCCGCCGCCGAGCCCGAGGTAAGAACTGAACCCCCGCTCCGGCTCCCCTGGTCGGGCGAGACTGCTGTCGAACCCAACTTCTTCTGAGAGCGTCTGCTGACTCGTCGTCGCGGCTAGGGCCTGGCAACGCGGAGCCGGATACGACCATCAGGTGAGCGGCCCGTAGCACCCCTCCGAGTATAGTTACGAGCGGTATGCCGCGACGTACCGATGTCTCGAAACACGGCCGTGATGCTCCGCCCCTTTGCGGGCGGGATTGCGCCGCCTTAATTCAACCTCTCTCTTATCAATCGTGCCGCACCCGCTCAAGTCTCCCGGGAACTTGTCTGGTGTCGGGTGCGGAGATGAACTTGCTTGTGTGGTTATTTATATCCGAACGGCGGCGCTATGTATATTTAGGGAGGCGGTCAGGGCGGCAGAGGCTCGACCTGACCGACTGACTATGCGGGACAAGGTGTCCCGGCGAGGGTTTAGCTTTGTTACGAACTGTTGGGCAGGAATCAAGGCGTTTCTGGCAGGGGGAAATGATGCATTCTTTGCAGCCGGCGCGGATGGGTCCGGCTCTACGACGTGGGGAATACTGCAGTTTCGGCTTCGCTTTGCGGTGTAGACTCGTGTGTGCAAATAGTTGGTTTATATAGTGCCCAGTACATTTATGTAATCTTTAACTTTTCTATCTTCGCGCTACTTCCCCTCCGATGTGCCTTGACGAGCCCAGTTACTATGCGATAGCTCCCCGGGACGAGTTGTCTGTGGGGTTGGTTTACCGGCTTACTACTGCTTCGGACCTAGGTACGTTCCCCAAGCTTGCCCTCTCTCTCTCATCTTGATGAGTCGCGATCGTAGTAGACATTGCTAAATAAGCTGTTTATGCTCCCCAGCCGCTCCGCTTCCCGTGACCCCGCAATACCAGTCCGTCAGTATTGACTAGTATTAGGTAGAATCTCAGGACGCCGAACCCGATCAACCGCTGATCAACCAGGAGAGATACACGGCAAGGTACGTAGAATAACGAACGGAAGAGCTTGTTTATACGCGTCCGGGGAGCACAATACGCAACCTCCTCACCACACACCCGCTCCTAACCCCCCCACGCTCTCTCGTAGAAGACGCGTGGGTTCCACGGTATTGCCTTTCTCTCGCGTCATCTGTAATAAAGATGCCCAAGATCACCACCCCGAATCCGCCCACGGGATGCCGGAGCGGACGGAGGAGCGACGGCTGGGCGGCACCTCTCCGATCGGCGTGTTGTGGCCGGAGGCCATCGCAATGACAAGACGGAACCGCTTCTTCTCCTCGATGATGCCCCGTAGGGTCTTGGTGGGGTCCTTCCCGTTCTCCAACACCCGGACGCCACAGGATTGCTGTACGATCTCGGTGTACTCGCGCATGGTTTGGAGGACGTCGAGGCCGCCGTTGTCCTGGACCTGCTCGGTGACCTCGATCGGCCGTTTAAGAATGTACTGCGGCAGGATGCCGCTCCAGAAGCCACAGGTTGATCCGTCCTGCCGGTTCGATAGTGCCATGTAGCATGCGGTCTGGAGGGCCATGGCCGGGTCGAAGCCGGCCTCCTCCCACGCTCTCCGCAGCTGCCCTAGCGCGTGGCCCGCTCGCTCTACCGCCCCATCCCTGACCGTGTCTAAGCTGTACAGCCTGCGTAGTTGGGATGAGCTAAGTAGCGAAGACTACCAAGTAGCGCTGTTAGGAATCGAACCTATCCTTCGTTAAGTAACCTACTCCTACAAGGTGCGCGCCCCCGCGCGCCAGTACCACACGGTACCGCCTGTCCCCATACGGTAGACCAGGACCTCTCATACGAGAAGGTACGCTCCACTACTGTCGTATAGCCTGCACTGGTACATACATACCACCTCAAAAGGACCTTATTACAAAGGCGGCACTCTGGTGGTGGTTGTGAGACGGGTTGTGCAGACGTCGAATTGGGCACGATAGGTGCTGTTCCAGTGGGTTTAGGAGCCAAGACCCAGTCTGGATGTTCCTTGGCGATGGCCTCTTCCGCTGGAAGACCAGTCTTCTCGTATACGTATCTCTCAATGAGATCATGTCTCCCTTTCAGCCACTCTTGCTGAGACACCTCTCTCTTGTCGTCCACGATCTTCTTGCATGTCTGTATGATATTGTAGGCTTCCCAGAGGGATCGTGCTCCATGTGCTGCCTTGTCGAGGGCTTCTTGTCGAAGGTCGGGATCTCTCAGTCCCTTGACGAATCGTGAAACGGTCTGATCAAGCAAATACGCCTCCAGCATGGAGAGGTCGTCTGCTCCGTCTGGGCGAAGATTCTGGGCGTTGTCTCTGGCACCCATTCGTCGTAACACATCCTGGGCTTTGACATAGTAGGCAGATAGCGACTCGTTCGGATCTTGGGAGAATTCGACCATTTCCCTGGAGAATCTCATCTCCCTCTGGTCAGCAGATCTGACCAGGAACTAGTCCAACGTAGAGGGCGGCGGCGAAGTGCGCCCTGGGAGAACTTGGCGGGGTCCTTGATGGCGCGCTCTGAGTCGGCCAGGTCTGTGTGGATGGTGAAGACGAGGGCACCCGCAATCGTGGGGCGGCGGCACTGCTAGCCGAAGACGCGGTCTGCTTCGGCGCCCATGGGGCTACACCCTGCTCGGCGTGGAAGCTGGTCAACTGCGCGACAGCGAGCTCGGATTCGCGATAGTCCGGGGATCTAGACGCATCGCACCCCTCCTTCTTGAGGATCGTCCTCGATCCTCTCAACGCTCCTCGTCTACGATAGCCTCAGTTGCTCTCGTAGCCGTTGATTGCCGTACTCGAGCATTCTCTTGCTGGCGTACCACATGCTTCGCACTGGGTGGCCGTCGTCGACGTAGGCCGGGAGCAGGTTCGCGCCGTTGTATTATTTGCTGGGCAGTTGAACGCCCCCGGGGCTTCGGATCCTGCCCACGGACCGTCGTAATACGGCTCGCGCTTCGCCGCGCGTTGTTGCACTCGCAATACCCAGTCGCCGGGTGCGTATGTCCTGATCAGGCCCTTCTTCTGGCATGTATCTGCTCTTTCGAGACTTTCAAGCCGCTGCGGTGTGCTGGCATTGAGGTACTAAAGTTATCGGATCTCTGGTAACACCAGGCCTCTTCCGGTCCACGGGTGCGGGTGAGGTGTCGCTGCGTATGTGCTGCACAGGCGGCCGAGGGGACAGACATATGGTATATAGCCAGGTCCTTCCTCCGCCCAACCCCGTTTCTTTCTCCCTGTCGTTCCGCTTCCCTCCGCTCTCTATCTATGTCTCGGATGAGCTAGGTAGAAGACGGACGCAGTAGCCAACCGTTCGCAAACCCCATTTTCCAGAACCAGCCGTTGGCCGCGGCCACATTACCGAATCCCTCCCCTTAACAGGGAGGGAGAGGCAGTCCGGGACTGGCTAGAGTAGGCAATAGCCTGTGCACCCTCTATCTTTCTGCAAGCAGAGCTCCGTTCGAGGCGTGTATTTCCTGCTTCTTCCAGGCCCCCGGCCCCCTGGTCGGGCCCCGAGCCCCCTCTCGGGCTAGCAAGAAAGAACCGCGGGGCCCGCCCAGGCGCTGCCGGCGCAGCCTTCGCGGATGCAGGCGTAATCTCGGGCCGGCGTAACGTTTTCTGTTCAGTTTCCCCGGTTGCTAGGGCGTGGTGCTGCGCCCCGAGGTACGTCCTCGCTCTCCCCGGCCACCCCCTAGTGCCGGAGACGTCCCTACGGGGAGACTAGTCGACACGTTCGCCAGTCCAGTTCGCGTGTCCGTCCATGCGGGCCTCTTCGGGGGCGGCTGATCAGTCGCACGCCCGCTGGATGCTGCCGAGTCAGCCCTCGGTTCCCGTTGTAGCGAGGGGACGCGCCGGGCCCGCATCCGGCAGCGTAGAATCTCCCGGCCCCGCAGAAGCCACACGTGATGGGTGCGACCAAGCGATAGACCGCCGGGTCTCGGGACCACAATACGGCAGTGCCGGGCTGTGGGGTAGGGCGGAGGCACGGGTCAGCAGGGCCGGGACCAAGAGAGAGAAGACGCTAGGAGGAGGGAGAGTGAGAGAGAGACGAGGTACCTTCGAAAAAGATTCCTGCGCCGCCATCGCTTCAGCTTGCACCTTCAACGGTACTCCAGTGGAGCTACTGCTCCTCAAGCGCCATGGAGGCGAGGCCGCAAGAAAGGAGTTTCTCGCAGAGGAGGGCGAATCCCCGTCAGTAGGTCAGGCAGATTTTGCCTGCTCTTGCTTAGTGGTTGTTATGTCTAGGAGGAGCGGTGTTAGCTTTGCTGTAGGGGTATTGGTCTCGAGGGGATTAAGGGCTCCGTACGGTTGTGAGGCCATTGAGACCGTTGTGTTGGAGGTCGGGTGGGTGAGAAGAGGGAATGGAGGAAAAAGAATTCAAGAGGGGAGGAGACGCCTTTATATATTTTTTCAGGGCCGGCGCAAACAGGCAGGCGGTGTGTCGAGAACTGCCGTTATACACAGTACGAGGAGATACTTCGTGTTGCTGTAGTGAAGGATCTAGTCATGGTGGTGTTTGTTTGGTCTTTATATGGGTGAGTGACTCCTACATACTGTGGCTGTTCACCGCATGTTACAACAAACCGAATAGTATTGGGCACGCACGGTGTGTTTTACATTGCCGTCAACCCGGAGAACAACCACTCTCTGGCACTGTGGCAAGCTGTTCGACGAGCCAAGGCCGCGCTGAACGGGGAGTCTCCGTCCTCGGCCGCGGTTGCGGTTGACTTCAGAATTGCCGAGCCAACTATGTAGAGAATCTCAAGTTGATTACGGCGCATACCAACATCTAGATAAGCCCGAGATCGATGAGCTATGATTGGTGTGGTGCAAGTCTTTGAGGCCGCGAGAGTCGAGGGGTTCCAAGGTAACAGCCGAAGGGATCCGTGGGATGGATACGGCATCTACCGCCGCCTAAATATATTAATCTATAAGCAATATGAGATTAGATGAGATTAGATGACCTTAAGCAGTGTCCAGCGGCATATGTGAGAGGAGCCCATAGCAGGACTAGTCGGGGGATAATGTATTTATGGGTTGCGAACCAGGTCGTCGGACACAAGTCGTCCAAGCCTTGCCTCTACAAGCCTGCACTCCTCCCTAACCGTGTTCGCCGCTGTCACTTCGCCCGAGATGCAGTGGAAAGCTCTGGCTCTTGCGCTTCTCGTGGAGCATGGCTCCGGCCAAATATTCCCGATGATGCGTTTCGGCTGCTCGCAGCTCGTCGTCGACCGCATAGACCCTCTGGTCAGCCCCGGGTCCATCCCGTCGCCTCACCTCCACCAGATCGTCGGCGGCAACTCGTTCAACGCCACCATGGACCCGGCGACGCACGATCTCCCCACCGGCTCGACCTGCACTAGCTGCACCTTCTCCGAGGACTTCTCCAATTACTGGACCGCCGTTCTGTATTTCCGCGCCCGCAACGGCACCTTCACCCGCGTGCCCCAGTTCGAGAGCGAGGGCCTCACCGCGAACGGCGGCATCACCGTATATTACATCCCGGCGGCGGATGGGCGGACCAAGGTGACGGCCTTCAAGCCCGGCTTCCGGATGCTCGTCGGCGACGCCGCGCTGCGGTCGCCGGGCGAGGCGCGCAAGGTGTGCCACCGCTGCATGCCCGTGTCGGGAGACAACAGCAACATCAACTGCGGCGCTCCGGACAGCCAGACCTTGCCCACGAGCTTCTGCCCCGGCGGCATCCGCTCCGTCATCACCTTCCCCACCTGCTGGGACGGCAAGAATACCGACAGCCCCGACCACAAGAGCCACGTCGCCTACCCGATCTCGGGATCCTCCGACACGGGCGTTGGGCCGTCCGGGACCTGTCCCGCGAGCCACCCCGTCAAGATCCCCCAAGTGATGCTAGAAGTCATGTGGGACGTAAGTATTATCGGTTCCTTTTTCCTAGCTCTCCTCGCTGGGTCTGTGGGCTCGGCTCGGTGGATTTCACTTACTTTGCGTTATGGTTGCCTGGGAGAGGCTGGCTGCGGGCTCGACTCTGCCTCGCCGCGGCACGGAATAAAGTCCATCTGCTGACCTCGTACGCGGCAGACGCGACCTTTCAACAACAAGGACCTATGGCCCGAAGATGGCTCGCAGCCTTTCGTGTGGAGCACCGGTGATAAGTAAGCCTCCGCTTCCCTTGCCCTCTCCCTCCCTTCCTAGGCGTATCCGCAACCAGACCTCGGCTCTAACAACCCAATCTTCAGGGATGGATACTCGCAGCACGGCGACTACGTCTTCGGCTGGGAAGGCGACTCTCTCCAACGCGCTATGGACGCGCGCTGCAACGGCGACATCTGCAGCGTGCTAAAGATGCAGTCTCCGGAGGAGGCGATAAACTGCACCCTGCCGCGCGTTGTCGAGGAGCAGATCGACGGATGTAAGTAGCACACCGCCCGGCCACTTATATTAAGTTCTCGACAGGGCGAGAGGCGTAGTCCGGCTGACAACCTCGCAGGGCTGACTGAAATACCGGGGATGGCCATGGAGAGTTAGATCAGTCTCCGCCAGGCTCCGGCTTGAGGCACTCGGTGCATACGGCATCTAAATGGAGCGTTCAGGGCGGGTAGTAGGACTGTACTGTGGGTCTCCTTAGGAGAATTTGACTTAGATGCTCCGGTTACCGTGTCGGCGCTGTCTTTTCGACGATTCTTGCTTATCCAGCCAAAGTTGAACAGTGCTAATAGTAGCTGAGTTGCCTAAATTAGCGGAGCCAGCGTATGACCACTTAATCGTGTGAATTTATCTCCAGTGCGTCTCGATGATACGTCAGTAGGCAGGGCAGTGCCACGTGTCCCAAACTGCGTAGTGTACCCCCTCGGGGAGTGCATGTGATCGGCCCCAAGGCTGTGGAAATGCAACGTAGTGAACGCCACAAGCTTGCCTCATTGCCCGTCTGCGGCCCTAAAGAGCGACGAAGCAGTAGGCTATGTGACTTGTCCTTGGGCTGTGCTGAAATATGGGGCAGGTTGGGCGTTGACAGGGGTATTAATTGTTGAGAGTTGCGAAGGCCCCGGTGTCTGGATAGGTTGAACCAGCTGCACAGTATAGTTCGTACCTATCGTCAAGCAAGGACTCCTACAAAATCTGATACGGTCTCTGTGATTTTCCTCCTCTTGGTCACGAGATTTTTGTGTTTCGTTCGCATCTGTTGCGCTCTCTTTCGACAGCATTCCAACTAACACGCTCCTGAGAGTAATGATCTTCCCTGTCTGGTGGCGCCTGGCTCCCGACTCGCGATCGTATAACCCTGGTAACCGGTAATAGAGTCTGGGACTGTCAATTTAGATCACCTACCGGGTCCCCCGTGTTAGGCACCCTGCGTAAAGGACAGTCGCAGCTGTCCAGTTACAAAGTAGTAGTTTGAACGATAACTAGGTATCGGAATGTGAATATCCCCGAGTTGAAGGTGCCAAATCAGGGGAAAGTGGTAACAAGTGCAACCAAACCAGCATAGTATTGACACCGAGTATAGAGCGTCATTCTGCGAGGTAAATCAGTGTATAATGAGTGACGTTTCTTACTATCCTCGCCTCAGCTCATTTAGCCATTAGAGAGAGCGCATTCCGATTTTCATATGACCGGATTAGCATTAGTACCCCTAGAGGGTTAGAGAGAGTATCAATGAATACAGATTGTGGGTCGGTGTGCACCGAGAAGTATACATATACAGATAGCCTGTGGTCAGCGTGAAAGGGGAGTGTGGGAAATGTAAGGTGAGAATAAGCATCCCTCCTGGTGCGAATAGAAACGCCGGATCAAGGCTCTAAAGTTAGCTTCCCAAGCTGGCCTGTGGCTCCAGTTACTGACAAAGCTTTCACTATGACCTTGCCGATACCGAGGAGCTTCTCTTCCTCTAGGCGTTGACATTGAACCTGGATGGCAGCGGGTGCCCCGTGATACGTATCGGGGTCGTCTACGAAACGGATGTTAGCCGAAAGATGCTCACCGATCTAGCCTAGCCTTCGAAACATACACGATTCCCATATACTTTTGTCTGTCTCGTTGGCAGGCTCGTAAGCTTCATCGACGATGTCGATGAATTTGTCCGCACGTGTTACCGGGATTACTAGGGTGCAATGATCCAGAACATTGGCCGGGCCGATATAGCCTCATACAGCATCAGCATGCGCGGCAGTAATTTATAGGATCAAGTAAAACAATACCGCCGTACCCGGGGCTCCCCGGTATCGTAGCCGCTGAGGGCCATACTGGCAGTATCAGAGCATCGACTGGACGTCCTATTGATAAAAACACCGTTTAGAGTTGAGCCTTTTAACGAGTGAGTAATCATACCTGTACTGGTATTCCTTGCAGTCGATAGCCAGTATTCCTGGTACTCAGCCTTATACTTTTTCATTTTTATCACAGCCTCTTCAACTTCTTTGATATCCAACGGGGCAATTGGTCTAGAATCCGGGAATTCGGACTCCATCTCCTCTATGAGAGGCTCTTTAGAGAGGTCCAACTGCTTGAAGAAGTCGTAACCTCCGTTGGCAGTGGTAATGATGCGCTATAATACGTATTAGAGATGACAGCCTAGAGAATTTTCGCGTGGCTCTTACGTGAATATATGATGCATCGCTGTGTGGAGGTGGATCCCACTCAATGAACTCATGTCCATCGGTGCAAAGTGCCTTTTCGACTGTCCCCAGAGCTCGCAGAATCGGAGGATGAGGCATGACCACGCCATCGAATTTCATGATCCCAAACGACAGCTTAAAATTCATCTCGCCTTGATCTCTCCAGGGGAACAGCTTGACGTCGGGGTAATGGGGCCACGGCTTCAACGAGACTAGAGACTTCACTAAGTATTCTAGGGACGCTACAGAGTGCCCTAGAACTCCCGGAACAGTGGGGATGATGATTTGGCCCGGTGACTGTTGCGATATTAACGCCGCACGGCGCAGAGATTGTCTAATATCACGTACCGAATTTGCTGCGCCCATAAAGGACAGCCGCCCGGAGGAAGGCTTAATGCTGTATACGCCGTTGAACGCCGCGGGAATTGACACGGAGCCACCTGCAATAGGTCTAGGTAAACGACAACTTTCGATAGGTATCCAGACTTCTACTCACCTACATCGCTACCGATCCCGATCGCACTGCCTCTTAATGCTTGGACAGCACCCTCTCCTTGAAGTCCAAACGTTAAAGTAAGTATGATTAAGGGGCAAAGGACGCCGCGTCAACGCACCTCCCGAACTCCCTCCAGAGGAGAGTCTCTGGTTTCGGGGGTTAAGATTGTAGCCCAATATATTGTTGCGAGTTTCAGTTGCCTAGACAGCAGTTGATCAGAGGTGTCCCGACGGGGGCGTCGGTAAGAAGGGGCTCACCCCGAGAGTTTGTGCCAGTGTGGTCTGTCAACGGGGTTAAAAGTCCGAACATGCGTCTCTTCCTCAGGCAAGCGTAGATTATCACCAGAGAATCAGCCATCGACAGAACGCTAACCTTCGCTATGATAATGGCGCCGAGAGCTTCCAACTCGCGAACAATCACACTCTGGATATCAGGTTTGGGAGGAGATACACCTTCGAACGTATCTATCCACCCGACGTAGCCCATCGTAGTCCCCATTCCCTTGACGTGGTACTGGTCTTTCATAGTAATCGGCAGGCCGTGCAAGGGGCCAATGGGATGTTTCCACTTCTCATAGTAGTCGTCCATCCACTCCGCTCTTTCGATTGCTGGCTCGAAGTTGATCTCAAGCAAGTTATGATTCTAGCGGACAATTAGCATAAGTTTGGTGACCTCCTAGCTAGCTTTGTTGATGCCGGACCAGTTGATGCCCATAGGCAGCTCTCTTACAAAACGCCCGCACAAGTTTGGCAGCCCTGAGCTTGCCGCTGAGAGTCATCTCCATCATTGTAGGCAGCTCCAAGTTGGTAACGTACTTCTCCTCGGGGCTTAAGAGGCCGTTGATGAACTCTTCGGTAATGTCGCGCTCCATTTTAGCTTGACAAATGGTTTTCCGGGGAAGCATCCAAGCAGGTTGAATCTTCCTCAGATCTTTTTGTCTCTTTTTCTCTGCTTTGAGCTCCCATTTGACGTTGTCACCAGCCATGGTCTCTGGAGCTATAATTTGTTCTAGACAGTTAAACACCTAGAATCATCGGACAAACGTCAATTGTATGTTATTGAATCCTTTCGAGGATGGGAACCTGCGAGATTCCACATATTCAACCCATTCAAACAACGGCTTGATGCATTTATATAAAGGAATCGAACACTAATCGGTCCGGGCGGCGACTGCGAGTTCCGTTGATATTCCGTAGAATACCTAGCAGTTCATGGCACAAGTGAAACAATAATTAATTAATTACTACATCTGGTTACACCTTGTCTGCCCTCCGTCAACTACGCTGGCTGGACTCTAATGATTCCTGTATTCCCACTCATCTTGGTCCGATGTGTTGCTTTCGAGAGAGAACCAATCCGCCCAAGGCGACCCCTGCCCCGATCATCCACCATTCAGAGGAGCCTGTAACTCCCATCAGCCTTTAGCCTAGGTATTTACCTGTCGCCCACAGTGTCGTGTGCGTGCTCGTCGAATGAAAAGCTGGTTTTATTTCCTTACCGGTAAAGACTCGCGTTCGAGTCTGGATGTTTCATTGGCGCCCTACCCTCGGGCGTTTGCACTTGGCAACGCCTCACCTCCTCGCTACCATTTGAAGCCTAAGTGCTATGACCTCTTGCAAAGTGCGGCCGGTCTGCGATGAAGAATATAGGTTCTCAGGATAGAGATATCTATAAAGACAGGTGCTCGGCGGAATCTACTGTTAATAAATTCAATCCTCGGCTTGGTTCGTAGATGGATGTCACGGCAGAAACCTACCTCTCCAAAGCACGAGAGCTCTCGGCTCCCGCTCTGTACGAGAATGGAACCAGCACATCCTACCCAAGAACGCCCGTACACGAGTCTCATCAGGTTTAATGGCAAGCTGATTGTCGAAAGCGACTTGGCGGAAATTACATCTTTACTGACATGGGTGCAGGAAACATGGGGCAATTGAGAGATCCTCGGACTCGCCATACAAGCACCGCGACGCCGACTACTGTTTCAGTGCGCGTAGCCACCGTCTCAAATGCTACGGACAGCGGTTCTACGAGCTCGACTAATCCCACAATCGAGAACACGGGCACAGGAGACTATTATCGGTATTTCCTCTTAGGGGTGGGTGCATGGAGTTGAGCATGAGCGTTGGAACAGCGCATTCACTGACCTGTAGTGTCACCAAAGGCCCCCCTACTTTACCAAAACTGCGGAAATGATCTGACCTCCGGTGCCCCAGGAAGGTATTTTTCTCAGCATCATTGGTGGTGGCCTGCGGCCCAGGTATTCGGCTGTCCGGGTTCAGAGGCTAGGGAGGGACATTGCGATTTGTACATGGTCATGATGTCTGTGGTTGGGATATTGGAAGACACTTAAAGGGTATTATTACTTACACCAAGCCACCGCCAAGTCAGGGCTGCTTACCGGCGAGGTATTATGTTGGATTTGATGGGCTCGCTTAACCGGGAGCCCTAGTAATAGACGATGTTGGCAGCCGTCTCAAGTCCTTCCAGACTCAGGGCTGTGCCACGCATATTTCTCTCCAGCTCACCGGGGACCTCCTTTATCTCTTTTCCAATAGGCCGGCGCTTCGATGGCCTGCAGCGCCGTCTCGTGAGATCGCTTTCTAGACACCGATGAAGGACCACGCCGGTCAACGGATGCTGTTACAGAGGCTCAAAGTGCACATTTCCCGTTGCACGTTTCCCCCCCAAAGTAGAGCCGCTTGCGAAATTGCCGCACATGTTGTGCGAAGAGGATTTGTAACTCGATTGGGCCGTCATGCTCCGTCTGAGGGATCCAAATATTTGACGCATATCCCGTTTCCCTTCCCCTCCCAGATTGTCTTTATTGAGCGGTGCGCATGTTTATGGCACGGGTCTAACCGTGAGCCAATGTCAACTCCCGTGATGCTGTAAATCCTCGCCTATGTTGGATCCGATGGCACCTAATCCCACCCGCCATCCCGACCTCCACCGGCAAGCGGCACACGACAGTGGCCTCATCCTAGCTCCTGGTGATGGAGGGTATCTTGACTCTGTCTGTACGCAAGTGCAGGTCTTTGCCGCGCCAGATACTGAAGCAACCCGATCCTACATGGATACACAGGATCCAGCGCTTCCCCGGTCCTGGCCTAATACCGCTACCGTACGCAACCTGCCCGGAAGCGGTGCTATTTATGGGGATGGTATTGTCGAACAAATATGCAGCCCAGGTTTCGGTAGTCAGTACTCTCCGCAATATTTCGACCGGGACAAGAATTACCGCCACCATCCAGCACTTCAGCAGCGGGATGTGAGACACGTTGCGTCCCCGGATCAACCGAATCAAGAATCTCACCCCGTTCGCGCCGATTTGTCCAACACTGATCACAGTTGGAATACTGCGTCCCATTCGGCAGGAGTCGCTAGTGCCGTTCCATTGAGTATTTCCTCACGGCTACCTCGAGATTACCCTCCATATTCAGCCAGAGCAAAGGAATCAAATTATTGCAACAACGAAGAGGGTCAGACACCATACAGAGACGACCGTGGCACAGCCCAGACCTCGGGTCCTTTGAGCCCCCATTCGTCACCTTCAACACCCGTTCCCGCGGCGGTTAACGGCTTGCCACCTCCTGAAAACAGTGGTCAAGGAGAAGAAGAACGTGTTCAACAGGTTTTTGGACCTCGTAAAGAGTGGAATCTCATACCTGCTGTACGTTGGGTGGCATTTGTCATGCCACTCCCTCCCCCCCACCCCCTTCTTGTTGAGCAACGGATTTGACAACCTGCAGCTCCGTCGTGGTCGAAAGCGTAGACCGGGTTCATCTCAAGGTAGAGTGAAGAGAAACTCGACAAGTGAAATTCCGCGGCCACGGAGGCGCGGGCCGCTGGCCCCCGATGTCAAGGAACAGGCTACTCTAAAGCGGATTGGTAAACTGGTCTGCGTGGTCTGCCACTACAAGAAAGAAAAGGTGAGAAGCCACTCCTCTAATGAAACATCTGTTGCTAAAGACACCCCGTGATCGGTTGCCACAGTGTGATAAATCCAACTTCTCTGCTCCGGACAGCCCATGTCGTAGATGCAGGGTGTCTCTGACACCATGCGTCCGTTATCAAATCTCCGATGCAGCACTGTACCGGAAACAGGCGGCGCCGTTCCAGATGTTCAGCAAACGCTGGAAGTCTATGGCTATGGTGGACATCTCGGATTGGGATAGCCCGGAGATTAGAATCGCTCGCTTCAGTCTGGTTGCTGTTGACGTGCCATACGAACTGAAACTCCGCAGATTCATACCTGTGGACGGCGACAATCTCACCGCGACTGGCTACTCAAGCGAAACCTACACTTTGCAACCATATGGGATAGCCAATATGCAAGAGGCGGCTGACTCTATTAGCACCATGGTTGATGAGGGAGTGGGACACTACCTTCGCGCCTTCGTCGGCAATTTTAAGACCAGCCAGCTCATTTGGGATACATATTATATTGCATTTCGACGCGTAGAGGCGGCTCCGGTAAGGCATCCTGAACCCCCCCTATTAGCTTTCGCCTCCTTAGTACCGTCCTCCATTAACGCTCCCATAGACGCAGAAGGAGAGAGAGCTGCTTGCGAATACGTTTCGGCTATGGGTATGCTGCCGTAACATTTCATGCGAGGAACATATTTTACAGGGCGACGAGTTCGGTGTGAGGATGGTCGAGGACGAGTTCAGCCCGTACTATTCTAAATTCCCAGCATGTTTTTGTGTCCTGATGGCCCAGCTCGAATGCATATACCACATCCGATTCCTTCAACCGTTGGGCAGCAGCGTTCTGAGAACGCTTCTGTTTCTCATCGGCGAAAAGCAGAAGAAATATTGGTTTACCATATACCTAGTGTTGTTCATGCTTCTTCACAGCTGTTCAATGACCGCCCAGAGAGACCATGAATCTGCCGTTGCGTTCGGTTTGGAAGTTAGTGTTTACCGTTACTCTCATTAGCCACCCCGCTCATCACATCCGCCGTACTGACACCATGGTCATCTACAGACCCAATACTGCAATCCAGATAGCATTAAGGAGCAAGCCGTTGGAGCAAAGATTCTATTAGCTCATTTCCATATCGCTCTCCAGGGAAGCCTACCCTTCAAGCAGATATTAGAAGGCCGCCCTCCCGATTATACTTCACTAGGCCTAACCCAGCCAGAGGCCGAGTTCGTCACCAAGTGTACGCAGGAAGCTCGGATTTCCAGTGAGATTAACTCTTCTCCTCTCTCCTTAACCCTCAAGCCCTCCCCTCATATATACCCAATACATACCACATACCACTTGCTCGTAGGGAATATGGTTGACGTGTTTTAAGGGAGAACTTGGGACGAGATACGCTCTCTGGGCGACCAGACCAACGAGTTATACTGGATTTCACAACTTTACGACGACAACTGGAGGCCGGAAAGGATGGACTGAGAGTTCATTCGTTATCTCATCTTAAGCTATACGCTCTGTACCGAGAAGGAAATTAGACAAGAACGTCCTCAAACTTCGACAGGAGAAGGGACTCTCGAATTTATAGAAGGTAGAACAAGGGGAATCCGAAGACCAGCGAATACGGAGCTTGAAATCCTTCCTCGCTCTATCTTTCAAGCTTTTAACTCAGTCGCACATGTAGGTTGGGTCTGGCGAAGGAGGGCCTGGCGAAGGAGGGTCTGGCTGTGGGAATGGGCAGGGCACACCTCCTGGACCAGAGTTTTCCCAAAGCGGTCTGGCATAGCGCACACTCTCGATCTTAGCAAAGTGCCATTTTTCATCACGACTTTCGTCTCTAAATGTCCTCTCCCAAGCCAATTGCAAGTCCATCGGCAGCTTCCAGCACAGAGACGGATTGTGCAGCCAGAGTCGTAGGAGATGCCGGTAGTTATCCTTGCTGTCGCGGTAAGGACTTCGTCGATGCATGAGCGCCAGATTGTTGATGAAGCGAATGTCGCCCTCCTCCATGGTCTGCTTTAGTTCATGCCGGCGACCGATGGCGTGAAGCGCGTCCAAGGCTTCGGCCTGAGCCTCGGTTAAACCCGGGATTCCAGGGCTACGAGGACTGAGGGGCACATTGCCAACAAGACTCCGCTTAGAAAAGTTGGTTAGAAGCTTTCCGTCTTCAAAGTACAGCAAGGCGCGCTCAAAAAATGGCGGGTCACGTCCGTTACTAGAACCGGTTAGAAAACACCAGAATAGTAGGTTACGTATAAATGGCTAGAGATATAAACGGGGAGAGGCGTTTCTTACGTGTCGAAGGGCCAGTTGGGCTCCGCGAGGACATTAATCAAGTCGGGCCGGGTTGCGGCCAGCTCGTTGTAGACAGTCCAGGCCGATGCTATATATCCATCCCCTCCACCATCTCCACACGACACGGTGAGCAGAGCAATAGTGTCACAAACAAGATCCGTATGGAATGGCTACGAAGTCAGCAAAGGAAAGGCAATGACAATTATATGAAAGAATAGCATACCATTTGAATCCTAGAATTCACATGCTGAACCTCATCCGAATGGTTCAGCACATTGACTTTGCAACACCGTCAGTTTCGTATATTAAAATTTACGAACATGTATTAAACAGCAGAATCGTACTCATCATCGCGCCGCTCTGGTTTTGTTTCCCCCTTACCCCGGCAACGTAGCTTGACAGACCTAGATAAATAGTAACGAGATCGTCGGGGCTGAACGTTTTTACGTTGAGACCCCGTAGAGTAGCAAACCCCACCCCCTGATAGATATCAGAGCGAATTCTGGATAGAGTCTTCGCTAGCGACTGAAGAGGGAAAGAAGGCTGATCCACCTCTGCCCCCTTTCTGCCCAAACCTATGCACCTTTTAACATGAGTTCATATGGAGCTTTTAGTTGCAGACTTGCCTTTGAAGTGAATCAGGGCATTCTCAATTTCAGAATTATCAGAATCGGAGAGATAGTATACAAAGCGAGAGTCATCTGGAAAGTCAGAACCAGTCCACATAAGCGGACCATTCAACGTCTTTGGCCAGCCCCGTGGGAGGTCTGTCTTGAGTCCCCCAGCCTCGGCATGAGCAGCTGCGCGAGCCAGGAACTTCTTCTCGTTAAATTCGTATTCAATATCTGCATACTGAGCCTTCTGTGATGACAGCCCTGTGTTGGTGAACATCTCGGGAAACTTAGCCCGGATGTCGGGGGGATAGTATGCCACAGCTTGGCTTGGAACTGTAAGCAGAGACTGCATCGCGATAGGCTCCCGGCGGAAAATATGGTGTAATTTAGGCTTTACGCTTGGACTGCTGAGCACAAGGACCGAGTGTCTCGGGGGTTCTCGAACGGCGCAAAGGGAAACCTCAAACCCCCCACGAGATATATACCTCGTTCCCCTCCATGGTAAGTACGTAGTCGGCTAGGAGGAAGTCGACAACCTGCCATCGATAGATCCAATACCGAAAACTCGATGGACAACACATTCATTCAGAAATCTGCTCAACTCCCCCACGATGGGCTTTAGGGTGACGGTATGCACCAATCCTTACCCTTGCGAGAGCTGAGGATGTTGTCCTTGTGACGTCCCCGTGCGTAGGCGCCCTCCAATCCAGCCTCTGTACAACCCTTCTGGGTTGTTATGAGAGAGTTTTGCCAATGTTAAGGAAGGTGGCTTTCGAGTCTCACAGCCAATGTACTCTTTGATCGTTATCACGACAACCGCGGTAGCCATAATGACCCAATATTGACCCCAAGCGTTGGGCCGTCCCAAATACGGGAGTCGTTGCCCATTCAGATGCGGCTGAATTGGGGTCACTATGAGCCTTTAGTGGTGGAATGGGAGATGGTGCCCAGGCCTAGTCATCGGACCACCTGAAAGCGTCCAAGCAAGCGTCGACGATGTAGTCACCTAGGCACCTGGTTAAAGTTCTAGGAAGTGTCCTGAACAAAGAGGGCAACTTGGACGAGATCCTCGAGGAAACCTGGCCTTTTATATATAACAGTGAAAGAATCCGGAATACTTATTACCTATTCTGATATGTAGGATGTCAGTCATAGGGTCTGGTATTGCCGTGAGCGAATCAAACGGGACGGACGGGGTGCCAGCATTCGATACCTATCGGACCAGATTTCTCATTTTTTTCATCCATATGTCGTGATATCCGTCCAACTTATAACTGCCCGCTCTGCCTGGGTATTATCTGGATTTCCGCCGAGACTTACCAGTCGGTCATTGTAACCCTAAAGGGGAAATTCGGGTGTGAAGAAATGGACAGCCAGGAACACCTGACGGCGCAATCACATTTCTACGCAGTTTTGGTTGGTCCAATTTGGCCAAGGTTGGTTAGACAGACTATATTAATTCGGGAGGGACCGTCTCCGACGTCTTGGTTGATTCGTCTGGGAGGCTGTGTGTGTATGGTGTTGACTCTGGGGAACCAACCCGGTGTTCATGACGTCTTTGACTTGATTCGTTTCCACCCTTACACTGCATTGTCTACTTTGGAGTTATCGACATCTTCGATATCACATGTAAGATTCAGGGTTTCCTGGCTACCGAGAACACAGCAGCAACAGGGGCTACCCCCAAACCCGTAAGCCTGGAAACTGGAGAGAGAACTCCTGCCTCCCGCCTCTCTCCGCATAAACAATACCTAAGCATGATTTCTAGAAACGATTCAGCCCCTGAGCATCGGCATCTTCTCGCTTTACCTGTCCCCGCTGGTTAACATGACCTGGGTATATTAAGAGGCGATTCGTAGAGTAGAGCGTGGCCCGTCAAACCCCCATCCTTTTTTGCTTAGTCATTCAAGAAGCGTACAATCGGCGTTACTAGAGTACCACCAGCCGGCAACGGTCTGTCAACCAAGGTGACAGGCGTCGGGCAATCGAATATTCCAATAACCCGATCTTGCCTGCCTCGCCAGTTCGCGGCCATCCTAGAAACAACAGCCGCCGACTTTCTCAGCGCCTTACTCATGCGTCGGCTTCACATCTCCCAGACGGGAACAGAGAAATGTTCGGAGAACTGATCGAGGCCTGCCGCAGGCTAGAGAAGGCCGAGCCTCCGCCATCGCCAGAACTTCCCGACGACGTCCCGCAGCGTGAGTGCAACTCTCACCACTCACGGACGGTCAACTAATAGAGGTAACCGGACATCCCAGTGATCCCTGATGGCATCACCGCAAAGAGTGTGCGAGACTCATTGCTAGTTAGCCGTGAAGAATCCGTATGCTACCCATTTCATCTGAGTCCACTCCTACCGCTTCACCCCAGCTTAGTACTCTAAACTAAGTGTGAGCACGGCTGCTGCACAGGACTCTATCGCTGTCCTCTGGGCTGCGTACGCCACCGTATCAAAGCTCGGCGCCGACGCGGGGGACGGAAAGATAGACTGCGATGCCGATGCGTTGAACGACATCGCCGACCGCATCGCCGACATCGTCCTGCCCGTCTGCACCGGCGCCTCGGCAGACGAAGGTTGCTAACTCACTACCCCGCCCCCAACCCTAGGGTTCTCGCGACGAGAGAGGGAGACTACTTGCTAACCGTCGGAGCAGATACGACAGACTACGGCGTGCTCCAGCGCAAGGGGGAGCTGGGCCTGCGCATCCTCACGCGCCTCGTCGACCTCCCGGGCCCCTCTCACCCGCTATCTCTGCGGTCCCCCACGCTCCTCTGCATCGCGGCATTCACCGACGCAGCAGATGCGTGGACGACAGACGCCTCGTGCACCCTCGCCTCGGCCCTGCTCCTCCCTCTCACATCGCCTGAGCACCGCTACTGCCAGGCCGGGCAACTCGCCAACTTCATCGCGGATACCGTGCTTACAGGATTTCTGCGGCCCCTATTCTCGCGGTCACGGCCGGCCGGCATCACCTCGACCGGGCGGCGGGACGCCTACGCCGATCGCGACGGCGAGGGCCGCTACGACGACACGCACCTCGGCCGCGAGACCGCCGACGTGAAGCCCTGGAAGTACGCCCGCCGGTACGCGGTCGCGGTGTTCTCGTGGGCCGTGCGGCACGCTGATGTGAGTTCTCTTGCCGCCATCGGATAAGAACCGGACTCTAACCCTCTCTCCCCTGCAGGCCACCCTCTTGCAAACGAAATGGCCGCTCTTTACGCCACCTCTCCTGACTCTCCTCGACGAGCCCGCTTCTTCTCCATCTGCCACCACCACCTCCTCGTCCCTCTCCTTCACTGAAGTCCTCAAACCGCGCGCCCTCGGCCTCCTGCGCACCTTCTGGGCGCGGTGCCCGCCGGACCTCATGGCCGACGACGGCGGGAAGGGCACGGGGCTGGCGCCGGTCTTCGAGGCGGCCGTCTTCCCCACGCTCCTGAGCCTGCCCGCTCTCACCCCGGAGCCTGAGTCCCTGCGCCTCCTCGGCGCCGCCTACCCCGCGCTGCTGGAGATGGCGGGCGTCGCCGCCGACCTCGACTATGACCCCGCCCGCGCCGCGCCGGCACGAGGTGAGGCGGCGGGGGATAGGCGAGCGCAAGAGGGCGGGGCCAAGACGAGGCGGATCCGGCCCGCCCAGCGCGCGCTGCTCGGCCGCGTTGTCCGCGACGGCGTCATGGTCGGCTGGCACCACGCGCCGGAGCACGCGCGCCTCGCCGCCCTCTTCTGTGAGACACTGCGCTGCGTCGTCGACGGGCTCGGCGTCTACGCCGTCAAGCACCTCAAGGCACGTACACGCAAACTCAGCCTCTTCTCGTTGCTTGTCCACCTTACTTTCTTTCAACTTTGTATCAGCTTGGTCATGTATTCTTTGCCAATTCCTAACGTATACGTATTATACGGTCTTCATTACCCCCGATTACACCTTGTCCCTGATATATCAATTAACTCCCGCGCCTTCTCACTACCTCACAAATGTATACACTCTTTATTATTAACTCTCTTGTCCAGGACATCATCCCTATGATCTCGACCATACTGAGCGACCCCTTCGGGCCTCAGCACCCGCCGTCCCTCCTCACCGCCGCGCGCTTGCTGCGCGCCGTTCTGCGCGCCTGCTGGCCGCGCGTGCCGCGCTACTGCAACGATATCGTTAAGGCCCTCGCGCTCTGCTGGCTTAACCTCGAGGATCAACAGGACCCGATCGCGAGCAGGAGCGATATTGAGATAGAACTTGCCGCCGCCGCCAATATGCTGCAGGCGGTGATGAAGGCGGTTGCGCGCGACGATATGGACGCGCGGGTCACCCCGCTTATCGAGACGGAGCCGCGGTTGGGCAAACTTTTTGCGAGAGACGTCGGTAATCCCACATAACGCACAGTTAGAGCTCCTCTCTACATACTCGTGTCCACATAGAGGAGAGATAGGTGCGGGTCTAAAGGGGGGCCCTAATCCGTCGCCTACAGACACCTACTTGTATGCATTGCACCTCTCAATCTACCGGCTGCTGCTTGAAGAGCGACTTACCCCGGAGCCACTTCCCGTACGCCTTGTACCGCTTCTTGGGCAGGTCCTCGTCCGTCACAGTAAGCGGGTTCTCGCCGATCCGCAGCAGGTCAGCGTAGCCCTCGGGGTCGTCGTCGTCGCCACCGCCGCCGCCGGCGCCCCCGTACGAGGTCATCGGCCCTTCGGCGAGCCAGCTGCTACTGTTCAGGTACTCCTGGTACTCGGACGAGTCGATGTCGGGCGGCGCCTCGGTCGAGACGACCAGTGGGAGGCTCTGCGGGTGGCTGATGTACCGCGCGTAGTCCTCCGCCTCCTGCGCGCTCACCGACGGGTTCAGCGACTCCTGCACGATGTTGGCGAATGTCCACTGCGCCGCCTTGGACTTCTCCTGCGGCGTCTGCTTCGGCTTGGCGTAGTCCTGGCCCGCCGAGTCCTTCATGATGCTGTGGCGGATCGTGGGGCCCCTGTCCGGCTGTATCGGCTGGAGCCAGCGCTGGATGGAGATGCCCCGGACGGTGGCCCGCTCCGTCATGACGGATTCGGAGTCCTCGTCGAGCGATTGGACGGACTCTGCCGGGTCGACGATGGTCACCTCCTTCTTGGCTACTACGGGCCGCCTCCACCGATCGGACATCTCGGAGTCCCCGTCGGTGCGGACGCGGAACGGACTCAGGTCGTACCTGCCCTCCTGGGCGGACTTGAAGGGTATGTACTTGATGGTCGAATTCATCTTGTACGAGAACATCTTGGGGAAGGACGACAGCGTAGACGGGCGGTAGTACTCGAGCCAGTAGTCGTCGAAGAAGGAGACGGGCTTGCTCGCCAGCTCGCCCTTGGGCGCCACGTAGCGGGGCACCGTCTTCTTCTCCAGGTACGCGGGCGTGAACCAGTTGATGTAGTCGTGCTTCCGCTTCTGCAGCCACGTCCTCGGGTCCGCGTGGTGGAGGTAGTAGTCGGTCGACAGGTCCCACAGCATGGGCTGCCCCTGCGAGAAGATGTAGTTGCCGAGGAAGAGGTTGTAGGCCTCCTGGCGCTGGCTGTCGAGGAAGGAGTTGTTGTAGTAGCGCTTGAAGCTCTCGATCATGTCGCGCGAGTGGCTCGTCCACTGGTTGATCTTGCGGTACGTCTCCATCGTGTTCACGAGCTGGGACCCGCCGTACTGGACGGCGATGGTGTCGCCGTGGTCGTGGTACATGTGGGTGAAGAGGTTCACCGCGTCGGTGTCGTACTCGATCGTGGTGTGCTCGATGATGCCGAGAGCGTGGAGCTGGTGCCCGAGCGCGCGCTTCCCGATGACGAACTGGGCCGCGTTGGTGCGGTCGAGGCAGTCGATGCAGTTCGTCCTCGCGACACCGTTCTGCGCCCGGATCGGCGTGACGTCGCCGTCGCCGTTGTGGAAGAAGCCGGTCGCCGTGACGACGGACTCGGCGATGTTCTCGAGCGTACCGATCACGTCCTGGTCCTTGCTCTTAGCCGCCCTGCTCATGTCCCAAGCTTTGTGGATGATCTTGTGACCGTCAGGTAGGAACTGGTTGAGGTAGTCGATAGCGTTCGTGTACTCGTGCAGCAGCTTGGACTCCCGCGGCGTCCGCTCCCGCGCCTTGATCAGGTTGAGCACGTAGACGGGCGACCCGTAGCGCTCGAACAGGTTGTCGAAATGCAGCGCCGCGGCGGTGTAGAAGGGGTCGAAGAGGTTAAGCTCGATCGGGGGCTTGGGGGTCACGCCCGTGTTGTCCTGCGTCCAGTGGAGGGGGATGCTCCCCCGGTGCTGGACGTAGGACGTGAACTGGGAGTTGACGAAGAGCTTCGGCCCGGCCGAGTGAAACGAGGTGGTCTGCGCTTCGGAGACGATCTGCTCGGTCTCGACGTCGTTCGCGACGTAGCCCAGGTCGTTGGCGCCGCGCTTCAAGAACCGAGCGCCGGCGAAGTAGCGCGATCGCCGCGCGATTATGGTGATGTGGGCGACCCTGCCGTAGATCGAGATAGCCGCTTGGTCGATGTAGCCGTGTATGATCGGACGGCACCAGTCGAAAGGCTGGGCCAGAGACTCCTCGGCGGGGCGCAGCAGATGGCTGTTCCAAATGAACATGGAGTTGTAATCGCCGTACGTGGTGCCCGGTGCGAGGCCGTTCAGCAACGCGGTCCTCTCCTTGGTGATGTTGTGCTGCAAGGTCCGGGTGATGTCGTAGGAGTAGCTGAAGTAGAAGGACCGGGTCAGGTCGAGGTTCGTGAGGATGTTGAGGAAGCGCTGCTCCTCGACGTGGCGGGCGTCGGTCTTGTACTTGGCCGGGGTGAGGGGGATGAGCCGGGTGTCCTCGATCTGATAGATGTAGTGGCCGCCGATCATGGCGACGGTGCTCTTGCGGGTGATCAGCAGCATGTAGTAGGGGCCGGTGAATTTGATGAAGCCGAGGATGCCCCAGGTGGTGCAGCGCTCCTTGATGCCGCCGGTGGCCACGTTGCCGTCGTCGATGGTGTTGAGCAGCGAGTTCATCTCCTTCTTGGTGTAGACGATGCCGTCGTCGGTGATGCTCAGGTCGGAGTCGTGCGTGTTGCGGTCGATCTTGAGGATGCGGTACCGCTTCTCCGTCACCTCGCCGCCCACGATGTAGTACCGGCTCGCCGTCTCGTACAGCGTGAACTTGTGCATCTTGTAGGCCGAGGGCGCCGGCGCCTGCTCGTCGGGCGGCGTCGACGGCCGCGCGGAGGACTCGAGGCCCGTGGTCCGGTGGAAGGGCCGCGCCACCGCCGGCTCCTCGTCGTTGTCGTCCTCGGCCGCGCGGTGCTGCGCCGGGACCGCCTGCGGGAGAGCTACGCTGCTGGCGTTGTTCTGCAGCAGGGGGAACGCGGGCTCGGGTTCGGGGTCGGGCTCGGGCTCGGGCTGGTCGGTGTCGATGGACTCCTTGTCGCTGGTCTCGCGGGGGTCGTTCTTCGATCCCGAGCTGGGCGGCCTGGAAGGCTGGCTGTCGCTGGCCGCGGCCCCGTCTTGATCGGTGGTGTCGGCCATCGGAACGGACAGCGCACCGGCCAAGCTTGCGTTCCCCGCAAGCGCGGTCGCGTTTCACTCCGGTGCCGTGAGCTGGAGGACAGGTATCGAAGTACGGGAATCCGAATCCGCCAGCAATTCCGCTTCGCGGGATTCCACAGACGGCGGATAGTCCCACGGACAGTCCCAGTAAATAAGTGCGGCTTACCTAAGCCCAGTCCAGGTACATGCTATAGGTACCTCTCAGGCAGTTGATTGGACAGTGGAGAGCGCGGGGCAAGTTCGCATATTATGTATGCATTTATACGTATGAACCGGCTACCAGGTAGTTATGTGAAAACTGCCCACGTATCGAGACTAAAACATCTTGATCAACGGCATCCCCGATGTATGCGCACGATGCTTAACTGACAAGTTACCAGTACTACCTCTCTCTGCCGGTGTCCTGTCCTCGGGTTAAGGCCGACGGAGTTCGGGCATTCCAGACAGACGGAACCTGGGGAAGAGCAGAAGCACTCTACACATGTATGTATGTACATCTGCACCCTGAAAGCCTCCCTTCCCCTCCTCTTCCCCCCTGCTCGGCTCCGTAAGAGGCCCATTACGTAAGCCGCCGCCCCGGGATCGAGGCAGACCCTATTTAACTGCGTCATAGCCTCCCGCACCCGGCGACACCCGACCTCGACTTGCGCTCGCGCTCGCGCTTCGCTTCGCATTCCGTCAGGAACGCCCCGCCAATCTCGACGATGACAAGGGGAGGTCGCCGGGGCATCCTGTCGACGAGAACAGGATTGTTCCCGGAAATCTGGCGCCCCCCGGGTCCATAAGGGTAGTATAATGCGAAGCGGCGGCGACGAATGCAGTTAAAGACCTGGCTTAGTACCTATCCAGCATTTCGCATACGCCCAGGCCCGGGCTCGGTGCCTTCTATAGCCTTGGACGCCGGCCTTTCGACACGACTCGTCACATATCACTTCTCGACCCCGGGAGGAAAAAAAAACCCAATAGTTACTTAACCAGCCATTCCGTCGCGGTCAATTCTGTTATTTCTATGACAAACGCCTGGCCGTGTCCCCCACCACCTCCCCCCAACGAGAGACGCTCCTCGCTCGCATCTGCGGCGGCAAGTCCGAGGATGCGCACTTATCACTGGCGATCGCCCTTGGGGGATCATCGATCTAGATACTCATCGCGGGGTAAACGACACTGGTAGGCAGTCTCCTTACGGCAACACAGTGAGTTATTCCTAGCTGCAGTCAGAAATAGATACTCTCCGACCCCGCGAAGGTACGAAGCAAAGGTAAGGGTGCGATAAAGTACTTACAGACGCAATACGCCCATATGAATACCCTATGCGCATGTGCATAGGTAGGTATGGGTACTACGGGCGTTGTAACCTTCCATATCATATCGGCGGCTACCCACGGCGTATGGGCCGAGCGAGCGTGGCTGGCGAACTTGCTAGAACACGTCGGCGGTAAATATCTGACATCGCTTTACTCGGGTTGCACTGCCTGAGTGAGGCCCGAGGCAGGTCTGGACGCGCCGGCCCGGTGGGCGACCGCTTACGCCCGTAAGCCGTAACACCCGGCTCGACGTGGCGGTTCGTCATCCACCAGCGGCAGAGCACCACCAGTTCGGGGCCTATAGGAAGTCGGCCCAGGAACCTATCGCCATCGATCCCGGCCGCGTCGCAACGAAGAACTGCGCCCGCGAGAGCATGGCGGTCCCCTGCGAGCCGTGCAGGATCGCACCGGAGCGCACACCGACCGATCCTAGCGAGACGGGTGCGCTTCCAGGGCGTAGACGGATAGGGCCAAGCGTCGTGGTGGGATCTGTCTTCTACATACTATACACGTAGGTACGCATGCAGCTGAATTTACCAGGTATGTAGATATTGCGGAACCCGGGCAGGGATGGGCGCTGCGCGAGAGAGCTTGTAGTCAGACGGGGAACATTCCCCGAGCCTGTCCCATGTGCCAAGAAGAGGATGATGCAGCCGTTCTAGACTGCCCCTGCTGTCGTTACCGCCGTCGGATTTCGCGTCGAGATCGGCCGCTCCAACCGCGAGCCATAACAAGAGCCTAACAGTTCGATTAGGCACGGACACGGTATCGGCGCAAGATTCAGGCGGGATGTGCCCGTGCGGGTGGCCTGGTTGGAGGCGTATACACCCTGAAAGTCACTAGGCCTGTCGGCTGGTAAGCATGTAGGCCCGAGGGGTTGGTTTCTTCTCCTTTCCTCCACACGTAGGTAGTAACATAAGTGCCAGTTAGCCGCTGGCGCCTTTGGCGAAGAAAAGAAAAAGCCTTATCTTGCAACCCCGGATACATGTCAGCATGCGTATACGTTTGATGATATCGAGTGCGACGGTTATTTGGATTCGCCTCCCTCCCCCTTCAGTTGGGGGTCGACTGGGAACGCCAGGCGGTGAGCTACTAGCATGGTTGGAACAAGATGCCGTCTGTCCGATGCTTATTGAGGAGCGGAGGATCCCGCCAGTCACCTCCGTGACATAATACCAGGCGATGACTGTGAACGAATATCGCCGTGACCCCGCCGGCAGGATACGTCGGCCGTTCCGGTAACGACAACGTGGTACAGATAGGTCGCGATGCAGAATGTAGAAGAGATATATGGTGGGTGTTGTCCAGATTCTACCCCAATGTCGACAGAACAGTGGACCCATCTCACCGGAACAGCACTACAACTTCCGCGGGCTTGACGCCACTTACCGGACCAAGCTGATGGATCTAATCGTTTCATCGAACTCGCATGCGAGAAACATGTGCATGCATGCATGGGGGATATATCGCGCGACGTGTTGTGCGTAGCGATAAGGTAGAGCCCCAAACATAAGCCCTCATTCGATCGAACTGTCCCCATCTAAGATCGACCAACGTGCTGGCTCCTTGGTTAGAATTGGTTGCCATGCCGAAGGGGCAGGGGAGCGTGGTTGAAAGCATGTGTCATAATACGCTCAGGGTGGAGGGACTATCGTCCCGCGACGTCCGAGAATCACCGCCGACCCATCGATGAGAGGGGCCGTCTATATATTCCCGTCACTTGCCGGATTCGATGTATCCTCGACTGCTCAACGGCACCTTCTACAACCGGCAAGGCAACTCCACCGCATGTTCAGAATTCGAGCCATCTTAAGCGCATCGGATGAGGTTATCAGAGATATATTCGCGATTATTGAACTCGGAATTCGGCTTTATATAGACCTGTACAGTGGTCAGTTGATTATATCATGGAGTCTAATGTAGCCCAACACAAATACTAATTAGAGACTGATAACTGACAACCACAACAGCAGAGGAGCGCCAACGCGGTCCCCCCTCCAACGGACACTCCACTCGCAACGCATTCACTATCGGACCCCGAGAGCAGTAGTGTTGCTACGCTCTACCGTCCCTGGGCTGATCTCCGACAGACTCTTGATGCCAGATCGGGACACGAAGACTGGCGGGAAACGGCGACCCACGGTGGAGATGCCCTGACGCGTTGGAACGACCAACCTATGCTAGATGAGCCATATCATAACGTGGCGTCAGTTACCGTCAAGGCAGAAGCCGAGCCATCAAACGCCTGGCGGAACGGGGGGTCGCAGGGAGCAACGCCACCAAGTGAGGCCGCTGCCACTTCTGGATCGCGGTGAACTGCCCTTGGGTATCACGTGTGGGAAGGCAAGAAGCAGGGCCTGGGCCGATAGGGGCAGGGGGGTGGTGGGGGTGGAGACAAGACACAGGGATAGGCAGAGCAGAAGATGCATTTATAGTGCTGAGACAGCATGTTCTAGCGGCTCTCGCTGGGCTTCCCAGGCAAGCCAGTCCGATCTCGTAGTCCTGTCCATCGTTAGCAGATTTTTAGTAAGTAAATACTATCACAGGCATAGAGAACATACGGCAGCAGTCCCATCGCATTGACTTTCCATATGCCCACAGCCAGAGCGACCATCTGCATGGCGACGTAGGCTAGCTTGGCCTGGATTATCTTGGCCTTGTTGCTCTCGCTCTCAAACCGCTCGAAGGCCTGGTTGGTGGCGATGATGCCCATGATGGGGTTCTTGAAGGCCATGAATACCATCATTATGCTGAATATCTGCAGCGAATTCCCCGACATGTACATCATGATGGCCGTCATGGGCAAGCTCTTGACGGGGGCCAGGGCCACCTCCCAAGCCTTCTTGAGCTTCAACGTATCCATCTCCTCGGCCGTCGGCTGCTTGCGGGGCAGCGCTTTAGCTTCTTTCGACGCTTGTTTCTGCGCGCATGCCATTAGAATCTCCTACCAAGCGCTAGGGAGATCTGACACGGTACCTTGGACACCGCCGCGGATTGGGACGGGTAACCGGGAGGGTCGGGAATGCTGCCAGCTTTGGACTTGGGCGCTGGCGGATTTTGCAGGTCGGCGACCCATTTCGGGAGAGGTAAAGGGTTCGATGACATTTCCGCCAAGACTCCGGGACCGATTCGAGGACACTGTCTCGTGCGAAATATTCACGGATGCGGCGTGGTGTTCTGATGCCTCCCTCGGGCTGGTGCGGTTCGGAGACGCGGTTGTGCAGACGTGTTGTCGAGCAGAGGTAAGGTAAGCCCCAACCAGCGACGGTAGCCCAACAGTGGTAATGTGATGAGCTAGTCCATGCGGCCTTCCCTGCACAGCCATAAGCCACCGTGGACAGGTTGCGGATTACGTAAGACGCGGCACGCAGTATATTACACCAGCTTTCCATCATTACAGGTACCAGGGCAGGTACTGGACAGGTAACTTCACCTGCACCTAATGTATGGACGCAAGATATGTACCAGCTATGTACCCATGATAGGTGCTAACCACGTGCGGGCAGGTGCCGACGAGGCGCAGAACTCTGTAGTCCACAACCTTATTCCCCGTAGGTACCTGTACATAGACGCCCAGATGTACATGCGAGATGGTAGGTACGTGTTAGGAGGTATCTACCTAGGTAGGTATCTAGGGCGGTAGGTAAGCCTCTAGTGACTTAGGTAGGTACCTAACTACCACACGTACGGGCTGCGTAGGCAGCATGTACCACGCAATATCCGGGCATGTACCAGCACGGTTATGTGGCCTGGGCTCGATCCCTGCACCCGCGGCGGACCTTCCGGCTTCAGGACCCAACCTGTTTCCCCCCTTAGGTACCTGTAGGCTGTATCTCCCTCCCTCGGTAAGTACGATGTGCAGGTACCTACCTCCGTACCTACCTAACCTACCTACCTACCCAGGTCCCTACCTCTCTCCACCACTCTCTCCTTCGTCTTCCCCCTGCGTAGAGGGGCCACATATGGATCAGTCCTCGTCTTTCTCCGAATGTAAACACCATTTCCATCGATAATGCCGTCGCATAGGTCCGCCCAACTCCCGCGTTACCACCCGGCTCAGCAGTGATCTCGAGTTGATATACTCCGGATCACGCGACACCTACGACCGCGAGGACACGGCCGAGGTCTCGCTGCGCATCGCGTTCGACCCGCTCCCCTCCAGTACCCTCTGTCGCCTCCCGCTGCCCTTCTGTCTCCCCCCTACGATTGGACCGTTACATTCTCCGGTCTCGAGAGAGAGAAACCGTGTGCTACTTTTTGCTCAACCGAATTTGCCTCTGAGCCGGCCTGCCAGCGTGAGGTGAGGGGTACCGACACAGCTGCCTGCTTCCTCGTTTCGCGCCCTGCGATATCGTCAGACCTAGAGCTCTTCCCCGACCCGACCAGCTAGCCGACCCGTCCAGAGACACCAATTAGGCAATTCCGACTAGAGATCACGAGAGTCATCAGCGAATCTCCGCCATGTCGAGCTCCCAGGGCGGAGGGGACTCGAAGCTGTTCGCTCGAGTAAGCACATCTTTGTTCCATCTCTCGCAGCATTGCTGTTGTGATCCGCCGTCCCTCTTGTCTCTGCTGTTGTGTGCGGGACATGTTGCTACCAATAAATCCAACCCCTTTGTACTTCCCCCATCCCCCATCTCCAATCCAGTCGAGGTCTATTTCGCATCTCTGCCCAGCGCCGCCTGCGAAACCACGTGTCAACCCCGACGATATATAACACGATCTACATCCCGAGAAGCACATCTTCCAACTCGCCCGGCTGCCCATTGTCCCGTCGGGACCGCCTCCTTCGCACACTATGACCCTACACACTCCTTGGTTTGATCATGGCTATGTTTCCGTCATACTTTCCTCCCGTCCATTGCTTACCCCCCTTGACTATGCAGGGCAAGGTTGCCGAACTGCGACTCGAGCTCAACGGCGGCGGAAAAAAGGACAAAAACTTCACGCAGAAGAAGATTGCTCTGAAGAAGATTGTCGCCAACATGACGATGAGCAACAATGAGATGGTCTCGCTGTTCCCCGACATCATCGCCTGCATGCACATCCAAAGTCTGGAGATAAAGAAAATGTACGTCCAGATTCGAGTTGAGGAGGGGTTGCGACGGGCCACCGGAGATGCTAACAAGTATGCCACCTGCAGGTGCTTCCTGTTCCTCGTCAACTACTCGAGAATGCGCCCCGAGATTGCCGTAAAGGCAATCCCGTACCTGCAGCATGTAAGCCTCGAGATCAAGACCGCTTCTCCTCCGTCGCCGACAACCTGTTAACGTCGTCCTTAGGACATGGAAGACCCAAACCCACTAGTTAGAGCTCTAGCACTCCGAACCATGTCCTACGTCCACGTCAAAGAATTCGTCGAAGCTACTGTCCCACTCGTCAAACGGCTCCTCCGAGATTCCGACCCGTACGTTCGAAAGACGGCCGCCTTCTGTGTCGCGAAGCTATATGATCACGACAAGTACATGGTTGAACAATCGGATTTGATAGACAGGCTGAATCAGCTCTTGAGGGACGACAACCCTACTGTGGTGGCGAGCGCATTGGCCGGGCTGATGGATATTTGGGAGCGGAGCGACTCGATAAAACTCACCATCGACTACAGCAATGCTTCCAAGATGGTAGCCATCCTGCCGGACTGCTCCGAGTATGTGGCCGCCGGTCCCGTTATTGTCGCCTCAGTAGCTAACGTGAAAGTAGATGGGGTCAAACGTATATCCTGGAGGCTCTAATGTCATATGTGCCTCAGGAGTCGGGTGAAGCGACGCTCCTCGCGGAGCGAATAGCGCCACGGTTATCGCATTCGAATTCGTCAGTGGTCCTGACATGCATCCGGGTGATCTTGTATCTCATGAATTACATCGCGGACGAGAAGCAGGTCTCGGCGCTATGCCGAAAGCTGTCTCCGCCACTGGTAACATTGTTAGCAAAGGGTCCGGAGGTTCAATACCTTGCGTTGCGCAATGCCCTGCTCATTCTTCAGAGGAGGCCAGACGTCTTGCGCAACGACATTCGCGTTTTCTTCTGCAAATATAACGACCCGATCTACGTCAAGGTCACGAAGCTCGAGCTAATATTCATGCTCGCTAACGAGAAGAACATTGACGAGGTGCTGACCGAGCTTCGGGAATATGCGACGGAAGTCGACGTCCACTTCGTCCGTAAGGCGGTGCGCGCCATCGGTAAGCTGGCTATTAAGATTGAGCCAGCGGCGAGACGGTGCATAAATCTGCTCCTGGAATTGGTTGCGACTAAGGTCCCATATATCGTTCAGGAGGCCACTGTGGTCATCCGCAATATATTCCGAAAATACCCCAACCAGTACGAGTCCATCATTGGTACGCTATGCGAGCATCTCGACTCGCTCGACGAGCCCGAGGCAAAAGCGGCGATGGTATGGGTGATTGGGCAGTACGCGGCGCGGATAGAGAACAGCGACGTCTTACTGGAAGACTTCCTGTACTCGTTCGCGGAAGAGCCTGTAGAGGTGCAGCTCGCGCTACTGACGGCGACGGTAAAACTCTTCATCCAACGCCCCACCAAGGGGCAGGACCTGGTACCCAAGGTGCTCAAGTGGGCCACGGAGGAGACGGACAACCCAGACCTCCGGGACCGGGCGTATATGTACTGGCGACTACTGAGCACGGACATGAACGCGGCGAAGCAGATGGTGATGGGTGAAAAGCCGCCCATCACGGCCGAGTCGGAGAAGCTCGACCCTATGACACTCGAGGAGATGTGCCTCAACGTCGGCACCCTCGCGACCATCTACCTAAAGCCGGTGCAGACAGTATTCCGCAGCGCCCGACCGCGGCGTCTACCCGACTCGCCGGCCCTTCAGAAACACACACTGCCCACGGCGTCTAACCTGCCCGCGTTCGAGACGCAGAAGAGCCTCAGCGCCTTCGGCATGGGCGGGCAGGCGACGGCGCTGCGGCCGGTCGACACGCAGCTCGCCGCGGCGGCTGGGATCGGGGGGATGGCGGGCATGGCGGGCGTGAACGCTAGCCCGTCGCCAAGCCCGCACCCGAGCGCGAGCGACGACAACATGGCGAGCGCGGTGAGCGATGCCGACGCGTACTTTGCGGGGATCGGCAGCCAGCAGATGGCGGCGATGGGGATCCACGATGACACGCCGTTTAGCGGCGGCGGCGGCGGCGCCGAGGCTTCGTACGTGGTCAACCAGTACGCACCGCAGCAGGTCTTCCAGCCGGCCCAGGGCGTCGGGAGCAACGGCGACCTGCTCATCCTATAAGTGAGTAAGAGGGCGCGGCCGCGCAGAGTCGGGACGGTTCGATGTCCTACCCCCCATCGACATCCTCGCACGGCCACGAGTCAGGATCAGGGGGGGGGCAGGGGGGAGGAGGAAATGCCCGGACAAAGCCAGTTTCGGGAAAAAAGGAGGAAGACAGCATCTCGCTCTACCCCGCCTCGCCCGCTCTCTTCCCGTCCTACGCCCCAGCTATATACCACCCGTCGCGACGATACGACTCCCCCGCCGCGAACGGCCCCAGACATCGACGTCGGGGTCGGAAGAAGAGCGCGGGCGTAGACGGGGTCAGGAGGTGAAGGAGGGGGAAGACACCCCGCGAAGTAGGCACCCGAGCTCGGGTAGAAACGAAGACGAAGACCAGGACGCGAGGAGAGGGAGATGAGAATTTTCTAACGACTCTTACCTTTACCCCCGACTCTCCCAACCCCCCGGAGCTTAGCGGGCAGGCAGGCAGGCAGACAAGAAGACGAGAGCGGACGGAAACGACGTGTTGTCGCGCGCGGACGCATTACGGTGGCGGCAGCGGCAGCGGCAGCGGTGATGACGTTGGTAGGAGTACAATCTACCTATATCCTGTTTTTTCTCTTCTTTTTTTTGGTGACTGATTTTTTTTCTTGTCGGAGCGAGATCCTGAAATTATACCTATTGTACATGATACACGCGTGGCCGCACATAATCGAGGGGCATCTGTTGCAGTCCGCATATGTGTGTGCATTTGGACTACGTCAGCGGGTATCAGACCAATATGTGCCAGTCTCATTACATGGTGCACAAGGGAGAATATCGGATAGCCTCTTCCTGGTCTGATCTGGACTAGATTACCCCCGGTAATAGAAGGTACTAAGCTATCTTGGATGAGAATAAAGCGATATGAAAAGTATCACACCATTAACATTATGGATACAGTCTGTAGTCCAGCTTCCAAAAATAAAATCCTCGAGTTTTATCATGCTCCATTCCAGCGCGACCTGATCAACCATTCGAACACCAGCCGGTGGCCGCTCAATAATTTTGCCCCGACTTTCAGGCCCGCATTGGATGGAACCTCCTCTCGAACGTCACTTTCCGGGGCATCCGTGTAGTCACGAGCGGAACCCAACAGCCTCATGATTCTCGACTGCAAGTTCCACTCGTCCTGCAGGCGAGCTCAGTTTCGCCATCAGACCGTCATGCCCGCCGGCACTCGGTGGTCCTCGTGGAAAATAGCGTCCGGTTTATCAGATTGACCCGGGGCATATTTAGTATCCAGTCGGACTGATTGCTCCTTAGAGGTAACATGTTTGTGAAACCCTGCGATATTGCGGTCCATTTGTGCGTTACCCGATGTCGCCAGCCATCCCATACCATAGAGCAGTGACAGAATCGACGGCCCCAGGGTTGCTATTAGGGCAGAGGCAAATAGTAGGAAGTAGTTCGCCTTTTTAGTAGAACCAGCTAAATTTACGACCGGCTCTGGGGCAGTGCTACTTGGCTGGAAAGGGTCGGTGAATGTGGGCTTAGCCGAGGACGTGACAATCACGGTGGCATTCACCGATGGTGTTTCTCCTGCCGTCACACTCACGGAAGATTGGGTACTGGTTGTAAGCGAAGCAGTGGGCGAAGGGGTCTGGGGCTGCACGTAAACAGTCTGCGTTATCGAGCCGTACACAGTCGTGGTGGTAGTAACGGTGGCGGTAACAGTACTTTGCTGGGTGCTCGTGGGATATTGATAGCCATATCCGCCAGGAGGTATCGCGGTCGGCTCGGGTGGGCTGCCATACTCATCTATAGGAGAAGTGACAGAAGGACCGCCAGAGTCACGCCCATAGTTGTAGACAACAAGGCCATCTCGAAAAGACGGTTGAATAGAAAGATCGGAACCACCGAAATTGGCAGACAAGTTAAGCGTAACAGGACCCAGGTCCAAAGATAAGGTGGGAAATCTAGGTAAAATATCGGGGGTGTTTTCCGGTTTAATACCGGCCAACGCGTGGGCACCCGTACCATGGCCGGTCGGATGCGGAGGGGGCAAGATTGACTTGCGAGAAACTACGAGGATAGGATCAATATAGAGCCACTTGAAATTGGACCATGGCCCTCGAGCGGGCCACAGTTAAGGTGAGTTGATGTAAACATACCAGGGCTGGCTTCCTGGCCCGTGTTGTTGATGGGGATCGCTTCCTGACCCGTAGTGTTGATGGGGATCATGCCAGCCTTGACGTAAGGCTTTTGATCGATAAGTTCTCGCTTGGTGGCATTCTGAACACCCACGACAGCCCAGCAGGGCACGGCCAGGAGAAGGGAAACGACGGCGGACAGGAACCTCATAGCCGTTGGCTGTGGTCTTGGATGGCGTTAAGTGACGACGGAAGACAGGATGATCGGAACGCCGCGAGACGGCGACTCCAGATCAGACCCGAACGCGGGAAACGGACAACCGGTAACGGGATGGACTGCCTGATGAAATAGAGAGAATGTCGGAGTGGTCGACGCAGAAGTCGAGAAAGAGACGCAACGATGAGACGAACAGTGAGGACGGGTTGGCGGTAGAGGATGAAGTTGGGAAGAAATCGGGGTGGTGGACGAGCGGCGGAGATTGTGGTTTCAAGCCGTAAATTAGGGAATAGACCTGACAGACGGGTGCGCCTGCCTCGGACGCCGTAGCACAGGTTTAGTCTTTCCCTGCAGGAGAGCCGCCTAGGTCGCTCTTGCCGGACTGGCAGGAGACCAGATTGTTCGCTTGTGAAGGAGGAAGCGGGCATGTCGATGCTGCCGTGGGTAGTTGACTAATACTCCGTGGCCGAAATCACGACAACAGGGGCGAGAGGCGTGTTTTCACGATGATAGAAGATGTGTACATTCTGCGTACGTACGGAGTGTGTATGAATTACAGAACCATCGAATGCCTAACACAACGCCGTGCGTATGGGTATCACGCACCTACATATATGATGAACTCGTATTGCGCGAAGAGAGTGGCTCTTCGCAGCTGTAATTGCCATGGAGCACCAAGTACGTCTGGCTATCACACCGTAAGACGTCACGTTTGAAGAGCCCTATCGCACAAGCACGGAAGAACACGAGCGTTGATAGCTACCCGATACATCGTAGTCTCGACACCTCGATACCCGATGTAGATGAGTTAAGGGCGGTAGCCTTGCCATAGTTACTATTTAACTTGCCCACATCTTCTCACTGCTGCTCAGACCTTCGAGATGACAACGTGCAAAGGCTACCCTTGTGATGTAATATATTACCAGCAGTCCTATGCCAACATCGGCCGGTGCCGTTCCTGGTGGGTATTCCAATGGTATGTATGCCTTGAAGTCCAGGATACCAACCAGGCTGGTTGCGTGGATAAATACCCATTAAACCAACTGCGATTTATCAAGGTAAACGACAGTTAGTAATCTATGAGTTGACTACAACCTATTTGTTACCAATTATTCGCAAGTCGCAGCGGGCTCAACCCAGAGCTAGGTAACTATGGACAAGCCTAGCGAGAGAAAAAAAAAAAGAACCCCCTCTGTTTGGAGTAGCCCGCACATGATCTGGGTTTACAAATTCCCGGGAACGGGTGTCGACGGGGGAAGGTAAGGCTTCGAGACGGACCTCTACTGGCCCCGGCGGTGGCACCAACTCCAGCTTAGCCCGGAGGTGTTCGGATGGTCCGTAGCGAACGAGATATACCCAGAATACCGGAGTGCCCGGGGGTTGGTCCGTGGTGCGGAGTCTGCCAGTTTGGGTTGGGTCGATTGGTCGGGAGGGGAAGATAGACACTGGCCTGCGGACGTCTACGACATCCTTCAACGTCCGGGTATACGCATGTGATAAGTGGTGTGTGACTATGCATGAGGAGACGGGAGGCGAACAAGTCAGGAGGTAGGGCCCGTCCGTATTAGTGCATAACCGAACCTACTATAGATCCTTGGGCGCTCAGCTACCGTTCTTCTTATCCCGCTCATCTGATAGATGCTGTCATATGTCAACGACGTGATAGGTCGAGGCTCGACAGCAGGAATCAGACGAGGACTCGGTTGGTAAGTAGTTCCTTCGACGTTGTGACTATCTGGGTTAGGTTAGATACATGGGTATAAGGATGGATGTCTGAGTGTTGCGAAGTACAGGCCATGGTATGACTCGGTACATGCATGGCTAGGATAGTCACGTTAGGTACCTTTTCGAGACGGCGATTCAATCAGATAAGGTGTCGTGCCCTTACATATAGGATTATCCTCCGGATCGGATTACGGCCCGCCTTTTATTCGACGAGGGAATAAGAGGTCAGACTCGGGTCGTGGCGGCACGTTCGCGCTGCTAAGATAAGAAGAACGCGGTTGTTTCCTCGGAGCGGAGAGCCAAACTAGAGCAACGGGGTGCCCGAGGCGCATCCGAACATAAAACACGAACAGATGTATTTACTACTACCTCCTGACGAGATTGGATATGAGAACGATACCATAGCGGGTGCGTGGCAGCTCGCTTTTATTAGGTACCTAAGGTATGATTGTCCATGTATCAGATACCTGCGCCGAGCGCAACCTGTTCGTGTTCGCCTAGGCCGCCGCGCAGTCCGGAGTGAGTGTGGGGAGAGAGAGATTGCGCCACGCCAAGGCCGGGGGGGGGGGGGAGGGAGGGGGGTTCCTCGACATTATGTCTGTAATTGATGTCCGCATGGACATTGTAATGAGTGAGACATCAGCCCGACATAGATACCGTCCGCCGATCTAGTTACCATACGAATACAATGCCATAGAAATACACCCCATGGAATAACTCAGTTACCTTATAGGTTATTAAGTACGTGCTTTTATACCAATGCGATTGTTTTCCTCCGTAGGTAAGTAAGAGGTAAGTTAATGAAACCATTAGGCTATTAGTTCACGAGTGTATATATACCTAGGTAAGCAGGTATGAGGTAGAGGTACCTAGGCATGTTATCGAGTTATGCACATATGTCCTTGCGTTATCGCGCTGGAGAAACGCGAGACCAAGATGCCCTATATCTAGTGTTACTATAATGCCGTCGTCAGCGGCGTCATGGGACCCGAATATAGTCGATGCGACTCTGCCCTCAGATTAGGTGCTTCATTCAGTGGGTAACCGCACCCAGCAAGATGAGCGCTATGTTCTCTCGACCCGACGCCCCCCCCTGTCGGGCATACCTCTCAATATGCGCTGTTGCCCTCTGCTCGATCGTGTCGCGATCGTTGATGTTATCCGGTCGGATACTCCTGCAATCCACAATATCCGACCCATATGCATACTTATGTACGCGGCGGGTTGGGTGTTTCAGCGCGTAGACAATCTCGGCGTCCCTGGATGCCGCCAGGTTGTGCAACTCGAGTCCCGTCGTCTGGCGTTCTCTGCTTATTTTGACCGGGGGACAATATTTACAGCAGCATAGTACCAGGCTGGTAAGTCAGTAGCATAGGCCGCTGAAGGGCCAATGGAGCACGCGAAGACCGCCGGCCTGAAAATAGGGGCACCCGTGTAGAACGCGAGCTGGCTGCGACCAGCCGGCACGACCACACACCATCTGATCACCATCTGAACTATGTGTAGACGGCGCTGGCGGCTCAGCAGCAACCTGCCGACCGATTTCACCTAGACAAACCCAGGAATTCTTTAGGCGAGAGAGGAATGGGGATGGTAGGTTCCCTGCGGTAGGTATTTACCTACCTACCTAGGTACCACCCTCCTAGGTACCGTTATGGTCTCGAGGCAGTGTGCAGGTACCTACGTTCCGTGGTCCCTGCGGTATCTCACGTAGGCCGAGGTACCTGGTAGGCAGGTACCGGTGCCCAACCAGGCGAAGAATCTTCGAGGCCCCCCAAGGTTAGGTTAGGTAGTGCCGCCGCAGATCCCTGCCCGTAGCCTTGGGGTAAGAGTACATATGCACCTGTGCATTGCTGTATGGGCATGCGTGTACCCGTATTTTGAGGGCAACCCCCCGACAACCAGGTAGGGCAGGTCATCCGCCAACTAATACCTCCTAACCTCTAGGAACCTCTAGGTAGGTAAACCTCCTCTACCCTCCTACTCACGTAGCTTTACTCCCATCTACCTGCGCCCAGCCCAGCACGACGGACATGTCTCCCTCTACGTAACCTTGGGACCAATGCCAACCTTGCGAGGGTGTTTATGTACCTCTAACAACAAGATAACAATACCAATACCTCTTCCTCTTCCTTCGAGTTGTTGTCCAGCCGCCTTGTGAACCTCCTCTCCCCCCCCCAACTCGACCTCGGACTCGAACTCCTCTGTCCCTTCGTCGAAACCAGGGTCAGCCCTGAGCCTGGACTGGGAACAACCAGCTGCTGCGGGATCTAATAATAAAATCAACACAACCCGCCTTCAGCCCAGCAGCGAAAGCCATCCTCTACCTCGTCCGAGTCCTCCCATCCCATCCGCCGAATCCGAGTGGTTATCATCATCCCATCCATCATTTTCGCTAATCTACTCATACGGCTTTCCGCGCGCCTTGTTCCTTCTACATACATACAATCTGCTGCTGCTGCTGCGCGCCACCTCCCTTGCCTGCTGTCCTCCTCTCCTTTTCCTGTTCGCCTCTCTTTTCCCTCCACTTTTTGGCTCGGACTTGTCGCGGCTTTCGTCGCCAGCATTCATCAATTCACTACGACCCGCATCGGCAGGGAAATCCTAGTAACCGCGTAAGACGAAGGCGATATTAAATTGTAATCCAACCGACGTCTTTCAATTCCACTACAGCTTATGTGCAGCCATTCCACAATCCTTCTTTAATACTGCTCTTCCCTCGACGAATCCAAGAGAGACGCCGAATCCTGCCGACGTTCATTCTTTTTTTTCTCTTTCTCTTTGGCTGGCTGTTCCGCCACCTTCCCCCGAATTGCGCGCAAGTCGTCAACCATTCGCAAGTCTCGACACGTCGCCATTGATCACCCTTCTATCTACCTGCCTGTAACCATGGCTGATGCAGCACATCCATCGGCAGGTGGAGACAAAGGTCCCACGGAGGAGGAGAGTGTGCCAATAAGCCAGCATGCCGTCGCTGTGGAAATGGATGACCTGTCCCAGACCCAAGAGCCCAAGTTTATAAAGTCAGATACGACCGCGCCAGACTCCCATCCAGACGTGGCGACGTCCCAAAGTCACGATGTCGAATCCTCATCTCCGCCGATACCCGTCCCTGATAAAGATTCTCCCATCGGCGATGACGCGTCATCAAAGGCCCGAACCAAAGCTCCAGCCGCCGAGGACGACCAGGAACTGACGATAGACCCCGTCGTGCCCGCGGCGGGTTTGTCGGGAGACGGAGACCTGGCGGTGGAAATTATGCTGCTTCTTACCTCTGGTGCCCGCCACCCCTTCCGAATCGACGAGAAGTACCTCACGAAGCGAAATGTGACCGTTACCGGCAAGACGGGGGATGGAAAGATGGATCCGTTCAGCATCACCGTATACACACTGAAAGAATTGATTCTGAGGGACTGGCGCAAGGAGTGGGACCAGCCGCCGAGAGAGCCGAGCGCGATAAGGTTGATTCACTTTGGCAAATTGCTTGAGGATAGGAATCAACTAAGCCGTACGCCATCTTGGTTTCCTAGTCTTCAAGTTGCTGGCAGAACCTCGTACTTACTGATCTCTCGGCTCTTTAGATTACCAGTTCACCCCGTCGAGAAACGTCGTCCACATGACCATCAAACCGCAAGACGTGATAGATGAGGAGGAAGCCGCCAAGAAGGTCAAGGACTCGGGGAGTCACCGAGGCCGCAGCGGGTGCTGCGTCATATTATGATTCGACTCTTCCTCCCGGACCGCCCCGGGAGGGGGAAAGAGTCTACCAACAACACGAACGCTCAACGAAGGATGTGCAGATAAAGTCTACCATGCATTGAATGTGGCTACTTCACGCGTACATATACACGCACACTATTCTAGACATGCCCTTACTGGGCAGGGGATGGCTATAAATATATACGGGAATTACGAGCAACAGGCATTCTGCACCCGCCTTTCGATGCCAGGAACTAGGCATGTATTTTTTTTTTGTCTGGACATTTTTTCGTTTTTAGGTTTTCGGGTCTCCCCTCTCACGCTCTCGCCCAGTGTGCGGATTTTTGGGGAGCAGGGGAGCGACGGGCGCATCGGGCGGCGTGATCGGGTCTGAAATCTTTTCTCTCATTTTCCTCTTATCCCCGGAAATTGATGCGACAGCTAGGACAGGAAACTGTCCAACCTCCTGCGTCCGGGGAAATCCTTCGCGATCCGCCCACACTTACGGAAAGCCTAGCGTGGCGTAGCCGACAAAACCCAGCACATGGGTGAGGAGGAGGGTACGCGAGGGGCGCAAGGGGTACTGTGACAGGACAGTCTTCGCGTCAACTGGAAGCTCTCTGTACCTTGGCAACAGCAGCGTCGAATAGAGACTGTTGAGATGGTCGATCTGCGTTTTCTAGCATCTACACAGTTGCTCTGACTACCCCCTTGCCCTCGCGAGGCATCGGAATCGTCATCGGCGTGGCATCGCATTTGGCCGGGACTGGCTAGTGCCTATGCGACAAACCATAATGCGATCGGGCACGGGCATGGTCGTGGCCGGTTAAACACGTCCATCAGCCACCCAACTTAACCCGTTTATATGACCGCCTATTGTCAATATGTATGTTCTGCGCAGGGGACGTGGTAAATGGCAGAGGTATATTTGGGCATGTCACGATGTATAGTAATTATATATGATAACTTACCAGTTATTCACAGACTCGTGTGTATTGTGAATGGGCGACTAGGGAACCTGCCCGAGAATAAGGGGGGTTGGGGGCGGTACCGGCACCGTTCTGCACGCTTCATGACACACCGTCTGCATCGCAAATCGAGAGAGAAGTTGGCCACAACTATGGTCTGATGGGGGAGGAAAACACAACTGTCTGCCAGTCTGTAATCATTGATCTATTGCCTCGCGAGATGTTGCCTTGATACGGCAAAATACCCGACCACAGGCCATGTTTGTCTACCTAGACGTAAAAAATACCATCCCAGCGCTGCATGTTTCCGTCTTGCCTCCCATCCATCACCCTCACGCCCATCTTGAAAGGCGAGCAGCCGACCCCGCGCGAGGCGTAGACCCCGTCGAGGGAGGCCGCCGGGTCCTCCTCCACCCTACACGTCTATGGCCCAGCGGGCCGGCCGGGCTCTGCAGACCAGGACACACGAACCGGGGGCGCAGTCACATCCTCAGCTTGCGCTCCATCTCGTCGTGGACGCCGACGGGGTCGCGCAGGTCGTCGCCGGCGGCGAAGACGTCGTCCCAGTCGAGGTAGGCCTCGCGGCCGCGCAGGATGTCTTCGTGGAGGCTCGGGCCGGCCTGGCCGGGGGCGGGGGCGCGCAGCACGGCGGGGCGCCAGTCGCCGCCGCGCACGATCTGGAGCTCCATGGCGCGGCGCACCGGCTCGGCGACGCCGAACGCGCGCCGCAGCGCCGTCTGCCGCAGCGCCTCCTGCGTCTGCTGCCACGCGAGCAGCCGCGGCTCGAGCGGGTGGCGCGACACGGGCGCCGCGGCGGGGGCCGACGAGGACGAGGACGAGGGCAGCGGCGCCGGGTTCAGCCCCTGCCGCAGCGTGTCGTGCACGCCCGGCGCTGACGGCGCCGACGTGTTGCCCGCCGTGGCGCTGTAGCTCGCGCCGTGGGCGGCCGCGGGGACGATGCGCAGGGACTAAGGCGGAGAGAAGCGCACGCGTTAGTCCGGGGCTGGGCGCGAGACGGGCGGGCGGGCTGGCTCGGGTCGGGGACTCACCATCTTGACGGCCGTGTGCGGGCTTGGATGCTTGCTGGCTTCCTCGCTTGGGACCTGTCGCCTTGCTTCTTGCTTTCTAGTCGAAACGAGCCGGGGTTAGTTGGGCTCTCTGTCCGTCAGAGGTATGTTGCGTGTTATCGTCCGAAGAGCGAGCGGAGGGTGAATGGCGAAGCTTGTCGTCCTCGTCTGCGCTGTCGGTTCTGGCGAGGAAGAGGGGAGGTGTAGGAGCTGTCGTAGCTCTCTGCCGGTGTGGAGATGTTAGAGCGTACGTGGTGGGTGGGTTAGGCGGGCAGGCTGCCAGGAGCTTTCGCGTTTGGAGAAGCCTCGCCAAGACGGGAGATGATGTGAGGGGGGGCAGTCGGAGGTGGTCCCTGCGCGCCTCCGATATTGTTGGGGTCGCACGCAGGATTCTTGGTTACATAATGGCCGGTTACGTAACTCAGGGTCTGCAAATATTTCGATGGATACCCTTTTTTTTTTATAGTAACTAACCAAATCTGCCCTACATGTGTGTGGATCGCGATGTGCCCTCTCCCTGTATAGGTATACACTCATTCTACACAGCACATACGGCATTCCCGTCCATGCTTCGGGCCTACCGCTCTCCCGGCATGTAAGATCGCTACCGGAGTCGATCTGATGCGATGTTGCCCTCCATTCCCGAACTACCGCGCAAGCTGCGGGCCCGCCGGGACGGTAAATGGCCCTCTATCATAAAGATAACCAGTTCTACTTTTTATCGTCATTACCCTCAGGAAAACACTTCCTATGCCAACCCTCCTTTCTTCGCTGGCCTCAAGTTCAACTTACCGTCCGACAAGGCGACCACCTGGTGCGTCATTGGGCCGTCGCTGAGCGGGAAGACCACCTTCTTACAGGCTCTGAGGGGAGATCACTTTTGCGATCCTCCTACCGCCCGAAGCTACCCGTATTTGTCTTCACCCAAGACGAACCCCAAGTCGAGGGTACCGCAACTGGCTATCGAGTACGTCGGGTTCGGCAACGATGGCCTCTCGACGAACCTGACAACCTCGGCCTACATGTCGGCTCGGTACGAGTCGAAGCGCGAGAAGACGGACTTCACTCTCAGGGACTTTCTCGCGGGACGTACCCATTTGAACGGGCCGCCCGGCCTCAATCCGAATTCTAGCAAAATTTTGCAAAGAGCTGCCGAGTTGAGTATATTCAGGTTTTTAAACTTACCCGTCACCGTTCTAAGTAATGGCCAGGCCCGACGGGCTCGAATCGCGAAGGCTTTGATCAAGGAGCCTCGGGTCTTACTGCTCGACGAGCCGTTCATGGGCCTCGATCCGAATGCTGTTCTCACGCTGAACGAAACCATCGGAAAACTGGCTCGGAAATCTTTGACGACGCAAATCGTGCTGAGCGCGCGGCCGCAAGATCCCATCCCCAACTGGGTCACACATTTAGTCTACCTGAAGAACGATGGTGATATAGCCAGTATAGGCCCGAAAGAGGAGGCTTTAGCAGTGCTGAAGGGGTATGCGAACAGCATGTTGAGGGGAGCATCACCCGACTTGATCAAGGTGTCTTTAGACGACCTGGCTCACATGGGCCGGGCCATAACTACTAGAGGACTTCAAGCAGGATCGTTTTTGAACAAGCCGGTTCAGAGGCCTTCCACTGCGTGTTCTCCGATCGTGGATCAAGAGGAGGGAGAGGTACTCGTGAAACTGGATGGATGCCAAGTGAAATATGAAGACCAGGTTGGGATTTGGGAGTGGTCGGAAAACGCCCGCGGAGCGAAGAAGGCAGGTCTCGTGTGGACCCTCCGACGAGGCCAGAGATGGGGTATCTTTGGGCCGAACGGCTCGGGGAAGACGACGCTCATTTCTCTTATTACCTCCGAGCACCCTCAGGCCTATTCGTTGCCTATCGAGGTCTTCGGTAGAAGCAGGCTACCAGAGCCTGGATCCGACGCGCTACCGTTAACAATTTGGGACATTCAAGCACGCATTGGGCAGGCTAGCCCCGAGATCCATCGACATATGCCGCGAGATCTCACCGTGAGACAAGTTATCGCGAGCGCGTGGGCAAACACCTTCCGCACCAAACCCGTCCTTACCGAGAAGGCAAAGGATGACATCAATGCTTGCCTACGGTGGTTCGAGTCCGATTTGAATCCGTCCTACGTACCGACATGGGCGTCACAGTCAGACGTGAAAGACACAAAGTGGGCGGACCGCCTCACGTTCGGAGAGCTATCCTTCTCAGCGCAGCGGGTGGCACTGTTCCTGCGAGCCATCATTAAGAAGCCAGATATCGTCGTGTTGGACGAGGCGTTGAGTGGGATGGATAGCGGCGTCCGGGACCGCTGCCTGCTCTTCCTCGAACACGGCGAGACGCAAATGTACGTGAGAAATAAAACTGGCCAGCCGACCATTGTCGAGAACAATCCGTCGACAGCGGGCAGGCCGCAGTTGAAGGGCCTAGAGAGAACCCAGGCTCTAATATGCATCAGCCACATTAAGGAGGAGGTACCGGACTGTGTTCGGCGGTGGATATATCTACCTAAGCCGGCTCGCAAAAAGAGGTGCGCCCGAATGGGAGAGCTAACCGGGCCCATCGCACAGGACAGCATAACCTGGGAAAATATATGGGGTGCGACTGTGAAGGAACTTAAACGACCCTGATTCCGTAGCCGAGTGGATAGTTGGACCACCCTCTACGTACATACATATACTCTATGTACGTGTGTATTTACTATAATCCCATCCCATGTCCAATCCTTTGTCTACCCACGATGGGGTACCGAGAGAAGGGGGCCGTGATAACCAATTGAATACCTGGTCGGCGACAGAGCTCTAGCGATTGACCACTTACAAGATGACAAGTTTTGTCCTCAGTGGATCGCGATGTAAGGGACCAAGCCTCTGAACAAGCGGCATGCAGCACGTTACGGACCGTATATGTACCTGGGTGGGAGGCGGAAAGTTGCTGGCTGACGAAAATAGATCTCTCTTGCCGCCACACACCTTTTCCGTATAGTTAATATCCGAAATCATCGACGGCCGGGGAAAAAAAAAAACAAAGACGTGGAGTGGCTTATATGACAAGCATAAACAAGGTAGCATGCGTTCGTCAGCCAGGGGCGCAGCGGCAGTGTAAGTGGGGGACAAGGAGTGGGGTTGCCGGGCAACGCGAGGGCCACGCATCTCCAAATACAACAAAGCTCTTGATAAGGTAGCCCAGTGCTCCCCACCAAAGGCCAATAACTGCCTCTCCTCACACGCTGTGACGCTACCGGAAGCCGATTCGCGACCATCGGAGTCACTCCCCGCTCGCTCGTCACTGACCAACTCCGTCTTCTCCCAGCAGAGATATATCGCATCGATTAGACGAGATCAATACCCCCCCCTCTTGCGAGACGGCAGGTTGTCTGTCCCATAGGGTAAGGTCTGTCGGCTCAGCAAGAAGCTCCCGGACAGCGGGAGCGAGACAGTTGGCGCTACATCGCATTCCGGTCCTCGACAACAACATCTGTGAAGCGTCTCACGCGCAACATTCCTCGGCATTCTGGCCGATATTACATCGCCATGGACGGCACTCCCTCTCGCCCGCCTGGCTACTCCCGGGCCAACTACAACGACGACGACGACGACGACCGCATGAGCCCCAGCAGCCCGGGCACAAATCCGGCGGCAGTCAGATTATTAACATCTATGGAGGAGTCGCTACCAGACAGCCGACCGTACGTACTCCCGCCGATGCCAGACCTGGCATCGGCACCCCCAGATAGCATACCCGCCCCCTTGAGCGTCACCAAGGCCCGGAACGGATACAAGAAGGCCACAGTATCTACGCCGGAGAGCGAGGATGAGCTCGAGGAACAAGGGGAAGCGCACGCGCCAACGCCCGCGCCAGCGCCATCTGCTCCAGGTGGGGAGTAGTCATCTCCACCAGCAGCAGGCGACAGGTCGCCCACGCGCCAGCCGGTCCCGCGGCATCGCAATACTGTAAAGTTGCAGAAGAAGAAAAAGTCCCCTCGCCCTCTCCAAGCGGAAATCGCAGAAAGCCTGCCGACCATACCCGAGGGCTCGTCGCCGAGAAGGGATGGTCTTCTCGATAGCAAGGCATCGCAGAATGACGGCAGCGCATCCCAGCAGGAAACACACCCGGACAGCACCAGCACCAGCACCAGTAGTAGCACCCGCACCAACAACCAGAGCAGCGAGAAGAACAATAATGATAGCACCTCGGGGAGCAATGACTTACCAGAGAACCCCGGTGATAGGTTTAGGCCCACGCCCCGCCGAACGTACCAGCCGTCGATCAGATCCACCCGCTCGCGAACATCCTCGATCCTCGATCCACCCCATATCACACCGCTAGACTCGGCATACGACGCGTACCGACAGCGGGGCGCCGAGTCCCCCCGCCCCTGGACCCCATCGTCGAGGATGTCTGGAACGTCCGACTACACGCGCCCTCCCCCCTCCAGCATGCACTACGAACCCGCAGACATCGACGGGGTCCCCAGACCGGGCACGCCGTCATCGAGATACGGCGGCAGCCCCCGCAGGCCGCTGCCCCCCGCCCCGATGTTCGCCCCATCCGTGCGCGACTCGACTTACACGGGAGACGACGCGACGGTGAGCATACCCCTCGACGGCGCACACGACGACGTATTCGGAGCCGAGTCGGACATCAGCGGCGCGCAACCGTACGACGAGGATTCCTACGGGTACCAGTCGCAGGTCACCCTCAGCGAGGAGAGCCAGTCGCAGGCGCCTTTCGAGGACAAGGTCGAGCACTACGGCGCGGCGCCGGAGGGGAAGCAGGAGCGGCGCGGGGTGCGGGCGCCGGTGACGTCGAAGAAGGAGGTGCAGCTCATCAACGGCGAGCTGATCCTCGAGTGCAAGATCCCGACGATCCTGTACAGCTTCCTGCCGCGGCGCGACGAGATCGAGTTCACGCACATGCGGTACACGGCGGTGACGTGCGACCCGGACGACTTCGTCGAGAAGGGGTACAAGCTGCGGCAGAACATCGGCCGGACGGCGCGCGAGACGGAGCTGTTCATCTGCGTGACGATGTACAACGAGGACGAGATCGACTTCACGCGCACGATGCACGCCATCATGAAGAACGTGAGCCACTTCTGCGGCCGCAGCAAGTCGCGGACGTGGGGCGAGAACGGGTGGCAGAAGATCGTGGTGTGCATCGTGTCGGACGGGCGCGAAAAGGTGCACCAGCGCACGCTCGACGCGCTCGCGGCCATGGGCGTGTACCAGCACGGCATCGCGAAGAACTTCGTCAACCAGAAGGCGGTGCAGGCGCACGTGTACGAGTACACGACGCAGGTGTCGCTCGACTCGGACCTCAAGTTCAAGGGCGCGGAGAAGGGCATCGTGCCGTGCCAGATGATCTTCTGCCTCAAGGAGCGCAACCAGCGCAAGCTCAACTCGCACCGCTGGTTCTTCAACGCGTTCGGCAAGGCGCTGAACCCGAACGTGTGCATCCTGCTGGACGTCGGGACCAAGCCGGGCACGAACTCGCTGTACCACCTGTGGAAGGCGTTCGACACGGACTCGAGCGTGGCGGGCGCGTGCGGCGAGATCAAGGCGATGAAGGGCCGGCTCGGCAGCAACCTGCTGAACCCGCTGGTGGCGTCGCAGAACTTCGAGTACAAGATGTCCAACATCCTCGACAAGCCGCTCGAGTCCGTGTTCGGGTACATCACGGTGCTGCCGGGCGCGCTCAGCGCGTACCGCTACCACGCGCTGCAGAACGACGAGACCGGCCACGGCCCGCTCAGCCAGTACTTCAAGGGCGAGACCCTGCACGGCCAGCACGCCGACGTCTTCACCGCCAACATGTACCTCGCCGAGGACCGCATCCTCTGCTGGGAGCTCGTCGCGAAGCGGAACGAGCGGTGGGTGCTCAAGTACGTCAAGGGGTGCACCGGAGAGACGGACGTGCCGGGTAAGTTGTTTTTTTTTATTTCTACTACCCTCCCCCCTCTTTTTTTTTATTTTCGTTTTATTTATTTTTTTTTATTTAGTCTTCATTTACCCTCTTCTTCTTCTCTCGCGTAGGGATCCGTAGAGAGGTCTTGAGCTAACGTATATATCGCCCACGACAGACACCGTCCCCGAATTCATCTCGCAGCGGCGGCGCTGGCTCAACGGGGCCTTCTTCGCGGCCGTGTACTCGCTCGTGCACTTCCGGCAGATCTGGGTGACGGACCACACGGTGGCGCGCAAGGTGCTGCTGCACATCGAGTTCGTGTACCAGTTCCTGCAGCTGCTGTTCACGTACTTCTCGCTGGCCAACTTCTACCTGGCCTTCTACTTCATCGGCGGCGGGCTGACCGACCCCGAGATCGACCCGTTCGGCCACAACGTGGCGCTCTACATCTTCACCGTGCTGCGGTACACGTGCGTGCTGCTCATCAGCATGCAGTTCATCATCTCGCTCGGCAACCGGCCGCAGGGCGCCAAGAAGCTCTACCTCGCCAGCATGGTCGTCTACGGCGTCATCATGGTGTACAACACGTTCGCGTGCATCTTCATCGTGATCCACACGGTGCGCGACACGGACCGGCTCATGCTCGGCAACAACGTGTTCACGAACCTGATCGTGTCGACGGCGTCGACGGTCGGGCTGTACTTCCTGATGAGCTTCCTGTACTTCGACCCGTGGCACATGTTCACGAGCTCGGCGCAGTACTTCGCGCTGCTGCCGAGCTACATCTGCACGCTGCAGGTGTACGCGTTCTGCAACACGCACGACGTGACGTGGGGCACCAAGGGCGACAACGTGATGCGGACGGACCTGGGCGGGGCGGTGGGCCAGGGGTCGACGGTGGAGCTGGAGATGCCGTCGGAGCAGCTGGACATCGACAGCGGGTACGACGAGGCGCTGCGCAACCTGCGGGACCGGGTGGAGGTGCCGGCGGCGGCGCCGAGCGAGTCGCAGATGCAGGAGGACTACTACAAGAGCGTGCGCACGTACATGGTGGTCATCTGGATGGTGGCCAACGCGATCCTGGCCATGGCCGTCAGCGAGGCCTACGGCTACCGCGACGTCGGCAACAACTTCTACCTCAGCTTCATCCTGTGGGCCGTCGCCGCGCTCGCCATCTTCCGCGCCCTCGGCAGCACCACCTTCGCCGTCATCAGCGCCGTCAACACCGTCGTCGAGGGCCGCGTCCGCATGAGCCTCAAGGTCCCCGAGTGGATGGGCGGCCTCGGCTCCCGCATCAGCGACAAGATCAGCGACACCATGACGAGCATCGGGAGCAGCGTCAGGGTGTGAGGGGAGCTGGCGCGTTTTTTTTTTTCCCCTCTTCTCCTTCTCACCTCCTCTCTGCTTGTATTTTTGCGTTGTCTCCCACCCTCCGGTGCCTGTCCCGGCGGTCCTGCTTGCTCGTTTTGCTGCTGCTCGGGATGTTGCGGGGGACATGGGCACCCTGTTGATGGAGGCGTTATTGACGAAAATTCTTTTTTTTATTTTATTCCCGTTTCAGAAATTAGAGGGACTTCTCTCCCGGCCGCACTTGGGCGCGTGTTCGGGGCTTGACGAATGGAACGACTGTACGGACGGGCGGTTGGGTGGACGAACGTGATCTTTTTTTTTTTTCCCCTCTCGGGGGGGGAATGGTGGGGAGGCTAGATGCTGATTGATATCTACCTGCTTCGCTCGCGTCCGCGCTCGGCTGACGAGGCGCGGTGTTGCTGTTCTAGTTCGCGAGGCTCGGTGGACGGATGAATGGATGGATGGATACCAATAATAGGGGGTGGGCGCGGCACGGTTTCGGCCGGGACGAAGGAAGGGAAAGGGGAGCAGGGTAGGCGGGAGGTTATGTATATGCTGGCTGGACACGACAACGAACGAACAGGAATAGGGGGGGCGGGGGGCATGAACACGAAGTTCTCCGTTGCACACGTCTTGTAATTACAGTTCCTTTTCTTTCCCGCGGCTGGGACTCTTCGGTTTTGATAGACCTCAGACGTGAACGGGCTGCGTGTAGAGTTAGGCTCTCTAGCCGCCAACTAGGAGATGATACCCGTGATTCCGTTACTTTTGTGCTGTCTTCTAATAGTATGTTTCTCTCTATCGTATGTGCCACGCGTACTACCTCATCTATACACTCCATACACAGACACATTCCGTCTTGTACTCGTTAGGGTATTTCATCCTTGACTCCTAATTCCTGGCTTCCCGCCACGACTGGTATACCAAGTAGTCCCATCCCCGCTCCCCTATATGTGTGTGTCGGTAGGTGAATCCATATCTGTGAGTACCATAGTTCGGTAAACACATGGCAAGCGGTGCCATAGAGGTGCCCGTCATGTCTCTGCCACCCCGACAAAGCCCATGCTAACCGCCGGTGTCTTTTCCCTTGCGGGGCCAAGGTGCTGTCTTCTCTCGGGCTTGTTGTATCGTGTGCCAAGCCTCAAGGTTGGTCCGGATTCTCTCCTTGAGCCAAATACCTCATCGAAAGTTATCCCCTAAACCACGTGTAGTGGTCTCTTCGCACCATCATTCCAAGCCCAAGGAGGGAGGCGGCAGTCCCAAGAACCGAAAGTGACGCATGATCCGTACTTTCCGCACGTTCGCAGGCGGCTTCATTCCCTCCTCGACGCAGTAGTTAAGCATACGCATATCCGCGCCATAGTAGACCATATCTCTAAAGATCTCTAGTAGGTCCTCCTTGACCGTGCAGTCGCTCAGGTCGTCGGGTAGCGACTTAAGTAGATATGTCCAAGGAGTCGCACGATAGTACCCTGTATTCGAGAGGCGTATCCCAGCTAAGGATATGAAATCAGAAATCATTTTAGAGTATCTCTGAGGGAGAATGTCGTCCCCCATACCCAAATTGAATAACCTTGTGTTTGGGTTCGCGCCCAACGCTAGAAGCTTTCTTATGAGACCCTTATTCCTAACGATAACGCTCATTGTATGTCTTCTCATTTCGCCTCCGTTGCGTGTAAATTTGCGGTCGCGCGCGATCTCACCGACCTGTAAGGTGCGTACAAGCAGGGTATTCAGTTGCCCCTGGGCCGCTTTGTTAGGAAGTGAAGTCGTTACGAAGTTAACCAGCCCGAAGGAGGCGGCAAGGCCTAAGAGGTCGTCCGAAGTCTCGATATCATGAGAGTTGTATGGTATGCGCGAATGGTCCTGGCGTCGTGACCTGATATACTGTGAGGTTGCGTCCATCTCGTGGAGTATATTGCGAACCGTCTGCATTGTGGTCGGCCTATTGTCCTGCTCTTCGAGTTGTCTTGCATACTGACACAGATCAAGCCTTATAGGAAAAGCTTCAAAACTGGAAGATTCAGAGTGTCTATTATAGCTTTGAGACACATATTTGAGACTTGCCAATTTATCTTCACAGAGGAAGATGATTTCATTGAAGTCCGCCGGCGCCTCGCTTCGCAAGCGGCTGATGTACTTGGATTGGAGGAAAGATGAGACGGTTTGGTGTAGAAAATCAACCTGATAATTGTTGGGGTTGAGCCGACCGGGGCGTTTCGTTATTTTCATCAGGTCCCCGCAACGATTCTGGAGACGGGGTTCCCATTTCTGGTAGAGATTCTCGAGTTCATCCTCCGATCTTTCTTCGGGTGGTGCATGTAAAATAAACCCTGGTGCCTTATCTAATAATTCTAAAGCCAGGATAGACATAGGAGTTCGGGCTTGGATCGCAGACAGCATTATACGAGCTGCCTCGCTTCGGTGAAAGCGGTCCCTCTTGGATAGGATCTGCTCAAAATAGCAATCCAACTCTATCGGAATCGAGTCGAGACGCGCTTGGAGGTATTTGTACGGTTCGTTGTCTCTTATATCTCGCAGGAGATCCCGAACGACGAGATAAACCCATAGCCAGACACCCTGGGATCTATCCACCACTTCTTGGACTAGCTCATGGCAACGACTATCTTGGCGTGCTGCCGACGAGAATGCCTTGTTACTCGTGAAGGAACCGGATACGTAACTCTCCATGTCGTCTCGTGTAAACTCTTGCATCTTGAAGGCATACGGCGAAGTGCCCCATTCCGCGAGGAATGCGGGCCAAGGACGGCTGGCGGCGCAGACTTTTATCGCCGGTGATTCGGCTAGATCGTTGACAACCTGGATAATATGTTCCACAGCACCGTCGTACTCATCAAGTCCGTCGATGAAGAAGCAGAATTTCGTGTTTACCTCTGTTGTTAATCCTCGAAGCCGTTTGAAAATCTGTTTCAGTTCGCTGTCGCCCCAGGGTTCGTTGAACTCGCGATCGCGACATAGCGTACGTGCCAGCTCGGGAGATGCGCGGAAGATATCGTGAAGCAAGTGTTGGAGTAGGCCGCGTTGCGATTTCTGCATCTCTGTCCCGCTGTTCCAGAAGTAGTAACTAGCCGTCACCAGTTCGGCGTCGCCAGCCCATTTCGAAAGGGCTCTTCTTGTTTGGTCATCCGCCGACACGAACTTCATCAAGGTTGATTTGCCAGTACCGGCCTAGGATACGCCGGCCAAGTCAGCGTGTAATCGCGGCAGTACGGAAGGGACTTACTAACCAATCCGTTGATCCAGTAGACGCCTGTCCCTCTCTCGAGCCATTCCTGGAGATTCGTTTTGGATGAGTCAAAAACCCATTCGTTAGTGCTGTCATACGCTGGCTCGATGTTTTCTTGGCGATTTTTCATAGACGGAAAGGCAAGGCTCTTTAAGATGGCATTCCATCTGTGGTGCCGTTCCACGAGGCGCAAAATGGATTCATTAATCTGGTTGAAGCTCTCGAGGGATATAGTGTATTCCAAAGTTGGTGCCGTGGAACATACTTCTGGTTCCTCTCTCCTTGTCGTGCTCGACTGGATCGTTGCTTGCAGTTCAGCAAAACTGCGGCTCATTTGCGCATCTAAGTTTTGGATAGCTTGTTGCCATTGCGACTCTAGATCAACGAGACGGCTCATGTTAGCCTGGGTAATGGCTTGCTCTACTCCTTCCAACTTTCCCAGAAGCAAGGACCTTTCTTGGCTGGTACGAAAGTCCGTTAGTTAAACGTCGGCTGAGGGAGATATGAGGGCCTGTCACGAAGGGAATTCATCACTACCTAGGTATATAAACCTGCATAGCCGTGGGTGTCTACGTCTTCACGTGACGGGATCGAAGGTGGGGAACGTATTCGACTGAGGGCATTATCACCTACCTTGCGGTTGTGTCCTGCCACCACCTCATCAATCTCCCTTCAAGGTCGATAAGCTGGCCTACGAGCTCAACCATCTCCTGTTTCTTCCACCAAGTCCGTGCTGCGATACGAATGGCATCGGAGGTCCGGCCCCATCCTCGCGATTTAGTCTCGAGCTTCCTAATTTCTTTTAGCAGCTTTTTAGCGATCCGACCACATTCTTGAGCAATATCTTCTAGTAATCGGGTGTTATCGTTCAGGCTAACGTAGATTCTCAGCTTTTCAGATATGTCTCGAACGGCGTCCTGGATGCTCTCGATAAGGAGTCCCAGCCTACCAACATGGTCGCTGGTGCCAGTAGCAGAGTGGTATGTTTCGTGCGCTACCGTGAGAATCTCACGCCCAAAGGATAGAAACTGGAATACGTTTCCGACGAGTCCGACGATGGCGGTCGCCTCCATCTGGTGGTGCCCTACAGTTTGTGTGAATGATGGGTATAATAATATCAAGTAGACATGGGAATCTTGAAGGTACGCCTTCTTGCGCTTACGCCTCCTGGAGAGAACTGGCAGGGTACGCGAGCACTCTGAAAAGGGGAAAAGAACGGGCGAGGCTATATGTCACCACTGCTGCAGTTATATACTACCAATATGACACCCCGGACAAAATAAGTGACGGGTGATAGGGGGGTCTGCTTGGTTGATTGGGCCACGTTTGTCGCTCTAGGCTGACAGTCTCTTTGGGAGCCTCGCTCTAGGCTGACACTCTCCTTGGGAGCCTGCAGACGAGAGCCGACCTTTCACATTGGATACGTGGCTATTGGATCGCTTCGCTTTTCACCGTCTCATCTGACATACCTGCATCTGCTGCGAAGCCACACCTGCATATTAGAAACCAAGTAGCGATGGACGCGTAATTACCCTGCTTGTGGTGGAGATCCCTCGCTATAACACAAGCCCCCCATCGTATCCTGGTTGCGCGGAAGACACTGACCGTGCTATGCCAATCACCAAGCTGAAATATACTGGCGCCGGCGGACACACGTCTCTTGGAGGCCTGGGGCCAGCGGCGACAGCAAAAGAAAACTAGCACATATTCGGTTCTTATGGCGAAGCCTACTCGAAGAAGTGCGACGTAGTCGGGCTTTCGGGACACCAATGGGGGTTACCTGGGGTTGAGGGGGCGACGAGAGAGTGCTCCATGCCCCAGGAGTTTGGAACTTGCCCTATCGCATCGTGTCCTTGAGAGTACTAGTAAGACCCGACCCAAGTGGCGCCCTGTCGTGGTTACTTTTGACAGCAGACGAGGGCGCTCACAAGTGCACTTGTGAGAATATTACAACACGCTAGAGGCATTCGCGCCACACACGGAGACAACCCATGTACATCGTGCAGTAGGTAGCAATAGTTGCCTCGGCCTACGGGGCTCACGATGAGTGGCGTAGGTACCTACGTATTCGGCCAGACGAGACTCGGGAAAACATGTCACTGGCCCCCTGGGCGTGCTGGGGCTCTTTGCAGACCGCAGATCCTCCCTTCGATCTATGCACGAACGGGTTGGACCACAGATCCGGGTCTAGCGGCTGCGAAGGGGCTCACATACGTTGTGTATGTACGCAGTCAGGGTCCGGCGTGACATGACGATGATCATCCAGGTTGCCCTATTTCTCTCTCTCTCTACCCCTCTGTCTCGTCTATCCCTCTCTAGTCGACCTCCCTCCCTCGCTCCCAACTAATAGCGGGTAAGATATATCCGTGTGGAGGCGAGAGAGAGCGTGCCACACTCTGCTTTTCTCGCGTAGAGGCTGGCGTGTTGGAGCTAACGGGAAAGCATGCCCTCCCTCTCTTTACTCTTCTCGCCATCGATGCAACGCGACATTGCCAATAGTCGGGATGATCGACGGCCCTCTGCACCAACTTGGGTATTGACTATACCTCTAGGGGTCTTTAGAGTCGACGATTAGCGGCTCTTAGGATACGGGCGGAAATCAGGTCTCAAACGTCCCTTTTCTCGCCATTTCTTGAACGGGCGTCGTGATCCAGCCCCATGCCAGCGTGTTCGCCCCCCCTCTTCCTCCTTCTACTGGCCTTTAAATAAAGTCTCATAGCCATGGGCGTCGCGGGAGTAGGCCTCTTTGCTGGAGTTTGCCTCTTCTCTCCTCAAGCTGCCGAGAAGGATCGCCATCGAACACCATGGCGACGATGAGCTTGTACGATATGCCGCAGAGCCCGCCCAACTTCGATAGGGTGGGCGTCTTCTATATGTCCTTCTGTGCAACATGGACGGCCCTCGTCCTCGCAGGCATGGTGTTTCTGGTCGCCAACCGCCGCAATCCGATTCTCAAGATCCGCGGCCTGCCCCTGTCTCTCAGTGCCATCTTCATGCTTCACCTGTACTGGATCCTCGCCCAGATCACCTACCCCATCGGCATGACCCTCCCCATAGTACTCGCCTACGATATCCAGTACTTCTTCATGGGCATCTGGTTTCCCTTGGGCGTTGCCCTCTTCCACGCCTCCAACAGCCGCTTCCTCTACGTCGCCCAACTTCAGAAGCAGTACATCTCGTCCCCAACTTTGCGCAGGAAGAGGTCAGGCTGTAATGGCGGTGACACATCCTGGCTCTGTCGCTTTAGAAATCTCGATTACCCCACTAAGATTTTGGTATATATCGGCCTCGGCATGATACTCCAGGTAGGCGAACACACGGGAGCTCGTACGATGGGATTGACCGAGTCTGATTACGTGGTTAGGTCCTTCTCACCATCGGGATGTGGTTCGCGTGTCGCAAGTATCACCCGACGTTCGGGATCCCTGGCACAGAGCTCAAAGGCAGTACGATAGCCGAGCAGCTACTGGACATGAGTCAGGGATGGGAATGGTGGCCGTCTGCGCTGTGGCAGGTAATCTGGACGTGGATAGTACGCGCGCTTGAGCCTACACGTCAAGTCACAACCGGAAACTAGCGTTAACATGATATTACAGATCGCACCCATCATGATCTGGAAAGCCTGGGGGATCCGCGATACGCTGGGATGGCGCTTCCAGACCATCGGCTGCTGTCTATCCAAGTTCGTCACCCTCCCCGTACCAATGCGTACTAATACGCGAGACTGACAACTCGCACAGTCTCCATGCCACACCTATGTGGCTGCTCTCCATGTATTTACCTGCCTTTGGGCCGATGAACAAGTACTTCACGCCAAACCAATGGTAAGCGCACTGCGAATATTTCCGTGTAGGTATAGTCCTAAGAGGAACAGGCGTGCTAATAAGCTGCAACAGGATCCACCTATCGGTAATGATGTTCGAGGTCTTCACCATACTCGTGCCCTGCTTCCTGGTCGTGCGGCAGCAGAGCCTGCGCAAGAAGGCGGCGAACTCAAACGCTAAGTGGGGGACGACATCGCTGACGACGCTCCGGGACACCCACTCGTCCGGGTGTAAGTCGGCCTCGCTGGCTGAAAAGGGCCTCACCATAGACGTCCTGCTAAAAAAGGAGCTCGGCGACCACCTCTTCACCATGGGCGCCCTCGACTACGTCCTCACCGAGAACCCGGGACCGCTGCAGGAGTTCTCCGCCCTGCGCGATTTCTCGGGCGAGAACATCGCCTTTCTCACCAGCGTCTCCGGCTGGAAGACGCTGTCGCCGTGGCCCGCGGGCACCGACCAGGGCGCCAGCGCGGAAGCGGCAGCGGACCGCCTACGCGACGCCTTCACTCAGGCGCTCGTCATCTACACCAATTTCATCAGCCCGCGCGACGCCGAGTTCCCCATCAACCTGTCGTCGCGGGACCTCAAGCAGCTCGAGGCCGTGTTCGAGCGGCCGGCGCGGATACTGTGCGGCGAGGCGCGCGTCGACCCGGCGACGCCGTTCGACGGCGCGGAGACGCGGTCCGCCAGCGACGGGGACTGGATGGAGCTGGCCGAGGTGGCCGGGCGCATCCAGTACGCCGGCGAGATCCCCGACGGGTTCGATGCCGGCGTATTCGACGCCGCGCACGCCCACGTCAAGTACCTCGTGCTGACCAACACGTGGCCCAAGTTCGTCGCAGAGATGCAGCAGCAGCAGAGCCGCTTCTCGGAAGACAGCGAACGCAGCGGTGGCACTGGGAACTCGGGGTCAACGCTCGCAAGCCGCGTCTCCCAGTTCATACACTCTTTTATGTAACTAACTTCCCCCTTTCCCCTTTCTCCCTCCATCCGGGGTAGCTTGCGGCGATGGTGTTGTCCTTTATCGCGTATATACCCAGACTATTTCATCCCCACGGATCTTGGGAGGATTTCTTTTGTGTCCAAGTCGGGGTTGTAGTGAGTTGCCCCTGCGTAAAGGGCAGTACGCGTAGTAGCCCCTATTCGACTTATCATGTGGCTTGGGTGCTGTACCACAAGTCTTGTCTAATTACCTTACCTACCACGTTTATTGTCTCCTTCTCGGTTCTATTAGCACCACTCCTAACTCCTATCTCATGGCTTATTGGAATGCGGACTTGGCGTTGGCAAAAGGAACACAATGAGGGTGAAATCGGTGTGATGAGCACGCGCAGTCTTCGGTCTTGCCAGGTTAAGAAGAGGCAGGCCAAATGGCCAAGAATTGATAAAACTGCTTGTAAAACATTTATAAGCAACTCGCAATACTACATCAGCGACGTCTAGTGTCGAGGGCACTCCACACAAGCCGTAGAACTCAACGCAAGTCAGGTGTCGTCACCTCGGCCAAGATAGGCACTGAATCGGAGTCGAAGCCGACAACGATGTCCCCTGATGATCCCGAAAATTCCTGTCGTGCTACACGTGTCGACGACGCCACCGCCCAGTTGATCCACCCCCCCTCTCTCTGGGGGACCCAGCCATCCCAAGAAACATACGAGGTAATAACCCGGATTTATGTCGGCATCGGCGTCTAGGACGAAATTGGTTTGTTGAGCGCGTCCGGAGGCAAGTCCTTGCGCCAATACTGGTACACAGAGAGGGTTATGTTGGATGCGAGCGCTTTTCGAGGAACTGGTCCGACGCTAATATGGTAACTATTAGCTGTCGTATCCTCCATAGAAGTCTTAAGCCGCCTCTACGACTTACTGTTCGTTGAGCAGGCCAGGTTCGCCAGCGTGGCCTCCACTATGCCCTTAAAAGCGATGCTAGAGCTCGCGAAGTGTAAGTTAACTCTTAGTCCCATTACGTCTGATCTCCAGAATATCGCGAGCTATAAGTAGAGGTAGTAGTCGTAATAGTAGTAGTAGTAGTTGTAGTTGTAGTAGTTACTACTTCTGGTTTACCACGAGCCTCTTTACACTGCGATCGAACCGCACCGCTGTATTGACCGTATAACATCTCCGCTCCTCCTCCTCCCGCCCGTCATCGCACGACGTCCAGTTTCCCGACAGCCTCTCCGGCAGCTAGTTTCTGACACAGGGGAGCGTCCGCCGCAACTTAAACACGCCTTTGCGACCCCCACACTCCCATAGCCTCACCGACGGAGTCAGACTCCGGCATGATCATATAGTGGCTCAGGGGAGGTCCCTAGGACATTCCCCGTCGAGCATCCACACACTGGGGCCGTTGTACACCCTCTCGCCGCATCCAACTGCGATTCGGGTCGAGGACGCCAACGGCGTTAAAAGTCGCCCGACTGCCGATTCTAGTACTCGCTGTAGGTATGTAGGTGTATTGATGTAGGTATGTGTGTCGTCAATAGTAGACTCACACCCAGAAACGGTGCTGTTATTTTATTTATGCCTGGGAGCCTGTCATACTGTCACTGATAGAAAGTTAGAAATACGACAGCACGAATGAGGTCCGTCGTGATCCTTTTATGAGAGAAAACCTCGGCAAGAGAACCAAGCCCTGGTGCCCCCTTCTCCCTGCGGAAGCCATGATAGAAGTTTTCCATCCTTAAGGCACGACCGGTGAAGAGGAGCGGCGTGGGCACGCTGTAGGAGGCACGTATGATGGCTACCTAACTGCCAACAACTGGCCTAGTGCCGATTAGACGAGATCATAGCTGTAAATAGCTATAATTAGTTGATCGGCCAGTTGTAAAGGCAGCTTGGGAAAGGAAAAGAAACGACTAGAGGGTGATGGCAATTGAAGGCATATTGAGAGGAGTAAATTGCTGTAGGCTGTGACATCTATAGGTTAAAGATTGAATGATGAAAATCTGGGTGCGAGACCTATATGAAAGGCTGTCATGTACCAATTGAACCAGCCCTTATTATACCTATGCCTACATACCGAAAAGCGTAATGTAAGCGTCTACGTTTTCCGCGACAAAAGCACTTATCGAAAAGGCTACGTGGCTTAGTTCTACCGTACCACTACAGTAGTCGTAATTGAAGGTAGGTATAATCAAAGGTAGGTGTAAATCGAAGGTAGATATAAATCAAAGGGAGGTAGTCGTAAAGAGAGTACGTATCTTCTGATAAAGAGAGTATGTATTTATCGATAAAAAGAATACATATCTATCGATAAGGATGGTACGTACCTACAATGACTTAATTGAATATATCGTACATACCAACTACACCTCTTTCTACCTCGGGGTTTACCTATCAAAAGAATCGTTTTTTTCCCAGATGTAGCTATGCAACTCCGTACTCCGCCGGAGTTCCCTCGCGCAAAGGGTCTCTCTCTCTCTCTCTCTATTCCCGTCTTGGGACGCGGTGGCGCCTTATGATTGGGACAAGAAGGCGGCAATGCTGGACAAGGGTTAGATCTGATAAGGCACAGCACACCTGTGGATCCCCGCCACCCTATTGACTTGCCCTGTCAACTGCCCTATCGACTGCTAGGAGATAAGCCAATATTCACTGTAAAAACGGCTAATATTCACCTGAGTCCAGTTGATATACCTAGGTAGGCAAACAAGCCGTCAACTAGCAGCTACCTAGCTCCTTGTAGTTAATTACTTAATATCGCAAATCACGGGAAGCGAGCCAGCCAAAACGCACAAATACCTACCTGCTATTTGCTGCAGGCAGACCGCCATCTCAGACCGCCATCTTGATCAATTAGGTACCCTTTTCGGTAACGAAAACGAAGCCATCGCGATGTTCACGTCCCCAGTCCCCGAGGCTCCCGCCCGAGAGCAGCCCCAGAGAGGCACCGAGAAAGGCACCAACGACGGGCCCAGCCAGTCCGAGCTTCGTCAATCTGCCGCCGCCATTGCCGGCTCCGCCACGAGCCAAAACCGTTTCCCCAACGGGACGACCAACGCCAGCATCTACCATCCTCCCAATCCTCGTCGAACGACAGAAACACAACGAGAAGGCATCGTTGCAGCTAAGTGGCCGGGAGTGATACTGCCTAGCGACGCCGCCAACTTCCCAAAGTGCAGCAGCAAGAACAGAGTCACGATACCGCCACACCTACGTCTCGTACGGGCCGACCACAAGACTCTGGGGAAGCTAGACGAGATTCAGTGCCGGCTGCGGAATGCCTTGATTCCTTACGAGCTTTGGGCAGCCCGTGTAGCCACAGAGCTAGCCGGAGACTTCCAGCCGGTTGCGAACTGCGTACGCAACCGGACGCCCTCTTGGGTAACCTTCGTGGGAGCTATCATCCACGTCCTGGAGAAGCACGAAGCCCCTGACAAGCCACTGACGACGTTCGCGGCGCTGTTGCCAATCCAGGGCGAGACTCTCCTGAACTTCGTACGTCGTCTGCGCGAGGCCTTTTACCGGCTACCGCCTCGCGACCTTGAAGCAGAGATAGTGCGAGAGCTGCTTCAGGAGGGGCTTAGGACCTACACTCCTAGCGTGTGGCTGTTCCTGAGGCGCGACAACCAGTGGAATGCCGCTCAGATCGTCGAAGAAGCCGTGTGCGTCGCTCAGACGATTGAACGACAAGCGATTGAAAGGATGATCTTCAGCACGCCGGCAGTTGTTACGCAGTCACAGGGCGCGGCCGCTCCTTTCTACCATCTAGAGACCTCGCAGGCAACGCCTTCGAAGCCGGGCACATCTCAGGTCAGGCAGCCTAGCGCCAGAGGTGCTGTTCCCGTGAAGCTGAGCGCCGCGAAGGAGGAGGACGAGGACGAGGACGAGGACGAGGGCTACGCCATCTACGATACGGACGACGACGAGCCGACGAGGTCGTCGAAGCAATCGTGGACCTATTATTGAACGACGGCGACGACAGCGACGACGATGACGACGATCGTTTACACGTACAGGATGCTAAGCCGCCGAAGCCACGCTGGGAGAGATCAATGGCCCAGCGAGTGCGACGACTGCGAACGAGGCTTGAGCAGTTCGCTTGATCAGGTCGTTTGAGCAGGATGGGCAGCAATTGCAGCGAGCCGGCCAAAACGCACATACCTACGTATCTCGGGTTGCTAATATGGTGATCCTAGTGTTTGGCCCGGGCGAGAGGAAAGGGTTAGGGAGAACAAGTCAGCAAGTAATGGCTAACACCTGCTAGAAATCCGGCAGCATGGTGTTGCTCGCAATACCTACAATCGCTGATCTGTTTCTTTTTTTCGTTGGCTCACCCCCACAAGAAGCCTTGACCGACAGCTGTCCACAGAGTCTCATCCCTAGTCTCGATCTCCCCTCCCCACACATGTCGCGATGTACAGTCATAGGTAGTAGACAACTTCCTTTTTTTTAATAAAAAAATCGGTGCCGTTTTCTGTATTCTAGCTACTCCTATCGGGGTACGGAGATGACTTGCCCGTCGCCGGCTACGCTTCTGAACAGCAGGAATGCCATTGTGCCCCCCGGTGGTAAGCACAACCACACACGAAATCCGTGTATAAGGATATATATCTGCCCTAAGTAAAAACGCCAGTTCTGTATGCAATGCGTAGACAATCCATAGAGAATCCATTTTCTTCTTTTCAACGTCGTAAAACATGTCTTCGTCATTCGTCTTCCAAATCTTCCTCGGCAACCTACACACCGTTAACAAATCACCCACCAAATAGAGATGGGGGCGGGGAAATGGTTAACTTACATTATCATGAAAATCTCGCCCCTCCTTCGTGGCCACGATGATTCCCGCTCGGATGCAGAAATCACCAAACTTTTCGTCCTCTTCGCGCTCGAGCGCGTACCGCTTGAGTAGAGGCTTCATGATGGCCAGGATCTCGTCCTCCTTGATGCTGGAGCGGTACAGTTTGTTCAAGCGCTGGCCGTGGTACCCGCCGCCCAGATACATGTTGTAGGCGCCGAAAGCCTTGCCGACGAAGGCAACCTCTGCCAGCCACGGTCGGGCGCACCCGTTGGGGCACCCCGTCATACGCATCACGATCGACTCCTTCCCCAAGCCGTTCTCCTCGAGACAACCCTCAAGCTTGGTGATGAGCTCGGGGAGGTACCGCTCGCTCTCCGCCATCGCCAGACCGCAGGTCGGGAAAGCGACGCAAGCCGACGAGCTGAGGCGCAAGCCGGAGAATTGGATGTTGTCAAGCTTGTACTTCTTCATGAGCTCGTCCAGCCGCGGAACGTCCTCGTCGGCAACATTGCTCATGATCAGGTGCTGGTTTCCCGTCAACCGGAACTCGCCCTTGTGGATTTTGGCGATTTCCCGCAGACCGGTCTTCATCTGAAAGTCGGCCGTGTTCTCGATACGGCCGTTTTCGATGAAGAAGGTGAAGTGATTCATGCCAGTCTCATCCTTTTGCCAGCCGAAGGTGTCGATGTTGCTCTTGAAGTGGAATGGACGCTCCGGCTCGAAGGACTTGCCCCATAGAGCCTCCACTTTAGAGCGGAAGACATCGACACCGAGATCGTCGATGGTATACTTTAGGCGAGCGTGCTTCCGATTCTTGCGATCGCCGTTATCCCGTTGAACAAGCATAATCTTCTCGCACGCAATATGAACTTCGTCCAACGTGACGAAACCCATCATGCGACCGGTCTGAGGATACGTCTTCTTGTTGTTATGCGTCGCACCCATGCCTCCTCCCGCGAGGAGGTTGAAGCCGACCAGTTGTCCATCGTCGCCCTTTATCGCGATTAGGCCGATATCGTGAGCATAAACATCCGTGTCGTTGTGAGGCGGGACAGCTATCGTGATCTTGAATTTTCGAGGGAGATAGGTCGGTCCGTATAGAGGCTCGAAATCCTGCACGGCGTTACCGGCGACCTGCGTCTTCTCGTTGTTGTCGTCCGTGAGCCAAATTTCGTGGTAGGCGGTGGTGGACGGGAGAAGGTGGTCGCTAATCCTCTTAGAGGAAGCCCATACCTGGTCGTGGAACCGAGATTGAGCGGGAAGCGAACTGCACATGACATTTCTGTTAACATCACCGCAGGCCGCTATGGTAGTCAGGAGAGCTCGGTTGATAGCTTGCATAGCTGGCTTGAGCTTCCCCTTGATCACACCGTGGAACTGGAAGGTCTGCCGGGTAGTGAGCTTCATGGTTTCGTTGCCGAGGCTTGTGCTAATATCGTCCATCTGAATCCATTGTTTTGGTGTGGCGACACCGCCCGGCAACCTGCAGCGAATCATGAACGAGTACGCTGGCTCCAGACCCTGCGCCTTGCGCTCGTCGCGAACATCTCGGTCATCTTGCATGTATGTTCCGTGGAACTTCGTAAGCTGCGAGTCGGCCGCAGAGATAGCGCCAGTGGAAGTATCGTTTAGACCTTCGACGATGGTGCCTCGGAGGTAGTTTGACGCCAGCTTGATATCCTCGTTCGTGAGTGGCGGTGGCTCCTCCGGGAGACCCTCAACATTGGCAACACCAAGTGCCTGCCAGATCTTAGGCTCCCAGGCCGAGTACCCAGTCTGATACCCATCGGGGTCCTGGTCGTCCCCTAGCCCTATTTCTGACAGCTGCTTTCCGCCGAAATTCGCCAGTAGTCGGTCGAGATCCTTGGCGGGTTTGTTGTAGTAAACCCTATCCTCTTTCCGTGGCCAGTAGTGCTTGTCGCCGAGGCCGAAAACCGAGTAGTTGACAGACGCGAGGTCAAGGTCGGTGTTGTCCTTGACAGCGTCCCAGAAAGGTTTTCCGTTTTGGGGAAATTCTCCCTGGCCGGCGGTTGAGGTGATGAAAACGATATTCTCCTCCTTCGGGAGGTCTTCGACGGGGTAGTCTTCCATGGCCATCACAATCGTCTTGAGGCCTCTAGCACGACCTCTATTTCCGAGCCGCTTCGCTACCGACTGGGCATTGCCGTTGTCAGAAGCAAATAAGATTGTGAGAGGAGCGCCGAAGAGACCCTCCAAGAGTTGATCGTACGCGTCTCGAGCCTTCCGTTTCTGCTGGGCGCGCACCTCCGTCCCAAAATCTTGTGATAGATTCGCAGCAAACACCGGTTCTCGCCGCATTAGCTGGGTTAGTTTGTTGTCTCTTGCCAGGAATTCCTTGAGTTCGTTTTTGACCCGCTCGGAGTCTAAGGAGAAGTTCGGTTCCCCCTTGTTCTCGTTCTCGGGGTTCCACCGATAGAGCGGCCAGTAGCCGAGGTCTACAGCCTTCTTCGTCTCTTGTAGAACGGCAAGGGGAGAGTCGTGCTCGCTGAAGTAAGGTAGATATGCGAGCACAATGGAAGGGCCGTTGAATTGGTCGGCCTCGAGCATAGCCTGCAGGACCTGAGTGTACGAACTGTACACGGCGGTAGAAGCAACATAAGCGTTGCCAAAGCTCATGGCATATAAGCCTATATCCTTCTTTCGTCGGGCCGCGTCTGCAGCTGCTCGGTCAGAATATGGCGTCGAGTCGATGATGAGCAAGTTCACATTCTCCCCAGAGGCCAAGACGTGGTGCACGCCGGAATTTCCGAGATCGTATGACCACGCGTCAGATCCTACGAGCCACAACGATTCTTTTCTGAACAGGCCCTTGTTAGATAGGAGTTCCCGCGCAATCGAAGATCCATCAGTCTCGAGCCGTGAGATAACATCATCCGCAATCTCGCCAGCCTTTTTCGCGTCCTCGGCGCTCGCTGCCCACTTTGCAAGCCAGTTGACAGGGGGTTCGGTGATGAAGGATCCAGTGGCAGCAGCTTGCTTGACCCGCCCGATGAACCTTTGGCGGCTTTCTTTTCGTGCGAGGAGGGAACCAAATCCGAATTCGGGGCTCGCCGCTACCGTGGACGAAATACCAGCATTGTTGGAATCGAGCGCGTTCGCTATATAGACTCGGTTGCCGAACAGCTGATCAAGAATCTTCGTATATGCCGTCTCCAGCTTTGGCTGCTCCAAGCCGTAATTTTTGTCAATTTGCGGTCTGCTCGTCTTCCCGACCTCGAGATTTTGAACAGGCTTCTCGGATGCTAGGTTCTGAAAAATGCCCCTCAAAGCTTGGTGGATGGTGTCGGGAGCGATGTAGCCCAACTGATGGCCGACCACGATCTCCACGCCCCCAAGGCCGGTCTTCACTGTGGTCAGGACATCGATCAATAGAGGGCCCCATCTCGTCGTCTTGCGCGAAATCTGCTCCAGAACGGCGATGCGCTTCACAGATTTGGGGATGACGTCGAGAAGTTTAGATCCGAGCCACGGCCGATATAATCTCGCCGTAATCATGCCAGCCTTGGCGTATATATCGGTTGGCTTGGCCTCATCCAGCGCCTCACCAAACAGGCCTGCGTCGGAACCAAATATGAAGATTGCCTTTTCTGCCGTCGCCGGGCCGGACCATTCGAAAGCATGGTAACTGCGGCCAGTCGAGGCCCGGAGTTCGGCCCAGATGGCAAGAGCATATTTGTAGATATCTTCGGAGCTCACGAGAGATGGCGAGGTTTCAATCGTTGTCGCCGACGAGACGCTAGGTGGAGCGCTCGAATTGCTCCGCTGACTGGACTTATCTGAGCCCTCCGAGGAGGCTGCCTTCGAGGCCGCACTGAGAATAGCAGAGTCTGCCAAGCCGTTCGCAGCATGACTTGGGCGCCTTTCCGGTTGCTCTGAAGCGACAACGACTCTGCCGTCATCGGCATATATACCCGACTCTGATACTGAGCTAGCCTGGAATCGGCGGACGTCGTCGATATTGACCAACTCGCGAAATAATTCAGCCTCCTCGGCGACGATGGGCTTGTCGCGTGAGGACGAGGTCGGGTCGAAGAAGTGGATGACGCCCTTTCCGGACTGAATAGCTAGAGCATGCGCCGTGATGGCTATATCGTGGGCTTCCTGGAGCGACTCGGATTGTATAAAAGTCCATCCCGAGTTCCTGATCGCGGTTATGGCAGAGTAGTCGGGGAATGGGGCGGGAGTCAGGGAGACGTGGATGACGACTGGGTAATTTGCTAGTTTGTATAGGTGCGCTATAGATGGGAGAAGGACGGCGGAAGTGGCAGTCACGGAGGTCAAGCGGCCGTGTCGAATTGGGGAGAATACGGAGAGAAGGGGGTCGGTGTTGTGTCTGATCGTTTGTATCTGGCGCCGATGGGTCAGTTCCTGTGACAAGCCAGACATGACAGCTGACTCTAGGAGCAGCATACCTCAGGTATCCGGTCCTCACCCTTCGAGACCAAGCTAGGTCGTTTTGCGGCAGCATATCTTTTGAGGTGGGACGAGAAGGCCGAGTCTCGGGCGTGCGAGGGTTGGACGGAAACAACGACATCGCTGGCGAGGTATGCGATGTGCGCCACTGGAAGGACAGGATAATGTCAGCTTCAGGCCTCCGCTACTAGCTACAGGAACTATATATAGTAGTATATGAATAGATTCACGGCGAAAGCCGGTGGTGCGTGGTGGGCAGTCTCATGATAGAGTCGAGATGCTGATGTTGGCGGGGCACATGGGACGGGGGACACAGGAAGTCTAGACAAAGAAGAGCACAGCATGATATGTCGAATAACAGATGGTTATATGCACAGCAGAACATGTATAGAGGTAGACGATAAGAGACGCTGTCGTAGCTACTCACCTGCCTCCTCGGGCGTGCGAATCCGGGTGTGCTGTGCCGTCGCCATATTCGACTCCGACTTGGAGGGAGAGTCTGCCTTTCCGAAGAGGAACGACATGGTGAGGGTGGTGTCGACGATGGCCCCGACTACACATATAGTAAATCAGCCGCCGAGAAATAAAATTCTGCCGGACATGAGCAAGAGGGCGGGGCCAGAGACGGGGGCCAGAGACTGTCGAAGTGGGAAGTGGGAATGGATGCTAGGACGAGAGGATGGCGAGCCGTTCGAGGCAGCACTAACAAGGTCTAAAGGGGTAGCGAGAAGCTGTCGTCGCGATCTAAACCCCTCCCCCTCCGCTCTGCTGCTTCATCCCACCAGCGGCCAGCCAGTCCCCGACAGACCCCGAGTAGGGAGGTTTTTCGACGCCCCGCAAAATGGGAATTGGTCCGTCATCGACTACGATCACGCCATCGCTTTAGTCAGTGAGACCTTCACAAGCCCTGCGAAGCCGTTCTCCACCTCCACGGTCGGCTCGCCAATGGCGTCCGACCTTTTGTCAGACAACGCCACTGTTGGCCAACCACAGTGCCGGGCAGCCCCTTGCATCATCTGGATCCGGGAATCGGGGCGCGACGCCACACTTGGCCGTCCAATCACAGATGCGTGTGCAGCCGACCGAATTGGGCGGCCGAGAGCCGCTGAGCTGCCATCCTCAACCGGTACGATGACGAAGATGACTCTGGAGCTGTCAACATGCCGCATCTTGCAGAGCTCGTCCAACAATTGCGACATGCCGTGGTGCCCCAGCTCTCACGAGGCGCCGGGGCTATTACCTAGGTATCTTGAGACATGATGTTCAGGCACCTTGTCCGACGCTATTCGAGATGCGTCGTCGGCCGTGTCTAAGTACCCAGCTAACCGGCCAATGCCGCTTAACCTAATAGGTAGGTACATTTCAAACACCGATAGCCGGACCACGTGAGTGGCATCTGTTCGAGACGGTGTCAGTGAGCGAGTTACAGCATCAAAGCCGCCGGCCAACTTAATCTCTTAGACAAGAGAGCTACGCTTAAGCCACCTACTTAAACCCCGCCTTGGGCTAAGCCTCACTATCAGACCCCACGATGAGTCAGCGACATCAGGTTCCGGAGACCGGGGCGAGAGCCTCCCGGGAAGGAACTCTCCGCAGCAAACGCATGGAAGGAAGGAAGGCCCGCTCACCCATACAACGCACGTCATAGAGCTAGCAGGACCGTCACCGTAGGTAGGCCAGGTACTTACATCAACAGTATTGTACCGCGCGTGAGGCATGTACCTCTTGCAATGTGCCACTACCACACCACCTGTGCATCCACCCCGCCACCACCACCACCCAGTCAGTTGGAGGGGCACGAAGCTCGACAGCTTCAATTTCCCTCACACACCACCACCACACCACCACCGCAGGCACCGGGTAGTTAATCGCTACGCTGTGACATCCCAGATACAAGAGCCCCTCCGCGGCCGACATCGATCTACACCACGCAACCCCCCCCCCCCATCACATCCTCCAGCGGTAAGCGGCGGCAGCAACCCGGTAGATCGCGAGCCCTCGACCAATAGCTACGTGCCAACCCGCCTCGACGCCGTAGATCGGGTTTCATGAGCCTGGCTCCTATGCGCATCGCCGCCGCGAGGGTAACATCGACGTCGTCATCGCCAGCGTGGCCCCGATATCTCGCCGGACCGCGTGCTTTATTAAGAGGCCTCCCCGCCTCCGCGTTCGCCGTCTCTTTCCATCCTGCCACCTCCCAGCACCTCTGCTCAGCTTCACCACCAGCCCACCACCCCCGTAGCTATAGCACCTCCGTCCGTCTGCCATCGCCTCGTTACCCAACTTCCCTTGCCGTAACCGCCATCCCGTCCTCTTACTTCTCAACTACCACCGCGGCCATGGCATCCGCCAGCACGAGCCTGATCGAGTCGGCCAAGCGCGCGGCCTGCGTCCAGGCCGTGGCGGAGAACTTCGACGCGACCTTCCGGTACGTGGGGATCGGCAGCGGGAGCACGATCGCGTACGTGGTCGAGGCGATCGCGGGGCTAGGGCCGGGCGTGACGAGCGGGATGCGGTTCGTGCCGACGGGCGCGGGGTCGGCGGCGCTGGTGCGGGGCGCGGGGCTGACGGCGCTGTCGGTGCCGGAGCTGCTCGCGCTCGAGCCGGGCCCGGCGCCCAGCCCCGCCGCCGAGAACGTCCCCCACCGCCCCATCGACATCTACTTCGACGGCGCCGACGAGGTCGACCCCGAGCTCAACTGCATCAAGGGCGGCGGCGCGTGCCTGTTCCAGGAGAAGCTCGTCGCGCGGCTCGCGCGCCGCTTCGTCTGCGTCGCCGACTCGCGCAAGCGCGCCCCGCGCCTCCTCACCCACTGGGCTTACGTCCCCGTCGAGGTCGCCCCCGCCGCCGCCGAGTACGCCCGCCGCGAGCTCGCGCGCCTCGGCAGCGTCGACCCCACGATCCGCACCGTCCCTGCCGCCGCCGATGGCGCCGCCCCCGCGCCCCTCGTCACCGACAACCACAACTACATCGTCGACGCGCCCTTCCCCGCCCTGCTCCTCAACGCCGAGGCCGACCAGCTCGACCCCGCCCGCGGCCGCTGGACCCCCGACGCCCTGCTCGCCCGCATCCGCCAGGTCTTCGGCGTCCTCGAGGTCGGCATATTCGCCGGGCTCGACGGCCCCACTGCCGCAGCCCAAGGCCCTGACGCCGAGGGCGTGCGCCCCGTCAAGGCGTACTTTGGCCGACCGGATGGCGAGGTGGAGACGCTAGGGTGAGGGCAGAGCGAGGTTGGCTCGGTCCGCAAGACGATGAGGTGTAGTTGGTGTACGTAGGTACGGACTGCCGCAGTCGAGACGGTAGCGTCATTAACACGGCGGACGGCTCGCGAACCCTTGTTCCGGATAGACTCCCGGTCATAGTCTTCTTTATCGTGCTGGTTGTAATATGGGGGAGTGGCAAACGAAAGAAAAAAAGAGGAGACGGGAAGGAATCTACTCTCGCTCTAGTGGTATGCGATCGCATGGCATATGGAGGCTAGTACCGTGTGATAGAGGCTCGAGTCGCTTAGATATAACAACACTCAACATTTAAATTTCATGGCTGCGTCGCATCGTGCGGAGATGATAAATGTTTACCCCTACAATATTAGCTCCAGCTGGCCAGTGCCACATCTCGTACCCCCTACCACGTAGATGCTTCTGCGCTCGTTTGGCGTCGACGGCCGACACCGATAAGGAGGTAGGCGCGCGGAAAGATAACAGATATTACTTATACTAAACGTCGTACTTGCAATCGTCGGTTCCCCGGTTCTCTCGTGGCTTCGTCTCGTGAGATGACTCCCGTATAGTACAACATCTCTTGCTGGCCCATTCGCTATGCACAGAATCTGCTCTGCCCACTCCTCGCGTGTCGCCCCGCTGTGCGAGTGGCAGCAGCAGGGGCGGCGGCAGCATAGTTGCCACATACTCCCCATCCTTCCCATCCTCCCGTTTCGTTCTATTCTCCTCTCTCTCGTAAATGGGGTCGTGCCGTCTCGGCCACCTTCTCTGCTTCAGCACGAACATCCTTCCTGCTGAGAGGCAGGCGCATTGGTCTTGACATCGATCACTGTAGGGTTCTGTTAGCCTCGGCTGGTCCAATCTCTCCTTTCACCCCCGGCTGTGTTGTAGGGGAGGATGTATATGCATCTGAGGGTCGACATACTCTGTGACGATGCCTGTGCAGCGGCGTCGGCGCCCTCCATGCCGGGGAGAGCCTGCGCTATCCTCCGGAAAAGGCTCTTGACGTTGTGGCCAAGCTTCGCACTCGTCTCGACGAACATCAGGTTGTTCTTCTTAGCCTCCTCCTCGCCTTGCGCCGTGGTGACCTCCCGCTTGTCGTTGAGGTCCGTCTTGTTGCCCACCAGCACGATGATCACATCGTTACCGCGCTCTGCGCGCACGTCGTCGATCCACTTCTTGGTGTTCTGGAACGACTTCGCATCTGTCCTTCCGTGTTAGCCTCTCGCGGTCTGCCGATACCCACTGGGGTGGTGAGAGTATGTGGGGGTGATGAACCGTACTTGAGATATCGTAGACAACCACCGCGACACTTGAATCTCGAATGTATGACGGAATCAAACTCCTAAATCGTTCTTGACCAGCCGTATCCCAGAGCTGTAGTCGCACCGTTCGGTCTTCCAGGTACATCGTCTACGGCGCGTCGGTTAGCCGAGCTTCATCGCACCTCCGTCGTCCCATGCAGCCATGCCAACTTGCCTTGGAGAGGAAATCGATACCAATGGTAGCTTGGTACATGTTGTCGAAGGAATCGTACATGAAGCGCGTTATCAGGGACGTCTTTCCAACTGAGTGAGGGTGCAAAGTTAGCCGTTTTAGCCAAGCACTACGGACTGCAACCATCGCCGAAGCCATCGTCGCTCACGTATGGGCATGCGTCGTGTACAGGGCGACAGTGGGGCGGGGCACACTACATACCGCTTTGTTCGCCAAGGAAGACGAGCCTATCCGAAGTCAGCAGCAGAGTCTATTCGGGATGTTGCTGGGCGGCTTACTTGAATTTCTTCAGCGGGTTGTTGTATGACCCTCCTGCTCCTCCGGCCTGTGCCATTTTGTCGGGCTGAGGGGTTGCTTTCTAGGTACGTTTCTCGCTGCCGTTGGTCGTAGTAGCTGAGGATACTATTGAAGAAGGGTAGTCCCGTCGCGGGCTGACCGAAACTGGCGGAGGCGGTATGGACGAGGACGAGGCGGGAGCCGGGTTGGTTGGGATAGGACCAAGACGGAGGGTCGCAGGGAGATAGAAGAAGAGAGAAAGTATTAAGGCAAAATAGAAGGAAAATAAATAATAAGCTATCCGGGTTGTTGTATTTCCCCCCCGGCTTCTTTGGGCTTTGTCCCCGGTGGCAGAGAGGCAGGAAGAAGGGTGGATGGTATCGAGGTGCTACGGAGAGAGAGGGAGACAGAGTCGGAGAGAAAGGCAGAGTAAGTCGGTATGCACTGTAGAGTTGTTCTTTGCTACCTTACCGCAAAAAGGAGGCGGTCTCTGGAGGCAGGTACATTTAGCTGGGTAAGGTGGAATCGTCACAGGCGTTGACGACCCGATTCGACTGGCGACAGCAGATCAAGCCTGATGGGGATGACCGGATGCTTGGATGGACGGGGCTGCTCGACGGCTGCCAACGGCAATCGATAACGAAATGTACCTACGTGTAGGTATACCTACCATGTACCTAGAATGTTAGGCACTATAGGTACCTGCTACGTACTACCTAAGGTAGGTAGGTACCTAAGGTATAGTACCATCTCAAGTCTACCAGGGAGGCGACCAATCAAAATATCGCCGACCCGCCGACTTACCGACTCTCGACCGCCTGTCTGCAAGCTTCGGTGACCCCACAGCCTCCACCCAACCCAACCCCGTCCTGGCTTACCAAACCAAACGGCCAAACCCAACGTTGGAGGAGCTAAGGGAGCGAGATAAGCCGAACTAGTCTTATCAGATGCCCACCCGCGCGCCGATAACCGATAACCAACATTACCCAGCGAAAATTCTCAGATAGACGCATCCGCCTCCGTCCTCAGGTGCCGTTTTGGGCTGCGACCATCCCCATACCGACAAAGTCCACCATTCCGCACGTCAATATCGCCAAAGATGCCGGTCATCCAGCCCCTGAAGGGGTCAACCGCGGCCCCCGCGACATACAAGCAGCCCTCGAGGAAGGGGAAGAAGGCCTGGAGGAAGAACGTCGACGTTACCGAAGTCGAGAAGGGCCTCGACGAGTTGAACGAGGAGATCATCAAAGGGTGCGTGCGCTCATGCTTCCCTGCGCGCCCCTCGCTAGCTTTTTGACTGACCTGGCCGCTCCAGTGGTATTCTCGCTGATCGGCCTTCGGATGAGCTCTTCGTCATCGACACGGTCGGCGACTCTTCACTCCCGAAGCAGTTCCCAGAGCATACCTCGAAGCCCCTAAAAGCCGACGAGATCATTTCCGCACGCTCGGCCGTGCCAGCAGTCTCTCTACGGAAGCGTCCAGGAGATAAAACCTCGGACGGTGTTATCCCGGCGAAGCGACTACGAACAGGATACGTCACGCACAAGGAGCTCAATCGACTGCGCAAAGTTGCCGATGGCCACCACGAATCTACCGTCGAAGTCAGCGATGCGTCGTATGATGCATGGGGAGCCGTGGCCAAACCCGAGCCGGAGGTGTTAGTAGATACGAGGGACGAAAAGAAAAAGGCCCCTAAATCATTATCGCAGAAGCCGATATCACTGCTGGCGAGTGGCAAGATGCCCAAGGCTGTGCCAAAACCTACTGGCGGCTACAGTTACAACCCCGTGTTCACAGATTACGAGGCTCGGTACGTCGAAGCATCTAACAAGGCCGTCGAGGCCGAGCGACAACGTCTGGCGGCCGAAGAAGCGGAGCGCGTCAAGCAAGAAGCAGCGGCTAGATCGGCGGCCGAAGCGGAAGCCGCAGAAGCGCGGGCGGACCTGTCCGAGTGGGAAGACGACTCGGAATGGGAGGGCTTCCAGAGCGGCGGCGAGGAGCTCAAGGCCAGCACGAAGCGGCCCGAGCGCAAGACCAAGGCGCAGCGGAATAGAATCCAGCGACGGAAAGAAGAGGAGCGGCGAGCGAAACACGAAGCCAAAACCAAGGTGCGCAAGGCTCAGCTCGAGCAGATCAGGCGAATCGCCAAGGAGATATCGGAACGCGAACGAGAGCGAACGCTCGCGGTAGCCAAGGCCGAAGACAGCGAGGGCAGCACCGACGACAATGAGGAGGTGCTCCGACGACGCCAGCTGGGGAAATTTAAGCTCCCAGAGAAGGACCTGGAACTGGTCCTGCCGGACGAGCTGCAGGACTCGCTGCGTCTCCTCAAGCCCGAGGGAAACCTGCTGAAAGATCGGTACCGGAGCTTGTTGCTGCGAGGCAGGATGGAAGTCAGGGGCAGGATACCGTTCAAGAAGCAGGCCAAGACTAAGCTCACGGAGAAGTGGACCTACAAGGACTTTGACATATAGCGTCCAGGGTACATGTAGGTAATCCCTACCAGAGTAGAACGAACACCGAAGACGGCAAGAAGAAAATATCTCATGTGGATAACGGGCACACGTCGCACGGCCATTGTGCCACCCACAGCTGTGTGTCAACTCGGCTGCGTCGGAAACCCCGCCATGCCGATTTTTTTCCTGCTCGGGTCAGCCAACGCCAGGATAGGGGGGGAAGGGGTTCTTGAAGATCCTTGGGTATTTCAACGCCGCGTCCTGTCCAAGTTGACCTGTCCGACCTGGGCAACTTGATTTTTCCTCCCAGAGAAAAAAGAAAGAACATGAAGATTGATACCGAATCCATTCAAGTCGATCCCGTCAACGCCCACCTGGTGATATTTCTCTGCTCCTTTTTCCTGTAGCGACGCTGGGTGCGGGTTGCGGGGCTGACCTGGAACTCGGAGCGCGCACGCCAAGCGACACCGGCGATCGGGGTTCCGTGCTTGCGGGTATGACGCCATGGGCGATAGATTAGCACAGGGGAGAAAATGCCCGCCGATAAGGTGGCCTGGCCTGACCTAAGGGCAGCTCGTCCAAGGGGAAGCGCCGGAAACGCCCAACCACGCCAACCGAGTACGGCGATACATCGGTACATGGCCGCACACGCCGCCCACGCCGCCCACGCCTCCTTATTGCCTACGTCCAACTCCCACTCCAGCCCATATCGCTATGTCGTCGTAGTCGGTCGGGTCCATCGACCCATCTCTCCTTTCCCACCTCACATCGCTCCTCTCCCAGCCCGGCACTTTATTTCTCTTCATCCTCGCCCGCCCTTCTTCCACCTCGACCTGCCCGCCGACCTTCGCTTGTTTACCTCCCCTCTTTTACAGCCAATTGGGAGCACGAGGGAGAGACAGTCCCCTACGTACATCACCGCTTCATCTGCTTTGCTCAGCTACCTAATGCATACCGTCCCCTCGTTCGCTATGTGACCTCCCCCTTTCTTATGCTTGATGTATGCGTAGTCCTTCCTTTGTGATACCCTCCTCCTCCCTCTCCCCTTTCTCATCTTCGGAACTGGGCTTGAACGCAGCCGAATAATCATCATACCGTACCATGTCGTCGCAGCTGCGCGCCGCCGCCGCTATGGGCCGTCGCGTTGGCCCCCGGGGACTTCTTCCTAGCTGCAACCTCTTATCATCCTCGTACCCGGTCCTAAGACAGAGCCATGTCCGCGTCCACGCTCGCCGATCTGGCACCACCTCTCGACCGAATACCCTCGCCAGGGGAGCTGTGCCACCGCTCTTCCCGTCGAGACTCCTCGCCCGCGCGCTGTCAGGGAGACCGCTCCCGCAGGGACGATCGGCTGTCCTCAACTTCTTATACCGCACCGCCGCTGTGGTCGGCACGGGGTTCGGGTTCATGGGCGCGCTGCTAGCCGCCTTCTTCATATACGACTCGACGACGTACGAGGAGTCGTCGTCGACTCTCGGCGACTGCCACGTCTCCGAGGCAGCCCTCAACCCGCGCCGCGGCGGGCCCAAGAACCTCCCCATCGTAGAGGCCCTGCTTGACGACGACGAGACGGAGGAGTCCAGGCAGAGGAAGACTAAGCCACACCTCGTCATCCTGGGTGGCGGCTGGGGGAGCGTCGCCCTGCTGAAGCAGCTCAAGCCCGGAGACTATCACGTGACCGTGATCAGTCCCAATAATTACTTCCTATTCACGCCGATGCTCCCCTCCGCGACGGTCGGGACCCTGGAGATGCGCAGTCTGGTCGAGCCCATCCGCAGGATCCTGTCGAGGGTTGGCGGGTCCTTCCTCCGGGCGTCGGCCGAGGACGTGGATTTCTCGCATAAGCTGGTGGAGGTGTCGCAGACGGACGCGAGGGGCGAGGAGGTACGGTTCTACGTGCCGTACGACAAGCTGGTTATCGCGGTCGGGTCGGTGACGAACCCGTACGGGGTCAAGGGCCTCGAGAACTGCTTCCTGCTCAAGGACATCAACGACGCCCGCATGATCCGGAACCGGGTGATGAGAAACCTCGAGCTCGCCTGCCTCCCGACGACGCCCGACGACGAGCGGCGCCGCCTCCTCTCCTTCGTCGTCAGCGGCGGCGGCCCCACCGGCGTCGAGTTCGCCGCCGAGCTCTTCGACCTGCTCAATGAGGACCTGTCAAAGCGCTTCCCGCGCCTGCTGCGCAACGAGATCTCGGTGCACCTGATCCAGAGCCGCGGCCACATCCTCAACACGTACGACGAGACGCTGTCGCGGTACGCCGAGGAGCGGTTCGCGCGCGACCAGGTCGACGTGCTGGTCAACTCGCGCGTCAAGGAGGTGCACCCGGACCGCATCGTCTTCACCCAGCGGGCCGACGACGGCACCATCGTCACCAAGGAGCTGCCCATGGGCTTCTGCCTCTGGTCGACGGGCGTGTCGCAGAGCGAGCTGTGCCGGCGCATCGCGGCGAAGCTCGGCCCGGCGGCGCAGAACAACCGCCACGCGCTCGAGACGGACGCGCACCTGCGGCTCAGCGGCACGCCGATGGGCGACGTGTACGCGATCGGGGACTGCGCGACGGTGCAGAACAACGTGGCGGACAGCGTGGTGGCGTTTCTGCGGGGGCGGGCGTTCCGGCTGGGGCGGGACCCGGAGGCGGTGGAGCTGGGGTTCGGGGAGTGGCGGGCGGTGGCGGCGGAGGCGCGGCGGCGGTTCCCGCAGGCGGGGGCGCACCTGCGGCGGCTGGACCGGCTGTTCGCGCAGTTCGACCGGGACCGGTCGGGGACGCTGGACCTGGGCGAGCTGCGCGAGCTGCTGCGGCAGATCGACAGCCAGCTGACGTCGCTGCCGGCGACGGCGCAGCGCGCGAACCAGCAGGGCGTGTACCTGGCGCGCAAGCTCAACCGCCTGGCGCGCGCCGCCCCCGGGCTCGCCGCCAACGACGTCCGCGACGGCGACCTCGACGACGCCTGCCACCCCGCCTTCGCCTACCGCCACCTCGGCAGCCTCGCCTACGTCGGCAACTCGGCCGTCTTCGACCTCGGCGGCGGCTGGCGCGCCGCCGGCGGCCTCTGGGCCGTCTACGCCTGGCGCAGCGTCTACTTCGCCCAGAGCGTCGGCGTGCGCACCCGCATGCTCATGGCCATGGACTGGGCGAAGCGGGGCTTGTTCGGCCGAGGTGAGCTTTTTTTTTCTTTTCTCTTCTCTTTTCTGCCCTACCCGCGCGGACACATCCCGCGCATAGCCCCGCTAACGTGTTGCGCAGATCTCATGAGTTTCTAATCTCGCTCCCCTTCGGGCCTGCCTACCCGGCCGGAGCGCGCAGCTGATACCGACGGGCGGGGCGTTCGCAGAAAAGCCAGCGAGCTGGCGATTGGCGACATGCCGCTCTCTTGGCTTGCACGGCACGAGCTGAGGTAGGATCACGCAGTAGAAGCCGCGAGCGCCGGCGACGGCGGCCCCGCCCCGCCGGTTCGGCGGTGTAGGCGAGTATGTCTGTTGGCCTGTCGATCCCCTTACGCGTAAGCTTGTCGTTTGCATATCGTGCTATTAATGGGTAAGGGAACGGGTACGGGCGGGGAGGGAGGTGTTTGGTCTGGACTGCGGAGGGGGCGCGTAGCATAATTTGGCGATTAATACCCGAGTCTATTAGCACGTTATATTTCCATCGTCTGCATACACGCGCCCGGATTGTGCTTTATATGTTGTAATTCGTCCGTCATATACCTACGCAGTACGTATCAAAAGGCTCACTTTATCCCTGCCCTACTCTCGTTCGCCCCTTGAGCCCGTATTTATATCTCGCGCTCGTCATCGGTAAATCGTCGTGTATGCTAACCAGAGTACTCCATATATTTCTATATAGTGAAGAGGATCAGCATGGGCCTGTAGGGGAGACGGATAAAGAACACAGCCACAGCTGCCCACAACTGGCCGAGGTGCCGATGACCAGGAATAGACAGCTGCAACGGCATGTACGATAGCTATACACATAATCGACCAGCTGTACATGGCAGCCGGGCCAAATGAGAACAGAGACTCTAACGAAGACATGGGCATCATACGAATGCACGGCAGCGAGGATGGCGACAAAGGAGTGAATGGACCATCTGCTCTATACGGCGGTGATAGGCGAGCAATAAAGAATGAAACATGGATGGTGAACAGGGCGAGGGAGAAGGAGGAGAGTGAGCGGCACGGCATCGTTCCGGTGCCGCACAAAACACAGACGGAGAGATTCTCGACGAGGATTATATGTCTACTCTCAGAGGAGAGAAGGGGGGAGGAAATGGCTTTCGTGTACGCAGAGACGACCAGGCGGGAGGCCGAGGGCGGTTTATCGGGCCCACGCGAGGTCAGGAGGGGAGGTGGAGGCGAGACACGTTCACAGCGAGCTGAGAGAGTTCCCGAGGAACCACTATGAGATATGCCCAACTAACCCGACAATCGCCGTCCGGAACGCCAACGAAAGGCTACATACGCTAGGCAACCAGGCAAGTAGGTCCTAAACAAGCCGCTTCGCCCCATTCCGTGCCGTTTCCCCCCCTGACGAGTCCTCGCAGACGAGACACTTAACCGAAGAAGGATAATAGCAGGTGTGGATGAATAATAAAGAAAATGCCAGCCGATCGCATAGGTAGGGACCTCCCGCTCCCCTCTACCCCACCACCTCGGTGCCGGCGAGCATGTCCCAGGTGGGGATGCTGGCGGGGGCGAAGGCGGCCCAGCCGGTGGAGCGGCGCTGGGCGCGCTTGGCGCCGGCGTACCACATGGCGCGGTCGCGGGCGGCGGGCCAGCCGGCGGCGGCGCCGATGGAGCGGCCGAGCGCGCGGCCGTCCGCCAGCGCCGCGCCCAGCGCCGCCGCCGTCCACGCCACGCAGCTCCGCCCGGGGTCGCCCGCGTCGTCGCCCACCGCCGCCGGCGCCGGCACCGGCACCCCCGCCAGCACCTCCCGCAGCCGCTCCCCGCTGCGCACCTTGCCCACCAGCACCCGCACCATCAGCGACCCCGGCCCCAGCGTCCACGTGATCGGCACCTCCTCGTACTTCAGCTCCCACCGCAGAGTATTCCCCGGCGCCGGAGCCGCGTCCGGATTGGCAGCCTGCGAGGCGGACGCGCCCGACGGCGTCAGCGTGGTCTCGTCGCCGCCCTCGTCGGCCGCCGGGCTCAGGAGTAGGCTCTCGCGCACGTGGATGCGCAGGCCGAGGCTGTCGTCGTTGACGAGCTTGGGCCCGATGTTGAAGGCCCAGTGGTATCTGCGGTGCGGAGCGGGAGTGAGCGCGGCACACCTCGGACGGGCGGAGCACACCCGTCTGCGTGCCCGGGTGGGCCAGGAGATGGGGGGGACCGGGGGGGGGGAACTTACGCGTCCTCGCCGCCCGGCAGACGCGGGCTAACATCTCGCGAGTATAGGGCGAGGTAGAGGCGATCCTTGTTGCGAGTCATGACGGCTCGGTGCTGGTTTTCGTGCCGAAGTCGCGGGGATCTGGCCTCGTAGAGTTTGCCGACCTCGGACGTGTGATAGAGTCGAAGGTTCCTTGAAAAAAAAGATTCTGGTAGCGAAATTGAGGGATACGATTTAGGACGATGGTGAAGGAGAAGAGAGGCTGGGAGAGGCGGGGGGGAGAAGAAGAGAATAGCTTTATAGATACGGAGCGCAGCAGGCAGGTGAGGCACTCGAGGCCTCCCGAGGACGAGGAGGGACACCTGCACCGAGTTCCTCGACAGACGGCGGAAGCTTCCAGTAGACATTACAATGTCGAGAGGTGCGACGCTGAGGCGAGATCCTGCCTGCGAGGCATCATTCAAGGGGCACCCGCGTGTTGTCGAAAGGAGCCGCAAGGAGTGCCTGCTTCATTCGTGCTTCCTTGTCAGGGACTTAACACTATGAATAGCAGCCTTATATGTCTTTATCCCCATGGTACTTGCAATTCGCAGAGGCACCTCGAGGCACCAACGCTGTATACATTTCACAGCGTAATTCCTGATGCCAAGGATGAATAGAAGAATTGTTGCCTCCCTATTCGGCATCCTCCGGCCCTCTCCGCGGGTTTTATGGGGCCCGTCGTCGATAAGACCGGCCATATGTTGCGTCTGCGCTCCGGCGCCGCTACACGATGGACAGCGTGGATGCGGAGAAACAGACCAAGGCAGAATCATTTATTCATTTATTTTCTCGACCTCTACTCGCAGCGCCTTTTTTTCTCGAGAAATATGCCTACATGTAGATTGCTTTCGCCGTGGTTCAGGTGCATATATAGGCAATCGACGGCATAGGCCAAGCTCATCAACACCAGAGGAGACTCGGACAACTTTTAGTATTCCCACCATCATCGCCGCACGCCGTCCCGGAACCGCGCCGGCGCTCACACGTTGAGCTCGGCGGTGGCGGCGCGGTCGATGGCGGCCTGGTAGGGCCGGAGCTTGGCGGCGAGGACGCCGGCGGGGCCGCAGAAGCGGTCGACGATGGCGGCGCTGCGGCCGACGTAGAGCTCGGGGCGCAGCATGTCGTCGATGTCGGCGCGCACGGGGGCGAAGAAGGGCGCCGCCTTCATGCGCGCGACCAGGTCGTTGGCGCCGCCCTCGTCCTTGACCACGGCGCCGGCCTGGTGCGACAGCACGCGGATCTGCTCGTGCGCCTCCTGCCGCGACTCGCCCCGCGCCACGAGCCGCGCGATCACCGTCTCCGTGATCATGAACGGCAGCTCCTCCTGCACCCGCGCCGCCACCCGCCGCGGGTACACCACCAGCCCGCTCGTCACGTTGTCGAGCCCGAGCAGGATCGCGTCCGCCAGCAGGAACGTCTCCGGGATGTCGATCCGGCGGATCGCGCTGTCGTCCAGCGTCCGCTCCTGCCACTGGTCCGCGAGCGTGGCCGCGAAGCTCGCCGGCTTCGACATCAGCTCCCGCGCGAGGCTGTAGACGCGCTCGGAGCGCATCGGGTTCCGCTTGTACGCCATCGCCGACGACCCGATCTGGTCCTTCTCGAACGGCTCCTCGATCTCCTTCCACGCCGCGAGGTGGCGGATGTCGCCGCAGATCTTCTGCGCTGTCGGGCCGAGCCCCGCGATGGCGTTGGCGACGATCAGGTCCACCTTACGCGTGTACGTCTGGGTCGAGACGTCGTAGCAGGCCGGGAAGCCAGTCTTCTTGCAGAGCAGCGCGTTCAGCTCGTCGCACTTGGCGTCGTCGCCGCCGAAGATCTCCAGGAACGACGCCTGCGTTCCGGTAGTGCCCTGAGCACCTGTTCAATAAGGGGTCAGTATCGGCAACTGGAGGCAGGTATGTGTATGTGTTGAAAGCACGGCTTATTGGCAAATCTTGGTCTGCAAAAAGAAAAAGAAAAAGAAGAAAATCCATTCGAGAAGATCTCCAACAAGAGACGAAAAGGGATAACATGAATAAATTTGAGTTTCGCAGTACCTCGGAATTTGAGACCGTTTCGGACGTGCTCGAAGCTCTCGAGGTCGAACAGGAGGTCCTGGGCCCACTGCGCCGCCCGTTTGCCTACGGTAATCAACTGCGCTATCGAGGAATCAGAGTCAGCAGGCATTGCGCCTCTAGGCGTGAAACCGTTCTGGGGTAGGAACCTGGTTGGAGGTGGGTGTAAGCCAGCGTCGGCGTGTCCTTCCACTGGAGGGCAAATTTAGCTAAGTTGGATATGACCTTAGCGAGCTTCGGGAGCAGGAGGTCGATCGCGTCTCTCATGAGGATGAGTTCGGCGTTGTCAGTGACGTAGCAGCTCGTGGCCTAGGAGAAGAGGGCCGGGTTAGGCACGGTGAGCTCTCTCGGGGAGAGGCGCAACAACTAGGTACTCACTCCCAGGTGAATGATGCCGGCGGCGGCCGGGGCCACGGCGCCGAAGGCATGGACGTGGGCCATGACGTCGTGGCGACGCCGCTTCTCCTCGACGCGGGCGATCTCGAAGTCGGCGTCGGTGACCTCGAGGTGGGCGGCCATCTGCTCCAGGGCTTCGGCGGTGATGGTCTCGATGCCGAGCTCGCGCTCGCTCTCGGCCAGGGCCAGCCACAGCTTGCGCCACGTCGAGTGACGCGAGCGCTGGCTGAAGAGCCGAGCCATCTCGGGGCTGCAGTACCGGCCCGTCAGGGAGGTCTGGTAGGTGTCGAAGACCGAGGGGCCGGGCTTTGTCGCCTTCAGCTGCTCGAGCTGCGCCTGCAGATCTCGGATCTGAGTGTTGACGTCTGCCTCGCTGCCGGCCATCTCGACTAGGCTTCTGTACGGTTCTAGATGTGAGCTTCTGATTGTTGGTGAGTGGTCAGCAGACTGAGACTGGGTATCCATTTCTAAAATAAAATTAGACCAAATAAAAAAAACATAGGTCTACCCTTCTAGTGCTGATATGTCGAATACCAGTGGGTGAAGCCAACGGGGAATACCTGTAATACCCCCCTACTTATAAGGTCTGGCAATTGGGCGCAGGGATTGGTCCGGGGGGCGGACGATTCCTTGCTGCGGCACACGGATGATGATGATAAGATAGGATCAGAATTTTATCGTGATTGTGGATTCGCGGGGTCGTTCGACGGAGATGCGGGACGGGACCGGCCGGCCGGAAGGACAAGTACTACAAGTACTGCTACCTGTAGTAGAGCAAGGTGTTGCTCTAGCCTCTAAGTGAGGCGAGGTTCAGGCTAACAGCTCCTAGCGGACGCAGTACCTACATCAACCCGGTATTAATACTTGACGTCGTTAATTTAGGTACCTAACCTAGGGCATTCCACGCCCCCCCCCCCGCTATTAAGCCCCTTATGCTCCTCGCGGGGCTGCCGGTTGCTCACACCCGTAAACGAGACTTACCTCGCTCGACAGCACCCTTTCCATGCTCTGTGGAATTAGGCGACAACGGAGACATGCCGGCAGACACATGGCAGGCCAATATAGTAGCAGGCGCACAGGTCGTAATTTAACTGGCATACCGAATCAGCTGCGGCGCCGACTCTCCCAACGGGGTCGACCGAGTTCGGCCAGGTAACTAGATGTGACCAATACCAAGCCGCCGCGGCCTGGGCACCGCGATTCCTCGCGTACTCATTCCGTCTACAGCTACGCATCGAAATCGACAAGCCGCTAGACACTTTTCGCCACTTCTACTGACCTCCGTCCCGAGGCGTGACGCTTCAGCATGCAGAGCCTATAGAACCGACCGATGCCGAGAGTGTCGGCCGTAGCAGCTTGGGGGCGACGTCGCCTAGGCAAAGAAATGATAACGTCTCGCGACCGGTCCGGATATCTCCTTGCCACCGCATCGGACTCTTGGGGGACGGTATCAGGACGAGTCTGATTCAGGAGTATCCGTCGAAATTATACTTAAATCCCCGCAATGCGTAACGATAATCCGTGCTATCCCCCTATTCTTGGTGAAATTCCTGCTTAAAGTCACGCTCCACCTTGATTCCGGTGTGTCCGACGGGTTCCATCTCAGCCTCTACCAGACCTCTCGTGACCGTCACCTTCGAGACAGGGCAATGGTTGGTGGAAGCGCTGTTGTTCAGGCGTGTCCAGTCGCGGTACGGCGAGCGCGGGCGCACGCCCATATCTCGACTGCGGGTTCGCGAGCTCTTCACTGTCGAACGTATCCGGTCTACCCCGTGGGCGAGAGACCTATATACGAGGGGCAAGTTCGCGCACAGGATGCCGCCGCAGGGCTCCCATGCGGATAGTATCCCCAGAGGAACCTCCGACCCTGAATGCGGATCGTCATTAGTCGGTGCATAGAGAGGGGTGGGTAGCAGATGCGAAGGCCCATACATGTGATATCTTCGGATCCTACCGAGACGATGACGGACAAGCGAGCCGCGCTGATAGCGCAAGTCCCAAGACCGATGGAGAAGAGAAAGCAGAGGCCGATCTTCTTATCCATGCTGGCCTGCAACCCGAGGATAATCGGTATAGGCATGACAAAGATCCATAAATCTGTGATCAGGTTTATAGCGTTGGTGGAATACGTAAAGGCCACCTTGTCCACGCATGTGCCCGTAGCAGCCGCCGCCGCATCCCACCACGCCTGAATAGGACGGCATCCCAGGCCCAGCACGATCTCCATCGCTATCAGCCACACAACCACGAAAGCGGCGGTGACCATGACGACGACGCGGAACCTTGTGGCTGAGACGATGCGGTAATACAGCGCGAGGATCGAGAGTTTAGTGCTGGCGATAGCAACATCGTAGAAGTGGCTGAAGATGTAGTCGCCCTACCAACCATGAGGCCGCGCTCCCGAGACGTTATAGGAGAACTTGGCGGCTTACCATCAGGAATGCCTGCCGCTGCTCCCTCGAAACAGCTTGGATGTGACGCCCGAGGCCATTAGGCGGCCCTTGGAGGATAGAGATTAGGAATGCTGTCCACAGGGGGGGGGGGGGGGGGGGGGGGGGTTGAATGTAAAATACCGTAGACCAAGCCGGCTATGCACTCGGCGACGGCAGACATCTGAGCAGCAAGGGATGAGTGTCCTGAGCTTCTTCGCAGGGAGGGCGCCGGGCGAACCTACGGTGGCCCAAATGATGAGATAGTCGTCGAAGGCGAAATGGGCTTGTGACGGAGGCCTCGCCTTGGTCCATAGCCTGAAGGCGGTGCTGCCGATCTCGAGAGGGATGGGGATCGAGTAGAAGGCATTCACAAGTGCCGTCCTCGACTCGGCAAGATACTGGGGGCTGTAGGTGGCCGTCGCCATGGAGATCAGAGTCAACCCGGGGACGGGCTCTTGCTCACATCGACTGCGAATTTCCGAGCGTGAGTTACTGATAGGGGCGAATAAGTTTGCGGGGTGGGAAGAAGAGGGGGAAAGGGGGGGAGAAGAGTCGGCCAAGCCGGAGTATACTCCTCTACACCCGTATTCGAGATGTTATGGAAATGCTTGTTCAGCAATTCTCCCGCTGCCACACATGCCAACGAGCATCGGTCGAATATGTTCCCCGCTCATTCGTCTTTTTTCTTCTTTCGTTATTTAATACGACACAGCGCCCGAGCATCTTATTATCATCAGCTCCGCGACAAGAGGCTGATGGTGTGTAGCAAACGGGAGGGCAGATAGTAACACGGGTCGATACCTAGTGGTGCTCTGCAGGATTGACCGATGCTCGTAGGCATGTGTGTGTACCAAGCCTAGCGAGCCGGCCGGGGGAGAGGAGCTGACGCGCCAGGCTAGCAACAATGCATGATGGACGTGCTACGGTGACCTCGCTGCCAAGCTGTGTGAACTGCCTCTTGGAGGAAGTCGGCCAACAGCCACTTCGGCGAGGTCTAGGACGGGTCGATCACGCAACTAGGGTAGGATTGGGCTGGCCTCGCTCGCTGGGCAACCAACGTTGCGGGCGTCACACACGTGGCTCCCATGCAGCGGGCTATCGAGGCCATTTCGACGGGTGAGCGGGATATGTGGGCAAGCTGGCGGAAGCGAGGTGAATCTGTATGCAGCCTCGTCGAGCCACCATTGGCGCGTCGACACGGCGGGGGGACCAGCGAGGTGCGCGATGCTCTCGAGACCCGGCCGGGTCCATATGCCTATAGGTAGCTCTAGGTATGTGCATATAGCCCCGCACGTATTCGCGTGTGCATATGCGTGGGTATATGCGTGGGTGTGCGTGTGCGTGTGTATGTGTATGTGTGTGTGTGTGCCGCTGCCGGTGTATACGGATGTAGAAAGTAAGACGACGACGACGACGACGACGACGACGACCCCAGCTACGCGGTGAAGCTAAGAGGAAGAGGGAGGGCAGAGACGGAATAGCAGGGTGGTAGGGTGTATTGGGGTGCAGTTGGTAACGACGGGAGATGCTGCGAACAGCCGCCAGGTCGGGCAGCATCTCGTCTAATCGCTCCCTTTTCATAGGGTGGGATGTGGGATAAGACGCTAGGACCAAAGAAACGCCGGGGCTAATCCCGGGGCGGCTTAGCGCCGTCATCTACCGAGCTCCCGCCTTCTCTCTCGGTACCTGAGGTAGGTACCTCCCAAGGTACCGGGTTGATAACGTCGGTTACGGTTACATCGATTACTACAACACAAGGGACGGACGGAAAACCATTGTGCCGTTTCTTACCGCATTACCTTGGGTACCTACCTGAGATGTTCCTCTGCGCTGATCTGATATACCAGGCAGGGTATGTCCATATCTCGACGTGCACGAGATAGGGAACCCATCTTCCCCTTACCATAGAACGAACAATGAAATAAGAAGAGCGAAGAGGAAAGGGGGGGAGGGGAAAAAATGAAGAAAACAGGAAAGGAAAGAAGAAAAAGAGGAATACGAGAAAGAAGCAAGACATCGGGGTGAGCAGCACACCAAGTCGAGTACAGAAGACTGCACCATCCCGGCGCCAAACAAGCAAGCAAACGGCTGACAGCGGAAAGCCGCATCACACCCGGATCCCTCGTCACCCTTCCTCCAGCTGTCCATCTCGCCTCGGCAGATAACAAAAGGATGTCGATCGCAGGATGGACACCGGGTCTGCATCCTACTCGAACCAGAACACCTACGTGCCCGGATAATATCGATGCATGACGCACCCAGGACAAGCTTTCTGCATGTCCGAGCGTCGGCAGCGGAATCTTGGTTGTTATCGTACCAGTAACAGGCACCTCTACTCATAGTGTCCATTATATTATCACGTAGAAAGCCATAGGATAGGTATGTATGTACCTACAGATATAGACGCAGATACATATAGGACTACAACTCCCAACGGGAGGGGGGGGCGTGGGGGGACGTTGCGTTTTCCGGTAATATTAACAGACTATATATAGGTAAGTAATTAGTATTTCTCAGCGAAGCGGGCACAGCATCTTCCGTAGCAGTGATTAGAGTATCGTGTGGTTGATACAGCGCCACCTAGAGATTCGATATTAATAACATCTAGGTACTATTAGTGCAACCTACAACCTGTCTAAATCTCGGTCCGGTTCCTCCGGCTTGCCGATTTCACCGTATGGCCGTCAAGGAAGACGCGGAATAGGACAGAGAGACCCCTAATAACACTGTACTGCATCACCATCTACCCCAGTTTTGTCTCTAATTCTAGTTTCATTGTGTTCCTTTCATATGCGTCTTTCGAGTAGCCGAAGACTGTCCCATGCCAGTGCAGTTTCTCGTATATTCCGAGACATCCTGATCTATCAACCAGCGCACAGTATTATCATGTTTGGAGGTGTATCCTCTGTAGCTACATTGCCACGACAAGGCCTTCTCGTCCCGGAGTAGTAGAGGGATAGTCGTTGTGGCACTTAGTCGATCAATAGGTACCTACATATTATATACCCGTTATTACATCCCTTCCTTCTCGTCTCACTGCGGCACCCTCTCCGCCACCCGGCGCCAGAATTGGCAGCGCGTGCCGCGGCCGCCCTCCCAGGCCTCGGCGTCGGCCAGCGAGAACGTGTTGACGATGCCGGGGCCGGTGCGCACGTAGTACTTGAGGTACGGGGGCACGGTGACGACGTCGACGACGCCGCCCGTCGTGTTCAGGTTCAGCAGCAGGGGCTCGCCTGGGCGGAACGGCGGCCAGTCGATGTCGCCGCTGCCGTCGCGCACCGGCGCCGTCGCGTTGGCCAGCCCCGCCGTCGCGTCCGCCACCGAGATCACCGGCGTCCCCCGCGTCACGAACCCGCCCCAGATCTTCTGCACTGCCCGCCGGAAGTCCGGGCTGGGTACCCGCGTCGCCGCGTGCGCGAAGTACGCGCTGATGTCGGCGCCGTGGTACGCAGGCGTCACCGAGTACTGGTACCTCCACACCCGCCGGGAGTCGTTGCCGTTGAATGCTTCCGCCAGCCATCCTGCCGGGCAGTGAAACGTGTTCTCCGCCGCGATGTTGAAGACGGCTTGCTGGATGCCCGAGGCGATTCCGGATTTGTGTAGCGCGGTCGGGCCGCTGATGCCTAGGGTGTCGAAGAGGATACCGTCGTCGGGCGGCAGAGACTCGATCTGGTACACGCCGTTAAGGGAAGAAACATCTTCCGGGGTGAGCAGCGGGAAGGTCTCGGATATGAAGTCGTCGTACTTCTCCCGCGTGTCGACCTGCGGGTTAGTCAAGGGCACGCCTTCGTTGGCATTGGTCTACGTGTGGAGATCTTGTTAGTATGGCCTCGAGGGTCGACACAGAGCGATTCACTCACCCCGAGGAGAAGGCGTTTTCCGTTGACTCTACCGGTTAAGGATTGGATCGACGGCAACCCCTGTATATAGTCATCATCGACGACGGGCACGAAAGCAAAGCTACCAAAGTAACCCTGGGTAGTAGAGACGGTGCCGCTAGCATTCTGCAACACGACGCTATCAGCGGCAACTAAGCATGCAAAGGTGCTCGGATAATTGCTTCGCGCGAGTGAGTCTTGACCACATCCAGCCAGCTTGACGAACTCGTTGTAGTGTGCCGTCGGTACGGCATCGTCGTATCTATGCACAGGGGGGAGGTACGGGCTGGCGGCAATCACCTATACGAGTATCGTAAGCTCACAATGACCCCCTCGAAACTGTTAATATGGCCCACTGACGTTTTCGAAGAGATCTAGGTCGTTTCCGCCATAGGCAAAAGCGTGATGCAAGGCAGATCCCGCGCCCGACGATTCGCCCCCGACTGTGACTCGGCCAGGATCACCGCCAAATTTGGAAATATACTGCTGGACCCATTGCAGAGCATACCGCTGATCTAGGAGCCCGGCGTTGAGCTGACCGGCCGCCTTGATGTCCGGCGAGGCGAGGTATCCGAACGCCCCTAGCCGGTACTGGATTTCGACGACGATGAACCCGTTCTCATTGGCGTTGATCCAAACGCTTGGGTCGTATTGGGCGCCAAAAACAGAGTGGCCGCCCCCATCTAGGTGCAGAATACGGTTAGAATGTCTCGCGTTAGTGCGGTGAGGCTGGTCAACCCAGATCAGGAGGAAGATTGGCACCGCGGCACGTACGAATCCAGACCAAGACGGGCAAGCTCGAGGCGTTGGGGGCGGCGTAGACGTTGAGGTAGAGGCAGTCCTCGTTACCAGGGCCAGAGTTGAACCCGTAAGCCTTCGGGACGCCAAAGGCGCCCGATTGGGGACATAGAGGTGGCTGATCGACAGCCGGAGTAATCTGTCCGTTGTCCCAGAGAGGAGGTTGAGGGGTCTGCCATCTCAGTTCTCCAACAGGAGGCGCTGCATAGCGAACACTATCACAAGCTCAGCTTGGGGCTCTATGCAGCACTAGGCCCGCGCGAGCGAGCAGGCAGGCAAGTAGGCATACCTCTTCCATACGTTGATGTCGTAAGTGTCGTTGTAGTATCCTCGATAAGTCGCATACCCGAGGTCGACCGTGGGGGCGGCCGGTAGAGCGCAAGAGAGGGCATATATCGCTTGACCAGCCGCGACAAGAATAAACCACGCGCAGATATTACTGCTGGATTTCATTCTTTGCATCGTCCGATGGGATGTATTATTATTGACGGCTCAGGAGCAACAATCACGACTCGCTGGCCGACTCAAGGGATAGGATCGATTATGTTCACGCCTCAGCTCCCAGCTCTGTGAAAGGTCACACCGGATCGGACCTGCTTCGGATGAGGGAGGGAGGGAGAAAGGATAGCGTGTGATTGTTCCTCGAGGTCAGAGTACCATGCCTTTCTCTCTTGTCTATTCTTTTTTTGTTTGCACTTATCTAAGATTAGGTGTTCTCCCTTACCGTAGCAACCACCCTCCCCCCTCTCTAGAAGAGGGAGGAAGCGAATGGGCGCAGAGAAGGATAGAGGGAGAAAGGGGGGGGGCCGGAAAAAGAAGAGAAAAAAGAAACAAAATCACTCGGCGACGAACCCGAAAGTTCCATAGGACAACAACCCCCCTGGCTACGACGGTGTTGGTGCTCAGCCCCATGGATTTGCAACCACATCGATACCAATTATCACTCACATTTTGATTAATCGATTCAGCTCCGGGACTCCGTGACCTACCCCGGATACCACCTGAGGCCCACTGCTACGTGCTTACTACCTCTGCGCATATATGTCTCTCTACCCGCGAGAACCCGAGGCCGTCACACGCCTTACCTACCTAATCCGTACCGCATCGCGTCGGTCACGATCCTGGGCCGCGGGATGGAACGTGTGGGAACGCAGCAAAGGTGCAGAACCCCCCCGCGTTCTACAGTCTGGGGATTGGCCGTCATTAAACGGTCCCACTCGCGAACCGCCGTTTTCGAAGCTATTATTACCACGTCCACGAGGTCAATTCTCGCCAAGGACTACGCAGTATCGGCACTATTGCCAATTATTGTTCACCGAGCAAGTGATTGCAACGGATGTTACAATATTGTCGCCGAGGTAGAAACCGGTGCACCTTCGTTCCTCTTATACTCTACGCGGAAATCGGGACCTCCTCCCTGTGAGATCGGCGCATACTTATTGTCACCCATGCACGGGATCACCGGTGTGAAAACGGTGTGAAAACGGTATAGACAGTTTGTACTAATCTAAGAAGATATCCATCAGGGGGGTACCTGTGTGGATCCTGGGCACCTTATTGGTCAGCTTCCTGTTGACTGATAACTGCTGCAACGCTTCCCTAATTAGATAACCTATTTGTTTACCCATAAAAAGCTCCTTATTTCGCAGTTCTAGGACCTAGATCTCCTCTTAATTGATCAGCAGTTCAGGTTCAGCTTTCAAAGTTCCGTATGCCCTTAGGTAACTAAGTAATTACGAAGCAACGGAAGCGAGCCTTGCCAAAACGCACACCTGTTAAAAACAGGTCTATTCTCCACCCAGACGTATGCGATATTTTTACTTAATTGATCCAACAAAGTCAACCAGCGAAGACACCGTAACATATTGACTGCAACCTCCCCTCTAGTATCCACAACCCTGAAATAAGTCCTTGACTGAGCCGCAGAGCTATTCGGGAACTCAGCAACCCTCTTAGAGACTATTGTAGCCATCGGAAAGTGTAAACAATCTACTCGTAACAAGACACGCCGCCGAAAATGCAACCCAAACAGCCGAAAACAGCAAACGCAAGTTCTGCAACGTTAATACGTACCTATGTTCGGTCGCAAGGTCATACTCCGGTCAACAACTGCATCAATCCTGTCAGCCGTGTAGTTGACTGCACAGGTGCTCGGGCAATCGGACGAGCGTAACACCTACCCCTTCCTACAGCCTCGTCTAACACCACGACCCCCCTAACCCCGACCGACCGACCGAGCAAATCCCTTATCCCCCCCTCCTCTTCCCCCCATACCCCCCTACCGTCATACCCAAGCCCAGCCAGTCAGCCAGCCAGCCAGCCATGCGCACCCTCACACCCCTTTCGCCCTACGGCTCCTGGTCGAAGTCGTAGCTGTTCCCGAAGCCACGATCGAGGTACGTCCCGAGGGCGCGGTCGCGGGGGATCCAGTCGACGGGGACGTCGAGGCACAGACGCCCGTCGCGCTCGAGCCGCTCGAGCAGCGGGCGCACGTCGTCGGCGAGCTGGAGGCGCATGCGGCTGCGGTACCAGGGGGCGAAGTGGATCATGGCGAGCATGACGCGGGGCGGCTCCCCGCGGTTCGGCATGCCGGCGTGCCAGAGGCGCAGGTCGCGGACGACGAGGCTGCCCTTGGCGAGGGGGGGCTGGCAGGGCGGGCGGGCGGCGCGGCGCGCCGCGAGCTGCGCCTCGCGGATGCGGCCGCTCGTGCGCTCGCCGTGCGCGCCCTCCTGCGCGGCCACCCCGCCGCCGCCCGCCGCCGTGTGCGTCCCCAGCCACAGCTCCGTCGCCCCGTTCGCCGCCGCCGTCGCCACCAGCGGCACGTTGACCACCAGCGCGAACGCGTGGTCCGGGTGCGCGAAGTCCGCGTCCGAGTGCACCGGCTGCCGCGCCGCCCCCGCCCCCGCCACCGCCGTGTTCGCCGAGCAGAACGTCCACAGCGGCCGCGGCCCCAGCACCCCCGACGTCACCTGCGTGGCGATGGGGTCTGCCGCGCGGTTCGTTAGCGGGGCGCGCGTAAGGTCGTCGACGAGGAGAAAAAAAAAGGGGGGGGGGGGGGAAGGGACGGGAAGAGAAAGGAGATCCCCGGCTCTCGACTCACTCACAAACACCTCGGGGTCGAAGAACTCGGCCACCGGCGGCGCGCCCTGCTGCAGGTTCCCGGTGTTATAGTTGAAGGGGCCCTCGTCGCCGCGCGCCTGCAGCACGCGCGCGTCGCTCACCATGCGCGCGTTGAGCCGGTCCAGCGCCGCGTGCGGCACCACGCCCTCGACCACCACCAGCCCGTCGCGGTGCACCGCGCCCACCGCCCGCTCGAGGTTGCGCCGCGACAGCGCGCCGGCCCGCACTTCCGCCTCCGACGGCGACACCACCGTCGGCTCTTCGGCGCCCGCGAGCGAGGCGAAAGCAGCCCGTGGGGCGAGCGGGGGGCTGCGCGGGTGGTGGCGGCGAAGGAAGGAGGAGGAGGAGGAGGAGATGCGTGCGCGGCTGCGGACGCGGGTGAGTAGTAGCGACATAGCTGCGACGTTAAAGAGAGAGAGAGAGAGAGAGAGAGAGAGAGAGAGAGAGAGAGAGAGGCATGTCTCGATCGGATCACCTCCTGAGGTGCGAGCGGCGGATGTCGACAAGGAAATATAGGATGGCTGCCTAGCTAGTGGCTCGCGCGCGCCGGCCAAGCCGAGGGTGTTGCAGCGGCACATCCCCAAATATAGGAGAGAGGGGGCCGACTCCAGCTGCTCCCGCTCGACGCCCGACGTGGTCACGAGCGAACGGGTATGCCGTTTTGGGGTATTCCGATCACTCCAATAGGCGGGCATCGTAGCTTGTCCACCCGTAGGACGCGAAACGGGAAAAAGGTCGGCCGACATGAGCCAGAAAGTCTTCGAAACCGGGCGGTTCGAGGGAGTGGTGGGTTTAGATGTCGTGACACTCGATGACTTGTACGTAACTGTATATAAGTAGAGCGGGGGCTATGGTCCTGATAAGTGATACACGATTCAAGTTGAAAATGCAGGACAAGGCATATTGTATGTATGAGTGTATTATTGGCGAGGAGACTCTCCAATAACGGTACTATCCACAAAGCCTCTAATAAATCTATCAGTATAGCATCTAAACAATGTGTCTATACCCTACTCGATAGGTGGGTCCGGCTTCTATAGACTACCTCTATAGGGTGACCGCTCTTTACCATAGGCTTATTGCCCGCGGTATCGCGGTAGCCGACCAAGTGATGCGCATGCCGGGTAGAGGGATACCCCTCTGCGTGTCTCGGCATATCGTGTATACGTATACCATCTGCCTTAGCATCGGAAGTATCTCTTCTCAACCCACCTGTCTTCGAATTCGGAAATCATGTTGCCGATGACAACCGTGATCTCCGGAAATACTTTGGTCAGGCGATAGACACCTACGTACCCAGCCGAGTAGGTCGCAAAGACGATGCGATCCTGCGGTACTCCGTGGTCTACGAGGACTTGGACAGCCATCAGAGCAGAGCCTCCGCTAGACATCTGCGCGTCCAGGAGCAAAACGCTGTCATGGGTGTTAATATCCTTGGGGAGCTTCAGGTAATGGAGTTCGGGCTCCCCGGTTCGGACGTTAGATTGGATCAGAAGGCGGCCTGTGCGACCATCCGGGATCACTCTTCTCAAACCGGCCTCGAAGACGGCGCCCCCTCGAAGAACAAGCACGGCGCTAACTTCGCCTTTAGGGGTAAGCCCGTGATAGGGCCTGCCGGAGGGAGTTTCGACCGTCCATTCTCTGAAGTGGGCGTTGTTCAAGGCCCTAACATGGTCAGTCTCTCACAAGAGGGCGCAGTCGTCAACCAGTGAGATGCACACGTACTCTTCAATCAGCAGACAGGAGAATCGGTCGAAATAGAATATGAAGTCCTCGCTCGAGGTGTCGATGTCCTGGATTATGGTGTTCATGCCCTTGAGCTGCGGGGTTTCCTTGAGAACGATGACTCGATCGGAAAGGGATTCGCTATCAAAGCCGGCCTCGAGACTTCTGAGGGCTGCGCGATGGCGCGTCGACTTCTCCAGCAATTTTCTCTCAATGTACTGGGTGACCATAGCTACGGGGTTTAGCACACGTCGGGTCCCTCTCCAGGGACAACGTTGACTTACCCATGGCAACTCGATTCTCGATGCCCCGTGGTACGATTATATCTAGGGCGAAGGAATCAGTGTGGGTGCCGTGCCGGGTCGCGCAGAACGGCGAGGCGCGAGACACCAGTTCTTACCAGCTTGGGCTCTCTGCGGCACCACATACTGAGAGGATAGGGTCAGTCAAGATCTGGAGCCCAGTCGAGATTACCCTACCTTCTCGTAATTCGGTTTTACGAAGGCGAACCACTGCTTGATGCAGCCTTCCACGGTACGGCCCCGATCCCTGACATCTCGTAAGACTACGAGAATCAAGTTAATACGTATTCTTCGCCCGCGAGGAGCGGTATTTACTTCGTCTGGAGAGGCACGTGTCCGCATCAGCCTCGCAATAGATCTATCAGAGGGTCGTCAGCGACGTTTTCGGGAACACGGATTCCCGCCCGATGCCCACCTTCATATCCATCAAATCCATGATCCTCTGATCATAGAGGGCGAAGATTCCCTCGAGGATGAGGACGTGAGGGGAATATATGGACGTCGTCTCTCCGGTGCGTTGGTGCTTTTCAAAGGAGTACCTGGGTATCTCGGCACGCTTGCTGCGGACAGGATGGATTAACCATAGGGGCGTCTCGACGATCTACTGGCGTTGTCCTTACCCAGCTTTGAGGTCCTGGAGAGTTTCTACCAGCGCATTAAAATCTATCGCCTACGGACACGATATTAACACGGGGGGTTTATGCGCTCTACTTGGAAGGAGCCGAACCTCGGGGGCGTCGAAATCATATTCGTTCAGAAAGGCTTTCTTTGAGGACTCGGCATCCACTGGCTTATAGTAGGAGTCCTAGGGCGAGTGAGATGAGGCATCGCCCTTTCCTTGTTCCGGTGGCTCGGCTTACCATGGACAAGATGACAACCCACGGCAGGTTTAGTTCGCTGACGATGGCATGAGACAACGTGGACTTGCCGGAACCCGAGCTCCCTGCAATGCCGATGATGCTCAAGTCGGCCCACGGGGGGCTGTAATGGGCCCTCTTGGCAATGGTGTCGGCATCGTTAGGCACAACGGCCGGCGGACATATGCCGGTATTCATGCTATGCGTCCCGGGTGCGACTGCGGCTCACGTATATACGAAACACACAAAATGAGGAGGCATGGGTGAGCGTGTGTGTACGTATGTATAGTGAATGTGTGTACGTTTTGTGATGTCTCCGGGGCAGCTGAGAAGACGGTGTCACGGGGCGCAGGAGGGAACGGCGATTAGGCTGACGAGTTGGTTCGCTGCCGCGTGCCCACCGACAACATCGAGCAAGGCAGAGATAACCAGGCGGACCAATGCGGGCGGGTTTGCGGACGATCTTGGCGAGACTACTCGGTATTGTTCTATTCGCAGCCGACGAGCCAAAGGTGGGAGGTCGTGCAGCCAGCTGACAGGTTCGCCCATGAGGGGAGGAATCCGGAAGTTCGACAGAAACCACACACTCGCGCGGAGAGACAGGAGGAAGAGGACAGCCGGGGCGGTGGGAGATAGGGAGATAGGGAAAAAAAAAAAGGGAGGGAGAAGGGATGAAGACGAAGGGACGAAGACGTCCGCGACGGATTGAATGCCGAGAAAGATAACACCCTGGGCGCTGAGTGGGAATTTGGAGGATGATAAATTTAGAAACAGCAGAGGTGTAGATAGGTACTTGATACTTGACCCCCAAGCTGTCAAGCTGGAGGCGCATCGACCCCTACCTCTAGGTACCTTCTTCCCTGTACGAAAATGTCGTAGGTATCTTAAAGAGGGTATGTAGGTACCCACCCACCCAGCTAAGGTAGTGGCGGCGATTGGTCGGCGCCCATTACAACTGATCGTCCTGTTGCATAGACGCAAAGCCACCGCTTTATCTACTCAAGCCACACACAATTCTCCGGCCGCTGCTAGGAATCCGAGCCCCATCACCGTCTTCCCACGTTCCATCTCCATCTGTTTCCTTTCTTCCGCCACCCAGCCTTCTCCATGTAACGAGAAACCATCTCGACCTGAGAGCAGAACGGCAAATCTCTCCCCTCCCTCTCCTCGCCTGCTTTTACTTAGCTCGCCGGCAGCCCCTATCGTATTCCACCCGAACCTACCCTCGTCGGCGCGAGCGAGCGCAAAGTTTTTCCTGGATCGCCAAGGACATGCTCCCGCCGAGCTGCTCGTGAAAAAGCTTGAGGACCGTGTCCGGCACCATCTCATCTCAATGTTCACAGAGACCCTGCGTCGAAAGATGGTATGCCGCCTCAGATCCCTCCGCCTGATTCTGTCGCCCTCCTCCTCTCTTCCCCTTCTGACAAACCCTGCACCGCACAGGCATCATATACATCGGCGACAAGATCGAAGCACGACTTCGCTAGGCAGGTCGAGGAAGTGAAGACCCCCAAGAGGTATGCCTGTCCGTCATCCTCCCTCTCGCTTTTTCTACTTCTCCGGGGCCGGGGTTTTAGTATGATGCAACAAATAAAACAATGGGAATCTCTCTGAGCACATCATCACATCATGCGGAGACCCTTTATTCTTTATATATATCTGATTATTGTTAACCCCCTTCCCTCGCTCGCTTTTTTTTTCGGTTGCCCGATTGCCGGACTGACTGGTGCGAAAGCGACATCAACGCCCTGATACTCGACTATCTGACTGTTGCCGGCTACCCTAACGCGGCCGCGAAATTCTCAATCGAGGCCAACCTCCAACCGCAACAGTCCACACCCGCCATCCAGGCGAGACAACAAATCCGAGCATTCATACACCGGGGCGACATTGAGAATGCCACGCGAGCTATCAACGACCTTGACCCTTCGGTAAGCGCCAATTCCTGACTCGTGACTGCTTTCATTTTCGAGTTGCTATGATTAAAACACGAGTTTACATGCACCACTCATATGGCCTTCGGGTCGCTGATGAGGAACCACCACTTTTTTATCTATGAGCTTCTTGTCTGCAAATCATCTCTGCCGAGGTTCCCTGCTTTCACGTAGTAGCTAATCGTGAACAAAAAGGTCCTGGACGAGGATGAGCCTCTCCACTTTGCTCTCCTCCGTCTCCAGCTCGTGGAGCTGATCCGGAAGTGCAATGCGCAACCGGGCGGCGATATCGAGCCTGCCCTTGAATTCGCTCAAACCCAGCTCGGACCCAAGGCGCCGCGCACCCCGCAGTTTCTAGAAGACTTGGAGAAGACGATGTCTCTCCTGGTCTTCGACCATAACAACCTAGACCCTTCGCTAGCCGCGCTCCTTGAACCAAGCCTTCGGCGGGAGGTCGCCGACAAAGTTAACAAGGCCATCCTCCAGCGTCAGCAGCAGCGTAGGGACGCTGCCATTCAAAATCTGGTGCAGATGAGGGCCTGGAGCGAGGATACCGTACGCAAGGAAGGCAAGAAAGAGTTGCCTGCGAGAATTGATCTCGGCCTAGACGGCGACGATACCGAAAACGGACACGAGCCGATGATTACGACCTGAGCTGATGTACGATCGGGGCTATCCCTTGTAGACTGGGCGAATACGGCCCGAGCCGCTTTCTTCTACTTTCCCTGTCCAATACGCTGTCTGTAGAACTAAAATGGGAGGCGGTGGATTCCGAGGACAGGTTATCCACGACAGGCGTTTTTAACGGTTGGACGGGCGTTATCGGTAGGCACGGTGAGATATCCCGCCCGGAACATCAGGTGGTCTCTTTTTTTACATGGTCTGGGTTTTACCGAGGATCATTAGACTTTTTTTTTTTTTTAAAAAAACGCAGCACTTGACGAGGTAGTGGTTGCGACGAGACCGAACCTCTCTCCGGGTATAACAGACAATGCCATCACAGTCGGCATTTAGGAAATAGGATGCTCCTCACGATCGTTAGAGGGGCCCGGGCCGTATAGGCACAAATTCGATAATATCGGAAGGGGTTATCACATAGGTATTCGAGATACCATGGTCTAGGATTGTATTATGTACAGAAGAAGGGAAAACACTAGACGGGTTATCCCTAATGATATTTCCACCCTTCCGTCCCTGCGATCACGATCGCCGTTCATCAATGATCATTTCTATTTCCCTTTCTTTCCTCGAAACCGGTTCTCTTTTAACTTTTTTTTTTTACTTGGCGCGGATGAGCTTGAGCTTCTTGGGGGAGTAGAGGAAGTTGTTGGCGTAGGCTTTGGGGGCGAAGGTGCGGACGTTAGGCTCCTGGACGAAGTACTCGTAGCCCTGCTTGCGGGCGAAGGCGATGGCGTCCTCCTTGGTGCGGAACTCGAGCTTGGTGCCCTGCAGGTAGTCGCCAGACGACTGCCAGCCCATGAGCGGATTCTCCCACCGGTGGCCGCGCGCCAGCACGTCCCAGTCCATGCGCCAGTGGTGCGCGCCCCACGTCCCCGACTGCGTCGCCGGCTTCGACGGCTGGTAGATCCTGTAGTCGCGCGTGCTGGTTAGACCCCGCGGGAGGAGGAGGTGGGAGGGAAGAAGGGGGTAGGGAGCGCGACGTACCGGACGGCCCGCGCCTGCAGCTCCATCGGCGCGCCCGAGATGAGCGCCGCCGGGAGAACGCCGTCCTCGTTGGTGCCGTCCATCACGCGCTTCGGCACAGGCGTGAACGTCCTGCGAAAAAAAGCGTCAGCACCGGGCACCCTGCATATCAGAACGATGTAAGGCGTACGATGTCGCGCTGTCGATGGGCGCGCCGTAGTCGGGGGCGTTGCGCGGCCGCTCCTCCGGCGCGGCCGACGGCTCGAGGGCCGCGCTGCTGCTCTGGCGGGGGCCGCCCGAATTCGCCCCGGCGCCCGACGACGAGAGGCGCCGCTGCGACATGGCGACGGCCTGGCGGACCGGGACGAGGGTCGCGGTGCGGAGGAGCCGGGGAGCGGTCGCCGCCTGGTTTCTGAGGGAGGCCATGGTGCGACGGGTCGTTGCGTGGGTGGTTGTGCGCGAGGTAGGATACGAATTGGGCGAGCTAGTCGGCACTCGTAGGCTGGCGGCACCCGGGGGGGGGATGGGCACCGTCGGTAGAACCGTGTATAGGGAAGTGTGGGAGTGTGTTGGATAGCACTCAGGTAACGTGCAGGTATCTTGATAGGAATGTGAGGTCGGATCATCAGGTATTTCGAGATTGGCCACGACGGAGCTGTGGCGGGGATGCGTCAAGATGTGGCGGCAGATAGCGGGGGGGTTCTGTGGCGTCGGCAGAGAGGTACGTATCTAGAGGTAACGAATTCTGCGAAACCTATGCGGGCACGGACCACATGTGTTCCCCCATCGCCAGAATCCCTAGCGAGGTCTTTTCGTCTATCGAACCTCGACCCTCATTTTTGAGATAATTCATCGTATCTGCCCACCCAGCACCCCATCGCGCTTCGCGGAGCAGACACACGCCAATTGCGCCGCCCGCTGGTCGTTTGAGATATCGTTGTGATCCTCCCGATTATTCACGCTTCCCTTGCCCCGCGATCGCAACACCCACCATGAGTTTCGTCGCTCGCCGGGGTCTCTCGACCCTCATCCCTCCCAAGGTTCGTCCCCCGCGGCAGCCCCTGTCACCAAATACGTGGCCGCTGGCATGCTAACTCATCCTCGTGCTAGGTCGCTTCGCCGAATGTACGTATTGAAAGCTACACCTCGAGACCACACGCCTCCCCCGAGCCCCGCGGACCTTACGCTCTGATATGATGTGACTGGTCGGGGAGGTTCGGGTTTAATACCCAGCACCGGCGTCCGCTGTGGCTGGAGGCTGAGGGACGCTCAGAAACGCTTGCGAGCCTGGATCCTATGAGATGAACGAGCGAGGGAACACCGGAAGGCTGACTGATAGGTGTCCGCTAGGCTATCGGCGCGGCCCCCGATGCCGTCCGCATGAAGCGCGTCGTTAACTTCTACGAAAAGCTTCCCCGGGGCCCCGCGCCTCCGATCAACGCCACCGGCATCCTCGGTAGATACCAGGCCAAGTACTTCGGCGCGACCAACAACCACAAGCGTACGTCCAACTTGAGATCATCTGCGAGCATCGCGTCCCCCCTTTCCCCGGACGGAGGGGCGGACGGGGGAATGGGGGCGGGGGGGGGGCAAGCGGGAAACGTACGAAGTACACTGCACTAACAAATCTGCTCTATAGCTATCGTCCACGCTATTGTATTTCTCCTGGTCATCGGGTACCCCTTAACTTACCACTTCCATCTGCGTAAGTCTTGCTTCTCCCCCCCCCTTCCTTTCTCGACGCAATCTGTCGTCGGCGTCGAGGCTGGGCAGATACTAACAGATCTGCTTCTAGGCCACCACAAGAACAACGCTCATTAAGAGGCGAGTTCACCGCTGCACAAGGCACGTGGCGGAGCTGTACATAAGTTCGATGGCTAGCATTATGTATCCATAGCTGCCGTTCATTAGAGCAGCAGGGCAGTCTCCCGCTTCCGAGGCGAGCAGATGAAAACAAATCTACTACGAGCCTTTCGCTTTGTTCTGGTGAACTCGCGCACTCGCGCACTCGCGCAGCATATACGTACCGAAATACGGTGGATAGGCGAGGTAGTATCTCGATATAGGAGTACTCGTTACCGAGGAGGGGCGCCGATTTCCCTTTTATTTGCATTTCCCTTGTTTTGTTGCAACCCCCCCCTTTCAGGAACAATACTATGCAGTAGTCCCTCGACGACCCCGAGCGTTTGCTGTGGGTTTGTTGCGCGGGTATTATTTCCCTATATTTTTCTCCACGACCTGGCGCTGGCTTTTCAGGGCATAATACACAGCCTCTGTATGGGAAGATCACGCAGTGGGCGAACCTGGGCAACTTGCTTCCTCCATCCCATGCATGCATGAACAATAGAGGGGGGGTTGCCTCATGTCGTGTCGGGAAATGAGAGCTCCCTCGGAAATTTGTGTGTCGAGTCCCCGTTCTTCTTCCCCCTCCCCCGCCACCAAAAAATTACCAAGCACCATATCCAGCCAAGCGAAGTCTACCGAAATTAGGAAGAACAACAAGACACAGAGCGTCTCCCGATCGAGCGCGTCTGGTCCAGGAGATCTTGGTATTCTAAGAGTTTGACCCCCCAGTGTGACGATTAATTCGGACTTCGGCTCGACGGGCGGCAGATCAAATCCCAATGCTTACCCCATTTTCCTGCCGTGCTACACAGCTGGCCGCAGATGGCCGCAGATGTCGTTCGGTGGCTCAGGCGATTCTATAGCCCACCGGTATATTCCTATTCTGGCTCTTAACATCGAAGCGTACCGGACTCTCTGACATCTAACACAATTCGTTCGTGGCGTCGTAGCGACAGCGTACTCGCGGTGCTCTATCGCTTCGGAGACCGAGGCGTTCCACCACGTCTTAACGCCAGATTCGCGGAGCTGGCTAGCCGGATCGTTGCCGGTCGACGTTAAGGGCGTGTGCCGCTACCGCTTCGAGTCCTTGGCACTCGGGGCCCAAGCCACTTCTGTTGCGAATGTGGTTTACAGGTCACTACCACTGGGGGTGATATCCTTCGAGGGTGAGGGAGGTAGGTGATGGGGAAAGGGGCCTCTCTATTCCTGTATTATGCCCAAGCCGTGTGCATGGAATAACATATCTGGATTTTATCCTAGCGCATGGCTTCCCGGACAACTCTGCCAACAATATAGGTACCCCACGCTAGAACCGCAATAACGTCATGCCGTAGCACGTTTCCGCCGTCAATGTTGGTTGAGCTGGACGATACTAGTCCATCGTCCAAATCTGCGTAGATGCCACAGACGATATCTCGTCTCCACCTGCGGTTCTCTCCCACAGAGATGTCATCTCGTCGGTCTTATCCCCCGGGAGCTAACTGATAAACTTCATCTGCACAACGGCTAGAAGCGACCCGGAGACTACGACACGCTGCCGGATACCTTCTGGGGGAGGTTTGAGCTGCAAGTTGGTGGCGCGCCCTGGCCCCGATCGACTCGGGGTATTTCTCTTGCCCTATACTGGCGATTGTCTGATCGCGACAGTTGAAACTTGTTATCGAGGATTTCTAGGCTCCCTCCCCGATAGCTATAGGATTGGAATCGGTCAGGGAGATCCCCTGCCTGTCTAGGTTCAGCCGAGTTACTAGTAATCAAACACGTCCGTCTTTAGCGGTGTTTATCTGGCGTCACAAGTCCTTCGACGGACACGGCGGCCGGTCTTCCGGAACGCCGGCTTGTGCCAATACTGTTTCCTCCAGGGTACGTACCCAGCGGGCACGACAATCGCGGCTGGGTGTTAGAAGTACGGCTCGGCGCGGGGTGTTATGACCGGGCATATCCGCGAACCCCTCCGACGCGGCCTCGACGAGGAGCTCGGAGGCCATCCTGGTGTTTGGCGATGCTCTGCATTCCGCGAGGCGAAGTTAAATATACCTTACCCCTCCCATACTCATTATGCACGAGCGGCGTATCGAGGGAATCCGGGGATCAGGACGTGCGGCAGTAGTGATAAGGATGGAGCAGCAGCTGCTGCTACCATTGCCGTTGCTAGATATTCTCATGGACTAGAGCTCCATCCATTTCTATGCGGTGAATCTTCGTGCCTCGCGTTTCCAAGGAACTCACCCTCAGTCCGGCTCCTTTCCGGCGTAGATCAAGTCCCGTTCGTAAGTATAGGTAGCTGATTGGGTTTCATGACTCGGTACTTAGAACTCGTAGGCGAGAAAGCGGCGTATTTATCTAGGGTGGCAACGCTTGCGGTTCTTGTTCTGCTACTACCAGTTGCGATGCCGGGGTTCTCAACTGTAGTCTGAAGGCGACTAGGAGCGCCCTCTGAAACCGATCGGATACGTTGATTCGGTACCACCGGCATTCCAGCGTCTGGGGAGCCCCTTATCGACCTGGAAAGTCCCGGAGACCTGGAGCGGACAACCAAGATTCGACCAGCAGCGCCCATACGATTACCTGCCTCTATACCTTACTATAGGTACCTACCTAGCTGGGTACGTACATACCTACGTAGGAGGTATTCGTAGGGCGTCTTATACGTCATTCTATGCACTGTGTGTGCTTCCATCGCAAGGTATACTGTGTAAGGCAAGCACTGTTTCTAGTGTTGCTTTGATAATAACAAAGGGCACCTTTGTAATAAGGCGCCGGCATCCCCCCCTTCTATTGGACAAACAGGAGGTTGCTGACAGAGGTATTGTATTGTATGCGCGTCGGATAATTACCTACCTACCTCTATATGAGTACAGACCGATGAACGAGGCATGGTACAGGGGATCAGCATCAAATGTAGGTAGATAATTTCGTTGAATTTCTCGGTACTTTGGGTATCTGCTCATACCTCCAGTAGCAAAAGGAGGCCCCAATTTTAGAAGGTACGTACCTCCCCAGATACCTACGATAGGTTAGGTTAGGTATATCCTGTTACTGGACCAACTGTTGCACTCTCTCTGCCAGGTGGCCCAGCCCGGTGATGACTGAGGCCGTTACTGTGGGTTGCCCCGAGAGGTCTAGGTACCTGACCCTGTGTTAGAGGGCCGACAGAGGTTCGACGTATGTACCCAAGGTACCTAGCCTGCAGTAAGTAGATGGCAGGAGACAGGCCGAGGTGGAAAGGGAGACAGGTACAGGTACATGCACAGATATCCAGGCGCAGCTGGGGATACATTCAATTTGGAGACGTATCTGAGGCATGTACAGTACGTGCGGGACCCACCGGCCTCAGGCAGATCTCTCCGTACCACCTGGTACATAGATACTGGGCCCGCTGCCCACTCGCCGCCCTCCGCCCTCTTCTCTCTCTCTGCCCGTTTCCCCCTCTCCACTTTTCCTGCGTGCAAGCCCCAAGAGCTTGGGATCGTGTAAACTTTTGACAACACGACGCTGCGAGACCAATACCGACCACTTCTCGCCCGCATTTCTCTGCCTCCTCTCATTGCCTACGCCAACCTGCCTACCTCTACCCCTCGGCCTGCAGACCGCACACGAAAGAGAGAGAGAGAGAGAGATCGCAGCCATTCCCTCCTCTCCTCCCGGCACCGCGCTAGCCCCAAACGAAGAGAGACTGAGAGAGCGAGAGACCGAAGGCGGGAGCAGAGAGCGCATTAGCACACCCACAAAGAGAGAGAGGGAGGTGGTCAACTGGGGGCTTGCTGGCCGACTGAGCTCTGCTGGTCGCGCACCCTCTGCGAACGCGGCTAATTTGGCCCTCTTTTTTTTCCCCTTGTATTTTCCCTGTTCTCTTCTCTACCGACCTCTAGCCCTGCCTCTCTCTACCCGCTAGGAAGACGGAGAAAGGCATATCTCCAGGCACTTCTCACCCACCACCTCCTCCTCCTCCTCCACCACTGCCAGACTACTAACCGACCTGGCATCCGCAGCCTGTGAGTAACCAACCCCAATTTCTCACAAACTCATGCCAAGTAAACCCCTACGCAACCACGAAACTGACCGCATCCCATCACTTGTCAGCCTTCCTCGCAACCAACGCATCTCTTTTGACCCTCCGCGGATCGCACAATCCTACCGTGCCCTCTGATCGCGACACTAGCATACAAGTTTCGCGACCGCTCAAGCTGGATGATGGCGACAGAGCCAACCCTGGATCAGCCTGATGCATCTTTAACTGAACCAGCCCTCGTAAGTTACACCTGACCCCAAGGCATCTTTTTGCTCCTACGCCTTCTCGCCCTGTTCCCCTCTCCGCCCCTCCCCGTATCTGCCTCTGCCCTCGTCCTCCCCCCTTCTCTTCCTCTTCCTTTCTGTAGTCCGGCCCTCTTCTCCTCGACCTTATGCAGCTATCCCGATATCTGCCTCGTCGCAAGTACGCCTGCTCACGTGCATCTTCTCCGCAGACTCAGCCCGCTACCGCAAGCCATGATGCTCGGGATGTCGATCGTTCGAGTGCTCTCCTAAATGGTGCTTCCCTAGAAGTCGAGAATAAACAGATCACAGACATCGTTGACGAGCTAGTCAACTCGGCCGAGGTCAGTGTGAGCGGCGGTTCGGATACGGAAACATCCAAGGCAGACCCTTCGAAGCACTTTGACGACAAGAGCCATGTACGAAACTCCTCTGCTGTCAAGAGGCCCCAGAGCTTCAAGTCCGTTTCTGTGAATCGCACCTTTTTGGCCTCCAAGGCCGCCACGAGTTCTACTTTGCGAACCGACTCTTCCGCTGGCTCTACTTCCGCCATGTCGCAATCTACCCCTAGTAACTCCGCCTCGCGCCTCAAGTTGGTTGCCAAATCCGGTAGTAGTTTAGGTGGCTCTACCAAGACCCTGAGCACCAACGGCAAGCCTGCAACTGCCCCCGACCCGAATACAGTATGGAATCGCAATAGACGTAAGTCGTGATAATAATACCCAGAGTCTGCTTAGGTGCAAATTGCATTTCTCGTCCATTTCTGCTAACTTTTTTTCTTTTTCCTTTTCAGCTGTCACCCAACCTGAACAGAAGAAACTATCCGACGAGGAGTTAATGCACAAGTATGGAATACATATGGCAGGCCGTCTGGGTCCGGAAGACACCAAAGGCCAGTCGAACTGGGCAGATATCGACGACGACGAGGAGTGGGCACCAGAGACCATAACATGGACCGATGGCACTAAAATTACCCTACCGCAAGCCGACGAAAGTAGCTCAAATCCCACCCCGCCGCACGCTGCTCTGAGCAAAGAAGCGTCGCCCGCTCCGCCTAAGTCGAAGTCGCCCGCGCCGACGGCGAGCGCAACCGCGTCCCCTCCTGTCAAGCCGGGCACCCTCGCTTCGGCGAAGAGCCTCGTACTCAAAGGTGCGCCCGAAAAGCCCACCCTGGTTGCGAAACCGCCGGCGCCGCCTACACCAGCCAAGTCACCCTGGGCGCGTCTGCCGCCGGTCGACAAGATACCTCCTGGCCAGATGGAGGTTTTTGCACCCGCGTCGGTTCCGCGTCTCCCGCTGCGAGACCCCGTTGCTGCTCAGGGCCCACCCCCGCCTCCAGCCAAAGAGATCGCGGCGGACGACTTCAGTCGATCCGGCTTCCGGGAAGGCAACTCGAGTAACCATAGCCAGCTATACAATTCGCAATCCGGACGGTACGAGCCGGTAGCGGATCGTAAAGGCTCTAGGGGCGACATCCACAGCCGTCAACCCGCCGTACTCCAACGACCTCATCACGAGCAGCAAGGTCCAGCTGAGCCGTCTGCTGCCTTTCAGACAAGTCGGACCGGCGGACACGAAGTCCCATATGGCCGGCGCCGTGGCTCTTCTAACGTGAGCGGCAGCAGCGGTATGCTTGCTCATAAACTCGGAAAGCCCCACGATATCCTACCACCTACCGAGTTTCTCCAGTCGCGATCTGCCTCTGTCGCTACTGCGGGCGCCGAGAGTCCCCTCTCTGCCAGAACCTTTTCTCCAATCGACAACCAGCACACGCCACGATTCCAACCTAGTCACCCGTACCAACCACGCCCGTCCCCTGGTCAGGCCTACGCTACACCCTATCACAATTTGACAGCTCCCGACGCGGTGCCGCTAGAGGATGACTACGAGATACAGAAAAGAGTCATGCGCGATCGTCGCGAGCAGGCTATCAAGAGAAGGTTGGAAGAGGAAGCTCGCGAAGAAGAGGCCCGTAAAGCCCGAATTGCCGAGAAGCTGAAGGCGATGGGTCCGGCTCCCGAACGTAGGAGTGCGAAAAAGGAGGAGAAGAAGGAAGAATCCCCCGCACCGCCCGTGCATGCTCCGCGAGAAGGTATTCCGGCAGCCAACTCTGGAAGTACGTCAGAGCCTCAGCCCGAACCCGAGCAGTCGGCACCGAGAACCGTCGGATCGATCGGCCGTGAGAACCTTGGTGCTAGCAGCCAAATCAACGGGGATGCTAGGCGGCCTCTTGGAGAGGCTGAGAGGTCTAGGACCTCTACGGCTCATACTACTACCGCTCCCAAGGCCCAACCCCCGGCTCACTGGCCTGACACCCCGCAGCACCCGGAGCGATTCACGACCTGGGGCAATGGTCCCCAAAATACGTCGCGAAATGTCTGGGGTGCCCCAGGGAATGATCGTTCTCTGGGAAACGGCACTTTCAACCCAGACTTGGGGACCTTGCCTGATTCTCACCCAGCTCCTATCTCAGAACGAAATCATCGTCCGGCGCCTATCGGACCTCCTCGCACAACTTCGCAGCCGCCGGTGCGCCCCGAGGCGATACCCGGCAATCGCCTAGCTCCCATCGGCCCCCCTCGAACCCGTGGACCCGAGCCCACTGGCTTGGGTGCGTGGCAGACCTACGATCCTGTAGAGGACGACAGGCGAATCGCACTCGAAATACAAGAATCGCGCAAGACCCGAGGCGAGCCCGCGCCGATTGCTGTGAAGGATACCTGGCGCGCTGTCGATTTGAACGAGTCAGGCAAGCGCACTGTGGCCGGTCCAAGCTTCAAGACGCACGGCGAAGCCCCATCGGACATATCAGACCGCCCAGACGGCACTCATTCGGAGCGCAAAGGACTGGGGTCTTCGGAATTCTATCGTCCTAGGGCGGACGTGTCCAGAAACGAAACGAACGGTGCTCGGTCTGAGTTTAGCAGGCAACCGTCCGTCGGGCACACCGCTGGCGCAGTACCCGGCCCAGCAAACCAGGCTAGGAGCAGCTCGCGATTCTTCCCCGCGCGCGACGCGCCTCCGCATGATTACAGCCGTATTCAGGAGCCGATCGTTCGGACGAAGTCTCCGACTCCACCCCCGCCCACTGCAGACGGCCACCCGGTCTTCGACGGCGACGTCACTCGCCCGCATGTAGCCTTGCCGCCGGCTCGTCCGATAGTGAAGCTGCCTCCGTCAAACTCGGCCGCGCCCACTCCCGTCATACCACCCGCTAAGCCTGTACCAGCTTCATTTGCCGCCGCTGCCGCTGCCGCCTCCGCGTCGTCCCGACCGCCTCAGCAACCGACGGCTCCGCGACCGTCGAGCAGAGGCAAGGGATACGGAGGGATCCCTCAGAAGCCTCACGAGATTGCGTCTCAGGAGAACTGGCAGGACAAGATTAACAGTCTTATGGGGAAGAAGTCGACTCCTCCAGCTCGGTCTATGGCCGTTGACTCGTCAAGTAGAATTGCATTGGACTATACACAACAATCATATGACCCCGCGACTGTCGCCTTGCCCAGTCTATCGCATTCTGTGAGCTCTATAGCCACCGAGGATAGTGACTATACTTCCAGGGAAATGGCCGAGGAATGTTTCGGAGAGCAAGAGATGGGCTCGCTCCCGGCCGTCAAGCTCCCTAGCGAAGCGCCGGATGCGCTATGGCAAGCCGTCGAGCCTGACTTCGACCCTGTGCCAGCCAAACTACGAGTCGATCCCACGGGCGCCGAGTCGTTCAGGTTCCCACACGAAATCTTGAACGGCAAGAGCGTAATCCGTATCTCCGCCCCGGGGATGCCAGAGGTGAAGACAGTTCCGATTTCGTTCGCGAACAGCAATAGGTCTTTCAGCAACCCGCGTCGGTCCGGACCTCGGGTAAACCCCCGACGCTTGTCGAATCGTGGCGGCCAGCGGGGGGGTAGAGAGCACCCAGACCACGTAAACGAACACGCCTCGTCGTCTTCGCCCGGCCGGCCCCCTCCCAGCCGCAACGGACGCGGGTATAGACCTCGGGCAGAGAACTGGGGTCGACACCCCTCGTCCACCTCAGCAGCGCAGTCGTAAATACGGAGGCAATTGGCGGATGCGGATACTGCTGCTAAGTGACGGAGCACCTACACGGGCTCGGTCGCGCTCTACTTGGGAGTCTTGGTCTGACCCGCCCCCGACCTGTATACTCTTACAAACCACCGTCGGAACCGTGACTTGACGTTGCGGCTTCTATTCATATATTGCTGTCATTGCGGGTAGTAATCAGCCAGGATGACGGCGTGTACAACAAATTGCCAATGCAATAATTTCCGCGTTATTCTCGTGTGGAGGGACGGCATAGGTCTTTTCTTATTTTTCCACGACGTGACGACCCCCGGTACCAAACTATGGTTACGAAAGGAGTTCTCATGACCGTCTCTCTACGACCGACACCCATCGGCCAGCTGTGGACCGCCCCGCGATGGGCTCTCCCAGAAGCATACTCGGTAGTGGGAATGCATTTGTCTACATCGTGACGGGCCACGACTTTCATGCATGGGACGGAAATTTCGGATCATGAAATCCTTTTTTGCGGGGGGCGTTGGCGTAGGAGGCATCGGTGCTTTTCTCCGAGCATACGACCACTAGGTACAGGAAAGGGGGGGGTTCCCGTCTACTATGTGATAACAGAAAATAAACCAGTCCGGGAGTCGATACCCGCGTGCGGAGAGCCACTTGGGTATCGCGAAAGACCGACCAATCTCTGTCCACCTCCCCCCTTCATTCTGCTATACATGAGCTTTCTCAGACAATAGCAGTGCAGGGTATATAAGTCTCGGGCGAGAAACAGAATTCCGCCGTCTATCCACTCCTGCTCCTCCCCCCCTCCTACTCCCAACCTCCTGGCATACGAATCAAGGGGAAACGGAGGGAAAGAGGGAGAGAGCCAGAAGAAAAGAAACGGAGTGATGAAAGACGATAAATTGTATCTCGGACGGCCCTATCTACGCACCGCTCTTTGCCGCTGGGTATCACGGGAGATGACTCCTACTATTACTATTATTATTACTACTACTACAACCACTACTATTACAACTACTCCGACGACGACGACGACGACTACTACCACTGCCACCCGCAACAGGACAACATCGGCCGATTCCGGCCAGAATTTAAGTTAATAGAGAGACTACTTCTCATCATCATCGTGTGCCATATGTGTTCCTGTGTATGTGTAGTGTGCTCCCCCTCTACTCTGACTCCAGGAGTAAATCCCTCTGACGTAGCTACTCGTACCGGGCGCGTGAGGCATGATACCGACGTGAGGCGACGTCCGCCCGGCTCGTTGCGTGACTACGATGTCGATTGCCACGCCGACGAATCCTAGGTTAGCCTTTTTTTTTGCTTTCGCTTGTCTCGTCACAAATAAGTCTACTAGCTGCTACGTAGCTCCCCACTGCGTAGTCGTCCCTCAGCTTCCCCTGCGTAGCGCGGCGGAATCGCGCCTGGGACAAGCGCGTACGTCCGGGTCTGTGCGAAGGCAGGCGGGTGTGAACCGGCGGCGGGGGTGTAGGCGTGGCGGGGAGGGGGCAGACGCGACGAGGCGGCGCGTAGTGAGGGAGCGTTGGATCGAGGCAAGGCTGGAAGAAGACGAAAAAAACGGATAGGCGGGTGATCGCGAGGACGGGGGATATATTACACGCGTAGGCATCCCGCACAGGGGAGTCGTTCTCGGCGTGCTGGCTGGCTGGCTGGCTGGCCGCCGGCCCCTACGCACGCACGCACGCACGGAGTCTCCAGGTCACGCAGCAGACACGGCCTCGGGCCCGGATTAACGAATTCTCTTGTATTGCCCTCGCCGCGGCCCTGCCTTAACCCGGGCTGGTTCCCGCCCGCATTCGTAGTATCGTCGCGTCTCGTGCCCTCGTCGCATCGCGGCTCCGCCTAGAGAAGACTCCGGACGCCTGCCCCCCCCCCACCGCGAGCATCCGACGCATTGCCCTCGCAGCCTCGCGCGGAAAGGCCTGCCTACATTCTATAGATAGATATATCGGCGTCGCGCACGCCGGCGCGCTCTTCTCTCCGGCAACCTAGCCCCCGCTGACATGGTCCCCGTCTCACTCCCGCGTTCAGCCGTAGGCCTTCGTATAGGCCTGCGCGCGGCGGCAGATCGATCTGCTGCGCCTCCGCCTCGCATTCCCGCCGCCGCCGCCGCCGCCGCCGCCGCCGCCGCCGTGTGACGCGCTGCCTCCCGCGCGCGTACCGGCTCTTTTCGCAGCGCCGCGCGGGCCCGCGCCGACAGGCGGACCCGGCGCGCTTAGAACTCCTCGACCGCGCAGTTGGGGTGCAGCACGTACACGACCCGCTGCGAGGGCGCGGGGTCTCCGTCGCCGGCCGCTGCCGCCGTCGCCTGCGCCTCGGCGTCCTCTTCGGCGAGCCCCTCGCCGCGCACCGCCATGAGGATGTTGTCCTGTTTTAGGGGGGGAGGTCTCGTTAGCGCGCGGTTCGGCTGCTGGATGGGCATAGACGGAGGGACGGGAAGAGGGTAGTAGTGTGTACAAGAGTCCGCGGGGGGGAAGCAGGGAACGGAATACGAGAAGATGAGAAGATGAAGAAAAGGAAAAAAAAGGGGGAATGGAGGGGGCCGCAAGGAAACTCACCTTGACCATCTTCCGCAGCACCATCTTCGCGATGCCCAGCTCGCGGTGGTAGTCCTCCTCGCCCTCGAGCTCGTTCTCTATCTGCTCGAGGTACCACTGCGCGAGCGCCTCGCCGTCGACGCCCTCGCCCGCCCCCGACGCCTCGTCCTCGTTCACCCGCGACACGATCAGGTTCACCATCGCCACGTACTTGTCGTACGTGATGGCCGTCTTCTTCCGCGCCGGCGCCGCGTCCGCGGTGGAAGGCTGCTCGCTAGCCCGGCCCGCCTCCGCCCCCGCGTCGCCCTCGCCCATCGCCGCGTCGCCGTCCTCGTCGTGGCTAGTCACCCCCGCGGCCGCGTCCGCGGCGGCCAGGAGCGCGGCGGAGTCGTCTTCGGGCGGCACGTCTTCGCCGTTGGCGGCGCCGGCGCCGTCCCCGTCGTCGTCGTCGTCGTACATCTCGACGTCGTCGTGCTCGACCGAGATGATGCTCTGCCGCAGCAGGTTGGACGCCTCGTCGACGAAGTCGGGCGTGATCTCCTCGACGCAGTTGGCCTTGGCGATGGCCTCGGAGAGCCGGATCAGGCTCTCGAGCTGGCGCACGGTGATGCGGTACGAGTGGCGGCCGACGCCGCCCTGGGCGTCGTCGGCGCGCAGCTCCTTGTACTTGGCGACGAGGCGCTCGCGCGCCTCGGGCGCGAACTCGGGCCGGAACGTGCGCGCGAACCGGATGTAGCGCTGGAGCCGCTCGGTGCCGAACTCGGGCTCGATGGCGGCGTCGCGCAGCGCGTGGATGCCGACGATGTGCTCGGCGAGGTGGCGGTCGACGGCCTCGTTGCACTCGTCGAGCACGACGAAGAAGAGGTCGAAGCGCGACATGATGGGCGCCGACATGTTGATGTTGGCGCGCAGCGTCGTCTTGCGGTTGTACCGGCCGCCGACCGGGTTCGCCGCCGCGAGGATCGACGTGCGCGCGTTGAGCGTCGCCTGGATGCCCGCCTTGGCGATCGAGATGGTCTGCTGCTCCATCGCCTCGTGGATCGCCACCTGGTCCGCGATGTCCATCTTGTCGAACTCGTCGATGCAGCAGATGCCGTTGTCCGCCAGCATGAGCGCGCCCGCCTCGATCGTGAACTCGCCCGTCTCCTCGTCCTTCATCACCGCCGCTGTGAGACCGGCCGCCGACGACGCCTTGCCCGACGTGTAGACGGCGCGGGGCGCGAACGAGCAGACGTACTTGAGGAACTGCGACTTCGAGGTTGACGGATCGCCCACGATGCAGATGTTGATGTCGCCTCGGAGCGCCATACCTTCGGCCGTCGTTTTGTGCACGCCGGACATCAGCTGCAGGAGCAGACCCTTCTTGACTATCTCGTGGCCATATACCGTAGGCGCGAGCGACTGGACGAGACGATGGTAGATGTGGTCGCTGTGGACCATCTCACGGAGCTCGTCGATCTCGCTGGGCGTCATCGAGTTTAGGACCGCCGTTTGAGCCTCTTCGACACTTTCGCCCGAGTCAGTCGAGGTTTGGGTGAGAGAATTGATGATGTCGCGGGCCTGTCGCGAGGCAGATTGGCCCTGCCCGGACGTGTCGGGGGTGACCATGTTGGCGAGGAAAGCGAGTCGGTAGGTGAGATCACGTACGCCGAGAGACTTGAGGCCGGAAACTCCACTACCGCCGACATCGTTGTTGCGCGTCGCATCTCGGTCGTCTCGGATCGCTACCGGCCTGACTCCGGGAAGGCCCAGCTGGCTCACGTCCGGCACCACGATCAGGGCGCCCGTGAATATGCATTTCTCGCCGGCCTTGGCCCGGTCAACCATCTCGCCCCGTAGGATGACGTCCATCGTCCGTGGCATGCTGCCGGTGGGGATTTCCGAGCTGTTCTCTTGGATGCGGACCTTCTGCCAGTCGACAAAGGTGCTCTGCCGAATGTCGAGCTGCCACGCGAGACGGTTTCCGCACTCTGCGTTAGGACACTGTGTCGGCTCCGTATATCGGAACGTCTGCTCGACGTTTGGTATGACCGAACGGCAGTTCTCGCAGATGAAGGTCCCCAGCGACAGCTCGGGCCGCACTTCCGACGTGCGAGTCACGGTTCCGGATATAGAGAGAAGCTGGCCGACGTTCCTGGCCCGCAGGCTACGAATGCGGGAGACGAGAGGTAGGTTGTAAAAGGCAATGGCGAACAGCTTGTCTGTCTGCTGGTTAGCCGTCTTGCTCCCCTGGAGCTCCGATTGGCTGGCCGAGCCGACGTTGCTCGCGCCCGACGTGGTCTGGTTGCTGGAAGCCGTGGCTTGACGATGCTCGCGGAAGTACTGCGGTTCGTACTTGGCAATCATGTTGTGTAAGGCATTGGTGAGGAAGGGTAGAAATCGGTAGTATTGGGTGTTGATGGCATTGGCTAGGCCGCCATTCTGGTAGCTGGCGACGTGGCTGTAGTTTACGTAGAAGGTGGATAGCTGGTAGATACGCATGCCGTGGATTTGAGCGACGTAGAACTTGTCGGTGGTTACGGCGCTCGATGTCGGCGCACCGGAGGACAACGGGTCTTCGATAAACCTAATCACCAGTCAGCGAGACTGGCCAGATCGGCGAGGCAGAGGCAGCTCACTCTTCGATGAAGGTCTCAAAGTGCTCTTGGACGGTGATACCAATCCTATCCTCCACCCGCGGGACGCTACCGGGATCCCGTCTTCTTGTGCGGCCAGGGACCTGGTCATCTGCGAAGCCGTCGGCCTCGTCGTCGCTGGGTGCTGCCAGACTCTCAGACGGCGGTCCTCGCGGACGTGCTGAAGAACCTCTGGCGAATTGTCTCTGCCTAGGGGTAGTGGCAGCCCTGGAAGGGGCGTCGGACATGGGAAAGCCAGCATCACTCGGAGTCGCCATTGTGAAGAGGGGGAAAACTGCGGCAATACCAACAAACGGGTTTTTGGGCGATGTTGGGAGGGAAAGGCGGTCACTGCGAGGTCCAACCAGATATTAAAAATTACGGAGGGGCAGAATGGGTTGGGACGCGTCGCGTGGAGAAAATGGCCAGGGGAACGCGATACTCTACCAGGCCAATCACAGGCGTGTACTCTAAGTGCTTGCATATGCCAAGACGCGATAAGCAACTATCGGGTTAGATGCATATACTATTGCATATTGCCGAGCAAGAATCGCATTAAAAGAGTATCTGAAAATCGGGAACTGCATCTCCAGTCCACTCTTCTTCCCATACCTTACCTACCTACATCTTAGGTATCGTCAAAACTTATTCTTACTCTACACAACACATAAGCTATTTGAGTTCCCTCATCTTCCGCTATCCTATATAGCTTCCGGTGTATCTTTAAGACCCCTCTACGAATCTCTCAAGGGGCCGGTTTCCCAGGCATAAAAGGTCGATCTTGGCATCAAACCCTCTGTGAAAGATCGAGGATCTCCGGCTACCAAGACCAAACGAGACCAGGCCACGGCCGGGCAGCCGTGAGTGCAAACACTCCATATAGCCCTCTCATCCACGCCCATGTCATCATTAAGGAGACCAGTCCCTCCTGCGACGTAGAGAGCAATGGCACCAGAGTTGTCCTCCAACTGGAAACAGCTTCAAGCAAAGATCAAGGCCGAGTCCACCAGTACCGCTATCTCTCCCGCCACCACCGCTGCTACCACTGCCGCCCCCTCCGCAAACAGAGTCTCCCACAAGAGGAGAGCTACTAGCAACCTTCCGTCAGAATCCCCTTCCAAACGGCAGAAGTCCCAAACCCCCCACAAGGCCCTGGCACAATATCCGCCACCCTCGGGTACGCCCGCCAAGAGCCGTCGCCAGCCCTCAGCAAAGCCAAAGATGGGCGTCACGCAGTCCTCTGCGATCGCGCGGGGGACGCCGGCGACGGTCGCGCCATCGCTCGCGCTCTGGGCCGAAGACAACGACGTGTCAGCCGAGGCCCTGGCGGAGGCATACGGCCTGGGCGTGCGGGACAACGCGGCGCTGAAGACGGGGGGCGCGCCGCGGGTCAACGAGGGCCTAGCGGCGGGGATCGAGGTAGGCAAGTACGTGGCGCTGGACTGCGAGATGGTGGGGGTGGCGGGGCCGGGCGGGGAGGTGTCGGCGCTGGCGCGGGCGAGCGTGGTGGACTTCCACGGGCGGCAGGTGTACGACTCGTTCGTGCGGCCGGCGGAGCGGGTGACGGACTTCCGGACGGCGATCACGGGGATCACGGCGCGGACGCTGGCGGCGGCGCGCGGCTTCGACGAGGTGCGCGCCGCGGTCGCCGCGCTGCTGCGCGGCCGCGTGCTCGTCGGCCACGACCTGCGCCACGACCTCGCCGCCCTCCAGCTCGACCACCCGGACCGCGACGTCCGCGACACCGCGCGCTTCGCCGGCTTCCGCCGCTACGGCAACGGCCGCCGCCCCGCGCTGCGCGCCCTCGCCCGCGAGATCCTCGGCGTCGAGATCCAGAACGGCTCCCACTCCAGCATCGAGGACGCCCGCGTCGCCATGCTGCTCTTCCGCCGCCGCAAGTCCGACTTCGACGTCCAGAACGCGGCCAGGTACGGCCTGCTCGAGACGTCGACGGCGACCGAGACCGTCGGTGGCGCAAGTAGGAATGCGGCAAGGGGCGAAGGGGCGGCGAAGAAGAAGAAAAAGAAGAAGAAGAAAAAGAAGAAGAAGAAGAAGCATTGATGTTGGAAAAGATAAAGCATGGAAGCGGTGATGAATGGAGTATGCATATGGGAAGTGATACTCTATAATACTAATCTCTGTACATACAATATTTCGTCCGCCGCACGGCGGCGTCTGCTGATTTACCGTTGTGGTGTGCAGGACAGTTCTCCAAGCTCTGCCCGCCCCAGCCACCTTCCATATCGTGAGCGCATCTTTTCCGTTCTATCATGGAAACGAATGCGTGTTTTCTCGTAAACGGAGGAACCAAGACTTTGGATGAGCTCCTCGGATCGATCTGGATAATAATACTCCGAGAAAAATTCTTCTCCTGTTGTGTACACACTATGGGCAGTTCCAGAAGACTGAAGCCCGACCCCTATTCGCATTATGATAATACCGCAACGGCCCCAAACAACTACCTACATCAAATCGCCCCTAACTACTCCCATTAAATGTTGAGTTTCCAGCTTGTGCTGCTAAGTAGCTAACTACTACTACGGCACAATCTCCAGAGGGTGTTGCCCAGTCTCAGTCTGAGTAGTCTAGGGAACAGGCGGGGTTTTGAGACGAGAAATGGGTTCACACTTTCGTACACACCATCATAGCAACCTAGGTCATCGATATACCCCACGAGGTCTCTTTGCTCTTTGCGCACACTGAGCATCGGTGATTGGCATTCAGCTGGCGTCCTCAATTCTGCCGTGAATCCGTTATACCAAAAATGACCTGTCATGGCTGTCAGATTGCCTCAGACTATTATCTCCGCTTATTGGTTGTCGCTGTCGAGTTCGCAAATCACTGTATCACCGTGTGATTTCCCCTTAATCTATCCTCATTAGACATCTCGACGATAAAAGTTGTAAGCTAATACAAGTTATAGGTTAGCCATGTAGAAGTAACGCCACTACCGTCATGAGCGTCACATGGCTAATATCTCTGGAAACGTACGGTATGGGGCGTCTATTATTGCACAACAGTAAGTACACCGTTGCACGACTATAAATTGAAGTTTTCACGGAAATCTAGAATATGCTGCGGCTTGTTGCCAATTCGGTCCACCGCGACAATGGGGGAACTGAATTCTTCCAAGGGGAATATCACAAACAGCCTGCCTGGAGACTCGGTGGGAGAAGCGACAATGCCCCCTTTTTAGTCTGCCTACCTCCTCATGGGCTCGACTAATCATATCGGTATGCCCTCCATTAGCTCCATGGCGCCCTCCCGCCCAACGGTTATAATCACATCTCCGAGCGTCTTCGTCACGAACCCAGCTTCGCAATACGAGAAGTAGTACTAAGAACGAAACAGAGATCATGTTAGTTGATGGTTCAGCATTACCTCGTATCCTATCCCCAAGTCACACGTCTCATCTAGGTAGGGACAGCAAAGAGAAGACAGAAGATAAGAGATATAAAGGGACCATGGGGACAAACGTACCACCCACTTCCGCTTGAACACGTCGATCTCCCGCTGTGTCATCTGCGGGGACCCCGCCGCAAGGGCCGGCGAGATGACGGACTCGAAGTTGCGCAGGAAATTCTCCCTCCACAGGCGCAGCGTCTTGGCGTAGTGGCCCCCGATGTTCTCAACCCGTTCCACGATCAGCGTTCCGCCGGACTCCTTCGAGATGTGGTCGAGGAGCTGTGTTGTGGAGGGCAGGTATCCGTTGGGGAATATGTACTTGTTTATGAAGCTGCGGCAGATAAGTCAGCAGGGCAGTGTCAACAACTTGGTCATAGTAGCCAGCTCCGCTCCCCTATTACACTGACGAGGCAGGAATTGAAACAAGGCAAAAGGGGAAATCTCACTCTTCCGACTTAGAGTAAGTCGCGTGCCTCCCCTCGGGCATGGTGATACACTGGAACATGGCAATGCCGTCTCTCTTGAGCAACCGGTGAATACATGCGAAATATGTACCGAGATATTCCTGCCCTACTGCTTCCAGCATCTCTATCGAGACGATCTTGTCGTAGGTGACTGTAGACGGCAGGTTGCGGTAGTCCATCAGCCACACCTCGATTCGGCTCGAAAAACCCGCCGCTTCGATGCGCTTTTCGGCGAGCGCCTTCTGCTCCTTCGACAACGTCAGGGTGGTCACCCGGCATCGTGTGCACTTCACGGCTTCGATGGCAAACGATCCCCATCCCGTTCCGATCTCGAGGATGTGGTCGGTGGGCTTTATTCTCGCACCGTTGATGAATCGGTGGAGTTTCGTCGTCTGCGCTTCGTTTAGGGTTTCCTCTCGCTGGTATGGGGGCACCTGGAGACTCCAGATTGGGCAGGAGTAGGTCATATCCTCTGAAAGAAAGGCCGCAAACATGTCGTTGCTTATATCGTAATGGGCCGAGATGTTTAAAAGGGAGTTGGATAGCGTATTCGTGGTTCGGGCGGCGCTTGATATTGCGCCAGATATCGAAGAGAAGAGCGTGGTCCCGTTGTTCAACCGATCCCTATTCGCAATAAAGATCTGTCCCATTTCCATCAGCTACGGTATAGTACGATCAGGTAGGTGATAGGCTGCCAACCTGGAAGAAAGCTGTCAAATCCGCGCATTCGAATTCGCCCAACATGTAAGATTCGGCAAATCCCATGTCGGCGAAGAGGAACAAGCGCATCCAGAAGGCATCGTCCTTGACTCTGACTTCAACGCTGGGGATAACGTCTGCTCGCCTGGTGTTGCTATTTGCGCTAGGAGACCCGAAGCTTTTCGACAGGGGCTTCTGCCCATATACCGATCTGAGCCCCGCCGGCTCGTCAACTAACAGCAGTGTTCCAACCGTAATTCTAGAGAAGATATCAAGGATGACTGGTTTCACTACCGCCAAGGCCGGCTCCCAAGTGAGACTTCCCAGCGCTCCGCGGACAGCATCGACTCCACGAGTGAGCGACCGAGCGATAATCGATGGCATCGGGGAGGCCATGTTGCATTCGCCGCTTTCAAACCTGGCTAGAGGTTCGCGAACAGCCGCGCACTCCGCCCCTACGCAAGCATTAACCGCAAGATTGGCTGGTGTTGCTAGAAAACAACAGGTTTACATAGGCAACCCGGGATACCCTACAACCAAACAGCCTCTTCCCCGAGTAAAACCGTCGTAGGCAGAACTGCAGAGGAGGAAGGAATCAAGGGGAAGTGAAGAAAAGAGCGACCATGAACGTATGCATACTGTATATAGTAGAGTGGCACGGGGAAGTACACTTCCCGAAGCACCGACTTCAAGCGATCTCTCCGTTACGTGCATTAAGTGGCCGATCCGGAATGATCTTGGATCCGCACGCAGTTACATTCATGCCACGGCTTGTTCCAACAGGATTATACTCCCCCAGCAGAAAACGTGACCCCCTCCGGGTCTTGTGCATCTTGCTCCGCAGAGGATAGGCGGCAGTGTTGTGGGTTGGGACAGGGATACATAGCTCGGGACATGTCCGGGAAGGGGACCCGAGGGCTGGCCCCCGAAGTTGTACTGGGTTATAGTAGAGCCCTTCACGAAGAAGCGACACGGCCGGAAAAACGCAGTGGATGCTGCATGGCAAGGACGTCAACGACAGTCTGGTTGGAATCTGTCGGTTCGGGTGTGCTTTGACGCAGATCTTCAACCCCTGAGAGGTGATTGGGGGGGTCTGGGAGACGTCAACGCGGCATGCGAGCGGATGAAAGAGGCGTGTAGTTGAACCCACCCAATAACAGCCTGCGCACGCAATCTTTCAAGCCTCGATCGTTAGCTCGAATGTGTTGACGCAGATCGAGCCGGTGGATCTCCCTGCACGTCCTAGGGACCATAATAGGTATTCCCTCCGATCCAGCGTTCGGCATTTTATTGAAACCGGGATCAAGACGCAAGGGGGGGTCTCATTGGATTTCACAGACGGGTCTCTTGGCGGGAATTTACAGTCGCATCAGCCGCCCCGTAGTTGGAATGTCGTGATACCTATTGCGTCTGATAACGGCTTTCGCTATGACATGCAAATTTGGGCGTCTCTCGCGGCCATGGGACCTACCACAAACAAGGCTGGCGGGGTGACGACAGCGACCTGCTCGCAAGTGCCAAAACGGATGAGTGTTGCGGGAACAACGAAGGGGTGTGAGACACAGAAGACCACCGGTCTGATCGTGGCTTCATCGTGGCCAGCCAGAGACCGTCGATGCGCTGCCTCTTTACCGAATACCGGGGATTAGGAGGCAGCCTCGTTTTACGACGTCGTAGTACTGCTCGGTAAGGACTACCGAGTGGTAGCCAAGTGGCTACCCGAGCCCGAACAATATCGATCACGGCCGTATCTAGCCTACGGACTCTGAGAAGCTCTGCTTACGCCAAAGTGCATAGCTCGTCAAATCGAGGATTTCCTTGGACGATCCAGATTTATCGGCCGCGAAGGCACCTTTCTCGGGAACGTCTGCTCAGAAGACATGGCCACAGAGGAGACTGAGTAAAACAATACAAAGCCATAGAGGAGATCGGGTAAACAAGAAAATAAGTGGCTATTTACGAGGCTGAGAGAGGACTGACAGTATGACGAGAGGGAAGGGATGTAGCAAATGGTATGACGTAAAATCGACGAATAATAAGGGGCTAGAATTGCAGGGGAAACCTCGATACTAGGATAGACAAATAGAAGAATGGCTTAATGCAATACCAGCTATAATCAATTCTACTTTAGACAAAATAGACCGGGCCAGAATTCAACGCGTCTCTCAGAGTGATTTATTTGTCATACGCGTCGCACTTCAACTTATCGGCTTCCAACCACCCACCTCTCGGCCTTGTCTCATCGATCCCCCCTGTGTAGTTCATATTGTATTCTAGCTACGCAGATTTAAAAGAGAGAGGAAAAGAATATTAAGATGGCCGCCCCGGTGTTCACCGTCGATCCCCAGGCATCGCTCACGAAGAAAAGCCAGGTCCACCTGCTGCCTTGTCGCATACACCACGACGGCAATGTCGACCCGATTGGCACGTACTGGAACCCTAGCGAAGGCCCAGGTATGTAGGGGACAGGTCGACCCAGCGCCCCGATTCCCAGCGACAACGAGAGAACCACGCGCATCCTAACCCTGTTGCGGATGAGGACAGACGGGAAAAAGATAGCCTACCTACGGGGACGGAAACTGTACGGCAAAGCTACGAAACTGCCCGAAGGCTACTACGGCTCCGTTGTGGAAAAGTCCGAGGCGAAGAAGCCCAAGACGGATGAAGGTGCGATGGAGGACGTTGTAGCGGAAGAGGATTTCGAGGACGCTCTCGACGTTGGCGCCATGCAGGGGAGGGCAGCGTTTGACGAGCTCACGATCTGGGGCCACGAGTCGACGACAGACGCCCACGAGGACCCGTACGTGCGGAGTATGGAGGAATGGGTATCCTTCGCAGAACAGGTCGGTCGAGTCGTATATCCATCTCTCGAGATCGGACTGAGAAATGCTGACGCTTAAAGCAAATGCATCTAGATCCACTCGTATCCTGCCGTAGATGTTTCGAGCAAAAAGCCTGAATTATGCAGAGCATAATTCAGTTATTAATTTGTTTGTTGCCGGGCGTATAAATCCCGGCGTTGGGACTCGCGCCTCGTGCCGTCAGACACCACACCCCGTGGAGTATCATGGATATCAATAGGAGATTAAGCACAGAGATCAAGACGTCACATAGAGCTGTCCTTGGAGTAGATGTAGGAAGTACGATATAACGAGCCGGAATTGCCTGACGACGAGGACAGGTTGGAAAGTATCACCAAATTCGGGCGTTAAAGATGTCCGGTTAGTTGCATATTTGCATACCCTTATATACATGGAACAATATTCAGAGCACACCGCCAATTACCTAAACAATGCGTATCTCTTACCTAATCATCTTATATTAGAGTTGCCCCTCCAAGCTCAACTCGGTCCATTCATCGGTTTCCTTCCCTGTCAACCATCCATTTCCCATCCGACCAACCCACCCGCGATTTCATCGAGCCGACCGCCAACGCCATCAGATCCCATCATGAGCCCGAGCGCGGCGGGCGGCGAGGCCGCCGTAGGCCCCGACGGGCCGCGCCAGAAGAGCCGCGCGACGGCCGACACGATACGGGTCGGCTGCATCGCGATGGTCGAGAAGGACGGGCAGGCGCGGCGCGCCGAGATCCTCAGCATCCGCGACACGAAGAGCGGGCGGCAGTGCTACTGCAACTTCGACAACTTCAACAAGCGCCTGGACGAGTGGGTGCCGGTGCGCCGCATCGACTTCGAGCAGGACGTCGAGTGGCCCAACCCGGACAAGGACAAGCCCAAGGACGGCAAGGGCAAGAACTCGACCGCGCCCAAGCGCAAGGTCGGCGGCAACAAGGCCCAGAAGCGCCCGGCCAAGCGCGAGCAGTCCGTCGCCTCCGAGGCCGTCACCCCCCGCCCGTGGGCCGACCCCTTGTCCGCCGGCGCCGGCGCCGCCGACGGCAGCGCCGGCAGCAGCCAGGCGCAGTCGAAGGCGCCGTCGACGCCGCGCGACCTCGAGGCGGCGGCGGCGTCCCGCGCGGCCGAGACGCCGACGGCAAACGGCGACGAGATGGACGTCGACGAGGACGAGGGCGGCGCCGGCGGCGCGCCGGCGGACAGGGCCCGCAAGGAGGACGGGTTCAGCCGCGAGGCCGAGATCGAGAAGCTGCGCACGGGCGGGTCGATGACGCAGAACCCGGCGGAGCTGGCGCGGATCCGCAACATCTCCAAGGTGCAGTTCGGGCAGTGGGACCTGTTCCCGTGGTACTTCTCGCCGTACCCGGAGGCGTTCACGCAGGAGGACCTGATCTTCATCTGCGAGTTCTGCCTCAGCTACTACGGCGACGCCAAGTCGTTCGCGCGCCACCGGCAGAAGTGCACGCTGCAGCACCCACCCGGCAACGAGATCTACCGCGACGACTACGTCTCCTTCTTCGAGATCGACGGCCGCCGCCAGCGCACCTGGTGCCGCAACCTCTGCCTGCTCTCCAAGATGTTCCTCGACCACAAGACGCTCTACTACGACGTCGACCCGTTCCTCTTCTACGTCATGACCCAGAAGGACGACAAGGGCCACCACCTCGTCGGCTACTTCTCCAAGGAGAAGGAGAGCGCCGACGGCTACAACGTCGCCTGCATCCTGACCCTGCCGCAGTACCAGCGCCGCGGCTTCGGCCGCCTGCTCATCCAGTTCTCCTACGAGCTGTCCAAGATCGAGGGCAAGCTCGGCTCGCCCGAGAAGCCGCTGTCCGACCTCGGCCTGCTCAGCTACCGCCAGTACTGGTCCGAGAACATCGTCGAGCTCCTGCTCGACTGCAACGCCCGCGACGAGAAGTCCAGCATCGAGTCCATCTCCGCCGCCCTCGCCATGACCACCCAGGACGTCGAGCACACCCTGCAGGCCCTCCGCATGCAGGTCTACCACAAGGGCGAGCACAAGCTCGTCGTGCCCGACGCGCTCATCCGCCAGCGCGACCGCGCCCGCCAGAAGAAGCGCCGCTCCATCGCCCCCGAGCGCATCCAGTGGAAGCCCCCCGTCTTCACCGCCTCCTCGCGCACCTGGGGGTGGTAGGCCGTCGCCGCCATCCCCCCCCCCCCGCTTCTTTTTATCCTCTCAGTTATGCGAATTACTTTTGGTTGGGTTTCCCACGGCGTCGGAGGAACCGGTGTACCCAAAATAGGAAAGAAGACAGAATGGCAGCACGGAACGGATAGCATTGTGTATGTATGCATGGGCGGCCGGCGGTCCGAAAGAGTTCGTTAGTAGAGTCGATTAGATATGCCTACCTAGATACCCAAATTTGCACCATTTTTACTTATATTCTTCTCTCCCTGTTCACAACGTAGTCTGTCCTCAGTGCTAAGGGTGTGGTGCTCGTCCACATCCCGGTCTCTATCCGCGTCCGGCCGTAGATAGCGTCTTTGCGGCGTCGGTGCCGTCTACTTTCTATACCACGTCCCGTCCCGCCTCGCACGCAGCGCAACGCAAACATAATATGTACTCTTTCGGAGCGACTGGAAATGCCTCGCTTCCTCCCTCCCTTTCTCTATATATACTTTCCCCACTTCAACTATGCCCTTTCTACGACAGGGCTGCTATAAACGTGTAAAAAGTAGGTATCGCGAGAGCAGACTCCGACTCCAAGCGCGCAGATCCCTCCCCTCCGCGTCCTCGGAACGAAACGAACGGCGACAAGGCTCCGTAGCTATAATAATCGCGCACGCTCCCATTACTTGCACGCCTATCTAGTGTGTTTCAGGTGGTAAGGAGATGAGATAAATCATATCTCGTACGGTGTCGCGGGGTCCTTGAATATTAGGTGCGGTTTCCGCTTGGCGATGTCGAGAATGGTTTCCGCGAAGACGCCGTTGGCCCCTGCGGGAGCGGCCATGGTTAGCTGCAGACCGGAGTCGCGGGGGTTTGGGGGTGGATAAGCGGTGGGGGACGGGACTAGGATAAATGGATTTGAAAGATAAAAATAAAAATAAAATCAACTCACATGCGAACCAACTTCCTGAGCACCTGGTAGTTAGCAAAGTGGTCTCGGAGACTAGTCGAAGGGGAGGGACAAGGGGGGCCGCAGGCTTACTCGTGTAAGAATGATCCAGGTTGACGTTGATGCTCTCGTGGACTAGGCCGAGCTTGCTGGACTTGAGGACCAACTTGAGGCACTCCATGATCTCCTCATCGTCGTCAGACGTCTGGGCCTGGATGAGCAGGCTCATGGGCCACGCGTTAGAGAGGCCGACGTGCGGACCTTTATTTTTTTTGGAAATACATCTGTTAGCCTAGCACGTGCAATTGGAACCGAACCACGAGTGGGAGGGCGAAGAAAAAGGCGCCAAAAAAAAAGGGACAACAAACCGCCTATGCCTTTGAAATCTCGCCCGACGAGGTAGTAGGGGTTCGACGCCTTAGAGAGCAGCATGCGCCGCGTGTTCCGGTACGTCTCGTCGTTGGCCGACACGAAACCCATGAGCGGCAAGGCCAGGAGCGAGGGGTAGTTCGCGTCGTCCATCAGGATGGAGGACCCGTACCCGTCGACCTCGTACGCGAAGACTTCGCCGAAGACGCTGTGGCGCACGACGCCGTGCTCCCAGACGCCGTCGGCGATCGTGCGGCTCCACTTCTCGACCGTCTGGGCCAGAGCGTTCTCGCCGGCGTCGGCGAGCACCTTGGACGCCCTCTTGAGCTCGACCGCCATCATGGCGTTCGCCGGGATGAAGAAGCCGAGGATGGTGGCATCGTCGCTCGGCCGGAACGCGGACCGTACGAGGCCGGTGCCGTTGTTGAGGGGGTTGCCCACGCCCCTGAGGTTGAGCGTCTCGGTGCCGGTATTCGTGTTGCGGTTGAAGGTGTACTCGTTGCGGCGGTAGAGACCGGTGGCCGAGTCGAAGGTGGGCTGAGACTGCTGTTCGAGCACGTTCAGCACCGTTTTCAGGGCCAGGTACCAGCGCGGCGTCAGAAACTCCCTCGATCCGGTGTGATCGTTGAAATCATTGGACAGCGCTAGGAAGTGCGCGAGGGAGTCCAATTCGTACTTGCATTCGAAGACGAAGGAAGGCTCGTAGGCGGGGTGGACGACGTCGTCCTGGCCGTTGTGCGATACGGGGAGGCCGCTGATGGGCGGGGGCTGAAAAGCGTTGCAGTACGGCGACTCGATCACGTACTCGGCCTGGGTGTTTATGGCGCCAAGGATTAGGTTATACAGCTTTGGGTCCTTCTTCGCCAAGGGCTGGTAGGGGGAAAGCTGGTTGGTCGAGTCCCTGAGCCACTCGGCGACGATGTCTCCGGTGATGATAAATGAGTGCGGACCTTCCCACTTGCCTTCGTCGTACGGACTTGTCTTGGGCTTCTTCTCCCCCTCAGACCCGGCAGTGTGAAATTTCACAGTGGTGTCCGTCGTAGACTGCGTACGTCGTCTCCGTTAGCGACACCACTCGACGGTACACGGTTGCGTAAGCGGGATGGGGTGGGGGCAGCGAGAGCAGGATGTGCAACGGCAACAGTCGGGCATTGGAGGGGAAGACTGACAGGGAAAGCATTCTCGAAGAGGCGCGCAAGGTCGAGGTCCTTCATGCGCGAGGTGACATCTTGTATGACCTGCTCTATGGCATCGGAGTGAAAGGTGCGACAGCGGGGATCGGGCCGCTGGAAGGGGAGAGAAAGAGGGCCCTCGCTGAGGGGGCGATGTCGGTAGGTGGAGTAGTAGGTGTAATCGGGGCAGGCTTCTCCGTAGGCGAAGTCGTTTAAGGGTATCTGGCTGTGGCCGTATTGTTGAGAGCTCGAGGCCGGTGCCAGGGCCAGACACAGGCATAGGAGGACCAGCAGCAGATCTGCGCGCAGCGAGCCTGCCATGATGCGGCGCGAGCTGCTGCGGCTCCGGGCTCTCAGCAGGCCGATCAGAAAGTGGTCGCGAAGATAGATGCAGCCTCCAGGGGGGGGGGGGTTCAGAGCATCGCAGGGCGCGTCGCAGGGCGCGTCGCAAGACTTTCGACGGGTTCGGAGGCTCAAGGCTCTGGTACGAAAAGGCGACGTCTCGGCTCAGACGTACCGTTGGGGGCGTAGATAGGTAGGTAGGTAGTCTGCAGGATTACAGCGGTGCCTACAGACAGGCACGGTAGATTAGGCGCCCAGGGCACCTAGGGTATCAAAGTATGAAGCCGGAGGGTCACAGGCACAGGATAGAAATGATCCAGACTTATAGAGAGAGAGGAGAGGAATAGACAGAGAAGACACGTCGACACGGTGGGCAATTAAATATTTCTTCACGGGCTTTAACCGGTACGTCGGAAAGCTAGGTAAGGAGGACGGAAGGCTCTTGGGAGATGGCAAGCCGTGATCCCTTGACTTGCATTTATCGAACGCCCCTACAGAACTTGGTGGGTGGTGAAGGCGACCTTAGGTAGTACCTAAGCTAGGTAGGTTACTGCTACCCTCCGGTAGATAGTTGTACCTACCGCGTACCCATAGTACCCACCTACCTTAGGTACCTACCTGTCTGAGCTACCTACCCACTCTGGCCCTCCAACTTGCCTCGCCCACCGTGAACTGGGGCCTGGCTGGCCCTCTGCCACCAGAGGAAGGGCACAGGGAAGCACCTCCAAAAAGGATGGCGGAGGCTTCTAGTTTAAAGGTCAAGAATCAAGATCGCCAGTGGCTTCATCGTTGGAAGGAGGCCTAGCCTTGTGACTACATTACGCGATCGCTCCCTATGCTTGGTGTCCGCCATCTCACTCTCTTGCGTTTGACTTCTACGTGACTTAGGTCCGTGACACTGGTGCAATACTGGCAGAGTACTTCTAATTCATCAATTGCTTCATAATATCATCATTGTAGCGACTGTAGCATCAAATGCCTAACTTAACAGAGCCCTCGGGACTTCAATCTGCTCTAGAATACTTGACCGACTAGTACCACCTTTAGCTGATCTCGATTCAACACTTTTCTCATAGTTGAATATATCCATAATCTCCTCTGTAAATCGATTACCAATGGCCTTGAGTTGTTCAAGTGAGAGCTTATCCATTGGAATACCCAACTCCTCACTCTTCGCGACTACTTGTCCTGAAATATGATGTGTTTCGCGAAAAGGCATACCCTTTCTGACTAAAAAGTCAGCAAGGTCTGTAGCGAAAAGGGTTGGATCTAGCGCAGCTAGCATCCGCTCTGGTCGAATACTCAGTGTAGAGAGAGGATACCATTTGCGATCTGTATACTATCAGAGATAGTCTTGACATGATCAAGCATAGGTTCCCAGCTCTCCTGGAGATCTTTGTTGTAAGTCGAAGGTAAAGGTAATTTTGTCGGGCTCAGGATAGGTCAAAGGACTGAAGTGCGCCGACACAACCCTAACCTTTCGACTCACGTGATAAGCCCGCTGCTGCCTTGGTGGTTGTTGCGGGTAAGTAACCCCCCTCCCAAGTAGCTTCGCTCCCTCTAAGAGGTACCTAAGGTGCTTCGCCCTAGGTGTTGTTGGGTACGTCAGGTGCCTAAACCACCTGCCATCTCCCCTCCCGTCCTACTACGCTAAAGAACGGTACCGGTACGTAACGAGACGAAACGTTGCTCAGTATCCCACAAGCAAACCAGCACAGTACGCCGAGATGGCTGTATACGATTATCCCGCGCGCCGAGAAGCTCCAAAGGGCATCTCGCAGCCTTCAGGAGAACAGAAACCGCCGAGGTCTCAATCTGCACAACAACTTGTGACGAGCCAAGAAATCGTGCATCCCGGCCTTCTTCACTTGGCCGTACCAAATGGGGAGAGACGAACTGCAGCCAATGCGGAAACCTGGTTGGTAACTTAAGGTATGCCGCCTATCTACTAATATTAGTATGCTTATCTTTCCGTTCGCTACCTAGGTAGCTCGGCTTCTTCCCCTACCGCAACGTCTTCGTTCTTCTTCACCACCAGTTCCCCGGCCTCAGATGTCCGCAGCAGAAACCATCACAATTTTTTACCTCTCTCTTCTGCTCCGGTTCCGCTGCGCGCGCCCTCTTGCCATGGCTCACCATGTCTTCATAATTGCCTCACTCGAATCCTCGTTGACGTCTCGGCTCCCTTAGCACTTCCTCCCTGCCGCCATGTCGCTCTCGATGCGGCGCGTCCTCGGGTCGCGTGCTCTCCGCCCGCCCCTCGTCCGAACCCTGGTCTCGATGCCCAAGCTGATTCCCGAGGCCGTCCCGACCGGCTCGACTCAGATCTTTCGCACCGTCGAGGAGGTCAAGCGGTGGCGCCGCCCCCAGTACACGTGTCACCGAGTTATCGGGCTGGTGCCTACGATGGGCGCCCTGCACGAGGGCCATCTCTCTCTGATTAGCGCTGCCGTCAAGGAGTGCGACCACGTCGTCGTCAGCATGTACGTGAACCCGGCCCAGTTCGGCCCCCACGAGGACCTGGATTCGTATCCGGCGAACTGGGATTCAGACCTCGAGATCCTCGCCGCGCTCGAGAAGAAATTGGCCAAGAAGATCAGCGCCGTCTTTGCGCCGACCACGAAGGAGATGTATCCCTTTGGGTTTCCGGGCCAGGAGGTCGACTCGAAGGGCAGCTTCGTGATCATCACGCCGCTGAGTGAGCGTCTCGAGGGCAAGAGTCGGCCGACCTTTTTCCGCGGCGTGGCCACCGTCTGCATGAAGCTGTTGAACATTGTGCAGCCCGACAAGGTCTTCTTCGGCCAGAAGGACATCCAGCAGAGCCTGGTGATTCAGCGGATGGTCGACGATCTCATGGTGCCGACCAAGGTGATCGTCTGCCCCACCGTCCGGGAGCCGGACGGTCTGGCTAGGAGTTCTCGGAACGTTTATCTCGGTACCCGGCGACGCAAGGTCGCGAAAGTGCTACACGATGCGCTTGCCAGCGCCAAGCAGCAGTACTTGAACGGCCGCGCGGATCGGAGCTCGATTCTCGGATCCGCCAATGGGCTGTTGGAGAGCACGCAGGCAACCCAGGTGAGCTTGCCCGCTGAGGAGAGAGTCCGGTTCGAGGTGGACTACGTCTCGTTCGCGGACCGGTTTACGATGGATGAGGTGGAGGAGGTGGACCCTAGCAGGGGCGCCATCGTCAGCGCGGCGATTAAGATGCTTCCGGTCGAGTTAGCGACACCGGGCGAGGATGTCGGGTACAACGGAGGCCCGGCGGTTCGCCTGATAGACAACATGATCCTGGAGCCGTCGGGTTAGGTATATTGCGCATTCGACTAGCTTGGGGGAGTAATGCACAAGAAAGCCAGTTAGCTCTCGCGGGGTGCTGCGCATTCTCGCTCACCGCTATCCGTAGCTCATCGTATTCCCCCCTTCGCCGTTCCCTGCCCTATACGATGGGCCGGCTGTTCCACCCAAGGCAAGACATGGCGAAGTAGGGAAGAGAAGTAAGGGGTGCATAACGCCGGCCACCAAGCTCTCCTTTAATACATCCTGCTCCTCTCGGTGACGCGCATCTATCCTCTCTGTTGATCCGCTACCTCCTAATACCTGCTAGGCAGAGTACTTGGGCGTCAGCCACGATGCCGCCTTGCATGATGCATCTCTGCTAAGACGAGCCTCCGCTATGTACGCCCCGTTGTGGTAGGTTGGGTAGTATTGGGTGGGTGGGAATGCCCCTCGCTAGATCCCCAACCGAATGCTATGCCCTTCTCCAGCGCCTGCGGCCTTGGGTTAGGTACGTCCAACCGCCTAAGACAGGCAAAGGTACTGCTATGCTGGGGACCTGGGGTACGCAATCTATGCGTGTTAGTACCTATAGGTTAGGTACCTGTATACCCGATATCGCGGGCGTTCCCTTGCCTCCCCCTCCTTCGATACTCCTCGGGATCCCTTCTTCCTCCCTCCTCCATACCGCCCAGCCCAGCTCCGATCCGAGCCATTACGGTCTCGCCAAGAAGATAGCGGACGGCAGCGCAACTAGGTATATCGACAACACCCGTCCCCCTGTCGATCGTCGGCTTTTCCTTTCTCTGCTCCCGCCTTGGGCACCACACCTTTTTCCCTGCCCTGCCTTGGCGGCAACTCGCCCACATCAATTCCCTCCTTACCCATTATATTTACATATATACCTCTGCGCATATATTCTCTCCCGATATATATATATATATCTATATAACCATATTGACACGCTTGACGCCTCCAATATCTACCCGGGAGAAGCGTCCAGCGGCCTGGGCGCATCGCGGTGATTCCCAATGCCGAGACCGTCCACCGCCGTCTCCGCGCCGGGCAAGGTCCTCCTCGCCGGCGGCTACCTCGTGCTCGACCGCCAATACACCGGGCTCGTCTTCGGCCTGAGCGCCCGCATCAACGTCGTCGCCCAGGAGATCGAGACCAGCCAGGGCGTCCAGCTGACCGAGATCGTCGTCGACAGCCCCCAGTTCCTCGACGCCCAGTGGCGGTACGGCTACCGCCTCGCCCCCGACGATGGCGGCATTCACCTCACCCAGTTGCAAGTGTAAGCCGAGCTGCTCTGCTCCCCTCGCCCTCTCTTGGCAAATGCCTGCATCCCGTCGTTTGCAAGTCTCCGTTTCCCCTTTTAAGCGACGACGAGTTACGGCGACCTAGTGTAATCGCTCTCTACATCCTCTTGTAGCTGTTACCTCGTTTTAAGACCCTCTAGCCCTCCCTGCCTGTCCATCCCCGTCTCATCCGGCCACTTTCCCACCCACCCACAGACATTCCCTCGCAGCATCACCCCTCCCACCCCTCCGCCCCCCGCCGCAGTGATCGCAGCACCTCGTTAACCCCAGGCACAACAACAGCGGCTCCGACATTAGCCCGAACCCCTTCGTCGAGACGACGCTGGCCTACGCCCTGACGTACATCACCGCCACGACGCCGCACGCCGCGTCGCGCACCCTCGCGCCCGTGCGGCTCACCATCCTCGCCGACAACGACTACTACTCGCAGCCGCACGACGCCGCCCCCGCCGCGGGCCGCTTCGCCAAGTTCCCGACGCGGCTCCGCGACGCGCACAAGACGGGCCTCGGCTCGTCGGCCGCGCTCGTCACCGCGCTCGCCGCCGCCCTGCTGGCGCACTATCTGCCGCCGGGCACCTTCGACCTCGGCGCGGCCGCGGGGCGCCGCGCGCTGCACAACCTCGCGCAGGCCGCGCACTGCGCCGCCCAGGGCAAGGTCGGCTCCGGCTTCGACGTCGCCGCCGCCGTCTACGGCAGCTGCCGGTACCGCCGCTTCTCGCCGGCCGTGCTCGCCGGCGTGCCCGAGCCCGGCCGCCCGGGCTTCGCCGCCGCGCTCGCCGCGCTCGTCCGGTCCGACGCCTGGGACGCCGAGGTCGACCGCGGGGACGACGCCGCCGCCGGCCGCGGCCCCGTGCGCCTCCCCCCCGGCGTCGCCCTCCGCATGTGCGACGTCGACTGCGGCAGCCAGACCGTCGGCATGGTCAAGCAGGTGCTCGCGTGGCGCGCGGCCGACCCGGCGGCGTCGCGCGCGCTGTGGGACGAGCTGCAGGCGCGCAACGAGGAGCTCGCGGCGGCGCTGGGCGGCGCAGCGGGGGACGCGGCCGTCGCGGCGGCGCTGGCCCGCGCCCGCGGCCTCGTGCGCGCCATGGGCGCCGCCAGCGGCGTGCCCATCGAGCCGCCCAGCCAGACCGCGCTGCTCGACGCGCTCGCCGCCGGCGTCCCCGGCGTGCTCGGCGGCGTCGTCCCCGGCGCCGGCGGCTTCGACGCCCTGGCGCTCCTCGTGCGCGACGACGGCGCGGTCGAGGCCCGCCTGCGCAACTTCCTCGCCGCCTGGGGCGCCGAGCACGACGCCCGCGTCCGCCTGCTCGAGGTGCGGGGCGAGACCGAGGGCGCGCGGCGCGAGGACCCGGCCGCGTACGAGGGCTGGGTCTAGTGAGGGAGGGAAGGGGGAGAGGGGGCGAGTTAGATAACCGAGGATGATATGCACGCATGTGTAGACGGTAGACCGAGGGAGGAGGAAACGCGTAGACTAGACAGATTTCCTTATCGTGCCTCTCGCCTTTCCGTCTCTCCCCCCCTTTCGCTACGGAATTGTGTGCCTGGCGGGGAGGGGGCAGGCTCCCCAGTTACTTGCGCCTCAACGCGTCTACTTCTAGCCGTCGCGCTCCGCCAGTCTCGCGTCCGTCATGCATTCGGTGGGCCAATCCAAGAGTCATAATATATAGACCTACGTATATCGATATCGTATTCCTTTGGGGGACCCGGTCTAAGCACGCACGCATGCATGCACGCATGTATGTATGTACGTAAGAGAAGCGAGCCAGGCAAGTCAAGTAGGGGGGAGGTAGGGAGGCCGGGCCACCGGTAGCGAGCGTGCTCGCTACCGAAAACGCCCACCCCTGCCCGTGGACCGCCGGGGTCCTGCTCCCCCTCCCCCTATTCTCTCCCGCCTTTCCCGCTCGCCCCCCGATCGCGACCAAACGCCGTCCGTCCGTCCCCGTCTCCCATCTACGTGTACGCAGCAGAGTCCCGCCCGTCCGCCCGGCGCATGTACAGCGACCTGCTCCTCGCGCCGCCAGCCTCTCTCTCAGTCTACCCCGTCTGTGTGTGTGTGTGTGTGTGTGTCGTTTCATTCGTACCCCAAAGCCGATAAAAACCCACGCCGCCTCCGAGCCGCCCGTTCCTGGTCCGCGGCCCCAGGAACCCCGCGACCCCCCCACCCCCCCGTGGCGATCACCGGACGCCTTGAATATAGAGCAAAGGAAAGAAAAACGAAAAAAGCGAAAAAAAAAATGAAGGAAAAAAGGGAAGGAGAAGAGAGAGAGAGAAAAAAACGGTCTATAACGAAAGACAAGAAGAAAAGCGATGATTCTAAAAAGCGGGGAAAAGCGAGAAAATGGACGAAGAAAAAAAGGCAAAAAAAAGAGAGCACATATGACCTCTCAATCGCGCGAGGCACCACACGCTTCGACCACCCCTACTCCTATTCCTACTCTTCCATCTCTGCCCTTCCTCTACTCTTTCCGTCCCGACTCCGTGATCCGCGCACTCCCTACGACCTTGCTCTGCCGACCGGCCGCTCTCGGGCCCGCTCCGCTCGTTTCGTTGACGCGTGGGCGTTCGGGCGAGGCCAGGAGTGTCGCGAGACGAAAAGGGGAGGGCCCGTGGTGGGGAGAGGGGGCGACGGAGCGGAGTAGCAGACGAAAAAGGAGCGGAAATGCGAAAAATAATAGGTATAAGAGCTTAGCAAGAAGACGAAAAAAAAGGCAGCACTGACTCGGCGTGAAAAAAAAAGCAGTATCCGTGTACCTATAGCCTCCGAACCAAGCCTACGAACATTCTTCCACGCCGTGGTAGTCGTGGTGCTCCTCCTCGCGTCCCGTCTCCTTCCTGTTCTCCCAGCCTCCGAGCATCTCTCTCTCTCTTGTCGTCTTCCCATCCTTCCTCTCCATGCTTTGTTTCCCCTTCTCTTTTCGGCTGGGACTATCTGGGGGTATCATTTCGAATCCGGAAAAAAAAGGAAATAAGGAAAATATTAGACGAAAGGCCCGTGGGTATCGTCCGAGGAGGTTGTCGACGCGGATGGGGGGTGGAAACTGCGTCCAAGCCGTCGTCGTGCCGTTTCGCTCTCCTCCATTCCGTCGTTGCCCCCCGTCGTCCTCCGCATCTGTGTACCAAGGGGGCCCGGAACACAAGTCAAGTATGCGCCGGCAAAAGATGTTATTTCGCAGCGGCAGGAGTGGAAGTTGACGCAAGGCGGCGGCGGCGGCGACGTATGTCTAGTGCAAAGGCGTTGTCGTCGTAGCGGCGATAGTTGGATCCGTCCTGTTTCCCCTCTTCTGCATCTTTTTCTCCTCTCATCCCCTTGTCTGCTCGTCTATCTGGCTTGCCGGCCAGCCGTCGCGAGACACATTACGGACGCGGTCAGGGCTGATCCGAGCAGGAGGACATGGGTAGAGGATAAAAATAGAATGGAAGACCGGGAGGGATCCGGAACCGTCCGGAGACGCCTTAGAAGAACTTCTCAGTGGTTGAGATCGGTGCGGAAGCGAGGGTCGGCGGAGCCGGCGCCCTGCGAGGCTGGCTGATGGACAGCCCTTCGACGTAGTTGACGCGTGCTGCTGCCGCCTGCTCCTTTAGGATTGCGATCCTGTCAAAGTGAAAAAAGAAGGATCAGACACGTGGTCAGCAGATCTGTTCTCGGAATTGCTATTTTTTGCTCTTCTTCCTCTTTTTCTGACCCGTTTCTTCTATGCGGCTGCATTATGTAGTGCCACATAGGAGCAGCACCGCCCATCCGTTGCGCACGATAATAAGACCACGATCGAGAGAGAAATAAGGGCATTACCGAGGCGGAAAAAAGAAATAGGATAGGGAGGAAGATACACAAGAAGAGAGGTTCACTTACTCGTCCTCAGAGACACCGGGGAGGGAGAGAGTCTCGTGCTTGAAGTTGAAGGGTGCCGACTGCGGTTTGCATAGTTAGCCCTGATGCTACCGGAGGAGATATATACAGATTAAAAGTGAGGTTTTCTGCCAGAAAACACGAGGTGATTCGGGAAGTAATAGCCCTTCCGACCCCTCGTGCGGAACCGGAGAGAGGGCAGGCAGAGGCAGAGATGGAGGGAGAGCGGAGAATACGCACGATCTGAAGAGCGGGCCTATCAGAGGTGTCCCTCTTGGACTTGCAGCCGATGATGCTCTGCAATTTTGCCACGAAGGCACGGATGCCACCAGTGCAGCTCATCGTGTTCTCTTGGTCGGTGAGGGCAACGAGAGGAGGACAGGGTAACGAGCAGACGAGAAACTATAGGGATGATGGTGCTAGAGAGGTCGATCTAGGTCGGAAATTCGTGATAGGGAGTAGCAGACAGACGAGTAGTTCAGTTGCCGTCCACCTGGTTTTGTCGTGGACGAAAAAAATCGTGACAGTTGCCGTGGATAAAAAAAAAAGTGCAGGTGAAGGGAAAAGTCCCTGACGTAGACAAAGGGATCTCGAAAAATGTCCCTTTAGGCAGGTCCGAGAGTACAAAGGCTGACAGTCGATGCAACCCGAGTTCAACGGCTTAAAAATGAATTTCTGTACAGCCTGCCAGTCTGCCGGGCAACGATGCCTCAAGTGATTGCTAGGTTGGTTTGTGTGTGTACTGTGCGGCCGCGAGGGCGGAATTTGACGGTTGACAATTGAGGCCTGGGTATATTTCAGGGCCTGAGCCTGGGGAATTTGAACAGTCGCGGTTGGGGTAGGAATGGCGGGAAGATGACCCGGCCTTGTTCTCCCTCAATTCTGCCGATTATTCATTCATTCATGCGAATGCGCAGCACCAGCATCAGCATCAACAGCAAGCAGCGGCTTAGATACGGCTTCTACACGGAGGCGGCTGACGCTTGATTGACCAACAACTCGTCGGCTGAGTCGATCAACCCAAACACTGGGACAGCCGCGGCAGAGGGGGAGGATGCAGAGGAAGAGGAGGAGTTGAGTACGTGAGAAAAGGAGCAGCGCTAGAAGGATGGGCAGGTGGACGTTTGACGACTGACGGTGTGTGGCGATGACGAGGATGACGAGCCAGTCCGGGTTGAGGCACCCTTCTCTTCTAGCAGGGGTGACAGACGAAGCTGAAAAGGGCGGCGGAAGCACTGTAGCCACAGCAGCAGAAGTATCGGCAGCGTGTACTGGCTGGTTGGCGGGCCAGGGGAAGCAACCAAGAGAGTAAGGAGGTCTGACAGATCGACCAGAGCGGGGGAAGAGGGTGGGATGGGAGCTGAAGGCGCATGAAGCAAGATACAACAGCCTAACTAATGCGAGGTGACAGGACTAGTCCAACAGGCGTTGGAAGAAAGGGGGGAGAGGGAACGCTATGCTAGCCACGGGCGGCTGACAGGCTGAGAGTCTCTGGCTCGCTCGTCCGACGGTATGTCACGAGAGGAGGGAGAAGGTGAAGGACAAAGCGAATAGGATACGAGTCGTCTACTATTACGAGCAGTGATGTAACCTTGGTTGGGACATACAAGCCGAGGGATATAGAGGAGACAATGCAGGCAATATTAAACCGAGTGGACTAGAACAGATCGACGACAAGAGATACACAGCGAAGAAGGACGGAAAAGAGAAAGACTAGGACAAAGGAACGTGCGATGCGAATTACGCCTGGGACAAGGAAACAATGGAGTGAGTTGTCGGTGGGCCGAGAAGAGAGTGACGCGAAGGGCAAAAAAAAGAGTGACGGTATAACGGCACGGAAAAAAATAAGAGAGGATGACGAGACACAAAACCAAGACGGGGAGGGGAAAAGTCAAGATACCAAGGCAGACCGGCTATTGAGGCGAAGGAGCAGAGACAGGGTCGGAATGCCAGAAGCATCACCGAAGAAAACAGGACCCGCCGTCGGTTCTGAGAGGCGCATAGACACCAAGAGAAAGAGACAAGCTCTACACCTATACTACGCATGCTAACAAGGATAAGAGCAATATTTAGAAATGAGGGAACCACCCGACGGCAATAATAATAGCCTGGGGAATTGGTAAGAACACGGCCATGCCAATTTAAAGTGATGCAAGTTGCGGAATGCTGGCAATGGTCGCGCTCTGGTGCCTGTCTCTGGGCCTGGTGAGCATGACAGGGGGGTTTCGAGCGGAGGGAACGAGAGAGCGCGAGACGATGCGATGCGACTCCAGGCTTTCGGGGTCCGTCTCCATCGCCCTCGGCCTCCCTCTGAAGCGATTGGCCCGGGCGTCCATGTTTCGAAACAGCCATGCCGAGACACACGCACGCATCTGCCTCAGTAAGCGGTGCCGTCGTCGTAACTCGTCGCCCTTCGCATGGTGCATGAAACAGGAACACGTGTGCCAAATCGGGAATAAGCTGCCCTGAATCCTTCCCTCGGGTGCCTCCCCCTCATCCAGTTATGTCCCGTCCGGCACCCAGGCCAGGGGCCTCCATCGGGAGAGAAGAAATGGAAATAAACCGTCCGCCCATTCCAGGCCGTACTATAAGTAGGTATGTAGGCATGCTAATCATCCGCCCACGTACGCACGTATACACACACGCAAGTCTGCACACGCACACACACGAGCACGCGCGCGCAACACAGCCCCCTCCCACCCCGGCTACACATGCTAAGTGAGTCGGCAGTGGCAATAGTAGTCGTAGTAGGGCTAGTGGCAGTAGTAGTCGTCGACTATTCCCACTTACATGCCAAACCCGCAGTCCGGCATCCAAGGCGGCCTACGGAGTGGCTAACTTGCTAGGTAGCCGCTAAGCCCTGGGCGTGCGGTTCTCGCGCTTCTCGTGGTTCTCGTCAATTCATTTCGGATAGTCCTTCAGATGGTAGCTCTTCAGCTTCACGAATTGGTCGTAGCCAAACCTGCTCAGCGTCACGCCCTTGCCCGAATTCTTCCAGCCCGTCCAGGCGAGATCCTGATGCGAGACGAAGGGAGAAGGTGGCCATTAGCAGGGGCATCCCGAGCTACAGAGCGAAGATGCAACACGGAAGAAAGAACTTACCGGGCTGGGGTAATCCGCGCGGTTGACGAAGACCGTCCCCGCTTCGACGCTCTCCGCCAACTCGTAACCTTTTTCTACGTCCTTCGTCCATATGCTAGCCGTCAAGCCAAACTCGCTGTCGTTCATCAGCGCGACGGCCTCTTCGTCGCTCCCGACCTTCATGACCGAGATGACCGGCCCGAACGTCTCTTCCGTCATGACCGCCATGCTGTGGTCGACGTCGACGAGGAGGGTAGGTTTAACAAAGTTGCCCTTTGACGGTAAGCTCGAGAATGTCGGGTTCTCCGGTGTCAGGTCCTTTGCGCCTTTCGCCAACGCATCCCGGATATGGGATTCGACGGTCTCCTTGGACCGCGGGGAGATGACCGGCCCGATCTGGGTCTCTTTAGACAGAGGGTCTCCGACCTTGTAGCCCTTCAGGACCTCCTGGACGGCCTCGACGAAGGGGCTGTAGATCTTCTCGTCGACGTAGACCCGCTCGATGGCGCAGCAACTCTGCCCCGAGTTGAAAATGGACCCGTCGACTATCTCGGCCGCGGCCCAATCGAGGTCCACGTCTCCCCTCACGTAGGCAGGATCCTTGCCGCCGAGCTCAAGACCAACGTGGACAATTCTGTCCGAGGCTGCCTTTTGGACGGCTAACCCTCCGGCGACAGAACCAGTAAAGCAGATCAGGGCGATCTTGGGGTTTCGCACCATAGACTCCATCAGCACGTGCGAGCCGCAGTGGAAGTACTGCAGGACGCCGGCAGGCAGCCCGGCCTCCGCGAAGATCTTGGCAACCTGTTCGACTATGGTGGGAGTCTGAGGAGAAGGCTTCAGGATGACGGAATTGCCCGCGAGCAACGCCGGGATCAGCGAGTTGACCAGGATTAAGTAAGGGTACTGAAGACCACGAGGTCAGCTGGGTTCGGGGCGAGGTGGCATCGAATTGTCTCACGTTCCAAGCGAAAATGATGAGAACGGGACCGACGGGAACCTTCCGGATGAAGCGCCTGAATCCTTTCTCCGGCTCCCCGTCTGTGTCTTTCAGGGCATCCTCGCTGACTTTCACGAGGAAGTCGGCGCGTTTAATAGCGGTCAAGACTGGCAACGGCGTTAGTTCAGTAGATCGGAGTTCCTAGTAAGGGGTTGTCGTGTCGTGATGTGTACTTTCACCACCAGTGTAAGCGATCGGCCGTCCCATCTGGACGGTCAGCTCCTCGGCGAGCTCATCCTTCTTCTTCTCCAACAGTTTTAGTGCTTTCCTGACGATGATCTGGCGATCAGTCAAGGAGGTCTGCCGCCAGTTCAGGAAGCTCTCAACGGCGACCCTGGGTATCTCTTCTAACTCGGCAGCCGAGACTCCATTGCGTGTCAATATAGGCTCGTTGGTCGTGGGCGAGATGGTGGTCAGGACCTCCACCGACATGATTCCGATCTCTCACTATCACACAAAGGTAGGCAGGTAGGCAGGTAATCAATACAGGGGAGGCATATACCTATAGCTGAGGAAGGGGAGAGCCTAGGGTTGGGAAGGGAGGATTCGACTTGAAAGCTTCGCAACTGACGGGCAGATCAGGTTGGATCTGATCAGCAGCGTGTTGGATGTTCCTCAAAGAGCAGAGGGGGACGAGACGTCACCGATCCAGAATTTCGAGATAAGGATGGTGGGGGAGGGGGATTGGGTACTTAGGTACTTAGCTTACGAACAGCTAGAGTTCCTGATGCACCCCCCTGACATCGCATATTTCGGGGATATTGTATTATCAAGACGGATCTCTCTTATCGGAGTCTTTCCCGCCCTCCCAATCTAATCTTTTCTCCTCTCCATTTCAATATCTGGGATATCGACAAGAACCAGCAATCCAACAGCTGCCATCACAATCCAGTCCAACCCGGGGTGTATTTATCGTCGCTTCCCCCGTTTGTCTGTACGCTTAACCACCGTTACCCTAAGCAAGAGAGTGAAAAGAGGAAGATGGGTCCGCAGAAAAGAAACGCCTTCCTCGACGTGGATGAGAGCGAAGACGACGGTAGCCAAGGCTACGATTCCGAGGCCGACCAGGTGCAAAAAGGCGACCGATCCGCAAAGCGACGTAAATTAGACGATGGCGTCTCCAGCGACGAGGACAGAGACGACGACGAGCGAAGCGAGGATGGCAAATTCGACGACGAAGCTGGTTCAGATAACAACGCTGTAGACGAGGAAGACGCGAACGAAGATGGAAAGGATAAGCAACCTATCGGCGATCCCCATAGGAGGGTAGAAAAAGACACAACGGGCAAAGGTCCGCTGCCAGAATTGCCGGATGTGTCGCGTCCGCTTATCAAGAAGAATCTGGTGGTGACGGAGGCGGCGATCAAAAAATCCGGCCTGGTCTATCTGTCGCGCATACCGCCCTTCATGAAGCCGCGCAAGCTGCGGTCGCTGCTCGAGCCGTACGGCAAGATCAACAGGATCTTCCTGACTCCCGAAGACCCCCAGGGACGCTCGCGGCGCGTCCGCAACGGCGGCAACAAGAAGCGCACCTACACCGACGGCTGGGTCGAGTTCGTCAACAAGAAGAACGCCAAGGAGGCGGTCGACCTGCTGAACGCCCGCACCATAGGAGGGAAGAAGAACACCTACTACCACGACGACATCTGGTGCCTCCTCTACCTGCGAGGCTTCAAGTGGCGCAACCTCATGGAGCAGATCAACTCGGAAATGGCCGAGCGAGAAAGCAGGATGAGGGCCGAGATCAGCAAGTCAACCAAGGAGAACAAGGAGTTCGTTCGGAACCTCGAGAAGGCCAAGATGCTGGACGGGATGCAGGCCAAGGCCGCCGCAAAGAGGAAGAGGGTCGAGGCGAACACCGACAACGATGGCCCTTCTGTGGCAAGACACGCAGAGGGGTCTCAGAGCGTGCGGACGTTCAAGCAGTCTTCAGCAGGGAAGAAGGTCTCGGATAGGATGTCCAGTGCAGCTAGACAAGTCCTGAGCAAGCTCTTTTGATACTATCGACAATGATACCCCCAGCTCCTTTTTTTCCTCTGCTCCTTATGGCCATCCCAACGTCCTATGCCATATACAAAACTGCATGCTTTCGAGGTGTCCCGGTTCAGATCTATCTTTGAAACCCTCCATCTTGACGAGAACGCACGAAAGGAACCAGGACACAGTCCACAGAACTACATTGACTTGATAAAACCCCCCATAGCTCCACCTCTCAACCCTCCCAATATGCTCTGTGGGTCGCTGAGAACAATAGCACCGCCGCTCCCGACCCCCCTCCCCACTACTTCCTCCCCTTAAACTCTCCAGACCAACCCTCTCGACAGCTAATCCTGCCCTTCCCTCCACCAACCCTCCTCACGACATGTGTCCCCGAGACGTCTCCCCCTCGGCCGAGTCGACCATACGCCGCGCCGAGGCGCTCGGCCTGGTCCGCGAGAAGTACGCGCGCGCGTGCGCCCCGCACGAGGCCCTGGCGCGCATGCCGCTCGACGAGGCGCTCGTGGTGCTCGACGCGGCGCGCTGGGAGCTGCGGGAGCTGCGGCGCCTGCACCGGGTCCTGGAGCTGCGCGCGGACGCGTCGTGCTGCTGCTGCTGCTGCTGCGGCGGCGGCGGCCACCCCGCACTCTCGCCGCGGGCCGCCGTCAGCCCGGCGCTGCGCGCGCACGCAGTGGCGCGCGTCGCCGCCGCCGTCGCGTGCGGCCTCGACCTAACTGACTACGTGCTGTGCGAGCACCGCGTGTCGCGGGTGCTGGACGCGCTCCGGAGGCAGGCCGGCGCGGCGCCGGCGAGAAGGCCTGCAAGACCACGAAGAAGAAGAAGAAGGAGGAGAGAGGCGGCAAGCGCGGAGCCGACGCGCGATCTGCGACGGGCCCCCGCGGCCCGCGCAACGCGCGCGCTCGAGCCCCGTTTCACCGCCGACGCCCGCCGAGGCAAGAGGCGCCGGCTCGACGAGGCGCTGGGGCTGGCGGCCGCGCGCGACGACGGCTGCGGCGAGGAGAGCGGAGGGCGGAAGCGGTGTGCGGGGGACCATGACGGCCCGAGGACGGGGCAGGCGGGGTTCCGGGGCAGGAGACGGTATGGCTAGGGGGTGGAGGGCTATGTGCTGTGGTTACTGCTGAGGCGTACGGCGCCGCACGGGAGGGCGGGTTTGCATTTGGTCGGGCGGGGGGTGGGATGGGAGTCTTGTCTCGGAATTGCGGCGGCGGATGCATTGCGTGGTTCCTCTGCTCTTCTCTGCTTGCTCGCTGGACCTGCCCACAAGATGTTTCAAGTCCCCGTACGTGCAAATACAAGCTAGCCATTGCCCACTGCGCCGTGCCTACTGTAATGTGCCCCGGGTGCGGCGGAATTGTAAGGTAATACGCACCCCCCGCGAAACTCCCGTTAGACTGTGAACAGTGACGAGATGGAGTACCATACCGGGAGGGGGGGGTCTACGGACAGTATGTCAGCAATAGAATCGGGGTACGGACACGGTAACTAAATCTGGTAAGGATTACCTATTCTTTCGAAAGAGCTAAAAGAATTATAGCAAGGGTCGCGGTACCGACCTTATTACCTTCCCTTCTTATAATTTCAGGATGGTTTTTATAACTACGTAGGAACTAATGTCCAGACGAATATAACAATGTCCAGACGGATATAATGTCTATATATTCCATAGGTACCTACCTACCTACCTACCTACCTACCTACTTACCTACCTAGACCTATCTACCTAGACCTATCTACCTAGACCTGTTGTCTTCATCTTTTTTCTACAAAACACCATGATCTACTATAGATATCTTCGAACCTATCTACGAACCTATCTACGAACCTATCTACGAACCTATCTGCGAACCTATCTATAAACCTATCTACGAACCTATCTACGAACCTATCTACGAACCTATAGGAGCTAGTTCGCGTGCATGGAATCTATCTATCTTCGAACCTATCTACGAACCTATCTGCGAACCTATCTACAAACCTATCTGCGAACCTATAGGAGCTAGTTCAGGCGTATAGAATCTATCTATTGTAGTAGTGCGGTGGATCTAGGCCACGTAGCCTTTTCGATATATATTTATATGGGTCGCGTACTTATATTTTCATTAGCTAGACTTAAACCTATAAACATTACGACCTATAGCCATTCACTCGTTTTTTGCTATGCCTTTCTAGCCTTCCTCGATTACCCTTTTCTAGTTTTTCCTTTCCCAGCTGCTGTTTTTAGTTAGCCGATTAACCGATTATAGCTATTTTTAGCTATAATCTTAGATTAATCGGTACTAGGTTAGTTATTAGTAGTTAGGCAGTCCTTGTTTCGTGCCTTCATTATAGCGTACCTACGCTACTCTTATTTAATAGCGACCACCTAGTAGCTCGTCCTTACCTCATCTTAGGAGTAACCTTTTGCGACCGTTTTTATAGTTATTAGGTTTAGAATACGACGATTAAAAGGTTTCCTATTTTTTAATTAATTAGGAGCTATTTTCGTAGCTCCAGAGCCGTTTTCGTAGCTTTTAGCCTTAGCTTTTTAGGTTAGGATTAATAAGGAAGGCAGACAACTATAGCGACCATTAATAACCCACGCCCTCCCATTAGCTTTTAATTAGCTTACCTAAAAGCTCGTTCGCCGATTAGTAGATCTATCTTATCCTCGTTTCTTAGTTATCTCTTTTAAAGGAGCTATGCCTGTTTTTACCTGGTTTTACCTCCGTCGTTTTTTACTAGTACTTAGATAGCAGTTTTTCGCCCTTAGTTAATCTAACCAAGTCACCGCTACTACCTCTTTTTATAACCTCGCACGAACTTAAAAGCATCCGTTCTTTACCGATTAATTTATTTTAATTACAAGAGGCTTACCGATAGCTCCGATCGCCCTTATTTTATCCCTTCTAGTTAGTTACGGTACCTAGGGAGGTCTCTCCTTACCTCCTTAACCGATAAGGTACTACGATACCCTTAATTACCATACGAAGATACCGATAAACCTTATACTATAGTAGTGCGGTAAGATATGCCCTCTTAATGCATTACGTAATACGTTACGATAGGCCTTATGCCTATATAGAATAACCATAGCTCCCGTAAGTACGGGACATGCTATGTTTATTATTTAGATTATTACCTAGTTAGATTGCTATCTTTGCTATTTTTGCCTTAATTAAAGATTCGTTTTTATTATTAGATTCGTCGTTCTTTAATTAGTATATTTATTTTAGTTATAGGCGCTTAAGTTACTTCGTCGTACCGCTATAGCCGAATAAGTAACTTTTACGTTTTACTTCTTTTCTTTCCTTACCTCTTATACCTTCGGGCTAGCGACTACTATATCTTTACGACTAAAAGGCATAGCTAAGATACGATAACTACATTAGATTCCTTATCTTTCGATTAGTATAGCGATATTAGTTTTATTTATTTTAAACCATCGTACGTATTATAGTCTTCGATAGAGTATACTTTCGAATAAACCTATCCGGGTTTTTAGTATCGCGTACGTTTTACTCCTTCTTAATAGCGACTACCTTATGACTTTTTCGACCCCTTAACCTTTAGTTTACAGAGTTTTTATTACGTTACTAGGATTTAGAGGATACCGATCGCCGTTAGCGTCGCTATTTAACCCGCGAAGTAATCCGCGTTTTACGTTAAATAAAGTATTCCGCCTTATGATTATTTATCTACTATAGGAAGGTACGTATAAGCCCGGGAACTTTTATAACGATATTATTATTACTAAGATAGTACCTAGCTCTTAATACTTATAACGTTAATAAGCTATCGATATTACGATATAATACGACGACCGGACCGCGTTTATACCGATTAGGATATCTTTCGTATGATTATTTATTTACTATACGGAGGAACCCGTAAAACCCGGAGAACTTTCGTCGTAATACTACCGCTATTAAGGATAGTACTTAGCCTTCGATATTAACCGCTTCCTCGAACCGCTAATAGCATAATATATTTCGTGCGAGTAAATAAAGCTTATAACGATTAAGGTAGCCTCCTTATAATTATCTACCTGCTATATAAAGGACGTACGAGCGCCTTAATATAAATAGCGATAACCTATACGACCCGCTACTTCCTTATTAATATTAAAAGCGGATAAAGGCTAATAGTAATTATATCTTAACCGACCTTACGATAGCTTCTTTTTTCCTTTAAACCTATTAATCGATATAGATTAAATATATAGATATTAATAACTTATTATGCTAGAGGTATTTTAGGATACCTAGGCGTAGCGACTTAACGATATAATATACGATATAATATAGATATTTATATTAATAATATAAATAGGATTAATAGATTAATAGCTATTAGTAACCGATAGTTTTAAAAAGAACTAGGAATTAATATTAATAAAATTACGTAGATATAAAGGATTAAGGAAACGGAACTAAAGTCGAGCTAATAAGTATACCTATATATAGGTTAGCCTTATATTATGAATTAATAGCTAATATAGCGAAAAGTATTAATATAGGCGTAAAACGGCGCCTAGCGGTAATACCGCTAATACTATTAAATAACCTTCGTTAGATCGAAACCGGCTTATGGCTATAACCGGTATCGTATTTAGCGCGATTCTTTACTCGGGATTTATTCCTTATACGTATTACCTTAACGAAGGTTATATATTAAGAGTTCTAAACCTTAATAGGAGGGATTATCGTCGATTTATTTATAATAATTAAACTATTAGTTTAGGGAATACGTATCGTATTCTAGTTAGGCGTTAACCGATTAGAGAAGCTCGTATAATATCCGGATCCTATCGATCGGGATAATATAATAAATAATAATATACCTATACTAAAGGAAAAGCATTAGGATATAAATAATAATTATCTTATCTTTATTCCTATATTAGATAATAAGATCCTTATTATTCCCCTTTTTACTTTATACCTCGTATCGTTAGACTAGACGGAATTTATAGCTAAGAAACGGAATAAATCGCTATCGGGACCTGAAGTAATAAAAACTAAATTACTAGTAAAGACCTTAAGAGTCGATACTAGCTTTCCGCCCTTATATCCGCCCGAAGAAGAGGAAGACGACGATAAAACTCCTATTTAATTACCCCTTAACCGCGGCTCTATACTTATTCCGTTAATCCCTATGGCATTATCTTAGAATAGTAATAACAGGGCCTTTAGTAACTAAAATATACCGGTAGCTATTCCGATTATCGTAATACTAGCTATTAAATTCCCTAACCCTACCGATTACCCTAGGCTTAAGTTTAACGAATATAACGTAACCTAATAGCTAGAAAGGGTAGATTGATTATTTAACCGCTACCGTATTATAGTAGTGCGGTGGATCTAGGCTACGTAGCCTTTTCGATGTGTATTTATATGGGTCGCGTACTCATATTTTCATTAGTAAGACTTAGACCTATAGATATTACGACCTATAGCCATTTATTCGTTTCTTACTATGCCTTTCTAGCTATCCTCTTTTGCTTTTCTAGTCTCCCCTTTCCTAGCTACCGTTTTTAGCTAGCCGATTAACCGATTATAGCTATTTATAGCTA